GAGGGGGGGCAGGGACCCACATTCCCGGGGCTCACAAAGACTACATTATGAATTGAATCAAATATTTGAGAACATTTTTGTTTTTGATTACTTGTACATATATGGACAGCCAGTCTCCCACAACCCTTAATCCGGGCATGCCAATGCACGTTTGACGTCTTCTTATTAAATATCAATACCTACATATTATATCGTTTCTCGCGTGTACACGGGTCGTCAAATGTCATCGTAAATAACTCCAACGATGATGAATCTAATAAAATAATAAATAATACAAGATAATATATAAGAAGTAAACCTCGAATGATAGTAATATAATGCGACGTTATTTTATACCGCGGCTTGCGATATTTAATACGACGTTATTTTATACCGTGGCTTGCGGTGTTAAAAAACAAAAATTTCACTTCCATACACCTAACCTAGCCACAGCCCCTCGACTCTATTCCGCCGTCCCGAGAACGTACGTGCGTCATTCGTACCTATAGTAATACTGGTGGGTATCAGCTGATGTTGTTTTGACAATATTATAACCGTTGTAAGTTTTACCGTCATCGATGGGAGCTGCGGTGGGCGGGTCGCCGAGTCGCCTTTTGACGACCGAACGAAAACCATGACAATATCGAATTTTCTTCGTGTCAAGCCGTCCTTGTTTAATGTATTAATATATAGATATATATACTCGGGTTTGTGCTCTCATCCTATGTATGTAGTTACAAGTGCTCCACGTGTCCAACAATATTCGTGAATAAAAGAAAATTCAATTATTGTGACAAAACCGCCTGAATAATATTCGCTTGACATCTTTGTTTTTTTTTTTTTTTTCATAGCTACTCTTTCAAAAAAGCGAATTGGATCTTCGTCATGTAAAATATATTAAGTAGAGACAAGTTAAGTCGATCTATAACATTTGCCCGATTAAAAAGACATAAATTATAATAAATTCGGACGTTCTTCACATCATATAAGTAAGCTACTATTGTTTACAGGGACTTTGGAAGTATCCATAAATTATTGGAAGGTATAAAGGATATAGTGAAATTTAGTTTTGTATAGATATCATTGTAATCAAAAAACGATTCTGAGCGGAGTTCAGTAAATTTATGAGAATATTGGTGTTGGTTGTGTTTCTCACCTCTCCCCTCAGTTAAAAAGGCACCCAAGGAAAAATAAAATTAACCAACTTATAGATATTAACGTAACAATGATGTTTATTTTTTTTTTATATACTGTGTACAAAATTATGAGCAAGTTACAGAAATCTTGCTCTGATTTATGAACGTAGCATCTTTTCTGAAAGGTAATTTTATCTAGTTGGTAGTCTATTGAAGTAATTTTTTTGATTTTCCAAGCGATTTTCATAATAATTGTAAAAAAACGTAGGGATATACGGACAAATATTTACAGTGTATAACGATTTCATGATTATTCATTTTTGTAACTTATGTTTTCTACTAGAAATCTTACTTCAATCGATAAATAACTAGAGATCTTTGTTGTTGAATTTTTAACTTTATTAGTGATCAAAATAGTACTTTTTTTTTTTTATTTTCCGAATCGTTTTTTTAATAAATGAACAAAACCGAAAATAAACGTAGAAAGAGAAGGAAAAATTACGAAAATAATGCTTTTGTTATTTTCAGTTTTGTTTTTTGTTGTAATTCAGTTAAACATATTAATAGAGATTTGAAATTTGGACAGATATATTTGCTTTTAATGGACATGGTCAAATTTTCGTTTTTCTACGTAATTTTATTTGATAGGTACTCTACAAATAAAATTGTTTAAAATTTTGTTTAATGTAGTATTTTTTTTATAAGAATTTTAATATCAAATGTTGACGAAAATCGTAAATATATTACGGCCTTTCAAAACATGTATCGTTTTTTGTTAGCAATGGTTTATTGTTTCTTATAGGTGTAAATTAAATAATTATATGTATCCTACCTTTCCAACTTCCACCTAAAACAGTGGTACACCCGTCCCCAGTATCAGTACTTTTTTGTTAAATAAAAATATCTCCGGGTGAAAGAAATCAGAAAATTTTAAGGTATACCTAATATAGCATAAAAAAAAATCGGAGCACTTTTAGTAACAATTTTCGGTTAGTGTTGTCTGAGGAAAAAAAATTTATTAAAACTTTTAACTTATTCGTGATACTGAGAATCTAAAATAATACCTACCTATAATTCGCCATAATACCATATTATATGTCTATAATACGATCAGATATATAATTTCAGTCTAGCAATTAAAAATGTACATGTACATACATACTATTACAGTATTTTAGTGTTCCGAGAAAAATGGCAATTATAATAAACTTATCAGACTATCGAAAAATCATAGCATATTAATAATAAAACTATAAAGGGTATACCGTATACATTTTATACAGTTAACAATTGATGAATATGGCATTTATAACTTAATATAATAATATAGGTATATATTTTATAAAAATATTAGTGGTTTTTAATTGTATTTCAATCGTATTAGACACCTTGCTATATTCACTTCATGTCTTTATGAACAAATATCGAGAAAAAAATATGCAAGTTTAAAACTTTTTTTTTGCAGTAGTAAAGACAGACTCGCTAGAGATAATTTATATTAAGTTTTGATATGCGTTATTTAACGAGTCGTTAATATACCAACTTATACGCGATGTTGCAGTAGATACCTATACCGTTGTGGTGGTGTAAATATGTACACATCACTTGAGAGTAATTATTTGAGATTAGTCCTATCCAACTATTATGATATGAAAATTAGTCGATTAGAAAAGGTTAGATCAGTATCTAAAACATGCATATACCTATAATAATGACTAATGCCAACTTGTGCTAAGTTATTTGATTTCAATAGTAATTTTAAGGCAGATCAAATTATAAGTTATTTACAAATATAGGTATAAAAGTTAATAGTTCATTTTTTTTTAGCCTGAGTACACAATTTTTAAATTCAATATGTTCCTCTTTGACAAAAATTCTAAATTCGCCACGGGTATTTACATTGCAATAATTCTTTTATGATATTGCTATGGAATAAGGGTAACATTGTGAAAATATCATAATTTTAAGATCATCTGTATTACGTTCGTAAATGATTTTATAGAATGACTGAAAAATTGAATACCAATTTTCCTTATACATATTATAATAGCTGGGTTATGAAAAAAATAAATCACTGTATATCGAATTAATTAACAATTTATTTATTATATTTGTTGAGATCTTATACTATGTACAAGATTATATTATTAAATTATTATGTTTAGTTTTCCTCTATATTTTTCATAATTTGATATTTAATTTCTATATAAAACCTATTAAAAAAATAATATTCTCTGGTTTTTCAAGTAAAAAAGTTTTCGATTTTCCCGTAGGTATATATTATAAATTCGCATTGGATTTTCGGTATGTTTTTCTCTTCTTTTAGCCATGTGAGTACAGCAGCCGAGATGATTTACTATGTATAATTCATCAACTGTCTCTCGGGTAAAAGACGATGCGAAGACTGTTTATAATATTCATATATCACGTATGTATTATTTATTATTATATAGGCGGATAGGTAGGTGTATACTTATACGTTTATCGATAGATAATAAGCATTATATGTATAGGCTATATAATGTAGGTACACCGGACGTCATATATTATACATTTATAAATACATAATGTTTACGATCGGTTTTTAAAAATAAATATATCTTCCCTTCTTGTACCTTACAAACCGTAATTCGATAATATTGTTTTCGCTCTTCTCCCCATCGCCTTTTCTCTTGTACTACCTAGGCATATGTATATATACCAAAACTTTACCTATACTTATATAGTAGGTATATATAACCGTAATTCGATCATATTGCTTTCGAACCGTGAAAAGACCCCTTCTGCAGTAGCTATACATACACTTTGCCTACCCCATACCCGTCACACGGCCGACACAGAGACGACTATATTAAATTATAATTCTATTATATTGTATACGAGACGTTGCAATTGATGTATTATTAATGTAATTTATTAGGTATAGGGAACCCGTCGCTCTGATATCACACACGAAGGATATTATATTATAATGAGTATAATAATATATACAACATTTTCCTACTTGTATAACCTAACCTAAGAGTAAAATCAGACGATATTCGCACGTGCTAAAATGCCGCCATGCCGTCATAGGACATCATAGTGACTTATTTTACTTACCTGATGTATTTCACATAAATTATGGGGTGTGGCGGTGTCGTGTAGCACTCACACTGTATCTAGAAATAAACAGACCCCGGTGAAAATTAAATTTGTGGTCCTATTTTTCATAAATATTTAATCTAAACACACTATAAAAAAAGCTGTCCTAGGATAATAGGGACGGGTGCAGTTACCAAAGTAGGTAGGAAGTTGGGAAGGTAGGATATAGATGGGAATTTAATATATATCTGTAAGCAACGATTAACTATTGCTGAAAAAAAATGATTCTGAGCGGAGTTCAGAAGATAGTGTTGCTTTTTCAACAATATATAATATACCATATTATTGTAAAATAATTACGTATGCATTGAACATTTCCTTTAATAATGTATTTATTTTTCCGTTCTCCCAGTTTTCCCATGTTTTTCGCTCCTGGGAAATCAGAAAATGTATGTACTACCCTCCAAAACTATTATAAAAAAAAAAAAAACCGTAATATTTGTTTATTAATACCTACATTTCGTATATTTTCCCGTTTTTTCTCCGTTTTTTCCGGTTTTTCTAATGTATTGAGAACAATTCTCAGAAAATCAAAAAATTATCTCCTTGAAGTACCTTCCCAGCCAAATTTTCTTTCAGAAAAAATACATTATAAATCGGAGTAAAATTGCTGGTTATCCACAGGAAAAAAAAATAAACATCATTGTAAAATCATAAGCATCTTCGCTCCACTCAAAATCTAAAAGTGCTTGTATCAAGCAAATCCGATGCACACAAATACATAATACAGTAAACATCAAAATTTGGGATAACTCAGTTAAAGAAATAAAGGAAATTTGCTATCTAGGAAGCCTAATTATAGAAGATAACAGATCAACAAAAAAAAAAGTGAAGAAAAGTTTTAGCAAAAAAAATCATTCAAAAAGAAGAGATCTATACTGATGAACAAGAACTTAAGCATTAAAACTATGTCGAGCTTTATTAAATCGTATGTCTAGAGCATTCTACTTTATAAGTGTGAAATGTGGACCATAAAGCAGTATGAAAAAGAAACGTTGGAAGCGACGGAGATGTGGATTTGGAGAAGAAAAACGAGAACGAGCTGGATAGAGGGAAAAATAACGATACCATCTTGCAGGAAATATTTGAAGAAAGAAACAAAATTCCTACTATTATGAAAAGGAAAATGAAGCTTATCGGACATCTGGTAGTAATAATGATTTTGTCACAAAAACATTAGAGGGGATGATAATGAGAATACGTCCAAGAGGAAGACTCAGATAGTCATACTTTAACATCAAAATCCGAATGGGTTTCACTTCATATGAACACCTGAAGTTACGGTGCGTGATCGAGAAGTTTAATTTCAACGACAAGGCCTTTCCTATAGAAACTGATGATTTAGTAAAACCGTGTGAATTTGTTTTATTTATTACCGTATAAGTATAATATGTACAATTAATGTAAGTTCATAATAAAAACTTATATAATTAATAAACTTACAACTTAACTATTTTAATAAAAATAATTTTTTCCCCTGAATTTAGTATTAGAAAAATTGTTAGTTATTTTTTCTAAATCGGTGAGGCTTCTTTCTATGTTGAGACTAGTGATATTACTAGTTTTGTCTTGAGAAATTAGGTACAATATTACACAAATATTATTAAAGAAAATATAATAATAAATATGTTATTATTTTACCATTATAGTCATACCTATATACCTACATACCTATATATTGTTGACTTGTATATTGTAAAGCTCGAAGAGCTTTTGTCAGATAAAATATGTGCTATGTGTGATCAGCATGGTCACTCGTGTGACGGATTGCGATTTAAAAGCATCGACATTTAGCGGGTTGGTGGGCCGTGATAGACATTTTGGTCGATTCCTCCGTACAACAGTTACAGAGCTCTGCGACTGTGCGCCATAATAACAGAATGAGAATTACAAAAACTATAGATCAGTGCACGGTGCGCTGCATTTGTCGGCGGGAACAAAGGGAAAGATCCCACGAATCGTGCCGTTAGTCGAGCAAATAATAATAGTACCTATAATAATCTTAATTTAAGAAGAAAAGTGCCTATAGTACCTACCTAATACCTTTCTACATACCCATCTAGATTACTATTAAGCAGCACTTGGTTAAAACTCTTTTGACAGAGTTTTGCAGACTTCTGCACAAAATGGGCTATCGAACAATTGAAAACGTTATGCCTTTCAACCTTTTAGCCGAACGATTAAGAACACTTAAAATGAACAAAGAATTTACTGCTATGATCCAAAAAACTCCAAAAAAAGATTACGATTAAGAACGAATTTACGTGCAACGTTACCATATCATTTATTATTTTTCATTTAACAAATATTTTTGAAAAAAGTCATATGTAATATAAATATGTTTAAAAAAATATAAAAAATGTGGAATTATAAAAATATGTAATAAATATGTATTAAAATATAATAAATATGGAAAGATAAATAAACTAACTTTAAATTAGTTATAGCGGAATAGCGTAATCCAATATACTCTAAATATTTTAATAAATTCCTAGAATTTTTATTTGCTACATATCGCATATATTTACTATGAATATTAATTAATTTGTCCTTTTCTTTTATTGATATTTCATTTTTGTTTACCCTGTTCAATCGTAGCTATTTTCAATGAAGTTTCTGATTTAGTTTCAATTAATGTTTTAATAACAATACATGTTGCTGGATGAGAACTGTAAAATTGGTTATTAAATGTTCGGTGAAAGCTTTCAGCGGCATTGGTAATCCTAGAAAGTTATTAATTGTAATAATTATTAATTTGCATTTATTAATTTATTTAAAACTTACCTGGAATTTTCCGAAGGTTTCATTGCCAACAATTTCATATTGAACAGACAGCCATGTTTGCAGTACATTTATTATTTGAACACTTCCATTTCATCCTTGTGTCTTTACGTTTCCGAATAAAACGATATTTATTATTATCTAATAGTACTAGATCTTCACCTCGTTCACTTCGTATAATTTGAATTGCATTATTTCCTATTATTTGACGAATAGGAATATTCCACACAATATATTTTATAAACTGACGAATACTTCGTTGACATTTGTGCGATGACTAGGTAAATCTGGTATTTAATTTACTAATAACATCCGGTTAATCCGATAAACATAGTTTATCATTTATACTTATATTATTCATTTAGGTGAAAGATATTCTTATCGTACTCAAATTATTGTTCAATTAAATTTGGCAACGTTGAAAAAAAAAAATATCGAGGGTTCTCAACCGTAACGTTCTCAATCGTATTTTACCAAGAGAAAATGATTCCCTAAATTCGTGGGGGTATTATCGTCCGACATCTACACCACCTTAAAATATTTAACTAACATTTTATTACTACTATACCACAAATCACAATATTAGTAATATTAATGTTTTTATCAAATTAAAATTGTATAATATAGTGTCTAAAAATGACCAATTATAAAATCATCAATCAATAAAATTACATTATCCCACGAAGTTTTATGATAATCATGGAATTGTAAAAATTTACAACAATATAGTGGTGTATACTGAAATTCAACGATGTTTAATCAAATTGAATAAATCAATAATGACATTTATTCCAAAACTTAACGGTTTAATAATACCTATTTTACTGCTGAATTTTATTCAAAAATCAACGTCACCAATTAAATTTCCATCGTTCCAGCGTTACCGATTTATTTGATTGATATTACTTATCAGTTTTTATTTTTCACGATTCAAATTTATAATAGATGTAAAACATAACAAAAACCTTTTTTGTTGCATTTTTGTTTTCACTGGTATTTTAGAAAGGTCATTTTTTGTAGTTCTCATTAAAATTCAAGATAATGAGTAAAATCTGGTTCTTTAGGTTAGAAAATATTAAAAATAAGTTGTCATTGGAACCGTTTTTATTTATTTTTTTTGTTATTACTGTAATTTTTTAATCTTTTTTTAAACAATAGTTGTTGTCGTGAAAATGCAAATTGTTAAAAAAACAATACTATTGACCGAACACCACTCAGAATCGCTTTTCGTCAGTAATAGTAAATCGTTCCATACAAATAAAAATTAAATTCCTCTGTGTATCCTATCTTCTCAACTACAATAGTGACCGCATCAGTCCCCAGTATCAGCTCTATTTTCTATTATTCAGCTACATTATTTTTATGGAAGTCGATCCTTAAAGAAAAAATGTATTCTTAATAGATTTCGAAAAAATTTTGATCACATGAATAATAGTCTATGTATTTTAAAATTGTTGTCTTGTATCTATGATAATGCTATTCCATCAGAAAAATGCTTGTCAATGCAATAGACTGTACCCTCATGCCCTTCTCAAACAAAATCACGCCACTGTTAGATTAGATATAATATTATGATAAAAAAATTAAAACGTACCAACGTTCGGTACCTGATTAAGGAGTTGTGTATAGGCAATTTTAACAATTTTTCGAAACACCAAAATGTATCGAATATATTGTAAATCACTTTTAAATAAATGTTAAAAAAGTTGTTCCGTGTTAAATGGGTATTAAAACAAGTAGGTACCTATTTATTCATGTAATCGTGAAATTAGTTTAAAAACAATGTTCACGCAGAACAAAAAAATGTGCATGGGTTACATGGTTTAGAGCGATTTTTAGACGTGAAACAACCATAACGAAATGTACGGAGGACTAGATTTCCAAGGTTTGGTATTCACCGATAAAATGTTCAGAAAAAATAAAAAATAATATATACTTTTATCCGTTTAATATTGGTAAAAATATTTCCCACCGGCGAGACGTCATTAAAACCTAAATAATATTATTTTAACGTGAAGTCTGCTATCGACACAAAATATTATTGAGAAAATAAATCATTAATTTTCGTCCCGGACGTTGGTGGTTACCTACTTAAATTCTGCAGGGTGTATTGGCAGTACCTACCTACCATAATATACGAACCGCGGCTGCAAAAGACTCCTTACCACCCACCGCCCTAGAAAACCGCCACGCTCCGTTTTACAGAAAGTTTGACGCACCGCCGCGGATACGAAATTACCGTAAAAAACTTTAATATTGTTGTAAATATATTGTGTGTACAGTTGAACTGGTGTTAAAATATCGATGAGTGGGCACTATGTCGTTTGGAATTACTGAACGACGACAACGGTACGAACGTCAAATAGACCGACATGACGATCCGTCCGGATTATGCATCACCCATAATAAACGAGACACGCTCGTGTGCAAAACTAAAAAACAAAACGACAATAATTGTATTAATCATCATGTTAACAATATAAATAAGATTAGAAACCATAGATACGTGCCTATCACGGAATGACAAACCGTTCACCTGAGTACCAGGTGGAGTACTAGTAATATTATCACGTGCGTTATCAGCAAATAATTTACCAAAATGTACTAGTGCGTATCGGATGAAAACAGTCTTTTGAATCTCACGTTAGTACACCATTTCAGCGCGTAAAATATGCAGCGCGTCGAGCGTGGTTGTACAATGATTGATTTTTTCCCATAGCCTTTGGTCCTGGACGGTCTTATACTCTTGTACCAGCATTCAGTACCCGCCGGTACGCTTTGCGATGGTGTCGTTTCCCATATTTGCTCTTGTCTTTACGTGCTCGCGTCATTGTAAAGTCTGAGTTAATTAGTTTTTCTTTCTTCTTTTTTTTTTTTTTTTTTTGTTTTTTTTTTTGTTTTTTGTTTTATCATCGTTGATTAATTTGTTTTTTGTATTTATCATTTTTTCTTCACGGGTCTACTGAATCTATCGAACGTACTTTGCCTAGATTGCGCACTGTCGCACGGCGAGAACTATTCTTCCAGCAACAATGGCAGACCCTAGATATAATGAAAAAAACATACAAAGTGAGTGATTTGAGTTTGACTGTTGTGAAATATAATTGGTTAAACAAATTGTTCTAATTGTTTTATTAAAAAAAAAATTATAACATAGGAGTACCTACTTAATGAATATTGAAATTTTTTGTTAACTGTTTGCTTAAAAAATAATTTATTAATATTTTAATTGTTGATACAATATGTATTTACCTATCTGCGTTCTATTTCAGTTATTTCCAGTCGCTTAATTCAAATGTTGACCGAGGAAAGAGACGAAAAGGTGTTGAGTGCAGTCACGGTGTCTATATTGAATCTGTCCAAAACCCATGCCAATCAGATCGTAAAAAACATGATATCCTACAAACAAAAGAATTCGGTAATTATATTTGTATTTTTATTCATTATTCCGAGAAGATAATGGGCGCCATTAAATATGTTCGTGTGGTAGTCCATGATATCTTATAACTAACATTTACCTACAATATTTGTTTCTAAAACTAAAATAACAATGCAGTTAGTAAGGCTAAATAAATATAAAAAATATTTAATTGATTTCAATGATATTATGTTTATGTAATCTGTAACTTGTTGAAGCAGCCACTTGGCTAAAAATTTTTTAAGCTTCTGAGGTTTAAGAGACGTAATTCTAGGAGGTCTATTGAACACAAAAAGGTCCAACAAAAGAAAGTGAAGATTGGGTGAAAACTTTGCGAGTACTAACACAGGAATAACAATATTATTTAACTAGTATTAAAATTTTGGTTTAATGATTTATTTAGATTATTTTTAATTGTATAAATAACTACATTTTTTTAAAAAAAAAGTTTTTTTATAGTATAAGTTTATATTATAATTGATATTATAGTAGTATCTGTTTTTATAAAGCTAAATATGTTGTTTTGGGTTATTTGAAGTTGCTTAAAGTTATTGCACACACTATTTGCTTTGTAAACCTAGGTATTTGTATTTATTACTATTGTTGCAATCTTTACTAGATTTCCACTATTTTTATTGATTCCTTATGTTCTAAGTGCTATATTTGTATTATGTTGTTAACTAATTTATATATTCCTAAAGTTACCAAAAAAATTTCATACACTAATTACCGATATTAAATTATTAAAAGTATTCTAGTATTAGAAGTAGTAGTTTTCTAGTTTACTAGTAGTGGTCTAAATTCATTGTACCTTTATATTTATAAAGCTGGTATTAATAATGTTGATTAGTTTAATGTTTAGTTAAGTAACTTAAATACAGTGCTTAAATTAGGGCGAGGGATGCAAGGGAACTCTGTAATTTTTCAGAAATTGTAGCGTAACTACTATTTATTTTAAGTGAAACTAATTAGAATATATATTTTTTTTTCAAACTTAAATTTTTGATTATTTTTGTTTGATAAAAATAATTTTAAACACATAAAACAACTATATAATTTCTAATGTAAAATTTCCAGAATGTTTGAAAAATTGTATCATGCCTTGCTAGAGCTATATATAAGTATTCTGTGATATTTCCAGCCTCATATTATTTATCACTAATTACAAATATTTTAATATAAAACAACATTTAATGTAACAGAAACTGTTATTGTGTAAGTATGTTGCAGATTTCTTAAAGTTTTTCTTTGTTTTTATCACTTGAAAACAACATGAAAGTCTAAAAAACTATCTTCTCATTATACTAACTAGAGAATACCTATTTTCTATCAGAAACCATTATAAAAAAACACCTCAGCAGAATCTAAAATTAATGTATATGTAATCAAAAAAGTGGCCTGATTATAAAAGTTTTTTTTCTTGCAAGTTATTTATAATCACCAAATTATGTTTAAAAATTGGTATAAGAGGGTGTGGGAGCAATTCTCCTATGGATTATATTGAATTCAATAATAGCTAAACAAGCTAATTTTTTTTAAGTCTTAGGCCATCCTTCTACTAGGAATTTAGCGTGATTTAAAAAATATTGTTGCCAAGTAATATGTATATGTATTCAATACATACTTCAAATTTTTCACTAATATCACTTACAAATCTATACCATTTACCTTTAACATTTATTTCTTCGGTTTTTTACACCAGATCTTTCTTTCAATTCTATTTCTCCTAAAATCTTAAACTTTAATTCTTGTAATTTTAATGATATTCTTGTTATTTTGTCTTATATATTGGGTAATATATCTACTTTAGATTTAGAAAATGCATGATAGCTATTTTGTCATTTTTTTTACAAGCAACTAAAAGTCACTTTTGTAATTTTGAATTAATTTTTTCCAAGTATTTTTAAATATATTGTTATACAAAAAGTGATATATTTTTTTTTTGCTTAAAGACTGAACTAAATTATATTTTAGTTATCTAAGTAAATAAATACCTTTAATGTTAATTGTAACATTGTTAAAAATGCTGGTTGGTCAACTGAATATAATCTGTATAACCTTTTTAGGTATTTTCATTATTTACATAATAAATAAATTTGTTAACACATTATGTTTTCAAGAATTAATACAAATTTCTATAGAAATTTGTATTTTTTAAATTTTGTCAAGATGAAAAAACATTAATTTAATAATTATAAGTATATATCTATTCTACCTACATTTAAAAATAGATGTTTTCATCTTACTACAATTTTATGGTTATATTAAATACAAATTATACAGTACATATTATGAAACTCGTTTTATTGATTTATTTAAGTCATTTTTTTTATAAATTTCTGTTTTGAAATTCTATGAAATTATTAATTATTCTTTTGATTTATTAGTTCCAAAAATAAGATTAGATAAACTCAGATCATAATTTATCTTGGTCCAATTATAATTTAAGAAAACTAATTAAACTTAAAAAACTGGCACATTAAAAGTATAAAGTTTCTAATTCCTTATCAGATTATTCAATTTTTTCTAATTTATGTAGTGAATGTAAACAATTTCATTTGAAATATGTATTAAAAATTGAAAATAACATTAATATTAATCTTAAATTATTTTGGAAAATCCAATATTCCAATGTAAATGTTTCTGGGTAAGACTTCAGCTCACAATTTAAATGATATTTCAATTATTTGCTAGTCATTTCTTCTTTGTTTATTCTAAAAATAATTTATCTGATGATGTTTTAGAATCTTTCAATGTTAACTTTCATGATTTAAACATTAATGGTATGTTTATCTGAAGATAAAATTTTTGATTATTTTATTTCAATTGAATCATCTACTAGCCCTGATGGTATATCATTGATTAAAAAAAAAAAAATGATTTTTAATGCTTTTTAAGCTTTGCACTACCCAACATTTCCTAAACTCTATTATACCTAAATTATCTGAGGCTATTATTTTAAAAGTAACTATTTAGTTTATTATTGAATTATATTAGTCTCTTTAGACATATTTTTTAAGTGAAACACAAAATTTTTACCAATTTATTAGTTTATCAAAATTATCTCACTAATGCTGTAGACTTTCAAAAGGTTTTTGATAAAGTTGACCATACATTACTATATTGTAAATTAAAATTGTTTAATGTAGATGGATATTTTCTTGAATGGCTATACTTGTACCTCACTAATATAATTCAAGCTGTTAACATCTTATTCCATTCATCTCAACATATTCTGGTCTCTTCTGGTATTCCTTCCATTTAGGTTTTTTACTGTTTCTGTTTTTTATTAATGATCTAACAAGTTTTGTTTTAGAGAGTTCTAGAATTGTACATATTTTATTATTTGCATCATCATGATGCTAAAATGTTCTGCAAGATCAAAACTAAAACTGATCAAACTAATTAACAATTTATGTTAAATAAATTTGTTTTATGGAATGAAAAGAATTGTTTAACACTAAATATTGATAAATGTAAAGTAGTCTCTTTTATCTGTAAAACTGATACTGTTTTAAAACAATATATAATTAATGATTTTTTCTTATCGAGAGTTAATTCAATTAAAGATTTAGGAAAATAATCCTCAATCAATCAAACAAAATGTTAGATTTCATTAACAGAAATATAAAAAAATTTAAAAATCCTCTATACTTAATAAAATGTATACCCGTTAGTTAGTCAAACCTTGAATTTGGTTCAATTGTTTGGTCTCAAAATCTGTCTACTTATTATTCAGAACTCTCTCTCTCTATAGTTTCAATCCGCAGATTGGTTTGCAGCCATCTTTTATTCTTCTCTATTATCCGCTTTCCTTTTCATTTCTACGTATGAGTTGCATCCTTGGTCTTTAATTATTTGTTGAATATACTCTAGTCTTGGTCTTCCCCTATGGTTCTTACCGTCTATGCATCCTTCTATGATCAATTTTAGTAGTCCCTCGTGTCGCATTATATGGCCTATCCATTTGTTTCGTCTTTTAACTATATTTTTCCATATTAATTTTTCTTCTGATATCCTTTCTAGCACTTTTTCATTTGTTACTCTGTCCATCCAGCTTATTTTCAACATTCTTCTGTAGCACCACATTTCAAACGATTCTAGCCTTCTTCGATTTTCCGTTGTTATTGTCCAGGTTTCACACCCATAGAGGGCTATGCTCCATACATATGTCTTCAATAGATTTTTCCTTATTTTTAGGCTAATGTTTCTTGATGCAAGAAGAGTTTTCTTGCTGTTAAATGATATTTTCGCTTGGCATATGCGTTTTATTATTTCGCTATTATTTCTTCCATCATTACTGATGATGCTCCCTAGGTATGCAAATTCATCTACTTGTTTTATTGTCTGGTTTCCTCGTAGCTTTATCTGTATTCTGGTTACATTCTCCCTTCCACAAACGAGTACTTTTGTTTTTTGTACATTTATTTTCATACACAAATCCTTGATGAAAATTTCGTCCATAGTTTTGACTAGTTATTGTAAATCTTCCTCTGTTTCAGCAATTATAGCTATGTTCTCGGCGAAGCGCAGCATACTTATTTTATGACCATTAATTATTATCCCTAGGTTAGTATCCTCTTTTATCTTTTCTATTGCTTCTTGAATATATGCATTAAATATAATTGGTGATAGAGTGCATCCTTTCCTCACTCCTTTATTTATTTTCGCTTCTTCTACGTTATCTTGGATTTTTATAACCGCCAGCTCATCTTTGTATAATTTGTACAGCAGTTTCTTGTCTGCGTGTTTTATCCCCACTCTTATAATCATATTAAATATTAACTTCCGGTTCACATTATCAAATGCTTTTTCGATGTCCACAAAAGCTATAAATGTTTGCTTATTCTTCCTAATACTTTTCTGGATAATTATTCTCAGTGCAATAATTCAGAACTTAGTAATGTTCAAAATAAGTTTTTAAAAAGTTTATCCTATAAATTAAATTTCCCTTTTTCTAGAGACTCGAATAATTTATTACAGGAATCCTTGGCTCTTGTAGTCTATCCATAATATAGAACTTGACAGATAATGTTTATTTTTGATATTATAAATAGTTCTTCATCCTGAATTATTATTATTATTACAATAGGTTTCCGAATTCCTTGACTATATATGCACATTGTAGTTTTATTTGTTATTCCAAATTATAGGACAAATAGTGGAGTATTTTTTTTTCTTCCTAGAGCTCTTGGTTTAGCCAATACAATCTCCTACTCATTTGATTTTTTTAATTCTACACGAAATAATTTCAAATTTAATACATTATTCTTTCTGAAAATGTTCTATTAGTTTAGTTGTCTATATTTTTTTTTCTTATACATCAAATTGTTAAAACATTATTTAAGTTTTGTATTATTGTTATTATTTTAGATTCTGAATGGAGCAAAGAAGCTTATGATTTTACAAAAATGTTTATTTAATTTTTTTTTATCTATTAACAACTTTTCTTCTAGAAGACTTTGTCAGATTTCTAAGTGTAGCAACTTTTCTGAAAGGAAATCGGTGTAAGGAGGTACTCTAGGGAAGTCTTTTTTTAATTTTCTCAGTTTTCTCTGTAAATGTGAAAAACCACTTTAAAACATGAGAAAACCTTAGGAAAACTGGGAAAATCGGTACAACATTAAATAAATATTATTAAAGAAAATATATAAAGTCTATTTAATTATTTTACTATTATATGGCATATGTATTGTTGACTAAACATCACTAATCATAATCGTTTTTTATAAGTAATGGTTTATCATTGCTTACAGATATACTTTAAATTATTTGTACAGTTGCTTGCATCCGTCCCCATTATCCTAGGACATCTATTTTAATTGTAAAATATTATTGAAATGTTGTATAATTATTATTTATATATGTAGCTTGGCTCTTCTCTTATTTTTTTTATTATATTCTTAAAGAGTAAAGAGTGATTGTTAGTTGATCATACAATAAATAAATAAATAAAATGTTGTACTACTTCACTTCATGAGTTCTACACACTATAGCCTATGTTTCAGTAATAAGAGTAGTTCAGTAGACAGTTGCAAATATGTTATCTTCTGAAGATGACAATTGTTTTTTTAGAATATTGGTATTTACATATTAAAATTAAGAATAAGATATTGGATACATCAATACATATAGAACAATGTTAATTGTTGATATTTCTCAACAACTTTAACTAGTTTTTTTCCTTTTTTCCGGGAACAACTTTGCTACCAGCAATTTCGCCCCAATTTACAATGATAGCACATTTTCTGAAAGGAAATTTGACTGGGGAGGTACTTAAGAGAAGTATTTTTTTATTTTCCCAGGGGTTTTCTCAATAAATGGAAATAATGGGAAGAACAAATTGTATGTATTAGTTAAAAAATATTACTGTCTTTTTTTCTGTGGACAGCTTTTCTACCACTAATTTTGCTCTTGTGATTTTTCAATTGTACTTTAAAGAGGTTATTTTTTGATTTTCCCAAGAGTTGTTCCAATAAATGGGAAACTGTTTATTTTATTTAAATTTTTAATGCATATGTAATTATTTTTCCATAATATGGTATATATATTGTTGACAAAGAAACACTATCAACTGAACTCCACTTAGAATCGTTTTTTATTAGCAATGGTTAATCATGCTTACAGATATACATTAAATTCTGTACCCACATACAAAGTATGTTCGTCCTTTTTTTTTATAGCAAGTCAAAATTTGAGTTTATGCATAATTTGTTTTTAACAAAATTTTAACTTATAATCACTAAAATAATAAAATAAGTGTCAAATATGTGCTTAACCCATTTTAGCCTTATGGCAACATAGACCTATTTTTAGAAGCTCATATTGCATTAGGACTTAACTGATTGTGATGGAATTAATGTTAGCCCACTAACATAAGTTAAAATTTTGTTAAAAACAAATTAAGCATAAACTCAAATTTTGAATTACTCCACCTTGGTGTAAATCTTAGAAAAAAAAAAAATGGTTTTGCTATTTAAAAATAGGAAATTATACTGTACATGCGCAAACCGAAAAGGTTAAAATTTATAAATTTATTTAAAGATATGTATTTCAGTAATTCTATTCATTTCCTGAAAACTCCATTTCAATACAAGACCATCCAAGTGAGATATTTAGTGGTATCTGAAATCATGATCACACTGTATAGACAAGGAGTCCTACAAAGATATACTCATTGAATTATCTCTGTGGGTAATAAAGATAGTCAATTTTTTTCACTACCTACAGGAATAAAGATTAAAATATTTATATTGCAATTGATTTTTTATACTTTGATAAAAAATTTAAACAAATAACTTTTTATTTTATTATTTTTAAAAAATTTGAAGATAGGCATTTTATAGAATTTATTTTTTTAAAAATTTTGATGTATCAACTTTTAATTTTAATTGAATTCATGATTTTTAAAAAAATTTAAAATTCAGAGAAAAGAAGTGTACAGTCAATTAATTGTAATAATAATGACCAATTTGAGTATACAATTACAGCCTATTACCAGTGGCGTATACATAACTATTTTATGGGGGGGGTCAGTTTCAAACAAATTATTATGTAAGGAAAATGTATAAACTAGATATCTGCACATTAAAATAATAAATAATAAAACATTTATTTAATTCATTTTATTTCAACATTTTACAAATAATATAATACAAAATTATTTAATTTTTTTTTTTTTTTTTAATCAATTTATAAATTATTTCTTTAGCAGTGATAGAAATGGTCCATGAACTGCCATTAAAGCTAGGCCATTTAGTTGCTCCTCTAACAAACAAATTAAATAGTTCTTACAAAATAAGTAACTAATAACAATAAAGTAAATTTATTTATTGTTTACAATAGAATATTTCTCTTTTATAGTGTTTCTTAATTAAGTCTTTAATCTTTTTAAACATGAAAACATTCCCTTGGGTGTAACAGTAGATACTGATAATGTACAAAATATTCTAAATAATTTTGATAAATTAGGATAAGTTCACTACAAAATTTAAATACATCCAATCCAGTCTTTGTTTGTAAATTAAATTTTTTAAGTTTAACATTCCACATTTGTTACCCAGCTTTGATAGTATCAATATCACTATCAAGGAAATAACATTTTACGAGCTCATCAAATTCACTGAAAAGCTTAAACATAAAATAGCCAATTTATTTAGTATAGTAATAAGTAAACAATGATTAAAATGTATAAATATGAATAAATATTCATTATGTTCTAACCATTAAAAACATGTTCTATGTTCTAAAAATCTGTCTTGCAATTGCTTTATGAAAATATCAATGAATGGAATAGAACGGAGTTCTTCAAAAATAGGCTTCTGGTTAAGTTTATTTTTATCATTTAATTGATTAGTTCGATTTTGTTGTCTCTTATTTATACATCATTAGTGAATTAATTTTAATCCTTGTCATTTTTTTTTCACATTTCCATGTACTCCCCTTACAAAGAACACTATTTTATAAAATTTATAAAAACTCCTAGGAGGGGAACTGACCTCCCAAATTATCCCCCCTTTTTTAACTGCCTTGAATGTTACATAATACGAATATAATGAAAATAAAAAGTTGAAACATAAAAATTTTAAAAAAAATAACTATAAAGTGGCTATCTTCAAATTTTTCAAAAATAATACAATAAAGTAATTTTTTTAATTTTTATCAAAACATAAAAAATTAATTGCTATATATATGTGTTTTTGTACATTTGTAGGTATTTTTGTTGTTACTATTGTTAAATTAGTACTGTTGTATTTTAAATAATTATTTTAAACATTCTTATTATTTAAGTAAACTCAAAATCATCATCAATGCTGAAAGTTATGAAATGTTTCACATACCTAAAAGCTAAAAGAAATCAGTATGTTTTTGTTTAAAATATAATATATTAACTGTGATGTTGAATGATAAGATCTACCAACATGTATTTCTGAAATTGATTAATGTGTAAACAAGGGGTAAAATAAAGTGATTGAAACTGTATTTAGTTCCTTACTATTTTGATCATCTACATATTTTCGCTCTACCATTTTTTCATATCTTGTATAATTTGATGCTTGCATTTTCATTGTATACATTATCATATGCATACTACAAATACCTAGTAAATAATAAATATATTTTTGTTATTTATTACCTATTTATTTTAAATACTTTGGTAAATTCAATATAATTTTAGAGTAGATTACTTAATGCTTAAAATTTTTAAATTTCTGTAAAGGGAAACCTTTGGTATTTTCTTTAGCTGGCCAGTTTTCAATGACAAACTTTTTAAAATTTTTTCTCTTTAGGTATCTGTATTCTGTTAAAAACTAAAATTTAAACTACATTAAAATTTATATAATAATAATGTTTATTTTAACTTTTAATTATCAGCATTTACGACTTCAAATACATCAAACCATAGAAAACATTGCAAGTTTGGTGGGTTTTGCTTACTAGGCAGTGGTTGTACCACAATAATCGCCAAGGACTTAGCCAGCGCCACCACTCTTTTTGAACATAGCTAAAGACCTATTGTCTATCATCTGAATACAAATAAACCCAACCAAATCTACGATCATTAATGTAGAAAACGGCGAGCTAATGCCAAAAAATTTAACACTCTTAGACAATTCAGTAATTCCTCCAGTGGAAGACAACACCTGCATAAAGTACCTAGGGGTTAATTTCAATGACAAAATAGTTTTCGACGGCAAGAGTTAACTTTCTCAACTAAAAAAGGATTTTAGAAATTTAGAAACTTCTCCACTATTGCGCAGAGACCAAAAACTTCACATACTGGACCGATTTGTTTACTCAAAGTTGATATATCCTATGCAAACCACCCCCTTCTTGATAAGAATTTCTTCAAATGTGTGGATATACTGGTAAGACAAGGAGTTAGAGAGATATGTGGCCTTTCCGCCAACACTCCAATTCCGGTTTACTACATGGGTAAAAAATATTGGGACCTCGGTATGCTAAGAGTGACATGGAATTCTATACAGCACATCGCCATTGCCCAAAAGCTAGCAAGCGTCCATGACCCACACTTGCCAGCAGTTCGCGATTTACGCCAGGAAGAAGCAGTCTTGTGCTAGTTTAGGCCCCGTAACAAGCCCTAATCTACGCGCGATTCACACTGAGTTAAAGTGCAACAAATTCAATAAATGGGAAGAGTTGAGACAGAGAGGAATATGCATACTATGGTACGGCAGTTGTATCGCGACTAATGCTTGATATCAAACAAATGCTGGCTCTCAAGTAGTGAGTGGATGATATTAAAGCATCATTGAACACTATGTCTAACTTTATGTCAAGAACCTGCCCCAAGACTGTACTTCTTCGTAACAACGCCCATCACAAAGTTCCTACCACCCTAGCTTATCTATTTAGAGCAAAAAACGTTGAGATACATGAAGAAGTGCATTGTGTAGCACTCAGAGAAGCAACTCAAAACAGAAGGACACATATCATAGTGGTTGATCACAAGGCCTCATCTTAAACTTCACCATTCTGTGGGAGACCAATGATGAACAGCAAGACATCAATGTGCATGAAGAGAAAATAGATATATACCTGCCACACACACCCAGTCTGAGCTGCCTTTACAGAGTAGGAGAGTGGAAGTATTTGGGCTATGGTTCGACATTGAAACTCTTGCTGGACTTGTTTTAAAAACCATGGTCTGCAGCGAATCAATCTCACAAAAATATGTTTGTATGTGTTGCAAAACACATTAAATATAATTAACTATCATTTATACTCCTAATTAACAATCATTAATATTGCAATAATGTAATTCTATTTCGCTATCTATATATTTATTTAATTATTGTCTTTATTTTATTTTATTTATATTCATCTATATTATATTATATTTTATAAGCTATGTACAAATGTATTGAATGGTAAACTGTGTTATAAGGCAACTCACTAAATGAGCAGTCTGTTATATTTATACTAATAAAGTTGTTTATACATATTAACATCAATTTAAAAATTAATCTAATTATAATATGACCATATATATTATAATTTAAAAGTATATTACATTACTCAAGGGAGTTAGCTGACACACAGTTTTTCTGAATATTATTTGGCCCTTATTTTGATAATACAATTTTACAATAAAAATAAAATTTTATTTTAACAAATATATATAATAATAATAATTTTAAACTATACATATGCTTCCTTAAATCTTTATATTACCTAAGTGGCATATATATGTTTCTTTTATGAAGGATATAATTATAAATATTAAAATATATTAATACACTAATACACAATGTTTTACTTTGTAACCATTTTAGAAAAAAAATTACCCATAGCTTACCCAAAAGTTATTTATGAATAATAATTTGTATGCTTCAAATAATTTTTCACATAAGGTTATACCAGAAACCGGATTTATATGTACTTAAAAAATATTTTAAAGAGCAAAAATAATAGAAGGGTATAAAAGTCCCCTTTTAACAGATTTAACTTATAAATGTAATGATCTAACACTGTAAAAATGATTGATTAAAAGTAATTATTTTTTTTTATATAATATATACAATTTTATTTAAAAACAGTTATTTTATGTTAACCTTTTTTGTAGTGTTAGGAAATTTATTTTTATAAATTAGAGCCATTAGAAGAAGGGACTTATAATCTCTTCTATTCATTTTTTTGCTTAATCTATGTTTTAACAATAAATTACATTTATAAGTTGTTTATTTTTTACAGTTAAGTGTTGTTGAAAATAAAAATTTTCTATCTGCGATGAAAGATATTTGTACACAGCATTATAAAGATTTTGACACAGAACTTGTAAACAATTTAATTCAATTTACTAAAAATGAAATGGTTAAATCTTCGGACTCTCAATTTCCAGCATCAGATATTTTAATAACTTTGGGTCATCGAGATAATTCTAAGACGGTAAAACATTTGTCATATCATCAATAAGGCATAACTTATGGATTCTGTTTACAATTTATAACTATTTACTATTGTTGAAAAATTATTATTTTTTGTTCAATTGTTAAGTTACTGTGTACTGTTTTACTGGTTAAATGTATTATAATACAACATTTAATACACTAAAAAAGTTGAATAATATAATATGAGTATTACTGACACTAAGCTGAGTATAATTTACTAATTTTATTGAATGTTTTGTCTTTAGATTATCTGCAGTCTTGTTACTGATTTGGAAGAGGGAACCCCTCCACATAGTTCTCTTATATACTCACTGGGACATCTCGCTTCAAAACATCCACTTGAATTTATTGACTATGTTGAATTATTTCTATCAGTTGTTCATTCAACTTTGACTTTTACTAAGTCAGATGCCTTGCGTAAAATTTATGCTACAGGTTTGTAATTTATTTATATTAATTTTATATTTTAACAGTTGTAATAGAAAATTATTTACTGCACTATTAATTGTATGATACTTAAATAGACTTATACAGTAGGTAGATAGAAAAATAATTTTGATTCTTAATATAATATATAAAAACAGATAAAAATATATCTATGTATAATTATAATTTATATTATATTTTGATAGTTTGACATTTTTGTACTATGGTTATAAAGGACAATTTAATATATTTATTATTATAAATGTTAAATAAAACAATTATAAACATGATTTAGTACAAAAATGTTTGTAATATAATAATATTTATTTTATTTTAGCAATTGGACAGGTATGTGCATCTGTAAATGAGTGTAATACAAAAGAATCCCGTAAAATAAAAAAAGAATTGTCACCTAAAGTAGAAGAAATATTCAAAATTATAATTGAATCCTGGCTAATTTCTAAGGATGTTAAGGCCAGTATTTATACCTGTTTGATATTACCTATATTTTATTATAAATGATTTTACACAGAGCGTAATACAAGTATGCTCAACATTTTATAAAGATTAGACTGCATTTATAATTTATAATTTCACTAGTAAGTGTTTAAGTACAGTTATGGTACTTATTTAAAACTTCCATCTTGATTTAATTACAGAAGAAAAATAATTAATTCTTAATCCTTTGATTTTATTTTTGTTTTGATATTGTATTTGGAATTTAAATATAAATGACACAAATATAATATATATATATAATTGCTGTTTTATACAAAATGTGCTTCATTAAATAAATAAACATTGAATAAATTATTAATATTTTATGCAATGTTGCTGTATGTCAGATTTATGTTATTTTGCACCATAGGTTGAGCATGCTTGATATATCAAACAACTTATATGGAAAAGCAATATTATTTACACTACGCAGAAAACATAATTTTTTAGATATATTTTTGGGTTATAGTTTTTATATTTAAAGTAATATTATTGTTCAATTTTGTAGTTTTAAACAATTTTATATTATTTAGTCATTTACATTTTTAAATTTTAAATTATTATTATTATTATTCTATTTAGCCTGATTTCCCACATCACTTTCACATATTTCATTTATCCTCATATCATTCATACATTCTCAATCACAACCAACTACCTCATTCTTCCTTTTTCTCCCTTTCCTACTATTTACATTATTTACTACCTGTACTACTTCAGATTTATCTTTATGACAAGTTTCAACCTTTTCAGTATATTTTCTCTCATTTTTTTTACTATCAAAGCCACACCCAAACTGGGAATCTTTTATGTATTCATCCTTACCTAATCTTCTCTTGTCAATCCACTCATCCACCTAACCATTTTCATTTCTGCTACACTCATTCTTTGTTCTATGTTTCTGTCTACCACACAACACTTTGAACCATAGAACATGTTCAATTTCACCACACTTGTAGAAATTCTTTTTTCAATTGATGCTTCCCTCTACTTAATCCTATGTTTCACATCTTTTTAAAAGTCATCGTTCTTTTGTACAAAAGATCCTAGGTACTTAAAACTCTTAATCTGTCTTAATAAATCACTGCTTATTTCCATTACTTGCCTTATTCCTTCAACCTCTTCTACCTCGATAATCATACCCTATATACTTTGTTTTACTTCTACTTATCCTTAGTCCTTTTTTTTCTTCAAGTGCTACTCTCCATTCCTCAAGCTTTGTTAACTTTCACATTTCTTCCTATAAAACTTATATAATCTACAATAATGTAGTATGGTACCTTTCTCTATATTTCCTTTGTAGCTTTATTCATTGCATTAGAAAACAAATTACAATTCATACCTAATAAAACCTCAAAATCTTCTATTATTTCATACACACACTCTTATTATTGATATTATATTATTGGAATAACTAAGGTTATACTAATAAAATTTGTTATTGAAAAATCTCAAAAATATTTTTGTAACCAGCCCAAAACCATATCTATTTCAATAAAATTGTGTAGACCTTATTTTGTATTTAGTCTCAGTTGAATTATGTAAATAATAATTTTCTTTATTTTTTTTATAGGTGTTGGAATGTGTTCTTGAAGCTTCAAGTTCTATGATGATGCTAATGACAGTTGAATCTATTAGTAGAGACAGATTATCTATTTTAACAAACATATTGAGTTTGTTTAAAAGATGCACAGCTCTTTGTTTGTCTAGATATTGGGTTACACAATATTTAGCTAGTTTTTTATCAGTTGTGCCACACGCATTGCTAGAACCAGTAATAGATAACCTTCTTTTAATATTACATGATATGGTATACATATTATATATTTACTAAGTAAAAATTATTAAAATTTTTTTAACATAATAATTTTGTTTTAGGTTGTGGCTATGCCAGATTACGATTTTCCAATGTCTGTTAAAAATCATTCAGAGGTTTTAAGATGTTACACTTATTTGGGTATTTTATTCAAAATAATTTATTGTATATTTATGTTATGATAAATGTATCAATACTGGTGAAAACTAGAATTTACCAGTAAAACCTAGGATAATTTTATACCAATTGATTTAAATAAAATCTAGAATAATATACAAAATAGTTTGGTCCCAAATATTATTTTTTGTTGTTCAAACTTTTACAAAAAATAATTTATAAATCTTAGGATAAAACCATTGATATTGATTAGTTGAATTTTATTTTTTTTCTACTTATGTGGTTTTTACCACTATTCCTTTATTTGTATATTGCACAATATTATAAGTTTATATTATTATTAAATATTACTACACAAATTATAGTATATTTGTGCAGAATTGCATAGTAAATTTGTTGATAGATATTTACAGCCAATTATTATGATTTTTTCATAGTTGCACCTTATTACTCTTGCTCTATCAATTAAAAAAAGTTGAGGTGCCTAGAACACAAGTGGTATAAGAACACAAGTGACATTTTATTGATTTCAAGATGATCAACTTCAAAGTTATTTGTATTTAATATAATTATTATAGTTTTTTATCAAATAATCACTGTTTTTGTATTTGAATGATAAGAAAGTTTTAGACACTTGGCAGTAAAGAGACATAAATCTATTAACAGCTGGGGACGTTTGTACCTACCTATTTATTTCTAATCGTTTATGGTATTATCATTTGAAGACTATTTCAGTGTGATTTAGTATCAAATACTAGATTTGCAGCACATGACAAACAATTCATTTATATTTTTTTACCACAAAATAAAATAGTTCTAAAAATTCTCTCTATGAGTGAATTGATTATACGTGAAATGTTGTGAAGGTGATCTCTAGCAATACAAATGTCCATCCATAAACTATAACACCACTGCCATAATGTGGGGTATCAACTTCTATCAACTTTAAACATTTTAATTTTGACTGTTTGTCTAGTTAATACACTTGGCAATTGTTTATTAGATATTGTTTTCATTTTTCTGGTTTGATTTTATGTATCCAATGGCTAATATAACAATTATTTCAATTTTTGTAGTAATATTTAATAGAAATACAGGGTGTCCAACAAAAAAATACCCATTGTAATCTTAGATCATATACAATGGATGGAGCCACAGCTGAATATTTTGATGTATATATAGCAACAAGTCACCAAATGAGTAGCCTTTAGTGCACATGGGTGCCAGGGACTAGTCACATATTTATCCAAATGCCTTAATATGATGTGATAAATATTAAATAACTGATAAGATAAGTGATAATAATAATATACATTTTAATAAATTAAAACATGAATTTATTAAATTGTTAATAAACTGAAATCTGTATAAAGTACCTAGAATACATTATAGATGATATATATATGCCAATAATTTGAGATAAATATGGGACTAAAGGCTACTCACCTGGCGACTCATCACTAACATGTACATCATTGATATTATTTTTAATCTAAAGACTGTGGCTCTATCCATTATATTTATGATTATGATTATGTATATGATTTAAGATGATAATATCCTTGAAGATAATAAAGATAGTAAAATATTTTTTTTTTACATACTGGAAGGAGAAAGAACTACAAATATTTGTATATCAATTTACTTATTAATATAAATTAATAAATTGTAATTTATAAAATAAACATCTTTGTAAAACCATAAGCTTCTTTGTTCCACTCAAAATCTAAAGTTATACAATAATTTAGGACCAAATATTAAATTTTTTTTTTTTTTAAATTTGTGATTTGTTTTGTATATCAGTAATTTAATTATTCTAATAAATTGATGATGTACAAATCACAATAAACTTTTTCAAAGTGAATATTTATATTTTTTATATGGATGTAATAAAAATTTTGCATACATTAACTAAATAATTGTTGATAATTTATAAAGTATGTAGAATAACTAATAAGTTAAGTATTTATTTTTGTATTCATTCAATACATTAACTAAATGTGCCTGTAATTCTATAAAACAGCTAGTTGTTTTATAGGATTATAGAATTTTATACATTATGCTAACATAAGTATACACCAGTTAATTCTTTTATTATTAAACACTAATTATTTCAATAATTATTGATTATTTTTCAAATTTGTTTATTTTGAAAATTTAAGAAACAAGATTAGTCATGCATTATTAAAACGCAATTGATGCTCCACTACCCTCCTCTTACTCAAAATTAAAAGTGGAATATATCATCAATGGATTGACAGAAATTAAACATTTTAACAACAATATTTATTTTAACTGATACTCCATTTATTTATGGGACTTTCAATATAAGTTGTCTTTTGAAAATCAAAAGTAGGTAGTTGTTTGCCCCCCCACCAAAAAAAAAAAAATTAGGCTGATAAAAAAATAATTTAAATGTAAATTGTACAGCTGCTTGTTTCTTAAATTTTCTGCAAAACAAATTGCGAAAAAAGGTAATACTTGCCAACAATAAGTATTTAACAATAAAATAACCATCTAGTATATATTTCTGAATAATGAATTTACTTGTGTATTTAATTATTTTATTGTTTATACCAGGTGACCACTATGGAGATAAAATCTGTGAACTAATATTGCGGGATTTAAAATCTCATTCAGAACAAGGGAAAATGGCTGCATTATTAATTTCATCTCATTTATTAAATGCTTCCAATCAGAGTATTATACACAAATCAGCAGAAATAATTCCAATTTTGTATGATCTTTTAAAGAACCATTGCACATTTCAGGTACCTATTATAAAGTAGTTATTTACTATATTATTAATAATTTGTATATTATATATTTATATCTCATTTGTAGATCAAACATTTATTGGTGAAAATTTTCATATGCTTTGCAAATCAAGGCCATTTGATAGAAAAGGAAGATTATTTTTTTGAGTTTTTAGTTAGACACATTTGCTTTTACAGTAATGTAAGTAAAACTTTTTTTTTTTACCCTGTATAGAATTGTATTTATTTATTTAACAAAAAAAAAAAAACCCAATAAAATATGAAAATGTATTTAAATAAATAATTATGAAATAATTTTTGTTTAAACTATAATCTTAAAGAAAATGTTTGTGTTATTTCTATTTTATTGTTAGTATTATATAAAAAAATAATAATTAAATTAATAACACAGTAATGATTAATAATTATTATTGAATAACTTTTAACAAAAGTATGTTGTTAGAAAACATTCTGATCTGATTGTTCATCTAATTAATAAATAAATAAACATGTCTATTATGTGTATTTATGAATAAATACATATATGTTTTAGAATAAATATTCTAATGACATTGAGGGGCAATCATTAAAACGAACTTGTGAAGATGCTATGTACATACTTTGTACATCTATTGAACCAGTTCAGGTATTTTGCTGGAACAAAATATTAAATTTTTTCTTTAGTAATGAATATGAAAGCGCAATACCTGCAATAACTCGGTGTCTTGCATACATGGCTAATAAACCAGATTTAAGTAAGATACAATTCATTTAATATGCTAGTGTAATTGGTTTTATGATCCAAATTAAACTTAAAATATTTATTATATGTGTACACCTATGCATAATGATAATAGTAATATAAATAAAATGTGATGTTGAATAAAATAATGAATTTAATTTTCTTCTAAATATTATAAATATTTGAATAACCAAATGTATATAAAAGTACTTCTTAATAGTATTAGTTGTACCAATAGTTGTTCTGATTGGGTCAAGTACTTTTTTATGACATTGATAAATTATAAGTTTAATTGGTTTAATGTAATTAAAAAGCAATTTTAATTTTTTTTTTTATTTAACTTTTTACATCATTGTATTATTATATATCTTTAATTTCTTTAGTAAAATAATAATTGTATAAATAGAGTATTTACCACCAAACTTTGTATACAAAATTAAATATATTTTTTCATTTTTAAACATTGTTTTCTTATAGGATCTATACGATTTGATGAAAGAGATTATATAATTGGAAGGTGTATTAACTTCTTATGTCAGCCATTCAAAGATAACAGAGGAAGTTCTGTTATAAACTTTTTATTAAATTATAGTTCTCATGAATTGTCAGGTGTGCATGAGAAAGAGTTTTGGGCAAGGCATGCTGATACATTGATCAAGTTTTTAAATTGTATATATTAAATAATATAAATTAGTTATAAAGTAATCAATTTATAAATATTTATAATGTATTTTGTTTTAAATTTAGTTTCAACTAATAAAACTGAAACCGAATGGGAAATATTGCTTTTGGATACTGTAAATACAATATTAAAAGAATATTCAATGAACAAAAAATGGTGCTTAGCATTGGCTGAAAATTTGTTTGAGGATTTACTAATATCCTCTGAACACATAAAATTCACTCAAGATATGTTTTTACTCCTTAACCTAGTAGCTTATGTTGCTGCTTATTATGAAATTGATAATTTATACCTCACCAAAAGATTATTAGGCTTCATTTTCCATTCTCTTCTAAAAATGTCATTTGAAAATACACAAGTAAGTTTTTTTAGTCTAATATAATGAATATTTTTTCAAGTGAACATTGTAATTTTATATGTTGTTAACTTAGTTCAAATTTCAAATTATTGATTTGTTTTGTATTACATTAATATATTTTAACAAAATTTATTTATTACTCAATTATAAAAATTTGGGGTTTTTTTTAGATTCTGAGCATAACAAGAGAGCCATTGATTTTACAATGCTGTTTATTTCTTTTTTTTTTTCTTTGTTCATTGTTCTAGTCTGTGGAAACATTTTTTCCTAATAAACTTGTCCCGATTTTTACATATAGCAACTTTTCAGAAGCTCAGGTTGTCTAGATGGTACTTTTAACAGATCTTATTTTCGATGCCATTTTTTAAATAAAAGCACTTAAGTGAGAATTTACAATTACATATAATTTCATGATTTCATTAGTTTATAAAAATACAGACTACGTTTTCTACCAGAATAAACGATTTAATCGAAAAATTACAAAATACCTTTTTTGTTACCTTTTTGATTTGCTCTCTTATAGTATCATTATCAAAACTTTTAATTCACTTTTAAGCTTTTAAGGAATTTTAATTTTTGGTAGTTTGTTTGTGTAATTCGGTTATAAATATACGTATACTTGAAACTTAGTAATAATAATTATATTGGACTTATCTAGATGTGTTAAAATTTCCAAAACCGTCTGACAATTTTTTTTTAATAAGCGTTTTGAAATCAAATATAAACAAAAATCTCAAAAATTATGTATAACTGAACAGCGCAGAATCATCTTTCGTCAAGCAATGTTTTATCATTTATGGTTTATTGCTTACAAATATAAATTAACTAACTTATTGTATCCTACCTTCCCAACTTCTCAACTATAACAGTGGCTCCCATTGCCAGTATCAGCTCGTTTTTAACATATTAAAACTAAATTTGATGTTTCATAAATTTTCACTTAAAGTGTATATATTTATCTTTTTTAATTTGGGGATTATATTAAAAATATTAACATATTGTACATTTTTATTAGGAATTTAATAAAACCATTACTATTTTGAGTGAAATGCATACTGGATTGGTATTGAATAAATTATTAGAATTTATTAACATTGAATTAACTAAACAACCAAACAAATTTTTACTTCTTATAAGAGACAAAAGTAATGAAATAGCTAGAGATAGACTTCGAGCATCAATTTCCATCATTATTCCAAGCATCATGAGGAATGGAATACTTCGAAATGTTATGGACAGTCTGTATGATATTGTAATGTTAATTACTCAACAAATAAATTTAACAAAGGTAAATTGACAATCAATAAAACTGTAGTGTTTGCATATTAACCAAATACAAATGTATTAAATCATTATATTTTTATTTTATAGAGTTTGGATAATAAAAAATCATTAGTCTTGTGTCTAGAAGTTATAGCAGAAGTGCTCAGTAAAGTTGAAAACAGTGATTCAATTCCAAATATATCAATTATTCGTGAACATGTCATTAAGAGCCTAGTTAATCAAATTGTAAACTCAAGCATGCTAACAGATTTTATGTATTATAGAGTTTTAGCGTGTTATATGTAAGTCATATTTTATACATGATTTAAAAAAAAATTATTAAAACTATTATTTATTATTAGAAATTTTACAAACCCTGATTTTTAAGATCGAACTGAACTGAACTTTTAAAATATTTTATTTAACTCAAACTCGAACATAAAAAAACTAAAAAAGTTAGATTAGGCTCCTCTACAAGACTCACTAATGCAAAATTAAATTTTTTCTTTTCTGTAACAAGGCTGCAATGCCCCACCAAAGAACATTATATTGAATGATTTTCGACCAAACTATTGAGTATATTATTTGCAATTCATCACATCTCTATTTATTATATTATAACATCTTAGATTATTTAATAATATTCCATATTATCATTTTATGAAATTTGTAAGGTTCTTTCAATTTTCATGAATACTACTTCATTTTTCAATAGCCATTGCATCCTATGGGCATATTGTTGTACAATCAATATTGAAACTATTTGTTACTTAAGATTCAAAATTAAATTTCATTTTAATTTTGAAAATTTTTTATATATTTATTAAGAACTCATTCTTGAAAAATATCCCTAAACAAAAAATTTATTGACCTATGCATAATTGTGCATTAAATTTTTTAATAGTAAACCAGTGGAAGACATTGAATCTATTGATATAAGTACAAGATCGTTCATTATAGCAAATTGTATTGATAAATTATTCCAACTCTCATTGACAGAATTTATGGATTGTGATGAAGCATCTGTAATGGTAACATTGAATAATCTTTGTAAGTGATAATTAATTATTAAATTATTTTGTTGTTATTTTATAATAATTGTAAAACACCAAATGAAATTAATTTTCAGGCAATGTTCTGGATAAATTAATTTTAGACAAAACTGGATCTTTTAAAATTATTGATGAGATTGTGATATTATTAAATCCATACATAATTTCTTCAAAAAATTATCAGCGATTTATGGCTATTCATATATTGCATAATGTTTTGAACTGCTATTATGGCTATAGTGATTTTCAGATAAAAAAAGTTAGTGTTGGATAGTTTTTTTTTTTAATGGGTTCTAATTTAATATCTTATAACATATTATGTTCTGTTTTAGTTACCAATCTGTTTAAATTCTTCTGCACCATTATTTGCACAAATGTGTGTCCGGATTGCAGAACCTGATAAGAAAACAAGAATAAATGTTCTAAAATGTCTTGATATTTTATTGAAAATAACTGCTGTTTACAAAGGCTCTTTAAGTAAAAATAGTTACATAAGTAAATCTGAATTTGTTGATAAAATGATGACGGACAATAGTCCTGAATCATGCCAGAAACTATTGGAGGTAATTATACAAATGCTTAATGATAAATTTGTTTTACAATTAAGAATATTTTTAGGCCATGCAACAAATTTTATCACCAGCAGATTTACCAATTTTCTGTAAATGTTTAATTGATGGTTTAAGTGATTATGAAGAAGCATGCAAATTAAAAACTAGTGAACTTCTAAATATTTTCTTTCCAATTATTGCCAAACAACTTCATCCAAAGGCCTATAATGACATTTTAAGTATGATATAATATGCAATATATATTATCTAGCATTTATTTTTTGAGTTTTATAAATTACTTTTTATATTTTATTACATATATATATATATATTATATTTTTATTTTTTTTTAAATATTATCATCTTTTGTTAAAACTCATATTTTGTACAGTAATGCATATACAAATATATTTATAATGAATATAATAATAATATAATGAATAATTATTTGTTTATAGATTACCTTTTTAAGGAACTTGAAAATACTAACGAAGTGGTGAAAACAAATAATATAAAAGCATTGATCACATTTGGAAAGTATAATAACTCTGATTTTATTGACTTACTTATTAATCAAACCCTTCCATACAGTGTGTAAGTTTTATATTATTTAATGTAATTTAATTTTGTTGTAAGTTTATTTACTGTAAACTTGAATGTAGTCAATAATATGTCATATATTGTTACAACATTTCAAATTTAAAAATATATAAATGTATATACAAAGCAAACCTTTAAAGTAATATTCTAATTTCACTCCTATAATTTATAGTAAGTATTTTTATAATATGTAAATTTGAATAAAATAAAAAAAAAAGTATATATATATATATACAATTTATGTGATAGTTTTATCTTCATTAACTATAAAACATTTAATAAATTAATTTTGTTATAAGTCTTTAAATTAATAACTTAGTACCCATTAAAAGGTAATTTAATTTGATTTTAGTATATTTTCAGTTTAACAGTTAATTTAATTATCTTGGGGAAAACTATGAATTTTATTTTGGAGCTAAAATTAATTGTGTATAATAAAGTAAATTTTTTCTTCATTAAGTATCTTTATAAATTATTTAAATAATGTAATTACCTACAACTAAGAATATCTTATTATACCATAAATAAACAATTAATTATTATGTGAAACTGGTTTATAAAATAAATTTAATCGGTTAATAAAATTGTTAAATTATAATGTAACAAATAATTGTGAATATAATATGGAAACAAATACATCTAAATTATCTTTACAAAAATAATAAATTTATAAAATCTAAAATATTATCTAATATTTTGAATTAAGTTAATGGTTTGATTTAATCAATAATACAATTTTAAATTCTTTTGGTGACAAATTTGGTTGAATGATGTAATGGTAAGATGCATAAACTATCAATGGTATTATTTTTCAAATATCTCTTGTAATATTATTGAGTTCAATTTAATCTATATTTATAATTTAATAATACAAAATCACTTGTCTTTTAAAATAATTAAAACATATACAATATAATATTTCAATGTATTAAAATAATTTTGTTTTTTTTTTTAAATTAATAATTAATTTTAGGACGGTATGTATGCTTTGGCATACATTGGCAACCGAGGAAATATGTCCAGAGATTATAAAATCACTTTTAGAACTTATGACACTTCCACCTTTATATAATTCTGGTACAAAAACGTTCTTAAACAAACCAGTTGCATCTCTAATTCCTGTTGCAGTAAGTTGCTACAAAATAATTACTTTTTTATAACGTAAAATAAAAATAAATTGTTTAATAAAACTAATGCAATTTGTTTTGTTCAGGTCCTTAGTGGTTTGAAGGAAATTCTAAAACCATTGCCTTATGATACTGCCATAAACTTATTTCCAAAACTGTTTAATGATATATTTTTAACTTTTGCTGCACTAATTGAAGTTGGATCCCCTATACGAGGAACTAATAAAAATTTATTTGTTTCTTATAAAGAAGTACATGATATTAATCCTGCCAAGTAATAAATATATTATAATTTGTATTTATTTTGTATTAATCATTATTTACTGTAGACTCATAAGGATTATTTTTTTAGAATTGCCCAAGAAACATTACACAATTTATTTAAGTCTATTGAATTAGATGATTGTGCCCAGAAAATATTGACACCAATCAATGATATTGATACAACTGTTGATATTGTAATGCACAACATAGGACCATGCATAATAAAGTATGATATTTATCTAGTTAGAATAATCCTATTTTATCTACATGAAAATAATATAGAATTGGTTTTAAATCTAACTAAGTATTATAAATTATATTTTATATTCAAATTTGTATTAAGAACATTTATTTATTAATTTAAAGATAGAAATTTTTAAGTTTTTCCTATTATTAAGTTAAAATGTTATATAATGGAATACAATGATTCATTTAACATAAGTTCAAAATAACTAATACAAATTTTCTAAATTATCACCTACTGTATAGTGGATATCTGTTATAAATCTAAAAATTATTCTTTTCGTGTATAACACAGATTTGAAAATTGAGGTTCCTTTCTTAACATATGGTAAATGATTTTTATGTAGATAAAATAGTATAACTAAAAATTAACCTAAATAGACTATTGTGTAAAATTATATTTTAATTATGTTTAGGTGTTTAATTAAATCACAGTTTGATTTGATCTCAATAATATTTAATATGTTTGACCAAAGTTTAAGTACTACACTAGATTCCCAACGAATTGCTATAGTGATATTGAGTTTATATGTAAGTATTAATATAAATAATTATTGACCTAATAATATATTAACTTAAATATATTTTTAGTGTACAGAAACTGTTACATCTGATACAATATACACAACAAGTTTAATAAGTATTCTTTTGAAATGTTTAAATGATACTTCCTGTAATATAAAGAAGTACTGTCTGAAAGGCCTAACTGTTATTTGTCAACAAAAACAAATATGGGTAAATAATTAATAAGTATAAAGCAAATTCTTAATATTTAATTCACATAATTACAATATATGTTTTTAATCAAACAATAAATCAATCTATAATCTACTATATTGGTTACAATACTATTTAGTCGGAAGAGGAATCTCGGTACATTTTTGATGGTATAATGCAAGGTCTTGAGGAATATCAAACCCAACAAAGTGATGTAACATTAGAAGCTTTACGTGGTCTTATTTCTTTAATTCCCCATTTAACATGTCCACAATTTGAAAACCACTACACCACCTTGGTATTTCGTATCAAACAATTTTTTGAGAATGTAAGATCATAATTTTGTCTACATTTTTATTTACAAAATGTAAACATTCAGAATTTCATAACATTTTTATTTTTTAGGAAAATGATGAAATGCGTTACACATCTATAAAACTTTATGGTGAACTATGTTCTAAAACAAGTGAGTTTAACATGGAAGTAGATGAGTCATTACATCATAATAATATAGTAACATTACTGATGCATTTATGTGAGGACCATAAATACATAGTTCAGGTTAGTATTTCAATAATACATTTTGATTTCACAACAATATTAAAATAACCATATAATTTAAAAATAATCTAAGAAAAGTTTACTTACATTATAATTTATTTGTGTTGTCTATATGTAGTCTTTACATAGTCTATATAAATAAGTACATTGTACATACTAATCATATAATAGTGTTACTCATATTATTACTTAATTTAAAAGGATTTCATATTTGCATTTACTGTATATTAATCCAATCAGTAGATAAATGTCATATTTATTACACTTAAATGTGATGCATGTATCTTAGTTTTTAGTTAAATTTAATATAGATATCAAACAATTTTTTTTTTGAAATAATATAGGTGAAAATGCTAATTTAAAACATTCTATATACAGCTATGCAATTTGAGTTTTATTTTTCATATGTTATACTTTGTACTTTGCAATACATTTTATGCTGTTGATAAAATATCTATATGCCCAATACAATTTTGTTTTTTTGACATATACACATTTTTTAAAAGGCAATTTAATTTAATTTTTGAGTGATTTATGCATGAAGCAATATTATTTTATTTTATTTTATATACTGTCCATTTTTCAGGCTTGTAAGTATTCCTTAAAGAAAGTGAGCATCTTATTAAACTCTGAAAAAATGATTGATATGACTTGTAATCATTTAATTGAAGAAGGCCGATTGAAGTATACTGAATTTATCACACAAATAGCTAAAATTATGGTTTGTATATAATACTTATTTATAACTATTCAATACAGAAATATATTATTTTAGCATGGGTTTTTTGTTCAAAATGTATTATTGAAATAATGTAAAGGAAGAAAAGTTTAAGAGTAATTGATTTTAATACACTTTAAATTCAAATGCATATAATTTTCATTCAGTTACCTAAAAAATTAAAAAATACCAATTTTTATATAATTACATAATTATATGTAGTGGTGATCAAATAATTTTGTAGTAGAGTTAGAATGAGTTAAATTTTTAATCAATTTTTTTATTAAATAAGTATAAGTTATGTATATTATTATACAAATATTTAAGAGAAAAAAGTAATGGGGGATATATCCCCCACATCTCCCCATTTTACCATCACTGCTTATGTTTTAAAATATTAAATAATAATGCATTACCTTACATATTAATTATCTTTTATTTTAAAGAAGTATAGTTTTTTCTTCTACTTCTAATTATTATTTTCTGATGGATTTTCTTTGAAACCTGTCATAATAACATTTACCTACATAACCTAAACATGTACCTGAATAATTGAATAGATTTTAATTGGGAAAAAAATGACCCACTACTCTTTGAACAATAACTTAAAATAAACTCTAGTTGTTTACTTAATATGTGAGTTTGTATACATATTTCTATAAAAAATGTTGACAGACTGAAGAATTTCCATCTCATATTTCCACATATTCGATGATTGGTATATCATACACAAAAAGCATTTTTCCTGAAATAAGAGCCAGTGCAGCATTGTTTGTGGGTAAGTATGTTAACTAAGTTTATTATTTCAGTGTATTATAAAATAATTACCAAATTTAATGTAAAATATATTTATTTATTTTTATATTAAATAATAAGTAGTTTTTCATTTTTATTAATGTTTTAAATTAATTTATTCTTAGGTTTGTTATATAACGAGAATCCAAATAACACTTCTTTTGAACTTGTCTCTGGTAAAATGTTGATGTTAACCGTAGATCCAAATCCTAAAGTTCGTTCTAGCGCTGTCACTTGCCTTGGGAAACTTTATAATTAAACACCTGCAGTGTGATAAAGTACCTTTGTTACTTATGGTTTTTAAAATTGTTATTTGATTTATATTAGCTATTTATCATATTTGTTTATCTAGTTTCATAATTATATTTCGTAGTTTAGTAATTAAGTTCCAATAGTGTTTTTAAATGTTTTATGTGTTAGTAATGGTTTTTGTAAGTATCTCTTTTTAAATATGTTATTTATTAATTTTAAAAACTAAAACAACTAATTATTTATTCCTTAATTTATTGTTTTAGATTCATAATATTAGTCATGTATTCATGACTAATATTATTAGATAGGTACTTATTTTCTTCATTGAATTTATTCAGAGTATTAATTTTATATGTTGATTATTAAAACAATATAACATAATATAGGGACTGATAATAGTACTCATTAAATTTAATTTCTTTAAATTAATATATTGATGTTTGGTTATTTTATTCATAACTTAAAAATAATAATAAGTTTAACTTTTATTGATTATAGACTAATTATTTTTATTCAATTTTGAAAATATTTTAAATGAACTGAAACACCAATATTCTCTTTACCAAAAATTTAATACTATAAAATATAAGAAATTACTTCCCGAAAAAAAAAAATTAATAATTATTATTTTTATGCTGATAATCTCATATTCTAACATACATTGTTTTTATTGGAGTAATGGGATAACAATATTTTAAAGTCAGAAAATAATTTTAATCAAATCCTACTATTATAGTTTTTGAAAGATATTAAGTCTATGCTAATCTGGTAACATTTTTGCTGTAAAAAAAAACAATTATTTGTATTCATGCTGACTAAATAATTATTTAATAACTATAAACATAATAATGCACATTAGTGTTATATTAAAGTAGTATTAATATTTACATTATTATGAGCAACTTAACAATATTTAAATAATTTATTAGTCTAAATTTTCATTTATTATATTACCTTTGATTTATACTTATTATTTTCAGTGGTGGTTTTGTTTTATGGAAAGGGTTCTTAACTTTTAGACTCCCACCAAAGACAATATTACATTTTTTACTTCTATAATTCAGATAATTCTTGTTCAATAACCTATTTCAATTATACAATTTCATTGTAATTAATCAAATAAATTATACAACAAATGATTTGAATATCATCCCCAAAAAAAGTTTTAAAAAAACCACCATTGGTAATTTTAATTATATTTATAATTTAAAGTGTACTCGTCCAATATAATATGCTATACACAACTAATATATTAACTAGGTACTATAATTTTAAATCAGTTTAAATATACTATTTTACAGTGTTTCCCAAACTTTAAAATCAAGGTTCATTAAATGACAAATTTTTTGCAGACCTTCAATAAATACCTATTATTAAGTAAAATAGTTAATCATATAATTAGTTATTTCAAACAAAGGAAAATCTTAATTTTTGTTATTAAATTTCACAATAAGTAAATAAACCCAACAGTTGGGTCTTAAATTGATAATTTGTATGAAATTATACAGTATACAATTTAATTGAACTAATAAATTTTCTTTAATATTTTAATTTTTTTTTTTTAAATAAAATATTCAACCCTTCAAATGTATGGTAGTATATTGGACAAGTAACTTTTATAGTTTAATGTATGGCTGTGTTAGTCAAAAGTAAACAAATTAACATTAACCAATATTGTTTTTTTTTTCAATAAGGAAAATTTATTAATCAAATTATTTTATTTCATATTTCTATACATAAATATTTTATTCAAATTCCTTTAACTAAATAATAATTTTATTCCAACATATATTGAGTGTGACTGATTATATGTAACCCAGAGAGCTCAAATATAATTATATTCAAAATTTAAATCATTTAATGTCAGCATTATACAATAAAAATGATTAAATTAATTATTAAAAATTAATAATATTTATTTATTTTTTTTTTTTTTGCCATAAATATGGACGACCCTACCCTATAAATTTCAATTAAATTCCAATTTCTGAATAATATTAATATTGTCAACAGAATGTAATAAAATTTAAATCCATTCAATTAAACAGTTTCTTGTTCATACAGCATTTATCCAGTTATTTTCTTTTTATTAATATATGTACACGTATAAACACATATAAATAAATACATACATACATACATACATACAAAAACACATACGTGCATAAGATTGTCCCAACTAAAAGAGCAACATTAATGTTCTAAATTTAGGTCAAACTTAAATTGAATAATTTAATTTCCCTAGATCTAAAATAATATTTCTAAATGGTATGAAACTGTAAGGGTGTGCCACAAAGGTCCTTATGGCAGAAAAAATGCATATTATCTAAAAACAATTTCTCATTGCTTAAGTTTATAAACGTATTTATTCTAAATCACAATTTAACACCAATATTAGTATTAAGTACATAAGGAAAACATACTTATAATTGTATTATTGGATTTATAGTATATAAGTTATATACTATATACATACTATTTTAATTAATTTATTATTATAGATGAATATTATTATGTAATGTTTAAATAATTATTTATTTATTATACTTCATTTAGTTTATACAACATTATGTTTATTGAATTTGTTATATATGTCAGTTTGTAGGATACTCGTCCAATTTGCTATTTACAAATTTAAAAAAAAAGTGTTATCCCCTACATTTTTATGTTGTATAATGTGGTATTTGGCAACTAAAAATGATCTTACCTTTATAATGTTCAATATTTCTATTTGACAATTTCTTCATGAGTATTTTACATTCCAAAAATGTCTCAAATCTCAGAAGTTAAAGAGAAGGCCATCATCACTCTCACTGTAGTTGAAACCAATGTATCAATAGTTATGAATTTTGTAAAATATATTATACGTGATTTTTAAAATGCCTTGTGGATGGATGCCTTAGTGTATATCATGAATCGCTAGAATCACAGCTGATGCTGAAAAATGTATTAATTTTACTAAATAAGTAAAAAATATTAAATATAATAAATTAATTAATAAATGCTTTAGCCTTAAATTTTTAATATTAATTATGAAAAATACAATATATTTAATAGATAAAGTTACACAACATTATTTTGACAGATAGTATAATTGGACGAGTAATTTTTTTAGTTTATATATGGTTGTATTTATCAACATTTTTTAAAAAATTTGCATTATCCAATATTGTTGTTTTTGTTTTTTATTCTCTCTCAAGTGAAATAGCTTTATATATTTAGAGTTTATTTATTAATTCAGATATATTTATTGGCAATTATTTGAATATCTAAATGTTTTATTCAAATTAATCTCTGTATGAATATATTACTAGATAATAATTTTATTCCAATATTATATATATACACATATACTGAGTGTTACGAGTATTCTAAAATATTTTAATCCATAAGCTCAAATTGTAAACATTTACAACTAAATTCAGTACTGGTTACAATATTATACAATAATGAATGTTATGATTTGTGAAACCAAACTTGTATTTTAATATGGTTGTTATTAAATGTGTTGTATTTTTTTTTTGCCATATTAGAGAACATAAGATAACTCCCATCTTCAAATTTACTATTAAATTTAATTAAACCATGGGATTAAAAACAACCTTACTTGAATGATATGTTTCAAAAAAATCATCTGAAATACTTAATATTTGCACAGTATTATTAATAGAAGGACAACATTAAATTTAAAATATTAATATTAATACTGTTATATCAATATTATGGTTATTACTATGTATACTTAATGTCTAGTTCCTAAAACCGATAGGGTTTTTTTTTATAGAATGACATTTTTCAAATAATGAGCTGATTTTCCTAGACATACAAATTTGTTTAAAAGTAAAACAACATAATTCATATCCAAAAACTCTTTATGGCAAAAAAAAATATATTAACATAGTTACAAATAAGTCAATAAGTTAAATAGCGTGTTGATTCTAAATCATACTTAAACACCAATATAATAATAAGTAATAACTAAGCACTCTAGTATTAAGTGTATCAAGCATAATATTATTAATTATTGTAACATTCATCTAATAATATTATATCACATAATTATCTTTACATTATTATTGGGTGAATGTGTAGTGTTTTGAAAAATGTTATAGTTATTAATTCATTATAATATGTGTATTTTGTAGAGTACTCATCCAATTATGCTGTTTACAAATTAAAATATCAACCTTTATATAATCTTAACCTTAGTTTGAAATATATAGGTACTTAATATACACAAATGAAAATTGTCAGTACTTAATTAGTTAATATACAATTGCTATTTTTACATTCCTAAAGAATGGATCAAATTTATATCTTCAGTTTATATTAAGTAAAACAGATTGCCACTATCAGACACCACACTTCTTGAAGTTTAAGTTCCAATTATACTCGAATTTACAAATACCCAAAGTTTTTCTGTTGTTTTGGTTTCATTTTTACTAGCTAGGATATCAAAATTTTCAGAATGTTGTATAAAGACGACCACCAAACCACCTATTAGGAATCACACATTGAAAAATTGTAATCCAGTTATAAAATCCACTCATCAAATGTGTCTTAACTTTTCAATATTTATGACATATTGTCACACTGATACAGTGTATTTAACACATATTATTTAATAATAATTTTACAATATGTCTATTAACATTCCATATTTTTCTAGATAACATATCTTTATTAAACTATCAATGTGCAGTAGGTAAACAGTATTTTGGATGAGTTACTTTTGTAGTTTTATGTATGGTTGTATTAATCAAAATTAAAAAAATGTACGGTTTAAAAAATATTGATGATTTTTCAAGGAAATAACTTTACATATTATAGTATGTACTTCAGTTTATGTGAACAATTATTTACAAATAACAAAATAAGTATAAATCCTAAAAAAATTAATTTCCATACATAATAGCTACTTATCTAACTAAATTGAATAGATTATGAATTATTAATCTCATTATAATGTTATTGTACTTAATACTCGTGATAAAATATGTAAGTACACTTACTTATCTATTTTGTTATGGTATTTAGCTGCTATTTACTGATCGAGTGTCATATTCTGTACTGGTGTTGTGAGTATCAGCCTATCTTCTAATGTAACCCATAAGCTCAAATTCTATATTGTATTCAAAATTAAACCACAAATTTATTAATAACAATATTATACAAATAAATCATCAAAATTTACCGTCATTACAATGTTTTTTTTTATTAATTATAGTGTACCTACCTATAATCTTTTCCCAAATAACAAGTGTAAAACCATGACTAAATAAACCATGTTAAAATAAATTTATTTAGCCATGTGTAGAACCTGATAGAATCGAATAGTGCAACAAATTACAATTTAACATTTATTTTAATTAATTAATTAGGTGATAAAGAAAAAAAATTCGAAAAATTACTACTTGCCAATTTATAAGATTGGTCGAAAACCATAATGTTGCTTCCATACAATCTCGATTCCACATATTTCAACAATATGTTCCACACCGTTAGAATTTACATTAATTTCGAATACGATAATCTATATTACTCGTAATAATGTTGTATTTTTCGTACATAATATAATAAAATATGTGGAGTATTCTTTGGACTGAAACAATGTCTCGCAAACGGAACGAAATAAGACCACACTAACTGAATGTATAACACTAAATCGATAACCATAACTGCTGATCTTTGACTTTGAGATTTCGCCCACTACCCGCCTTGTCCTTGAGAATCCGTAAAGTTTCTAACAGTTAGAATTTTTATTTGTTTACCTCTGGAAAAAATATACCCGGGATAAAAATGTCCCATGAATAAAAACCCGTAAACAAATTAATTCATTTTATAATTTCCCCTGTAATTACCATAAAGTATATTGAATATAAAAGAACTTATAGTCACTTTTATTCAATATAATATACAAAGTTCATCTTTAATGGCTTAACATTATAACAATATAACGTGCTAATAACCAGCTACGGTGTTACAAAAATGAATATTAGTCTACCAACTTCGTAACTTAAATGTTTTAAGTTACTTACTTGTTTTCCATGACAGGTAACCTAACGTATTAGTTATAGACTTCAAGTTACCTACTTTATCGTCAATATTATACTTTCTAAATTGTCTGAGTCTGTACATATTTTATTTAAAATATTTTAAAGTATTTCAAGAATAAAATAATATGGGTAATTAAAAATAATGCTTAAAAAGTTGTATAATCTTTTTTTTTTTTTTTTTGATACGTACATCATACAATTATAGACACATTCAGCGGCGTCGCGAATTTTAAATGATATAGAAGCAAATAATTTGTTTTACAACCATTGCCCACCCTAATCCAGCAATTTATATACTACCTATAGCCGTTATAATAGCTATACATAAATATTTAGCAATATTTCCCTTTTAATCAGATTCCACAATATACCGCGCACCCATCCTATAAAACTCAGAAATGGCTGCTTCTGAAAACAACGGTTCACTACGCCACTGGACACATTACAAAAAAAAAGAAAAAGAAAGACGTCCTAGGATAATGGGGACGAGTGCAGCCACTGTTATAGCCTCATAGGTAATTTAATGTATACCTGTAAGTAACAATAAACCATTGCTTGCGAAAAAACGATTCTGAGCGGAGTTCAGTTGACAGTGATGCTTTGTCAACAATATATAATATGTCATATTATAGTAAAATAATTAGATACCTAGGCTATAATATTGTTTAATAATATCTGTTTAATGTTGTACCGATTTTCCCGGATTTCCTGTGTTTTTCCCGAAAAACTCCTGAGAAAATCAAAAAATCACCTTCTCATTGTATCTCATCACACCGATTTTCTTTCAGAAAAGGCGCTTCACTTAAAAATCGGAGCGAGATATATTTAATTAACATCAAGTATTATTATTAAAAACAGTAACTTCTAGCTAACTACCATTAACTATATTCTAACTTCACCAATTCTACTTTTTTTCCACGAGTGATTCACTTTAGTTGCTTTTATTAAAAACTAAGAGTACCTAAATAATTTGATGATCATTAAAAAAGAAAAAAATGTGAATGTAGGTAAATATTACATGAGTATATTGTAAATACATACAATAATGAGGTATTGAATAAATTACCAAACTTGACTAATCGTGCTAGCAACAAAGTTGTTATTTTATTTTATAGGTACCGAATTTTTCAATCTTTATAATTATATTATGAGTACCTACTATTAGTTTAAATTATAATTATAAAACGTGTCAATTGCTTTTTCTCCGAAAACCCCAGGCGAAACAAATTTACAACTGAATTTATAAATAGGTATTTAGTAGTATTTAGTTTTGAAATGCTTGTAGGATTTAATTTAAATAGGGAAACTACTTTGGGGCTTTTTTTAAATAAAAAAAGAAGATTGATTAAAAAAAAGTTTGGTAGACTTTTTTAAAATTAAATTAAAATGCATGTATTTTTTATCAGTAATTGCTATTTGCTAATTTTTAATTGCCATTTAAATAATTGCTGTTCAAGATTTTTCCGTTCAAGATTTCGTTGGTTTTTTCAATTCAAGATTTTGACGTAGACCCAATAACAGAAATAGCAATGATAGTAAAGTAAATAAATATAGTAAATAAATACCAAGATAAAAATTATATATATATACAAATAAAAAATAAATAAATGAATACATGGAGTCCCATGGAGTATTGTAATAAGCGTATTATACGGTTTCGAATTAAAAATTCATCATCAAGTATATCACAATCAAAATGTAAAACGCGATTGATTATAAAAAATTAAATGATAGAATACATAGAAAAAAATTATACATATTAGTCGTTTTACATAGAAATAATTAGTTTTAATGTGAGAGATTATTTAAAATGGGTTATTATTAAACATAGATATGTTAAGAAATACAAATTATTTGACTATTATTTATTATCTAAATTGTATTGATATAAGATATTTTTTTTAAAACCGGTTTGAACATTTAAAATATTATTCAAATTATTTTTCTTTATTTCATTGTGTATGTGTAACTTTTCTAAAACTGAATTAATGTAAATGTTATTTTGGTTGTTTGATATTTCCAAGTCTGTATCAATATCAAAACTTATATTATGGTTATTTTCTAAAACATATTTAGCGAAATTTGAATTAGGAGCGGTCTTTTTTAATTTTATTTCAGAAATACGTTCTTTTTATATTATTTCAAAATGTCTATCAGCCTTACTTATATACAATTTATTGCAGTTACATTAAAGTTTATATATTCCAGTATTTTCAAAAGAAGGGGGATTTTTTGTAAAGTTTTTAGTTCTATTGTTTATATGTTTGATATAAATTATTATTAGCCTTAAAACGATTTTTATATTATTTGTATGAATCCGAGATTAAACACACACACACATAAATATATCGTTTTTATCGTTGCTTACAGGCATACATTGAATTACCCATAACAATGACTGCACCTGTCTCCGTTATCCTAGGACGTCTTTTTATTTATATATTTATTTACAAGTATTAACCATTTTTTTATAATTTAGTTTTTTAATTAATTATTTTATTAGTAATGATAGTATTTAGTATTGATCTTTATCAATTTTAATTTTAAAAGACTTATCAAAGGTAAGTGCCCGTAATATTTATGGTTTAATTGTTTAATAGATATAAACTACCTATAATTGTCATTAATAATGGCATTCATTTTTTATAGTTAAGTACTAGGTCCCTGAATGAATAAAATACAAATATTATTTCATACTTAATTGTGCAAACATATATGAAAACTCAGATTTGAAGATTGGCAATATTTTTGTGTATGCCTACTTATTCTATTTGATACAGAAATATGTTTTCAAACAGCAATAGAATGTTTCGAAAGTAAGATAGGCAATAAACAAACACGATGAACAATTTTAGGATCTGGGTAGGCAACATATGTACAATATAAGACGTTGGCAATAGAATTGGTTACAAAATGAATTTTTAGATGTTGGGTAGGCAACTTATTAAACCATTAGAAGTGCAAATCATGAGTTGTATAGGCAACAAAGTTGAGAACCACTGGGCTTTCTTATCAAATATTGCTGACGGAAGGTACATACTTTATTATCTATGAAAAAATATTTTTCAAACGTAAAATCATTATTTTTGTTTTTGAATAAATATTCGATGACATTTTTTGCAACAATAATTGATTTTACACCTTTTTTTTACATTCTAATTTATCTGATTGTTACAAATTTTTATTCTATTTGTTTTAATCACTACATATTATCACCAATTTGTTAGTAAGTATCTGTAATATACTTATTGTTGTATTATTCATAATAATTTCATGTATTATTTTTAAGTTATGATAGTAAATAACATTAATTTTTGGGAACTCGCGTTGTATGCTATTTACACCACAAACATATCTACTTCAACCGTAACCTATACCATCCCTTTCAGGGGTTTTTTGTTACAGTTGAAAATAATTTTTAATTATTATTGTTTAAACAAAATGTTACAAAAAAAAAAAAACCCGAATGGAGTAGATTTAATGTTTTTTATTGGTTAAACCATACATATTATGCACATATATATGTATGTCGGTGTTTTAAAGGTTAAACACATTTGGTATAAAGGATAAACTAGTTATCCAGAAATCGAGATTGGTCGGTACCATATACATAACTATACCTACAACATAAAAGCTCATTTTTAATGTCTAACTTACATTTACCATCTGAGACATAGATAACATACAACTGTATCATGTAGATAGCATATGGTGCAAGTTCCAATTTGTGTACATTTTCTATAGGTACCTATCTAAAGGTTAGTCTAGACAAGTTTTAACCAGACTTAACATTTGTGTAGCAGGTGATTTACCATATTATATGAAGTGTAGTTTGTGATAGTTTTTTTTTTTGTTATTAACATTTTTATTATACAATCTATAAAAAATGTTTATAATAAACATAAGTGAGGAATTGGTAACATAGTCATTGAAGAAGTTTTGAGTGAAGAGGCCACCAATTGCTAGTACTTTGTCAGGGCTAGATGATTTAGATCATCTAGTAGGTCATGATACCAATTATGCTTTAGTTGTCTACCAGGGTCATCAGAAATGATGGGATTTAGCGGATTAGTGATGAGAGGGTTTGGATGGTTGAGTAGATGGGAGTAAAATCTTTAATAGGTTGTAGCAACTTAATAGATAAAAGGGATCAAAAGATCTTGGTGTAGTGAGTGGTTGGTTACATAAAATGGAGTTTTGGTGATTTATCAAAGACATTTAGATTGAAATGTTTATGTATAATCTAAGTTGGAAGGTTTGGCTGAGCTCCATTGTTGAATCCCAGGGGTCCAAATGAGATTGAGTTGTATTTTGTTAATCAAAATTTTGTTGTTCAGTTTGATGCATTTTGGAGAGAGAAGTGGTCTGAGTAGCTGGAATCTATTGTTTATTTTTGATATGAGTTGTCCACATTAGTCAGTGCTCCAGGTATAGGCCAAGGTATCAAACATTTTGTGTAAGAGAAAGTGAAATATCTTTCAGGTATATAGGAAGGGTTTCTTTATATCTGAGCATAAATGTGCAGTGTTGCGATTTCAATTAATTAATTTTAATTTCCCATTCTTTGTACCATGTTTCTAGGAGGTCTAAATGATATTGCAATAAATCGGAGGCAGTGTCAGAATCAGGATGAAGGGCCAGTATCCCTATGTCATCAGCGAAGTTAGTTGTCATGGTAAGGGGGTGGTGGGTTAATCAGAAGTGAATAAAGTTAAAGAGTAGTGAAGCTGCTACTGCTCCTTGAGGGACATCAAATCTGATTATGGTAATGTCAGATAATTCTTGGCCTGATTTCACAGCAAAGTGCCTGTTTTCAAGGTACCATTTGAATGTGAGGAAGTAGTAGGGAGGGAGAAGGGTTTTGATTTTAAATAAGAGTCCAGAGTGCCATATTTTATCAAAGGTTTGTGCTAGTCAAGAAATGCACCAGTGCAAATTTGTTTTTCTTTCAGTAAGTATGAGAGTGTTTACAAGCTGACTTTAGTGATTGTTGAGAAAGCCAAATTGGTGATGTGGTAGTTTTGATTCTATAAATGTTACTATCCTATGTGCTTGAAGATAAGTTTTTCGAAAATTTTGGAGAAAAGCAGGACAAGGCTGATGGATTATAGAAGTCTGGGGAATCAGGGGTTTTGCCTGATTTGAGAATCATGATGTTAATGGGGAATTTCTATAGGGTGGGTAAGTATGTAATTCTTAACATAGAATTGAAGATATGTGTTAGAAGAGAAGGGCCAATTTAGATAGTTATTTAAAAATAAATAAATTAATGAATGCATCCCTGGAGTATTATAATAAGTATATTCAACTAATTTCAAATCATTTGAATTATTTAATTTTTAATTTTTATGTACATTTTTTATTTATATATTTATTTACTATATTTTTATTTAAAATTGAGTTCAGTTAAACTTTAGGAAAACCAAAAAAAAAAAAAACTGTCTAAAAATCTAACTGTACTGAATATACCAACACACAAAAATTATCCTCTATCCTTCACTTCTGTTAGTTTTAATATGATAAAAAAGTAGATTGTAATCATTGTAATCAGTGGGTCAACATTATATTTTATTTTTATACATAGAATTATACTACTACTAACTCCTATATTGTATGTAGGTGTGTTAGATTTGAATAATATATCTAGACATATTAAATGATTTAATTTATATATATTTCCACCAGACTATTTAATTGATTTAAAAAAATATATATATAGCACTGAAGCTAAAAAATGTATTATATTATTTATCATTAGTTATTTATTTACATTATATTAATGAAATGTGCAATTTGAAATGATTGTTATAATTATAATAAAATAAGTATAAGAAAAACATCTTATAATAGATTGAAGTCATAATTTAATATTATTTTTTGTTATCATTGATAGACAACATTGTGGGATTATATGGAAATGCTATCAAATGGATATGGATGTATCAAAAAATGTTCCAAGACATTAAAGCAATCTGTGTTTGATTGGGTGCTACATAAATTTAACGTAAAGAGTAATATTTGGTTTTTTTGGTATCTTAAATTTGAAGATTTAAGTACTTAAGTTACTTAAATTTGCATACTTTAATACTAACACTACATTAAGTTTGAACAAAACCTCATAACTGATTGATTGGGTAAGAAACTTAAGTGTAACACTTAAAATTGTTGGTTTTATTGTACTATTTATTCTACATTAAACAATTTTAATGAGAATTTTAAATTAAATATATAAGAGTATTAAAAGGTGAAATTGGTGTGCTTAAAGGTTGATTGGTTATTTCAGTGTGCTTATTTGTATATAGTTGCCATAAATCTCTGTTATTAAGCAAGTTAATGTTTTTTTGTTTTTAGAGTTTATTGACTAGAACAATGAGCAATATACCAACTGCATCAACATCAACTGCATCCACATCATCAGCATCAACATCATTAGCATTACCATCAACATCAACATCACAATTGCATCCATATACATTTCGCCAAGAAGTAGAATATACAACAACAACAACAGACGATTCAGAAATGTCATCAGATGATGACTATAAAATATATGAAGAACATTCAAGTAATTCTAATTCAAATCCAATTGAATCAAATAATTCTGATCAATTTGTACCAAGTATTATAAGTTCTGACGATATATCTTGGTCATCTATTGGATCTTCTGATGTATCTTTGTCATGTGAAGATGAGAATTCAAGTTCTGATGATAATATTCATATTTTAAATGAATTGCTTATAAAACCGGATGAACCTAATAATGAAACACTTGAAAATCCACCCGAATCAGCTTCACACACTTCATGGACTGAAAGTACTCCAACAAATGAAGATTCAAATGAAGCCAAGTGCTCAGATATTGATGATCAAAAAATACCAATGCTTTTACTTCTCGAGGTAATAGTTAAAACCATTTAACAATGAAATTAAATTTGGCATATTAAGATTATTATTTGTTTTGAAGTGTATCAAAATCACCTAATTACTATATACCTAAACATAACCTAAACCTCTTATACTTTAGATAATTCTATTTTACCTAGATGCCAATTTATGTCAAAATTAATGCTGTTAATTATAAAATTTAATTAAATATTTAATATGGACTTCAAGTCCAATGTTTTTAGGTTGGAAATTAGCTAAAATTAACTGATTGTAGCTCAAATAGTTGTGTTGAACAACAACACAATAGTTGTGTTTTTTTATAAATGCTTAAAATAATTTAGTATTCATTTTTAAAATAAGAAATAATTTTAATAATAGAAATAATTTTTAGTAAGTAATGTAATATCGCTGACAGCTTTGCTTAGGTTTAAATAGATAAGTGTGTTATATTATCACAGAATAATATAGAAATTGGACATACAACAAAATATGGATAATATTAATATGGGATTTCATTAAAAAAATGCTCCAAAAATTATTAATTTAATAGTACAGATTTGTAATAAAAAATTCTGGATTTATACACACTCCAGAATGTGAAAAATACATTTTTACAACTATGTACATTTTATTTATAAGTATGTTAAGTTCAAATGTTGATAAAAATTTTAAATATCAGCATTTCAAAACATGTTTAGTCTAACTTTTTTTAGAATCTTATTTCATCAACAACTATTTGTCATATACACATATAAATTAAAACAAATATACTATGTATACTACTACCTTTTTTACTTCTCATCAATAGAAGATTTTTTTTGTGATTAGAAATAAAACATCATTAAAAAATTATGTATGAAAATATGCTGATCACACATTTTCTCTGTAGGTGTTAATGATAATATTTTTATATTAATATCTGAATGAATACATTTAATATTTAAGTGTATATCAATTGTGCAGAATTGTCAGACATTTGTATATATTTGTTACATTGGTCTTTCACCTGTGTATTTTAAAAATAATTATAAGATGAACCATGAAACTGATTTATTTTGAACCATCCATAATTATTATCAGACTATTTCTTTCTAAATGTTTAAGCAAAAAACCATTCTTGATAATTACTATTACCAACATTTATTTTTTTTGATTTATATTGTCCATATTTATAAAAATCCTTGTTTAGTATCTTTCCAACAAAATACGATTTCAATATATAATTAATGAAAAATATTATTTAATGAAAAAATCATTCCATGCACATAATACTTCTAAATATTATTTTCCTGATTTATATAGGCACCCTCTCACCCTCATCACGCTAATTGCTTAAATGTTTATACCAGCTATATAGCCACTGCTGATGTCACACAAAAACATTTGAAAATTGATTTTGTGAATTCATACAATTTTGTTATTTTAAGTTAAATAATTAAAAAAAAATAGGTATTTCTTGGAAAATGTTTCATACATAATCAGTTTATTTTACTTAATTACATAGCCAGTAATAGTTATAAAAAATGTTATGCTTAGTTTTATTTTTACTTTACTAATTTATATTATGTTCGTTTTTCCACAGCCAAGTGAAACTGAGAATCAGGTAAATATATTTTCTTGCTATTAGAATTTTGTTTTTATTTTTCTCAGTAAACCTACATTTATTAGGTTCTTGAATTATTTTATGGTTTTGTTCCAAGTTCAATATAGTTGGTAAAAAAATTAATAAGGAACTCCATTTATTATTAATCAATATGGTCATATAATGTTATTTGTTTTATTTTACATAACTTTAGGGTCAAATAGTGTTTTTATGATATTAGATTTTTAAGGGTTTATTTTTTAAATTACTTAATGCTTCCTATGAAGAGTATTATGTTATTATTGATATTTTAATAAATTATTTATCTACAAGTCACAATAAAGAATTAAATATTATAATAGTGTATTTGTTTTAGATTGATGAACTTGCGAATTATATGATCAATCTGGAAGAACATGATGGAAGACTTTTAGAATTAGAAAAGGAAACTGAGTATATAAATGTAACAGCGTGGATGTATCGGCCATTAGATCCAACTATTCGATAATTACAATTATTTTTTTTATTATTTCCCTTTTTTGATTTATGTATTGAAACTATAATATCTTAATAACTTCTATTATTATCTTAATGAATAAAAATTGTTCAACTATACAATTTAATAAATGTAATATTTAAGAATGACTAATTGTATTGTAATTTACAAATTGATATTTTTAAAATGATTGTATACAATTTTCAATATTGATTAAGTGCTGTTGAAAAATAATAAATTGAGTGATCCACTATTAAATACCCTGTAATATAATGTAAATTATATAGATGAATTATGTAGATTTATGTAGTAGTTGGGTATTATCAACTGTATATAAATAATTACATTCCAAGAAAATAACATGTAAATACTAATTTAATTTTAAATTTTATTATTTTTGATTTATTTACAAAAAAGAAAAGTATTAAAATTAAAATGTATTATAATTTTTAAAAATTACAAAAATAAATTTTTTTGAAGTGTTATACTTTTTGTTGCCACAATATCCTCATAAACATTTGATAATAAATCTTTTTCTAAGGCCATAAATATGAAACATTCTAAGTGCTTCGTGTTAATGAATTTCTTAAAAATTGTTTTAATATTTTTAATTTTGAAAATTAACTGTCCTTGTTCGTAATTGAAAGTTAAAATTAATTTGTAACATAAAAATATCCCAGGATAAGCTCCACTAAACAAATTATAATAAACTATTAACTTGTAGCAACAATTGATACAACTGCTTTCATTATGACTGTTATTACTTAATTTACATTTTTCATATTGATTTTCATCGCTGTTATCAGAATTATTTATTTCATTTGTTAATTCAGAATAATATGTCAGAATACTTTTATTTAATTGTTGCCATTTAGAATGAAAATCTTTTAATTCAATGTTAATGTAAACAAATAGGTGAAATTATTTCAAATTCTCGTTTTAAAACAGTTGGAGGAAAATTGTCTGAATTATCTTGGAAACTTTTAGGATTAAGACATGAATAGTCTGCACATTATGTTCTGTGTTCTACATACCATCATTATATTGAAAAAATTTATTTTATAAGACAAGAATGGGTCACTTACAGGATCTACTGTCTCATAGGAAAATAATCCATTTTTTTTTGTAATCTGTATTGATAGTACATTTTCACTAATAGTTAAATTTGTGTTATAAACGAGAGAAAATTTTCATTACCTCCTTTAACAAAATTTGGCCATGCATTTTGAACTTCATTGAAATCTATGGAAATATTTTCAAGCAATTATAATTACAGTATTATAATATTTAATAAATTGTAAACTTTCCTGGGATTATTAACAATAAATACCTTCTCTGTATATCATTCTGTACTTCAGTATCTGCTGTTGAAAGCCCTTGTGCATCTAAACTAGTTGGATCTATATAAAATCATATTAATTACTATTTAAACAATCTAAATAATTTTCCCACATCAAAAATTATAATTTAATTCCACTAAATTCCACTTAATATACCTAATATTAAATAAATGTGAATAATACTCTTAAACGCACAGAATAATAAAATAAAATTATAGAATAAAAATGCGAAATTATGAAATGTGAGATTTTTAATATATCTTTTAATACTTTTTGCATAACAGTAAATAACTGAATAAAGAATTTCTAATCATTTTTTTCCACATCAAAAATTACAATTTAATTCTTCTAAATTACATTTAATATACTTAATGGCTAGTATATATTAAATAAATGTTAATAGTGTAATAAATACATGAGTAATAATTTTTATATATAGCATAGAACACTTTTTGTACCGAAAAAATGTTTGCTCTTTACTTACCACACTTAAACATATCTGTTAATTTCATACAATTCTTGTCATCTTGCAATTTTTGTTTTTTTTGTTCTGTCAAACGGTGTGCAAAACTGCACAATTTTATTCTTGTTTTTCTATATTAACATTTCATACGTTTATTACATGAATAATTAATGGTACTAATTAATATATCTTTTCAGTTAACTTTAATATTTTAGAGTCTTTGCCACTTAGCCAATATAAGAATTGATTTTGATAATATGTATTATAAAATATAAATGAGGAATAATCAATAATCATATTTTATTTGTTTCGTTATATTGTTTTTAATTCCATGTTTATTTCGATTAGCCGATGAGTAAATGTTTAAAAATAGATATATAATGTGCAGGGTTCGGCCTGTATAATCCGACTTCATATTTTTTGTGACGTTATTGTCGGCCGCCTCATTGCGAAATCGTCAGTTGTATAGTATATAATTTTTATTATTAGTTTTACATTATTTTCGTTGCGGTAATAAATAAAACGATTAAACATAAAAATCATTAACAATAATTATGTTTCTAATAACAATTTATTTCCAGTTAAACTATATTGATTTTATTATATAGTTTCAAGTGAGAATAAAAATAAGGTCTTAAAAGTTAAAAGCTCTTATCTCAAACTGGGATCTCAACTTAAAAAAAATGTACATTACTGCAATGAAAAGGGGCGCACCGGGAAACTCCCGGTATTCCAGTGAGCCTACCCACTTCTGGGTACCGTATTTGTTTTGTCTGGATGTATTACGGTGTACTAAACACAAGATAGTAAAATAGTACTTATTAGTGGTATATTATGTTTATAAAAATAGAGATGGTTGTAACAATAGTGTGCTTACTTTGAGCTTGCTAAATACTAAGAGATTTTCGTATTCATAATTTCAAATACAATATTTTATTACTACTTTTACTGCTGCTAAATTTCCAACACGGAAGACTGGTGGTTTTTGTGAATTTTTTACTACACAATGCATATTTTACCCAAAAGGTATACCCAGTGAGGATTTTACGGGATAAGAGGGAGAGATCTCGATCACCCCCGGACTCCAAATGTAGAATATGAAAAGCAAATTTTATGCTATAATTTTTAAATTAAACTTGAATTTTGTTGTTGATTAAAACTTTAGTACATTAAAATAAAGTTACTTGAAATAAATTTAAAAATATTGGGTAAATGTTTTTTATATATTAATATCAGAAAAAAGTTCAAAAATCGTCGCTGATAGTAACTAAATGCGTCTTAAGATAAATGTAAGGATGAGACAATATGACAAAGTTTGTCGTTGCTTACAGGTACACATTAAAATATCTATAACAGTGGCTGCACCCGTCTCCATTATCCTAGGACGTCTTTTTTTTTGTTATTTTATATTATTCATTCCAAATCGAGACTATTCATATTTAATTTTCTCCAAATTCTGTTGTTTTTGGAGGCATTTAATAAATTTCTGTTATTATATGTATTATACTGCCTGTAATCCCGTTCGTAATCTCGAATTAGACCCTAAAATATTTCACTAAGAAAAAATTCTTGAAATATTTCCCTACATAATATAATACGAGTATAATACCTTCGGCGCGTGTAAAATATTCAGCGGACAAAAGTTAAAAAAAAATCATAAAATGTACAAAAAAATTAGTGGATTTTTCGCTCATATTTGTATTCGCACATTTTGTTTTCGCTTTATTGTCGGGATACCAATTACCAATACATATATATGATATAATACATTTATTTGGTAAATCTAAGTTGAATAAAAATTACTTATAGTCTATAATATATTTGAAAGTACTTGAAAAATACTAGTGATATTTATTACAGTAGTTTTTCATGAACCCAAAGAATTGGTGCTTGTCTTATCTTATCTCAATTTATTTAAAAGTTGTTTTATTTCACCATCATCTTGTTGCTGGTCAACAAATTGATTAGTGAATATGTTTTGAACACTATAAAAATATATTTAAAATGTACATTCGTATATTATTCAATTATAAATTTTAAAAAGGCTATTTAATTCTCAAAATATAAAAATTATTTTAATTGCCAAATATAGTTTTTTTTTTTTTAAATATTTACTTTTGTTTCTGGTTGACTAAATTTCCATTGGTTTTACTTCCATGGTATGTACTATACATTTGATTAATTTTTCTATAATATGTTATACAGAGGTCTTTGTAGAACATTGATGATTGATTAGCTTTTGCATATTTACTCTCTAAATTTGACTAAACATACCCATTTATTAATTAAATACACATAATACAGTGGTGCAACCAGGGGGGGAGGTGTATTGGGTATCTGGATACTCTTCTCTATCTATTTTAAGTAATAAAAATGTATTAAAATGTGTTAAAAAAACCATGTTCTTTTTATATGTAGACACGTGACAACCCCACTCAAACAAATTTTGGTTGTGCCACTGATATAATATTAAATAAACATTTGAAATACATACAATTTTATTTTTCAAATGTTGTATTTGGAAGCTACAGTTGGTATTGAAATCATTTTTTAATTGTTTATTTTCTTGTTTTATTAAAATATTTTTTTTTTCTGAATCATGTAATTTTGTTGTTAGTTCAATGATTTTAATATTAAGCTCATTAATTGCTTGTCTATCAGAAATCATATTTTGCACTAAACTATTGTATTTATTATCTATTGAATCTTTTTGACAAGCAAACTGCAAAGTATCAATTTTAATTTTAATTCTAAAAAAAAAATGTTAAAAATATAAAACTAACTAGGCAATTTACTTCAAGTTCTTTGGCTGTAATTATAGCTCCCCTTTCCTTTAACTTATTAACCATTTTATCCACATTTTCAGCTAATGCTTTACATTCCAATATTTCATTGGAAAGATGTTCTTGAATACGGTTTCTGTCATCTAACAAATTTTTGTTAAATTCCTTAAATAACTGTTCTTCTTTAATTTTCAACTATACAAATTTTATAATTAAAAAAAAAAACCAAAAATGGTATGGTAGAGTTTGTATTTATAATAATACAAATATAATTTCCACCTTTTCAATAAATAGAATCATTTGTTTATCTTTCCAATTTTCTAATTCATCAATATATTTCTTTTGAACATCTAAAGAGAATACATTTCTAAAGAAAAAAATTTAGTTTATTAAATAAATTTTAGTTTGTATGAATCAATTATATATACTTTGTTTATGATAAAAGTATGACCAGATACTAATTTGTTTTCTTTATATTTGGTCACCTAAATATTGCGATATTATAGTGAATGTGGTGGTGGAAGAAATTGTTTTGTCTGTGTGACTAGTCATATTCTTAACATGCATTCAGTATAAAACTCTATAAAATATATAAAACTGAACAATAAATCACAAATTACACTGATTCGCTTTGTGCTGGTAAATGTTCTGTCTGTTCTAACATATTAACGTCATTTTTTGGCAAATTTATTTCATCATTTTCTTCAAAATGATCATTTTCTTCTATGATAAAAAATAATACATTTTTCTTATAAATGATAGTTACATGGATATATATATTTAAGTTTTTAAATACCTCTATATAAATAGATCTTGTTGAGATTTCCCTTCAGATCTCAAAATACAAATATAAGTATTACTGTTACGGATTCTCCCGTAACATTACTTATAATTGTATTATGTTATTATATTGTATTTATTTTCAACCAACATATATTATTCTAACATGTATAGATGTTCAGAGTTTTTAGTAAGGTACTAGATATTATAATAAATAGTTAGTACATGGATATTTTACGTACCTTTTTCTAAATCATTTATTTTATCATTTAGGTTGTTGGTTATTTTTAAATGTTTAATTTGTGTAGGTGGTTTTTTACTATCCATTTTCTTAACAATACAATCTTCAATTGTTAATGACATAATAAGACTATAATTACAATTTTTTTTTGATCCAATTAATTTATATGATTTATTTTCCATCTAAAATATTGAGTTATTTTAAGAATAAAGTAACTTTAATTAATACTAGATTGTGTATAAAGCAGTGCTTTAACTGGGAGAACTATAGAGAGGAATGTAACTCCTGTACTATTTTTCTGTTTTTTTTTTTAAGGCACCTTTACTAATTACTTACAGTGAGTTTAAAAAGTATTCGTACACCCTACTTTTTTTAAATAAATATACATTTTTCTTCGTGATATTCTATTTTTATCGATAAATTAATACATGCATATTGTTCATTGACGATTTTTAATTATATTAAAAAAAAAAAAAAAACCATGACAAATGTTATATTAATAATAATATTCAATAACAAACAAAACAATAAATATATAATAGTAAAAAATAATAATANCTCCAACCTCTTAGACATTGAATCAACCAGATGACGTATTGTTTCTGCTGTAATTTTATTCCATTCCTCTTCTAGAGCTTTTTTTAGAGTTTCCTTACTTGAAATATTGTGATCTCGAATTTTTCTGTCCAAATAATCCCACAAAATCTCAATAGGAATAATGTCTGGAGACTGTGGTGGCGTCACAAGATATTCAGTTACATTGTTCGACAACCAAGCCTTAACTTTTTTGCAGTATGTTTGGGATCATTGTTCTGTGTAAATATGAAATCATCTTTGATGCCCATTTTTTCGGCACTAGCTGCAAGATTTGTCTTCAACATATTTAAATAAATATATTGGTTCATAATTCCATCAATAAAGTGCAAGTTTCCAACACCCTGAGCACTTATACATCCCCAAACCATTATAGAACCTCCTCCGTATTTCACTGTAGACTGTAAATTCTTCGGTTCCATTTCTGTATTTGCTTTTCTCCAAACAAAACGTCTTCCATCAGAGCCAAAAATATTAAATTTACTTTCCTCTATAAATATAACTTTGTTCCAAAAGTTATCAGATTGATGTAAGTTATCTTTTGCAAAAGCAAATTTCTTTTGTCTATTTTTTTTATTTACAAAATATTTTCGACAAGCTACTCGTCCATGGTAATCACTATTTTTTAAACAATTTCTAATTGTACTTACACAAACACGTATTCCAAAAAAATTCGCAAGATCTTGTGCTATTTTAGGAGCGCTTATTTTTGGATTCAATTTGACTTTTCGTTAAACTATACGTTTATCATGGTCAGAAAGTTTTTTGGACGACCAGATCGTTGCTTATTTTCGTGACTTTTCCGATCACTGTATCGATCTATCACGTCTTTCACAGTGCTATGAGCTCTGTTGACAATTTTTGATATTTGACGTAATGATTGGCATTGATTATGCAACCGCAGAATTAGTTCACGTTCAGTTTTATTTGTCTCGCATTTTTTTCGACTCATTTTGTAATAGATGATATTCCAATAATATTTCGAAGCTAACTGAATTGGTATAATCTTGTAACGTGGTCGGGGACAAAGTTTTAATGTGACATTTTGTATATTTTATCGTTTTCTAATAACATTATTGTGAGTAAACAGGTGATTCCGTAACTAAAATAGAAGTGTACGAATATTTATTGTTCCTATTTTATATGTATTGTTTTGTTTGTTATTGAATATTATTATTAATTATTAAAAAAATTATTATTATTATTTTTTTACTATTATATGTTTATTGTTTTGTTTGTTATTGAATATTATATATAACTGTTGTCATGGTTTTTTTTAAATTTAATTAAAAATCGTAAAAGAATAATATGCATGTATTAATTCATCGAGAAAAATAAAATGTCACGAAGAAAAATGAATATTTATTTAAAAATGTAGAGTGTACGAATACCTTTTACACTCACTGTATATTGAGATGGATGGACCACATGTCTATATGTATTTATCTTTTTAGAAATGATATATTACAAAAACAATGTCTTATCAACTTAGATGTATTCAAAATTTTTTATTTTTCTTTTAGAATTTAATATTATATAATTATTAATGGTAATATACACAAAATATTTAAGCAAATCTGTAGTCTACAGGAGTATTATTGGCTATTGTTTTTTTTTTGTTGGAAATTACCAATTAATTGAGGTATGTTTGAAAGGTGGTATATAGAGATGTGGGAGAAAATTACCCAGTTACGTTGAGTTTAAAATTACTAAGGACACTAATTTTTTTCAAGTTTCACAGTCCCTCTTCTATTATTTTTTAATTTCGAGCATTAATATCAATATTACTTACTTGATCATTTGACATGAGATTAACAGTTTGTGCTTCTTTTATTCTTAAAAGTACATAACCAAGCTTTTCAGTTAAATTGTTTGCTAGTATATGAATACATTCTATTTTAATAGATGTTTGTGACATTTTTAATCTTAATGAACAATATTGATTTACAGTTAGGTATAGGAAAAAATTATAATTTATTTTTTAGATATGCATTACTAATAATATTTTAGTACTTTTTCAGAGTATTAGTATCCAGGTTCCATACATTTTTATTAAAAATTTTCAACACACTACTGTTGATAGGAATTATAGTTTCTCGTTTTTGGTCATTTAATGTTGCCTGTATTATAATTGATCCTTTGAGCAAACCAAATCCATAAGCTACAAAATTATATATTTGCAAATATATTATATAAATATGGGTATGAGATTTGGTACAAGATGGGTCAATGTCAAAAAAATAAAATGTTATAATAGGGCTTTACAATAGCTTATTGAAAACTAATTAATTCTTTTCAATTTTCTTTTAAACTTTATTTTCAGTATCCTATCTTGCACCAAGCCACTGATATATAAACCTTAAATATAAATTTAATAACATTATAAATTATAGTTATAGTTATTTTGTTTAAAAATCCTTAATAAATTTTGTCTATTAGCTCCTTCACTTTTAAAATGAGTTGTATTTGATAATTCATTCACAGATTATGTTAGTGTGAAATTGATTAGGTTAAAATTATTCAAAAAATATTATATTTAACATTTAAATCTTCTTTCTTTTGAGTATAGTAAAAAAAAATTATTGCCACATGCAATAGTTTGTTGATTAATACATAAGGAGCAAGTTTTTTTTTAATTAAATACAAAATTAAGTTATAATTTACCATTAGTTTAACTTCAATTCAATTAATAAATTAAGTTAATTAAAAAAAAAAATCATTGATTAGGCATTAAAAATTAAAATATCTAATGAGAATAAATGCAAATATGAAATATTACCTATGTATAGATATGCATATATTTTAAAACTTATGGAGTTATAGCATTTATTGAACTCTAATCATAATTTGAATCACTTAAATTTAAATTTTAGTGTAAAAGTGGTTACTGTATTGTTTAACATTAATAATTTACTAATATATAAAGAAATAACTTAAAAAAAAAAAAAAGTAGGTACAAAAAACTTGTATTTTAGATTGTAACCCTAATGTTGTACAAGTAAACATAGGTTAAATAAAGGTATGAAATTAAATAGGTGGTACAGACATTTTGTTCTCAAATTTTAGAGAGAAAATGAGTACAATCACGATTAACAGAAAATAATTTTTTGCAACATATCAAATTAAATGAGATATCATATTACTTATACATAGAATAGGAGACAGATACTCTGCTTTCAGATTAATTAATATTGTTATATTTTATGTATCTATATAATTAAGTAAATTATCAACCTGAATGGCTGACATTTATTTTAAGTTTGTTGTTTTTGTATTATAATTTTTAGTATACAAGTAAGTAATGTTAAATGTATCAAAAGAAAATTTGTTTTATATTTGATTCAAAAAAAGTAAATTATTATTTTAATATTTTTTGTTATGTATAAATTTAAGGATAGTCGGGTGTGAGGATAGTGCATAGATAAGTTAATAAATTGATTCAAATTCAATTGATTTTCTTCTCAACTTTTTTGGAAAAACTGGTTAAGACCTAACATAAACGAGAACATGTTAACTTTTACTAACAGCATATTAACAAATTTGTTATACATATCAAAAAATATTGATGTTTATAATAATATTGGAAATATCATTGATAGATTTGATAAAATCCAAAACCAATGATAAAAACAATATACCTAACTACCTAATGATTAATGTATTACATATGTACATAAAATGTTAACAAATAAAATAACTATTACCTATAGATTTATACCTAATTAAGTTATAATAATATTGTTTTATTTTATTTGTTGAATTATTTTACATTCTGAGTAGAGCGAAGAAGCTTATGGTTTTACAAAGATGTTTATTTTTTTCTGTGGACAACTTTTCTATCAGAGAACTTGTTCCGATTATTAAGTGTAACATCTTATCTGAAAGAAAGTCGGTGTGGGGAGGTATTTAGCGGCAAATGCGGTATTAGGGAAGTATTTTAAAGATGTCATTTTTCGATTTTCCTAAGAGATTTTCCCAGCAAATATGAAAAACCGGTATAAAACATGGGAAAACCGGAAAAAACTTAAGAAAATTGGTACTACATTAAACAAATTTTATTAATAGCCTATTTAATTATTTTACTTCAAAATGACATATTTATTTTTGATAAAGCATCATTATTAACTGAACTCCGCTCAGAAACGTTTTTTCGTAAGCAGTGGTTTATCGTTGCTTACACGTATACATTAAATTCTCGTCTATGTCCTACCTTCCTAACTTTTCACCTACACTAATAGCTGCACACATTCCATTATTTTTTTGTTATTCATATTATACTTTTTTTTAATTTTAATTGTTTTAATTATTATTTATGTAATGAGAAAAAAATTAATTTAACTTTTAAATTGTACAATATATTTTGTAAAATAACTGCATTTGTTCAATATATGTGCAGTATTCTAAGCTAATGTAAGTTGAAATTGACATCAGCCATAAAGATTTTAAGTTTTTGTTGACCAAAGGGGCGGTATTCAGGAGTAAACATTTTTCATAGTGTTCACTCGAAGACGCCCCTGAGTAATACTATTAGCCGAACTCCACTCAGAATTATTTTTTGTTGGAAATGTTTAAATTTGATTAGGTCCAGATATACATTCAATTTCTCTCAAAATCTAACCTTTAAAACTTTTCATTTATAACAGTGGTCCACCTATTGTGGGAAGTATGGCCGTCTTTCTTTTTATCAATCATTAATATTAAATTTAATTATTTCGCCCTCTCCCTCCCAATAGTCAAGGTCTGGAGACGTCTCTGTGTTATTAGTAATTTAATGGTACACTTGCAAGCAACAATTAAACTATTGCTTACGAAAAAACGATTTTGAGCGGAGTTCAGTTGATAGTGATGCGTTGTCAATAATATACATGCCATTTTATAGTAAAATAAATAAATAGGCTCAATATATTTTTTTTAATAATATTTGTTTAATGCTGTATCGATTTTTCCGGTTTTTTCAGTTTTTCACATTTGCTGAGAAAACTCCAGAGAAAATGGAAAAAGAGCCTCTTTAAAGTACTTCCTCAGTGAAATTTCGTTTCAGAAACATGCCATCATTAAAAGTTGGACCAAAATTGCTGGTAGAAAAATTATCCAAAAAAAAATCGTAATATTATATTTATTATATTTAAAACTTCTGTCCATAGAAAAAAAAAAATAAATATCTTTGTAAAACCATAAGTTTCTTCGCTCCACTCAGAATATAAAATACTTAAACATTTTGTAAGTAATACAAATAAAAAAAAAACTTGTTTGCTAATCTGATATTAAATTAAATTAAATTAAATTTTCTAACCTGAAATTATATGCAAAACAATTTTTTTATTTGTGGTATCTATTCCTTGTTGTGTATTTGTCATTGTATAGCTGTGATGGTTTGAAATTCTTCTCTAATATTTATTTTTTCAACATAATGCAATATAATGTCTATCTAAAAAATTAATAAGTATAGTTCTAAATAATATCATTATAGTTCTCCTTTTAATATTTATTTTATTGAATATCTCCAATGATCTAATAAACTAGTTATGTTTTAAATAAATCAATAAGCCAATATCAGACTAATTCAACGGATATTTTTTATTCACATAAAAAATATATTAAATTAATGACGTGGCTCTTTAATTTTTTTCGGATTGAAATTGTTTGTTGAATTTACGATTTACTTATAGATATATTGTAGATTGGAGCGTGCATTGAGAGTAATACGTTTAAGACAAGATACATGCAAGGGAAAAAAGGCTATATCAGAATTACCAAAAAGATTAAAAGTAATTACTGTTAGTATAACTATAACTAGTACCTTTGCTTATATATATATAATCAATGCTGTAGTACCTACCTATAAGCAGGAACAGATCCAGAGGTGAGACCCAGAGGCTCAGCCGCCCTTCCCTCCCCTAGATATATTATTTTTCTAATATTTATGCAATAACATCTCAGACCGAAAAAGTAGTGCCGTCAGCTGCTCGGTTAGTGGATCTCACGGAAGTTGTAATTGCCAAAACCTCGTAACCTAACCTAACCTCGGTCATCGACCTGAGTGATTACATTACGAAGAAAATTCCATTGATCAAATAATATAGGGTTAGTCATTTTAATGACAATAATTGATGCATTTTAAAAATGATTCATTTTAGATTCTGAGTGGAGCGAATATATATATAAATTTATAACGATGTCTAATTTTTTTTATCTATTTAAATCTTGCTTTATGAGTGTAGTACTTTTTCTGTAAAGAAATCTGACTGGTAGAATAATTTTTTGATTTTCCCAGAGGTTTTCATAATAAATGTGAAAAAACGTTGGAAAAACGGAAAAATGTATGAAATATACTAGTATTATTTTCAAATCCTAAATATTCAAAATGTTCGGAACCGAACTCCGCTCAGAATCATTTTTCGTTAGCAATGATTAATCATTGCGTACAAATATATATTAAATTTCCTCTCTACCTTATCAACTTCTCACCTAGAAAAGTGGTCCACCTATCGTGCGAAGTATGTCTGTTTGTTTATCAAACGACTTTATAAAAAAATTTAATTTTCATCATTATTTAGGATATAAATTTTGAATCTTGTTCTAATATCTAAAATGTAATAAATGAATTATAGTTATTATAGTTATCTAATTGTCATCTATATTATCAAAAGTCCTTTTTAGTTACAAAATAAACAAAAAGACGTCTTAAGATAATGAGGACGGGTGTACTGCACCCGGTGCAGCCATTGTTATAGGTAATTTAATGTACAACTGTAAGCAACGATAAAAACCATTGCTCACGAAAAAACGTTTCTAAGCGGAGTTCAGTTGATAGTAATGCTTTGTCAACAATATATATACCACATTATAGTAAAATAATTAAATACACTCTACATATTTTCTTTAATAATATTTGTTTAATGTTGTATACATTTTCCCGGTTTTCCCAATTTTTCACATTTGCTGAGAAAACTCCGGGGAAAATGAAAAAACGACCTCTTTAAAGTACCACCCCAGTGAACTTTCCTTACAGAAACATTGTTGTCATTAAAAGTTGGAGCGAAATTGCCGGTAGAAAAGTTATACACAGAAAAGAAATCGTAATATTATATTTCGTAAATTTTCCCGTTTTTTTTTTCGGTTTTTCGCATTTGATGAGAAAATTCTGGAGAAAGTTGAAAAACAACTTCTTAAACGTACTTCTTCATACCGATTTTCTTTCAGAAAAGTTATTACACGTAAAAATCGGACCAAATCCTCTGGTAGAAAAGTTGTCCACGGAAAAAAAAAATAAAAAAATATAAAACCATAAGTTTCTTCACTCCACTCAGAATCTAAAAACCATTAAAAACATAATATGTATATATTGTATCAAATATAATATTTTTAAAGTAAAAACCAGTAAATTTTAAATCATTTTGCCTAATGGCTATGTTTACCATAACCCTGGCAATAGTGTTAGGTAAATCGAATAGCTAACCCAACTGAAATAATAGGACAACGAATAAGTTATACGCAAAGTACACTACAATAATAATAATAATATATTTTAAATTAAAATCGACACACAAAATAATCATACAAGCGTAAAAAGTCTTTTTGAATAAATAAATAATTTAAACTTAACTACGTTTAATATTTGCGTATTATGAATACAATAGTAATTAAACTTATGAATCTAATAGGTACTTTACGTCAATATTGTACATAACGTAAATGTAATAGGAAAAAAAAGCGGAATCCAAACGCCACGCATGGACGATTAAAATAAAAATAAATTACCGTGTTGTCATTATATCGGTTAGTTAGATAGCTAAATTACAATTTATAGGTAGCCAATAGCAGGTTTATATAGATTTAAAATAAAATGATATCCCGCCCGCGAGCAATTATCTCGGGACGCAGGCAAATGACATTTATCTGGCCTCGGATAAGTAGAATTGATATCCAGATAAAAAAGAGAGCATTTTTTTGTTGTTTTTACATATAAAATTATTTATTGTTAAGAGTATTATAACGAGGGGTAAACAATTTTAAACCAGTTTTTTAACCAAATCCCTCTACAATTATATTTAATATTTTATACAATTTATATTCAGGCCCGTTTTTGGAGGGGAGGGACAAGTGTACGTATTATTTATATTATATTGTATATACTATTATTGTATAGTACTTAATTATTATAATTGAGATGTACCTAGGTAAAAATGTTGTCATATGATACCATGTGTGGGTTCTGCCTTCAAATGTTTATGTTAAAAATTCGTGAAAACCGTGACCAATTCAATTGCCATTTATTGTTAAATTCTTAATCAATTCAATTTTCTGCAGAATATCATCGCGTCATTGTCTATGAGAAAATAGTTATATAACCATTATAAAAAATTTTCGGGAAGGGGGATAAAATATGTTATCCCGAGGTGTTAAATTTCCTAATAACTGGCCCGTTTATACTTCAAGTAAAATATTTTATAATTATTATTATTTATGTATTTTAGGTTTGTGTATATTTTTATCTAGATAATTAATGAAAAGAAGAATATTTTCGTTTGATTTAGATAATCCTCAGATAGAAAATAATATGGTTTTTTCGTCTAGATGTGCTAAAAGATAGACAAATAGGTATGAACTAGATTAATAATTTATCTAGAGAAGTCTAGAACACTGTTTGTCGTTTTAGAGTATTTAAGACCTATCTTAACAAAACGATCCGTAATCTTAGCACCCGTACACAAGTATGTTTTAAATATAAATATCAAATATGTATTACGGTTAGGTATAAATATGTGTTTTTTTTTTTTCATTTAGCGAATATTTCCACTTAAATGTATAATATTAAGTGTCGGAATTCGGCGGCGCGGTCGTGTGATGTTCGAGGATCGTAAAGTCCAATAATATAAATCTCGGCAAAATTGGCGTCATAAAAAACGTGTGTTATAAAAGTACCATAGGTACCCAATGAGTTTTAGAAAATGTTCGTGTTTTATTGAGTTAGAAAGCAATTTTTGCGGCACGCGTTTTACAGGAGTGTTATAAAATCCATTGCTCGAAATATTAATTTATTATTCAGTGCATGATTCACAACCGCGTGTGAGTGTGCGTATACTTTTAGTATTTAATAAACTGCGGAAGGGGAGGGGCGGCGACATTGAGTTTCAAAATTCCGGACTAAACAAACGGGATTTTTTTTTTTTGTTTTTTCCGTCAACTCGTTAGATTAAAAAATTCCTATACAGTCATAAACATTTAAATTAGTCGAATTTCGCTTTAAATACTTATAGAAAACGTCGACTTAAAATTAATCTAAACTGGAATAAACGTCTGAAATGCGTGGGCCCTTCTTCTCAAACTAAATTGTTTTACATGTTATACTGTTTAATTTGTATTTGCACGCAAATCGTATTATCTGTCGACCTATCAGAGTTGAAATCGATTAGCCGAGTCAAAAGAATGTGTTTGAAAAAAAAAAAAAACAAATATATTTAATGAAATTTAAAAAATTATCTAACACAAAAAATGTTTACGAAGAATAACGTTTACGACACACGATTTTTACAAAACCCGAATTTACGCTTACTATAATCTTTATTTTCATTTAAGGAGCCCAAAGAAATCGATTACAGTTTTATTTTAGTTTTTTTTTTTTTTCTTTTTTAATGAAAGAATCAGCGGCATACCTAGGGCGGGCACAAGGGGATTGCCCTTTCTTCTTTGAGAACTATTTGTATTATTTTTGTTTTTAATGAAAAACACGATTTTCGCTATCTACTGATTGCATTTTTAAACATCTATACTTCCGGTTTTTTTTTCATCTGATACTGCGTGCGCAATAGTAAAAAGCATGATTCGAACTCTCCCTCCTCGGGTGCACCACTGAAACGATTGATTTTTCGGAAACAACTTTTTTAGAGACAAAAAAACAAAAAAAAAAAAACCATAATCCTAAAGCCGTCACCGGTTAATGTGCGGAGAATAATGTCGCACGTAATGACGTCACAACCCGCAGCCGATAAAAAAAAAACGTCCACACGCTGGCCACCGTAGTCGATCCCACGTTTAGTTCGGATAATAAATTGCCGAAGAACACATAATAATAATAATAATAACAATAATATTTTGCGTATTGACTAAGGATTAAACCTGACCTACCGCCTAACACAAACTAACTCGCGTGAATAGTTTTTTTTTATTTATAGTAGCTGTTGTCCCAGACGACCGGATTCCGGTTGACGGACGACGCGTACTCGTTGACGGCAGCCTCGTAAATGGACTCGGTGGCTCGATTTCCGCGCGACTTGTGAGCCACGTACAACCAACACGCGAATATGACGAACACCTGGAGCAGGACGAAGGCGATTAGCAGCAGCACGAACGCGCACGTGTTCCAGTACAGCGAGCTAGGGTTGTCCGGGTTGTTGAAATTGATCTCCCGGCCCGGTTCGCCGCCGCCGCCCATTTGGGCTTCGAATTTAAACTTGTCCTCGATCCGGATCTCCTGGAACACCACCTCGTCGGACGTCCGGTTTTCGACGCTCCGCTTTCGTCTATAAAAATAGAGATAAAAAAAAATTAGACCGGGACGGTCTTTTTATTTATTTTTTTGAAGGTAACATTTTAACGAATCCCGTGGAAAAATTGCGTCCTTGAACACAAACGCAAAATTTAAATTTAAATTCAGCAATAAAAAATAAATGTTCACTAGAATTCGCTACAGAGTTTGTTTACAACGTGATTAATCGTCGCATTCGGGATTTAAACTAAACCGTGTTCTTTATATATAATACATATTTATTTATCCAACCCGCCACTCATTTCCGTATATATTACACACCCGGGTACTTTTTAGATTCCGAGTGGAGCGAAGAAGCTTATGGTTTTATAAAGATGTTTATTTATTTATTTTTTCTCTGGATTATTTTCTACCAGAAATTCTGATCCAATTTTTAAGTGCAGCATCTTTTCTGAAAGCAAATCGGTGTGACTCCCCATACCTTTGTAAAGTATGAAAGTACTTTACAGAGATAATTTTTCGATTTTCCCAGGAGTTTTCTTAACAACTTTTCTACCAGCCATTTTGCTCCAGTTTACAATGATAGCAGTTTTTCTGAAAGGAAATCTGACTGGGAAAGTACTTTAGAGAGGTTACAGTGATGCTTTGTCGACAATATATATGATAATATTTATGTGTCTATTTAATATTTAAATAGACATTATATATTTTCTTCAATAATATTTTTTTAATATTGTACCGATTTTTCCGTTTTTCCTGGTTTTCCCATATCTTTCTCCGGTTTTTCAAATTTGTTGAGAAAACTCTTGGGAAAATCGAAAAGTGACCTCCATAATGTACCTTCCCAGTAAGATTTTCTTTCAAAAAAAAGTGCTATAATTGTAAATCGGAGTACTATTGCTGGTGAAAAAAGTTGCGCACAAATAAAAAAAAAAAAAATATGTATCTTTGTAAAACCATAAACTTCTTCGCCCCACTCAGAATCTAATAGTAAACTAGTATAAGGTAAACAGTGACGGAAAATCTGTTGTGACTCGGCACAGTAATACTGAAAAACATAAATAAACAGTTATTACTTATCATATAATGAAAAATGAAAATACAAAAAACACTCAAGTTCTACTGCAGCTACTATATAGCCTTAAACTCCAAAAAAGTGTTTATTCTCTCAACATTTATATAAAGCATTATTGTCAGTAAACATATAGCTCTTCACACTATTAATAACCCCGGATTAAAATTATTTTCGGAAAAGTATACATCAAGAAAAATCCTTAGTAAACATATTTATGACGATTTTGTGTAAAAAACGAAATAAATAAGTGTATGTTTAGTACTTTTTAAGAGCATTAATTTTCGAGTCCTAGTCATTAGTAACAGTTTGGAGAAAAGAAATGGGGAAAAGGTCACAGTTTGTTTTCATCATACATCGTTAAATCGTTGTGATAACATACATCAATATACGATGTTTTGATAATAGTAAATAATAAACAAGACAGGTATACACGAATAATAACTAATACAGGGTGATCAATCTATCGTAAGACACTCATTATCTCATATAGTGTTAACTCTTTCCGAAATTTGTTTTAAAGAACATTTAAGAAACAAGCTGTTATAAAATGTAATATTTACACTATTTTTTGTCACCATGATTTTCAGGGATGAAACGACTACTTACTTTTGATTTTCAAATGGCAACTTATACTAAAATATCCATAAATAAACGGAGTAGTAGTTGAAATTAATTTTGGTGTTTAAATTTGTAATTTCCGTCAATCTATTGACGAGAAATTCCACTTTTAAGTTTGGGTCAGGGGAAAGTAGTGGAGTAGTGGAGAACCACTAATCCATCTGTTTATGGAATTTTTAATATAGGTTGCCATTTGAAAATCAAAAGTAGGTAGTTGTTTCACCTCCAAATATTAGGGTGACAGAAAATAACATAAATGTTAAATTGCAGAGCTGTTTGTTTTTAAAATTGTCTATAAAACGAATGTCGAAAAAAGTTAATACTTTCCGAGATAATGAGTGTCTTATGATAGATTTATCACCTTGTGTAGTATCAGCGTTTCTGTGAATGTATACCCGCGTTTCAAGTCAAAAAGTTTTTACTATACGCATTGTCAAAAAACCAAGAAGTGAATACACGTATACCCATATTCTACGTTTTTGATGCGTTTTCTACTATTTCCGTTGTATACGCGTATTTTTATACAATAAAGTATACCCCAAAATGGCGTGCAAGATTAAGTGGAAGTCAGGAGTTCTATTCCATCCCTTTTACTGGCATACAAATACAACAACTAGGCATATTTATTTTGTAAACAGTAATGTAATATTAAAATGTCTACATATTACTTTTATTTATTTTTTCAACCCTAAGATTGATTTACAACTCCAATTCTCCATTCTGACTGATTGCTCAGCCTTTCATTGAATTCCTTAAAAGTTTTGGCTCCTGCATCCCATGTCCTGCAGTTTTCTTTCCTTCTATCATACCCTCTAATATTATATTATGCAACTCTTCTGGGTGTCTCAGGGCATGTCCGACCATTTTCTACCGCCTTGCTCTAATCACATCTATGAGTGTACGTTTTTCTCCCACAGTTCTAAGTACTTCTTCATTTTTTTTCTGTTCTATCCAACTTATTCTTCCATATGTCTCAAACACCACATTTCAAAGGCTTCTAGTTTTTTCTTTTCGGTATTATTTATTACCCAAGTTTCACATTCATATGTTGCAACACTCCATACATATGTTTTAATAAGTCTCTTCTTGATATTGGGATGTAACTTTTTTTAAGTCAACAATTTATGTTTTTTACTAAAGGCAGTTGTTGCTTATGCTATACGTTGTTTTATCTCGGTTTCAGCATAATTTTACGATAATGTATTTTAGCCGAATTACACGGAAAAACTGGCTTATTGACTATAGAAATTGGCTTTTTTAGATCCGGCTTTTAAATAGTTACACATAATCGGGTTGATGGATAAAGACAATAAGATTTTTCGAAGTATTCGCGATTCTTGATTGTTTGCTGCGTCTCTTACTCCCATTGCGAATTTCCGGGCACGCCACTGTGGGGTACCGGCAATACTAATTTACTCATTTTCACTCGAATTTTTTACAGAATCGAGTCGAGAAAAGGAAACGAATTGGAAATATTGTCGTACATGCAATTTTTTTTTCGAGTTCATGGGGAAATGTAATTATTATTCGGGTCACCGTCACGCGCCGTCTCGTTTCCGTGGGCCGCTTGATGACAGCAGCGCGAACTTTACGACCGATTCGTGTCGTTTGTTTTTTCCTAGACGACGACAAGTTTATCTCTAAACTATGTAATCTATCACTGTGTATAATAATATAAGTTGTAATAATATACGTGTCCTGCAATATAATATTAACATGTAGGTTTTATAATCTCTATCGCATTGGGACGAACACGAGTTTACCGGTATCGGAAATCATATTTATCGCTCATTGTATAATATTGTATACGAGTACGTTATAACATATTGAATACAGCGATGACGACAGTATTATCGATAAGCAAAAAAAAAACAATACCCGAGAGCAACAGAGCCAATTGAGTCGAATAACTTTCTACCACTCTTCCCTATCTATTTTGTATAACAGTAGAACAATTAATAACCCAGCACTATAATAATATACAACAGTATACAATACAATACACTATACAATTGAGCGATTTATGGGAAAAAAAAAATTGTGAAATTTGATCATGGAAAAATGATAAAGATAGGGGATGAAAATTGTAGCTACCAAAAGGTTTATTTTTGATATTAATTTGATGAGTATAGACAATTTCATCACCCTGGCTTCATTTGAAGGGTCTGTAAGTGTGTTTGAAGATGAAAAAAAAAGCCGGATAACTTGGCACGTAGGTGCAGCCACTATTATAGGTGAGAAGTTGGGGAGGTAGTAGAGGGGAAATTGAATGTATATCTGTAACCAACGATAAACCATTGCACGAAAAAACTATTCGGAGAGGAATTCGGCTGATAGTATTGTTTTGTCTATAATATATAATATATCATGGTAAAATGATTACAAAATTAATGTGGTGCGTTTCCATGAAAGCAGTGATTGTTATAAAAAAGATAAAAATAATAAGAACTTAATAATAACAAAAAATAACTAAAAACGGTTGCCAATAACAACCTTATTTTTAATCTTTCAATCATTTTTAACCTCTAAGAATCTTGTCTTCCTCATTATCTCGAATATTAATGAGAACTTCAAAAAATTACCTCTGTAAAGTACCATCCTGAGAACATTCCCTTTCAGTAAAACTGCTACAATTGATGATCAAATTAAGCTTTGGTAATACGGTAAAACAATTACATATGCATTAAACATTTTCTTTAATAATATTTAATAAAATAAAAACAAAATTATTGAAATGGTTGATACTCGTAAATAAAGAAATATATTTAATAATATTTGTTTAATATTGTACCTATATATTTTCCCGTTCTCCCGGTTTTACCATGTTTTTTCCCGGTTTTTCCCATTTACTGGGAAAATCAAAAAAAAAAACTTTCCTAAAGTACCACCCCAGTCAGATTTTCTTTCATAAAAAATGCTATCATTGTAAATCGGTGCAAGGTTTATGGTAGAAAAGTTGTTCGCTGGTAAAAAAAAAAAATAAAAAAAAAAAACCAATGTAAAACTAATATATTCCTCACTTCACTCAGAATCTAAAGACTGTTACTCGGGATTGTATTGTACCCTGCAGACTACAGCGTGGAATGCTTAGACAAACTCAGACGGGTCGTAAAATATACGGAATCGGCTATACACAATATTATAGGAGGTATCTGCAGCAGCTGCCAGTCTAGACAGCGCTTTTTATTGATCCGAACACGGTCGACGTGTAAACGACAGACAGCAAATAATTTATAAATAATAAAGTTAGGTAATACACTATAAAACGATGACGGTAACCTGCAGAAGCAATCAAACGGGGGTATAAGGTACGGGTAAACGTAGTTAAACGGAACTCGCGGTGACATGGTTATTATTCCGACCTTTGGGACCGCGATAAATTGAAATCGGATTTCAATAATTAAATACATCCATCTTTAGCCATATTATAATCGAGCAACATTCGCTGACAAAATTTAATGCAATTGTATACATTCTCGGTGATATATTTGAATTTGTGAAATTGTTTCAGCCGAATTTACGATGGGGCCATTAGCTCAAATAAAGGGGCGTGATAAGGGATCTTTAGCATTATATCCAAGTTAAAAATTAGCACTTTCAAAATCCCCAATAAGATTTTTTTTTTTTTAAAGTATCGACTAAATATTTTATCCGTATAGGTATTTCATAAATAAAAATCAGAATAAAATACAAATTACCCACAGGAAATGCACGTGTGTATCTTTTATATGAAAAACTGTAAAAGAAATTAGATTCTGAGTGTAGCGAAGAATGTATTGGTTCTACAAAAATGTTTATTTTTTTAATATTTTTTTTTTCTGTTGAACACTATTCTATCAGTAATTTTGTTCCGATTTACAAGTATAACAACTTTTCTGGGAAGAAATCTGACTGGGGTTATACTTTAGGGAAGTCACTTTTTAATTTTCTCAAGAGTTTTCTCATGAAATGTGACAATCCAGAAAAAAACATGGAAAACTAGGAAAAACGTAGGGTAAAAACGGTAAAATCGATACAACATTAAACAAATATTATTAAAGAAAATATATTGAGCCTATTTAATTATTTTACCATAATATGACATATATATTGTTGACAATGCATCGCTATCAACTGAACTCCGCCCAGAATCGTTTTTTCCTAAGCAGTGGTTTATCGTTGCTTACACGTATACATTAAATTCTCTTCTATGTCCTACCTTCCTAACTTTTCACCTACACTAATAGCTGCACCCATCTCTATTAGTCTAGGTCAGATTTTTTTTCTTTTTACTTTTATGCGTTAAAATATCGTGTATATTAGATATTATCAAACTGACATATTGTTATGGGTGCATTTTATTTTTAAACTTTGAGAAATATTGATCATATAGAACCGTACTGCGTTTATAATGACCGTACCAGTGTTTCATAATTATTCGTACTTGGTTATTCATTTTTACATGATGTATTGTTTATATCATATAATATAGTCAAATAAATCATGATTGTTTTGTAAACTGTAATGGACTCCAATACATTTTGTAAGTCTTGAGCATATTATATAGATGGATTTGATTCATTTTTTTTTTTTTTGAGTAGGAAGGGGCTAGAATAGCTCGAATATATGCTAAGACTGGAGAAATACAAATTTCATGGGATTTGGATGGTTTGGATAGGCTGTGTGTCCCTAGCCGCTCCCGATCTCAACCTGCTATTAAACTCCTACAAAATTCTGTATTTATCTCAACCCCTCCCACTCCGAAATTACTTGAAGACGAAAAATTGTATTTTTACACTCAATATCAAACACCGGAAGAAAAACCGATATCATAATGCTCATTAGACTTTTTCTTTTCTTATAGTCAAACCCCGGGTGGCGAATTATCGTTTAGTTATATCATGTAGAGTAACGAAGATATAAAAGAATACGACGAATCATAAATAATATAAATTATGAAAATCAATTTTTTTTAAAAATAGGGCCAGATTACGTTATAATGTATCGTATGGTTACCTTCCGAACGAGTCGGCCCGGCGGATGGCACCGTTGTGGCTGACCACGTTGCAGTTGATGGGCTCGCACTTGGGCAAGCACGGCGTAACCAGAGCCTTGAACTGGACAATGTCGGACGTGGGGAACTTGAACGCGTCGAACGGCGCCTCGAGTATCTTGACGGTGCCGCCGGTGCCCGTGTCCACTGCCGATATGGGACCCATGATGGTGGGGTCCGTCGGACAACCGTCGCCGTCAATCAGCAGTATCTCGCTGGCGTCCACGCCGTCCAGGGCGATCAGCTCCCGGACGAATATCTCGTACGGCGACCGGTCGTCCAGTATGTGAAACCGGAGGCTGAGCGGGTCGCCCACCTGCGCGGCGTGTATGTCACCGCCCGCCCTGTTGGTGATGCGCATCATCACCGTCGGCGATATAACAAAAGCCGTCTCCTCGACGCCGTTGCCGCTCGCGCCGCCGCCGACACCTTTGTCCGCGACGCCCAGCGCGTCCGATTCAGTGCCCCCGGGCCCGGTGGCCGGAGCCATGGCCAGCTCGATGCCCTGGCCTACGCTCCGGTTCTGCAGGTCGTACGAACACCTCACCGACAGCCCGATGTCCTGGCCCGTGACGATCTGGTCGTGGTGCTGCGAAACCATTTGGGTGAAAATATTTTAATTCAATGTAATATATAGTAATATAATAATAACATGATATCGAAGTAATTTATAATGTTAACGAATGCGATTTTTTTTTCTTATCCGAACTTGGTACTGGGATAGTACTTTGGAGAGTCATTTTTTGATTTTCTCTGGAGTTTTCATAACAAATGAAAAAACCCGGGGGGAAAAAGTAGGAATAACGAGAAGATTTGAGAAACGTATTATTCTTGAATCATAAATATTACGGCCTTTCAAAACACGTGTAACCGAACTCCGCTCAGAATCGTTTTATATCACAGACCTAACCTCTAAGGTATTGACAAACGGAGTGAATTTTCTGGTATGGAAGTAGTGAAAAGACGGAAAATGAAAAGGCAGACGTATTTCACCCGTGGGTGGGCCACTTTTGAAGGTGAGAAGTTGGAAAGGTAAGATATCAAGGGGAATTTAATGTATATCTGTAAGCAGAGATTAATCATTGCTCACGAAAAACGATTCTGAGCGGAGTTCGGTTAGTAGTATTACTTTTTCAACAATATATTATGTACGTCATATTATAGTAAAATAAATATGTATCGAAACAATTTGCACGGACCAGCATAGGCGTGCGCAGGAATTTTTCGTGGGGTGTGCAAAATAATTTTTATAGGGACTCTACTACAATCCAGTAACATAATTGCCTCTATGTTACAATAATTCAAATTTAGTTTACAACTTGTACTTGTATTAATATTGAAAAGAAGAATATTAGACATAAATTTAATACATTGTTTAAAACTTTTATTTATGGCCTGTATTTGTTTATAATTTAAAAACAATTATTAATTTACATGCGACTAATTTTACATTGGTGTGATTATTTTACACCAAAAACGTTGGTTTTGAAATGAAATACCAGTGTACACCAGAACGCAATCACGACAGTACGACGCTTTAACACTTTAGTGTACAGACTAATTTTTTCAAACAAACAAAGCTAATGACTGACGGGTTATCAGTTTTTAATATAAAAAAACAATTTTTTTTTTTTTTTTTATTTGTACCTATATTAGATTTATTATACATTTTAATTACAATTAATAACTATAATATTTGCAAATAAATCGAATATTAAAGCAGACACAATTGTTTGCAGGGCTGCACACCCTGCACACTCCGTGCGCACGCCTTCGCGAACCAGTAACTAGATTTGTTCCACATCGTTTTTCACTAAAACGATTTTCGTAAAAATGTGATATTACGTCTTCTGATACAGATCATATTAAATTTGATAGGAAAAAAATAAATAACCTATACAAATATTAGACTTCCGTTTCATATCTATTTATATAATTATCGCTTAATTATCAGGATAAAACCACAAAAATATGTATTGTTAAATTTATTACGAAACGATTGTATTATTCTGAAAATTCGATGAGATCAACTGCGTCTAAAATATTTTTTTAACGCGTTAAACGAAATGCACGGGATGCGTTTGCATAGGTACCCTAACGTCCCGCAAATAACGCCACTGTATACAATATATTATATAGGTACTTAATAAGTATATAGTCGATAATAGCGCGCCCGTGAAATATGTCAGTTTTCGATTAAACACATTTTACGGCTGTAATAGCCGATAATGCGAAAATGCATGGACACGATGAAAAAAAAAAAAAAAAATTAAATAAAATAACGGTCCGATCGATTTTTATTCGACATTGTTATCATCATTCAATAATATTGTACATTATACCCTGATGTACCGACGGTCGGGCGCATATAATGGTTAGTAATTGGTTAAGGAGGAGTATCGTGAGATGAACGGTAAAAAAAGACCAACAATTTAAAAATTCTAAATTTATTAATTAATTATGAAAATTAAAAAAAAAATTATTTTATATAGTTTTTTTAAAATATTTGAATGTAAAAATTATGTTTCTTGAAAAATGTTGGTTTTTTAATTGTAAAAAATTATACGATGAAATGTATTTTCAAAAAATTCCAAATAATGAGCGGTTGCAATATATCTTTCATTCCTTTTACTCATTGAAATCACCTATGAAGACCTTTTCATAATTGTATGCTATTATTTGATGAGTGAATTAAATTTAGTCTGTCAAAAGTCACTAAAATGTTAAAATGTTCTAGTGTTTTAATATAAATTATATAATAATATCATTTTTTATCAATGATTGTATTTAAAATTTTAAAATTGTTGTTCTTTTTTTTTTATTCTTTTTTCCGGGATTTGTACGGTGAAATAATAATAACGATATGTGATTTTGACGAGAGTTTGGATTTTTTCGACAAATAATATTAAACAGGAACCATAGACGAGGGGAAAATGTCGTCGGTTCTGTACGCGCGACGAAAGCCAATTTGAAAATATATGATAAGGTGACCAGGGGCACCGTATACAGGGGGCCTTTGGAGGTGCAGCTCTCTGAGAGCTCGATAAGACGGAGCTCAGCCAACACGGTTCTCAGGTTTTAAAAAAAAAAAATTTAATATTTGTCATGTACATCCTCAATACTAAATTTATAACAAATTAATTGCGAAAGACAAACTTTTTTTGTTTTTTTTTTTAATATTGATAGCAAAGAAAATGTGTAGATTTTGGTAATCGACCTGCAGGTCCTTGGTTAACTGCAGTGTTGGGCATTTTTTAATTTCTGTCTTGCGGTTTTTCACGATGCTAATACTGTTAATACGTGTGTTGCAAAATAGTGAGTCCCCGCCACCACCGTGAGATTTTCAAAACCCGGCGGCTCTGCGAAGGGACGACCGCGCATCGAAATGCAGGGAATTCAACGATTTTTTCAATGCGTCTTTAAAATTTTTCTATCGGATTAAATTGCCGGCGCACAATATTACATTAGGTACCTAGCCAGGAATACGGCCTATAAATTATATTATGATTAATTCTGATGGCGGCGTGTGTCCCCGCGAACCGACCGAACCATAATAATAACGATAATATAATATAGGTGCCTGCTACTATGTTGTACGCATAATAATATCATACTTTCCGAACAAACGATAGGATGTTATTATTGGAATTACCGTGCAATTTCGAGGGAACGCAATCGATGAAAATATATCAAGGTCACGAAAAACGTTCGGAACAACATTGTTAACATTGTTGTTGCGTCTTATGTATGCGTATATATTTGTGCTACGTAATTGAATTCCTATGCATACGCAATTATAGCGCAATTTCCAATAACCGACGAGAAATCTAGCGGACGGGGGCGAAAAAATAGTCGAAATAAGTGTTGCGTTGCGGGGGCCGACATCGCGGACCATCGTCATCATAACGAAATCAAATAAAACCAATCGTCGAGGTACATATCATGTACATTAAGCGGTTAAAGCTGAGGGGAACGGAATCCTCCCTTCTTATTATTTACGGGGAAATTATCCGCTCGTCTTCAGCTCAAGCCATCGGAGTCGGGTGGGGACGCTTCGTATAGTTATTGTCACCTAGGTATTTTCAATGACGTTTAAAAAACTCGTATTAGTCCTGTTAAAAATAAATTATTTAATTATACCCATTGAATTGTGTATACCTACGTAATCCGACTCTGTTTTAATTTATTTTTACTGAACTAGTTAACAGGCTTACTGGAGTGTGGCGAATACAGGATTTCGCGAAGAAGGCAATTAATGTTAAATTATTGTGTCAAATTATATTTTATAAAGTGTACTTAAAAAAAAAAAAAAAAAATTAGAAAAAGATAAATGTATGGGATATTTATTTTCGGAAGTAATTTATAATTCAATCTGTTCTAAAATTACCATTGAAATCAAATAACTAGAACATTTTAATATTATTAATTTTTATTAGTTTATTATTCACTCTTCTAATCTCCTTCACATTAAAGTGGTTTGGATAGGTTTCGTTTTTAAAAATGAAATATACCTATGAGTACAGATTTGTTTAAACAATTTTTTTTATTTTTCTGACTATAAAGTAAAGAAATTTCGATTTAAAAAAATAGGTATTCTTACAAAAAATAAATACTAAAATAATGTCAAGAGAGGGGAGTCTTGATTTCCCCCCTTAAAGATGCCACTGCAGACATATATTATGCAAGTAGGATATTTTGAAGAAGAGAGGGCTGTTTATTTTTTAATCCTATTAACATAACATTTTTATGAACAAACGCACGTGGAATGAAAACATTTTCAAAGTCTTGTCTCCATGATTTTCTGAAAAATTGATTGGGTTAAGTCAGTTCTCAGGGAACGCTTATTTTTTAGAAAACGTAGCGCCTTTCGAAGTGGTTCTCATTTTCTCCACTCTATATAATTTCACTATACATGCTAATATTAGACAGCGTGTTCAACGATACAAATTTCTGATCGACGAATTTTACATTTGATTCGTTTTCATAAGTGATTATTTGCATAGGAGAGAGGATATTTTCAATAATACTACAGTTGTCCACCAAGAATGTAATATTATAATCACTCATCGACAATTTATGCTTGAACTAAAAAGTATACTTTAAAGAACACATCAGAATAATTTGTAATTCAAACGGACGAAGATACAAAAAATACAGTTCAAAAGTCAAAAGTACGATTTCTATCTTGAAAACAATATTATCTATAACGGTAGTCATCCACCATTAAAAAAGAGTGGGCATTAAATTAAAAATTGTATCTCGTGGTATTTAACCGATTTTCATTAACTAATAAATATCTGTGAATAGAGAGTTTAAGAGTCTACGACTTTCTTAACCTTACCTGTAGCTAAAAAAAACAATAGTTGAGAGGGGTTATAACATCCAAAACCTCCCCTGGCTACCCCCTCGTGTATATTATGCATATTATTATAATCTGCAAAATATGCATCATTGAAATGAAGTAAAAATATACTTATTTCGTATGAGACAAGGATGTGATATTGCGATAATGCGGGGAATGATATTTTATTGTGATTAGAGTGATGGGAACCAACGAGAACGTCGCGTTCGGCTGCGGCGCGCACCGGCCGCACGTATATACAGTGACGTCACCAGGATTTTTTTGGGGGGTGTTTTTATTTTGTGTTTAAATGTAACTTTGTAACTTTATTATGCACATGTAACGCATATATCATATTATATACTTGACAATTATCTATGCACAACCGCAGCATATAGTAGAAATTATAATGTTTGGCATGAATATAACCGAAGAGGGGGAAGGGTGTTTGAAAACACCAAAACACCTCCCCCCGCTACGCCACTGCCGTGTGTATATGTATAATGTCAAACCTGGATAATGATTTCGGTGAAAAACTTTCCGGGATGATCCTGCCGGACGTCACAGTTCAGGTTGTGGTAGTCCAAGTGCAACTCAAAGTCCAGCGTGTTCTTCACGTCGTTGACGCAAGAGTTTGGCCTGTTTTTGGCGTACACCTTGCCGTCGAACAACCGGTTGGTGTGTATGGCGGCCACCATATCCTTGCCGCGGCAGTCGATTTTCACGCTGAAGCACGACGACATCTGGTACGTCGTGGCCCCGGCGACCGGCGTGTACGGGTGCTCGAGCTGCGACAGACTGGACATGCTGTGGTGCGATATCCGGCACACGTTGACGCCCGTTTCGTTGTAATCGAACGAGTGGCACTGGAACTCTTTCGCCGCCAGACAGATCTCCTTGCACCGGTCCATGGTGGGCACGTTCTCGAATATGGCGTCGACCGTCTTCAGAAGCTTGCCGGAGATTTCCGTGAAGTCGCACATTTTCGGTTGCTCGACCACGCAGTTTGATTCCATGTAGTCCATGACGCTCGCCGACCTGTTGTTGACTGACGGGCGCCCGGACACCGTGAACCTGTCCACGTCGTTTAGATAACAGTCGCCGGTCTCCTTGTTGAAGTTAATCGACCTGTAACGAATCAAGTAATCGTGTCAGCGGTTACTGTACTTAACGTATACTCGGTGTTTTAGACAACCTATACGACAACCTATACCGAACACTCAACGAAGTTTGATCCGTCGGATATTTACTGCAATTACATTTGCGCGTTTTGAATAGGAGAAAACGATTAAAATCTAGCCGAGGAAGCATTAAATAATAATTTGTATCGAGATAACGAAATAAACATAATCACAAATTGTATATCACATATTTCGCACAAAAATCACATATTCACATATTATTTGTCGATTTTTAACTTCATGAGATGTGTGTTTTTTAATTTTTACTGGTGTTTTTAGATTCTGATCGCATTGGATGTTTTACTGTGATACATTATTATGTGCTGTTTTTATTTTTCTGTCTGTAAAAAATTTGTCTATATCAGAAATCTGACTCCGACCGTCAATATCAGAAATGGTTTCTACTTTCTAGTGCCTAGAAAATTTTTTTATAAATTAAAATTCTTTTAGTTTATGAATTCGTACTCAAAATAAGTCGTGCGATAAATTTTCTTCGGCGATCTTGTGCCACGCCTAATTTTCCGCGACCAATATTGTTTGTGTCCAATTATATTGTCAAGGGCAACAATTATTATACATACTATTTTTAGGTACAGCTTATAAGAAGTATAATACATGCGACTATAATAGTTTTTTTACCCACCAACGCTACTATAAGTTATCTAATATCCAGTTTCCATATTTCCCTTCGGTTAAACAAATCCTATAAAATATACTGTTCTACTATAATTTATACCATTATATCGGTACAGTTTATTATTTTACCGCGTTAATAAACAATAGGCGACGAATTTCATCAATATTTTATTGCTATTTCGATATAGGTAATTTACGTTGCATGTTTAAATCGTAAATTCGTATGAGCGTATGACCGTTTAGGAGAAAAAAAAGTGATACACCAACACACAGGTGTTTCTGCAGCAGTATAGTTTGGTAGGTACGTGATAAACAGCAGTAGCAATTTAGGAAATTGCTTTATAGAAGAAAAAAAAAAATCAAATATAATAATAATTGCACTTAAACGCGAATCTGTAATATAGAACACAGAAAATGTCGATAGGTTTCGTTTTCCGACCGCGCCATCGGGTCTCGCGCCTATGCGGGCCCCTTTCGAACCATTACTCATATAATACTATTCATGAAATTTTTTACTCGAAAGGATGCTGAATGTCCGGAATGTACTTTTCTTCGAGTTAAATACTGACACCCACGCGATAAATAAAAAAAAAAATGTCACCGGTCGCCGCAAATCGTTCCACCGGCACTAGACAATTTGCATTCAACACTTAACAAATGTAAAATAAATTTAATACACGGTGCTCGCGTTAAACTGGTATTCTTAGGTATTTGATATTTCTGTATAATACTCGTATATGTATACGAGTGTAGTATCGGGAAACGGTAATTGAAATCGGTATTATTTATTATTTTTCTGAGGGCGTTATTTTTGTGTAAATCAATATAAAACGCGAGAGTAGTTCAAAAAAAAAAACACTCGTAAGCTGCAACACGGTTCCGTCACTCGAGTAGTCAAATTTTTCACCGTCTATTTCGTGTACCAATTATAGAAAAAAATATTCTTTGTAAAATAATAATAACTGAATATTATACAGTTATATACTTACTGTCCTATATAGGTACCGAAAAATCTGAAACTATATTATAGCTATTTGAAATAATCGTGAAATCCGATCATAATAGTGAAAGTCGAAACCCCCGAAAGGCACATCGCTATTCATAATAACGTCGCGCGTATACAAAATCGCATTCACCCGGCTTCAATTGTAGGGGTCTGCAGTAGGGACGTTCGATAATTAAAACCTGCATAGATGCCTCCTTTTGCATCAATTGAAATTCAATCAGAATTGTATACATCACTTAGATCAGCCTACCAGGCGATCCATTTAAGTGGGTACATTCATTATCGCGGAAAGTATTAACTTTTTTCGGAATTTGTTTTCTAGAACATTGAAGAAACAAGTAGCTCTACAGTTTTATATTTATGTTGTTTTTTGTAACCCTCATATATTTGGACGTAAAACCAGTACCTACGAGTAGGTTGATTTTGATTTTCAAATGACAACCTATATAAAAATGAATAGACGAATTATCCGTCAAATTGAATTTTAGTGATAACATTTTTGATTTCTGTTAAGCGATTGGCGAAATTTCCACTTTTAAGTTTGAGTTGGAGAAGAGCAGTGGAATTTGTGTGGCGGTACTGCGCGCGGCGTGTTAATAATGTATCACTATGCTGTCCTCCAATCCAAACTTAAAAGTGGAATATCTCGTCAACGGATTGACAGAGATCAAAAATGTCAAAACTAAAATTTATTATCGCTATTACTCCATCTGTTTATGGATTTTTTTAATATTGGTTGCCGTTTGAAAATCAAAATTAGGTAGTGGTTCAACTCCCAAAAATAACATAAATGTAAAATTGTAAAGCAGCTTGTTTCTTGAACGTCTGGAAAACAAATTCCGGAAAAAGTTAATACTTTCCGAGATAATGAGTGTACCCGCTTAAATGGATCACGTGGTACATAAAATAAAACCATTAATTCGCAAAATATCCCTGCAGTTCTTTCGGTCCAAGTAGGGAGCCGCCAAACGTATCCGAACGTAGCGCGCGAAAGATATTAATATGCAGACACAATACAGCGCGATCGATATAGTTACTATTTTCGATATTTGTTCTTGTTTGTATACGATATTATAGTTAATTTAATTTCCCGCCGCCCACCTCCCCGTAATATTGTTAACCGATCCAGTACAATGTAGGACAATATCGAACACAGAGCGAGTTACAATATAGTCGATATGGAATTAGTATACCTAGATAATAATAACGATTGTTTCGAGTATATGAAAGAGCGGTATGAGGGGGAACGAACATTTTCGCCACCCGTATATACGAAATATAATGTTATATTGTAGTAGAAAACTTCCTGGGGATAAAAAAAAAACACGTTACTGCCGACGGGCATGCTATTTCGGCGCCCATACGTAGGTATAATTTTCGAGGTTCGTATAAAATAATAATTGTTATTAATATTATTATCGTTCCACTGGAAAACGGTTCAAGATATCCCACACTGTTGTATAAACTGTTAATTTACCTATGTATTGTATACCAGTTATATTAATTTACGTTGTAGATATTTTTAATTCGCGGCTCTCCCGACGCGGTTTAAGTATACTGTAATGTATAGCGCTTGTGTACCGTTTAATAGTAATAATAATAATATATCCTGTGCGAATTTAATAAAAAAAAAAATAATAATAATAATAACAATAATATTATCATTATTATGCGCGGGCTTTAAACACGAGCGCAAACAGTGTATTAGGGGAAAGGATGTCGATTACACACGTTTTAAACCCGAAACGTCGTAAAACGCGCGTACAAACGCGAAAATCGGCACAAACATACGCACTATAATACCCGGCCAACCCACATTACTGTAAATCGCTAAGTTTCACAAAACCGACAAACCAAAGAAAACACGGTTTTTAAATATCCATAAAAAAATGTCTATGGTTTTGTAAAACGGTCATTTAATTTTTGACTCGGTCGGCTTTAGTTCGACGTGTTCGTCGTTAATTGAATCGACGCATTTTCGTGTTTTCGTTGTATGCTCGATAATAATATAATACCCGTGATAATATTATTTGAGTTGGTTTTTTTCTCTCTCCGGAATTCGATAAGCGTTTAAAATTCAATCGGTTAAATCGCGGTGTACCTATTATTGTAAAGAGGTTAATAATTTTTTTTTTCTGCCGATTTTCGTTTAAGTAACCTAATCCGCGATTAATAGTAAACATTGTTTCCGTATAATCTGACGTGTAATACGTGTGTTGTAGCCGAAATGTGTGAAATTCAATCATTTTGTATAGAAGGTTCTCCATTTCGTGAAACATAAACGGTCCGTAGTTCAACACTTCATGAAGTACGAAATTGTTTCACGAAATGACTATTTTGTCATGAATAACCGCTTGAATTTGATATTGTGTTCTAGTGTTGTACCAATACGCAATAATACGTCGTCGTCCAATTTGTGTAGGTACTGTGAGAAAACATTCACTGTACACAGACTCGCGAGTAGGATTTCTTCGTGTACGGGGTTATGAAAATAAATTCATCAATCATTTCAGAATCGTTATTTTTATTAATTTTATGCATAGGTAATAAAGTAATTTTGAATGATATTGGGTACACCTTATTTATTATATGTCTACATAGTAGTAAATCAATTCAATCGATAATATTAATTATAATACCCCTAGCTACAGGGGTGGATTTTTTTTTCATTTTTCCGTTGATTTTTTCCCCCATACTTATTTTCGGTAACTCACAAAGTGCGAAACAATACCTTTTCGCGGAACGGACAACTATTCGTAATTATATCGAATTCACAACGTGGCCACGACACGAGTTGTAGTACATCGTAATATACTGTAATGCTGGAGCGCCCATAAGGCGGTGCAAGGGAGAGACATGTTACCCTCCGAGAAAAATTATATTGTTATTTTTAGATTTTTAGTGGACGAAGCTTATGGTTTTACAAAAATGTTTTTTTTTTTTTTTTTTTTTTAACTGTACGCAACTTTTCTACCAGAAATCTAGCTCCGATTTTTAAATTTTCCTCCTTTTCTGAAAGTAAATCGGTGTGGGGAGGTACTTTCGGAAGGTCATTTTCCCAAGCGATTTCTCAACAAATGTGAATAACCGAAAAAAAAACTGAGGAAAAACGAGAAAATGTACGAAATGTATGGGCATTGGTTAAAAATATTACGGCCTTATTTTCCTGTAAACAACTTTTCTACCAGCAATTTTGCTCCAATTTATATTAACAGACAGCACTTTTTCCGAAATGAAATCTGACCGGAAAGGTTCTATAGAGAGGTCATTTTTCAATTTCCCCAAGAGTTTTCCCAGCAAATGTGAAAAACCGGGAAAAACGTAAGAAAAACGGGAAAATCGGTACAATATTAAACAAATATTATTAAAGAAAACATATAATGCTTATCTAATTATTTTACAAAACTATGACGTATATATTGTTGACAAAGCATCACTATCAACTGAACTCCGCACAGAATCGTTTTTCGTTAGCAATGGTTTATCGTTGCTTACAGGTATACATTATGGGAGAATATAGGTCGGATCGACTGTGTATGCTCCGTGTTCATAGACGAAAAATTCATCACGTTCACGTATAAAATATATGTTTGTTCCGTTATTTAATAAAATCAATGTTTTTTTTTTTTTTATGATCGTTACCCCCTTAGGTTGGGACAGATGTGCGCCCTTGTCGTGTAATGATGTACCGTCGGATACCGCGGAATCTACAATATTCTACAATCCGGTTTTTCGGATACAATACTTACGACGATATAAATAATAATAATAATATTATTATAATACGCGGCGTATACGATATTTTCGCGACGCTCGACCGGTCGAGAATTATTGTGCGGAACAACGTGCGCGACACGACACGACAATAACAATTATACGGTTCATCTGTCTGTAAACGTTTGCGTTATACCCAGGTACATACTATAACATCATGACGTGCACGTAAACATTATGACGATTTCGTCGTTATTATTATTGTTGTTATTCGCCGACGAAATATAACATCTGTTCCCAGCGTTATTATTATCGTTTCTCGTTATACAAAACGCGTTTATAACGCCCGAATATTTATTTATGCATCTATCATGGTACCCATCGAACGTATTATGTATATACGAGTACCGTGGATATACGCGCCGTACATTTGTATTTTTGATTCTTTATTCGTGACCGCAAAGTTTATGGGTTATTGACTGACATGATGTCAATCGGAATGGATAACAATATTACACAGGTATACTATTGTTACACTTAAACCGCCTGACATTGCACTCGGTAGACGCGTCACGGATCGCCGAGCTTATGATACGCGGCCGCTACAGACGCTGCGCAGGATACAGACTCTCCGGTCGCTCCGGTAGCTGTCCTGCGCCTTGCACGCATACGCATTTAGACATATTTAAATATATTGTACAATGTAAGGTAGGTGCGTTGTAAGGCGGTCGCCATTACAGAACGGCCGGTCGTTTTCGAATTTGTACAATGCACATTATATTGAATACTTTGCCGAAACTGGGCAATTTAACCGTTTTAGATTCCGAGTGAACCGGGAAATGTTGTTTTTTAATTTTTCTTTTTATCCGGGAACAATTTTTCTATCAGAAATTTCGCTCTGATTTTCAAGTGTAACACTTTTCCCCGGAAGAAAATCTCACTGAGCTAATAATACTATAGGGAGGTAATTTTTTTTAATTTTCCCACGTTTTATCGTAACAAACGGGAAAAGCCGGGAAAATTTACGAGATGTATTGTATTCTCAAATCGTATAAATATTATGCCTTTTCAAAATATGTATAACCGGGCTCCGCTCAGAATCGTTTTTCGTTAATAAAAACGTCACGCAAAACGCACAAAACGATGTTCCACTACTCTCCCCCTATCGAAACTTAAAAGTTGAATATCTCGTTAATGGATTGACGGAAATCCAATACCAAAATGTATTTGAACTAATACTCCATATTGTATTTCATGCATTTTCAGTGTTATAGATTTTCATATTTTGAATATCAACAGGCAGGGTGACCGAAAATAATGATATTGATGAAAAATTGTAGAACTTAACATTTTATTAACAGGTAAAAAAAAAAAAGAAGAAATTCCGAACTGAATTGATATTTTCCGAGATATTGGTATGAGTACATATATAATCGTGAGACACTCTGTATAATAGTTTTATGCTATAATACACGTATCTCAATATTAATGTTGCTATCTGACAGGGTATGACCGACCATTCAATTATTGAGACCGTCATCCGATAATTTCAAATCCATGTATCCTATACCGGACGCCGAAAATCGGTCGTCAATATTATGTTCTTATACTACACATTGCGGTTTTACGTTCCGATATATTATATATAATATTACAGGCTCCAAAAAACGGGTTACAACGCGTGTATAATATTATAATTTTGTTGCATAACGACCGCCTTAAAGTAAAAGGAAAAACGTCATAAGTATCGCGCGAAAATATCCGTTGAAAATCGTCTGCTTGCCTCCCCCCTTCCTCCGGTATATCTATAGAACCGTTTGTACTAAACGTTTAGACTATGATTCCCCCCGTGTACCGTATACGGGATTTCATCGAATAAGACAACCGCGGTTACACGTGTTTAGTACTCGGACGAGTCACTAAAGCAGATTGCTAAATCGAGTACTAAACTACGCAGTCTAAACGCAATCCGTTAAAATTGACTAGGTATAGGATATAGTTTATTCTAGTGGTGCATTTTTGTATATTTTATGGAAAAATAAAAAAAAAAAAAAAAAAAAAAAAAAACACTGTGATCTTAATATTCAAAAACTGTACTTTGGTAATCATTAAAGAATCAAATGGTTCAATAAAATAGAATGCGGAAAGAAAAAAATTAAATTAGATCGAGGTAGCAATTTGATTTTAAGCGAACTTGCAGAAGATGATGTGACACGAGTTCACAAATTGCATGTGAAAGAATCTGTCGTTGTTTAATACCTTACTTACCAAACAGACATTAGATAACTGTGATAATTCATAGATAACGTATTTCATTCACCGTTTAACTAAAGTTAATGGTAACAGTGGTATCTACATCAGTTGAGTAGATAAACGAGTGCAATAGCAAGTCAAAGTCTTATAGAGAAAATAGTACCGTTTTCTAGTCACTCGACCTAAACCTTTTGTGTTTAAAAATGTGTGTACATTTTTCAAGCAAAACAAATTTAGCAACTTGCTAAATTAACTCGGCCGAGTACCTATACTATTCTAGTGTAACCTGAATCTATATAAAGTTGTTCACACTGAACCCATGCGGTTAACTCATGAAAATTGAGTTTCCGAATACCGATCGAATTTGTCACTATAATTTGATATATATAATCTCGAATGTAATTCTATCGTGACGCAGTGATACTATGCTGTTCACATGAACTAAGGGTTCCATCAATAGCATCGAATTTATTTTCCAAGTCTAGTAGTTCATAGCTGTGCGTCAATTGTGGCCGCTTTTGTATGCCACTCTAATAGATGAAAGACGGTGGCGTAGCTAAAAGTGGCTGAGAGGTTTGTAGCACCGCCGAAATTTCGAGTGAGTTAAAAAATTATTTTTATGGTTCATGAAAGTCACTGCAAAAGTTTGAAATTGTAATTAAATCATTCGATTTTTAAGTTGTCATTATTTTATTAGTTAATCTTATCGTTTATAGAAAAAACTATTGTAGGTACTATAGTATTTAATAATTGAGTATGCAACATAGAGTAATAATATATATTTTTGTTTTTATTCTAACTGCATATACCGAAATTTGCCCGTCTGGTTGCTTCACAACAGGGTTGGCTCTTCAAACTGGCTTGGGCTGAACAATAATGTAACCCATTTATAAAATAACCACCCCTAATATGCACTGTTGGCCGTTTTGATCGAGACGGTACGAAATAATATTATCGTTACGAATTTATTATTATTTTTTGTTGTTTTCAAATAGACTTAAATGTTACTAAAAGACTAGCGTGATTAAATACGTTATAAGTAAAAATGTGTGTAATTATGCAGGTATCAAAACCTATACGATACAATGAGAAGCCTATGATAAAAAAAAAAAAAAATTATAAATTTAAACAATACACGCGATAATAAGTCAACAATAATATTACATTACATTGTATTATGAATTTCTTTAAAAATTTGTAAATAACATTTACACAAATCAACAAAAAAACAAAAAAACAACAAAAAAACACAAATCGAATAACGATAACACGATAACACGTGAAACGCAATATGCGTTATAGCCTATATTATATAAAATATAGGTACTCAAATCGTATCTTTAGCGTTAGTTGTCCAACTGTAAAATGAGTCAATAAACATATTGTACGAGCAGGTAACCCGAAACCTACCTAAATGCAGTAAAATCGAATATTTCTTTGTATTTTTATTTAGTATCTTCTCGTATTATCTCATACACGAACTAACAGCAGCATGCGAATGTTAGATCCGAAGACTACCGCATAAAACAGGCGCATGCTGATTCAAGGTTACTACAGATCCAAACAACGAATTTTACTGATCAAAATAATAATACGATTTTTCAGGCCCTACCCCGTAAGAAAATTGCACTTAAAAAGGATTTGGTGAAGTTGATCCCCTTCCTATTGAAAGCTTCGCTCACATCGGGTTGTTTAATATAATTAAAATATTTTAAACTAGGTAATTACTGCTGTATCCACATATGTTATTATTCATTGTTGTACATTAAAATAATTTTTAAATTTGAATAAATTATACTCGGAATCGACTTAATAACATAGACGAGTTGCGGCGGTAACAGTACTATACGCGGCAGTCTAGTTCTGGATAATATATATGTTTTAAATGTATGTATTTTTCGGTTATTATTCCTCAAAACTTATAAATTATAAGTTATAATTATCACTATACCTATCCGTTTCTATTGTAGAAATGTTCTTCATTATTGCGTTTACACGCTGTTTTTGTGTATGAATCGCAAATACCTATTATTATTAGACGTGTAAATAAGACATTGATAAATAAATATTATGTACAGTGTACATTGCAGTGATTCTTTTTTTTTTTTTTTTTTTTTACGAAACAGTGATTTGAATAAATTTGGAATTTAGATTTTTTTCAATCATAATAAATATGAATAGGTTAATATTTCTTCCGGTATAGCGAGTTATATGCAATATCTATTTATTTCTACATTTTTAGAAAAATATATTCTTTTCGAATTTAAATTTATATAGAAATATCGATTATGTCAAAGCTACGTATCGGGTGGATACTTTTTAAAAATCAAAATCTGATTTCTGTGCCAATGATTATAAGATATATTAAATGTTATATATAGTAGACGGAATAATAAAGATAAAATGTTGAAAATGTTGACAATAAAACGCCTTTGTAATAATAACGATTGAAAATACCAAAAATAAATTTTACTTGAAAACTTCGTGGATAATCGCTTATAAACAAAATGTAGTACAACATAAAATTACTAACATATTACAGATCATTCAGCTTGTTAATTTCCTTTCCAGACAACTGAAATGATTCGATATTATAATAAATAAATCCAACTCTCGGATGACACTTGCCTGCACTGAAAATTTTTTTCGTTCAAACATTTGTCCATACAGCTGGATCGGGAAATCGCTTTGTACTGTTGTTTGGCAGTGACTTTCAGTTCACCGTGAACGGTATCGAAACTCCAAGATCGTTGGTTGCACATTTTCGGGGTTCGGACGCATATTTTCCGAGCGACTGTTGCTGTGTGCATGGGATATTGCGATCGTTTCAACGGGAAATCTGTAATTTAAAATTCATTTCAATGAAGAATATTGTGATTTGTGATACGTCTGAATCAGTAAGCATCAATCAGTAATCAGTAAAGAGTTATATCTCCCTCCATTGGCTTAAAAATATAACAATTATTGAGTATTTATATTTAGTAATTTTGTCTTGAAATAATATATTTCAACCAAGTTAGAAAAAAATTATTGCATTTATTGAGTGGGTAAAAATTGGCTTTTTGGGACTCGGCTTTTAAATCCTCACTGTGAAGTTAATTAGGTATAAGGTATAATAGAAGTAGAATATACGATTGATTTACGAATCGTGACTATAATTTACTATACATTTTTTAGGTAGATTATTAACAAATCGGGTACAATTTATAATATCCATTTCATTCAGTACTTATGTAATATCGTAATATCGGTACATTTCTATGGACTATCAGCATAGTCAATCCATTACATCGATTTGAGTGAATAATATATTTAGCTATTACTGTTATTAGGTATGATATAATATTTGTATCTATAACTTTACTTTATTACAACAATAAAATAAGCAATTTAAAATTAATTTAAATAATGCAGTACCCACTACATAAGCTAAGCTTGTGCTGGTTAGAATATTAGTTATTAATTTTCAATTCTAATTTCTAAATATACCTCTGGCATCGTATTCCACAAGTATGTTTTGGTCTTTTTTAGAGAACATGACGTGTTCATACGTAGTAATCGAAACGGGTAATATGTAACATAATATTTTAATAATAATTTAAAAAAAAAACCAAGATAGGATTTAACGCCCAAATTTTTTTTAAATAAAAAAAATAAAAAATTTTTTTTTTTATTAATTGAACACATTTTCAACCAGAGCGTTTTCTCTGATTATCAAGTATAGCACCTTTTCTGAAAGAAAATGTTCTCTGAGTGGTACTTTGAAGGGGTCATTTTTTGAAATTCTCATTAATATTCGAGGTAATGAGGAAAACCTGGTTCTTTAGGTTAAAAAATATTGAAAGATTAAAAATAAGGTTGTCATTGTCAACCGTTTTTATTTATTATTTGTATTATTAACATTTTATAATTTTAATACTTTTTAAACAATCATTGTTGTCATAGAAACACACATTATTGTAATCATTTTACCATATGACATATATATTGTTGACAAAGCAATACTATCAACTAAATTCCGCTCAGAATCGTTTTTTCATTAGCAATAACTTATCGTTACTAACAGATACAGATACATTAAATTCCCATCTGTACCCTACCTTCCCAATTTCCCTCCTACAACAGTGGCTGCACCCACGTGCGAGTTATGGTCGTCCTTTTATGGTTTTTTTTTTTACAATATTTTTGATTTTTTATGACCAGCATCACTCTTATCCCAACTCTACTCATGTACCTATATAGTGTATTTACATCACCAGAGCATACTAGATTTATGTAAATCGTGATAATTATTGTGAAATATTTGTAAATTTGCCGGACGTTGACCTTCATGTAACACGATTCACCAACTTATTATTAATGTGTACTACCTACTCTATTTACCTTTGAACTACTCGGTTAAACTCACCAACAGAATTTATTTTGAACGTACAATAGGCTATTTTATAGAACGGCACATGTTGCTTATGTTATTATTATTATTTTTCTAGATTATAATCCTTACACGTGCATTAGTCGTTAACACACATTTTCATTTCTAGTATAATATTGTGTATATGCTTTCACTGAATATTATTGTTTTATAATAATTCATTTTCTTTCGCGTGTTTTTACGATTTTCGGATGAATTTGAAAATAATAATAACAAAAAAACAAAACAAAAAAACAGAACCGACGTAGAAAGTTATATATTTTTCTGTATTTACAGAGAAAAAAAAATAATTACATTAATATGGTCAACCGATTATTTTTAATGTATGACGGTTGCTGCTTTTTTTTTTTTTACATTTAATATTTTTCAAGACATGTATTATAGGTTTTAGCAAATTATTGAATACAATGAGTAGATACCTACCTAATTATAATATAGACTTATTTTGCAACAGTATAAAATACTGTAATGATAATATAGTTAGGTATAGGAACAAAAAAATACTGGAAAAAGTGAAAATTATTTTTAACCGATCGACATGTCATAATAATAATAATAATAACAACAGTATAATATGAAATGTCGGTAGTATAATATGAGTTCCATCACAAATAAAGTTCTCAGTAAAACAATTGAAATTTTTAAAAAAAATGTGCATTACAAGAATATATTATTATACTGTGTTTACTTTAGGTACCTATACTGCGTATAGTAGTATAAATAATACATGGTACGTGAAACGATTCTCACGTTAAATACTGCGTATAATCATTGGCACAGTCTGGAGGGGATGCACGCGGGCCATGTTCCCCTTTATTGTTGTGTTTATATTTTTGATATAATCGTTTCGTGTGCATGTTACTTTATTATAGTGTATGCGGTTGATTTTCATATTTTATTGACTTAGTAAGCATATTTTTAAATCTATAATAAAGCAAATGAACGTGTAATTTTGGGTTTGTCAGTGTTTTTTTGGCTCCCTCTATTCAAGAATCCTGGCTGCGCCACTGCGTCTAATACTCATAATATCTTTCCTCGATTAATTTCTTTTTATCAGACGAGGGGAATTAAAATAAAATAATAATAAAGACGGGCACGCTTCGCAAAATGAGTGGGCAACTGTTGTAGGTGAGAAGTTTGGAAGGTATAGGATATAGAGGGGCATTTGATGTATATCTGTACACAACGATTACTCTTTGATAACAAAAACGATTCTGAGCAGAGTTTAGTTATAAATGTTTTGAAAGGCCGGAATATTTATGATTTTCGTTAAAATTTGATATTATAATTCATATAAAAAAAATTATACATTGCACTTAATTTTTTTTTTTTAACCTTGATTTATAATGAATGTCTTGTTAAATTGTCAAGAAATTTTGGTAAATCTAAAAATTTTATCCACAGTGTACCTATCAAATAAAAATTACATAAAAAACTCGCAAAATTAACATGTCTTTCAATGCTCAAAAATAACCAAAATATCACCACGTTAGACGTAATGGCAAGTATAAGTCGTCTGTCCAAATTTCAAGTCTCTACGAATATTTTTAATTGAATCACAACCGAAAAACACGATTGAAAATAATACATTTCTTAAATTTTCCCGGTTTTTCATTCTTTGGAAAATCAAAAAATGACCCGCTTAAAGTACAGCCCAATAAAATGTGCATTCAGAAAAGTTACTAGGCACTTGAAAATCGGAGCAAGATTTCCGGTGGAAAAGTCGTTTACGGATAAAAAAAAAAAAAATTTAAATAAACATATCATAGTGTAATCAATACATTTCTCGTTTGGCTCAGAATTTAAAAGAATATGCCCAGTGCCCATACGGGAAACAATGAAATGCGGAAGAAAACGACCTTCTAGGTATGTTGTTGTGCCTACGGTTTTGCCGCTGTTGGTTTCGCATTACACGCGAATAATGCACTCATTTAAATAATTATACTTGCGCAGAGGGTTATAAACACGGCGCGTGTAAACTTGTACCGGCTCCATTAACTAATTAGACGGTGGGTAGGTACCCGAACAATAATATACCTAAGTGCCTGTACATTTTAATAGTTTATTTTATCCGGTTGAACAAAACGTCAGAAATCCGTATAATTCCGTTTTGTACAAACTGTAAGTGGTGTGTAGTGCTACAGTCTACATGACTGTAGTAGTATAGTATTAGAATATAACAGTATATTATAGTTAACCGAAACAAATTGATCCGCTCGGTAACTGTTTACGAATTACTATAAATCAATGATAACCATTTAATTACGTTCATTACGCGAATTAAAAAGTACCGAGTCATTTCGCGCTCTATATTTTGCATAATATAAAATATTTAAAATAACGTTTTTTTTCGTCTTCTTCTTTTTATAGGTAATCAAAAAATTGATTTTCGATTACCTGCCTTACACATATGTGGACACGCACATAATGGTATACGTGTATACCTACTGTGTATAAAGACACCGTGTGCGACAACCGATTAAAATAACAGCGATGAATAATGGATTCCCGCGGTTCTTATGTGTATTTTTTTTTGCCGTTGATTTTCTATAATGTGACGATTTGTTCGAAACGTGATTTCACATTTTAAATTCCGAGTGTATCGGAAGAGCTATTAGTTTTCCAATAAAAAGCGTGTATGTTTATTTTCTGAGAAAATATTTTTCCTGTTAAAAAAACTCCAATTTTTCGACGTAATATACCTAAAAAGATGCTGAATTTTCGACCAATAACAACACCATTTGTGGATTTAATTAAACATTTTTTTTTTTTTTTTTGATAACCCTCATTGAAAATATTCTAAAAACATATATATCACGACATCAAGTTTAACAGTTTATACAAAAATAATTTTTAGATTATGTATAATACGTTACAGCTTTTGTTGAAAATTGTATAGTGTTTTATTCATTCAATAGAACTAATTTTGGCATATTATCGAACTTCAAAGTAAGAATATTGTCTATGTTTGTATGTTGGTTTTTTCCGATATTTTAATATTTAAACGAGATACAAAGTTTTTTCAATTGCAATACTTCACCTAGTACCTTGTATCTTATTAAAAATTTTAAATATCGGAAAAAAACCAACGACAAACATAGAAATTATTCACACCTTTAAGTTTGATAATAGGCCATTTTATTCTAATAATAAAACAGCACATAGGTTTTATTGAACCAAAAGTTGACATTATCCAATTTTCAACATTGGCAGTAACGTGTATTGTATCAAAAAAGCGGAAAAATTAATGAAAATAATTAACTAGTTTAATTTAAGTTAAATATTATACAAAAATGCCTTCAGTTAAAAGTTAATAGTTAAGAAAAAATAAATTTAACTAGTCAAGTTAAAAGTTAAAATATAAAAAATATTAACTTAACTCAGTTAAAAATAAGTTAATTATTAACGGGCAATGTACACCAAATTCTCATCAATACAGTGAAAAAATATTGACACGTTTCACTGCAATAACCTGGCCTCCTATTTCGTACTGCTTTGGTGTGCATCCGACCGAATTGTCAGTAAGTACTGACAATAACTAATTGAAATTAAATTTTAAATTTCGAAAAAAAATAATTTGCCTTTAGCTCGTTAACTTAACTGGATGTTTATACAAGTAAACTGTAAAAGTTTATCCAATGAAAACTTAACTTTAATTTTTTGACTCTATTTAATGCACACCTATGCATTTGTAATGGTTTTATAAATTTCTTCAGAATTTTTATATGTGTTTTTTTTGTTTTGGTCGTATAGTTCATAAAGTATTATATGGGTTACCTTAATACAATTATTGTTGGCATTCTCCTGAAATATTTGTTTTCAGTTCGCTACGCGCACAGTTCGAATTAATATAAACGTTTCACGTTAACTGTATATTATGTTTATATTAATATACGCAGTACCAGTACCAGTTTTTAGCGTTTTGACAATTTTTACTCTCTGGAATCCGTTAAAAACGATTTGCATAATACATACGCATCAATACACTATACTGTTCCATAGTGTAAGTGTACGGCATTTTTATTTTATTTTTACGCATTAAGTACCGTAATTCGATGATCGATATCATTAACGTCCCATATTTAAACTGCACTCTGTACAGTTGTTTCGAAAAATACTACACGTTAAGAATAGTTTTTCTTTTATGTTCATTTGAATTATAATGATAAATTGTGTAATATAATATATAATATTATACATTATTATAATAATAAGCACTCTAGGGATTTTACAAATTAAAATTTGTATATTATTTGAATTCAAATGCTACATAAAGCTTATAATTTATAGATAATCATTACAGTGACTCTGGTTAAAACTCTATGTAATTATTAATTATAAAATGTTAAATAAACATGAATTAATAGGAATGTATACCATATAGTTCATGAGTTTTGAAGCTTTTTCGAATTATGTTTGTATGCATTATTATGTAATTTGTATAATGTAAGAAATATTTCTATAACATATTCCACTAAACACTCAACTAAGTAGAGGTGTTTACTGTATTTTCTACTATAGTTTTAAATTAAAATAAGTTTTTTTAATTTTCATCAAAATGAAATATTAAAAAAAAAAAAAAAAATTCGTGAAATTTTAGAACCCTACGTACGTGATGTATGTACATCGGTAATGCAGGCTCGATTTCTTCTTTCTGATTCCGACGAGGGAATAATTATTGCCGTGTTTATGAAACATATTAAACAGTCCTCTAGTCGCCGTATTATGTGTATTGCGGGTTGCTGCACTTTAAGACGCTACTACAATATATCATGATCACATTGAAATTTCCGGGTAGGTTTCGACCGAGTTTCGGAAATCTGTCCCGGTGCTCGGCCAAATTCTCTCTCGATTCCGCCCGACTATTCGATTTGTTCCGCAATCTCCAATCGACGATGTCATACATTAGAACGATATAACTACGGCGGTTTATAATTATGATTGTACCCGATAGTGTGTAATTATTACCGACACGATCGCGCGACGCTAATTACTGCAGCAGTGCCTACGAAAACGCGCGCGCGGTGACAACTGATAATGAGTATAATGATGACTAAGCGAGTTGTGGAAAACGGTCACATTGAATTTCCCTTTTGCAGAATAATGGGAATTTCTCATCGACTTCGCATTATTATTATTGCTATTATTATTTCAATGACCAACTGCGCTCGTCGAAACGACAATATGCTCGTTTTCGCGTTAATTTCGCCGCGTCCGAGTATACCTAACCGACCCTGCATAATTAACGATTTAGGAATATGGCACACAATCGCATTATGCACGGTTCGACGAAACGCGCACCACTATTTTCGATATATTTTTTTTTTTTTTAAGTTCACGAAATATTACTGGTATCGAGACGGGTATATAAGACGACCTAAGTATATTTAATTGCAATGATTGTCTTAAACGCAGTGCCGCCACCGCGCCGAGTCGAGCCTCGAATCGTATACCTAGCTGCAAGCATACGGCCGTTAAAATATTACATTATTGTCGATACCGGTCGTATTGGTTGTAATTCACACGAATTATATTTCGTCCGGAATAATTTTCCATTCATAATTTGAAAACTGTTATACACTCTATGCACGTATATTATATAAATAGTATAAGTAGGTATGCATCATACGGTTAACGTGTAAAACGTATCAGACGCGTCGATCAAACAAAACGGCCAAGAAATAAAAAAAAACCGAAATTCACCGGTAATATACTCCGTTTAGAAATATTGAAATTTAGGCTTCTTGCATGCCAAAATAGTTCCGACATTGCAGATCTGCGCGCTCTATAGATATCGTCCGTAACCGGTGTTCGGCGTTTGTTGTCTGCAGGTGTTTAGATTCCGAGCGCAGCGAAAATGTATATTGGTTTCACTTTTTTTCTTTTTTTTTCAACTCGAAGGTTGGTTTACAACTGTAATAATTCTCCGTTCCGATCAATTACTCGCCTTTTCTTTAAGTCCCATAAAGGTTATAACGATTAAATCGCATTTAATTTGTTCAATACAAGAGTTTCGAGGACGTCCTGCGGTTTTCTATCCTTCAATCATACCCTCTAATATTATATTATACAACTCTTCTGGGTGTCTCAGGGCATTTTCAAACATTTTCCAACGGCTTGTCCTAATCGTGTACATGAGTTTACGGTTCCTTCCCACAGTTTTAAATACCTCTTCGTTTATTTTGCGCTTTATCCAACTTATCCTTTCCATACGCCTCCAACACCACAAAGGCTTCTAGATTTTTCTTTTCGGTATTATTTACTACCAATGCTTCACATCCATACGTTGCGAGTTGCGATGTACATACAAATGATTTAATACGCTATGGTTTTACTACGATGTGTTTTTTTTTTCTATTCGTGAACAACTTTTCTTCTAAAAATCTTATTCCGATCATCGAGTTTACCAACTTTTCTGAAATCAAATTTTTTCTAGTTGGTACACTGAGGAAATCATTTTTGAATTTTCCTTATTACATTATAGTTTTCTTAATAATCGTGAAAACCAACAAAAATGAGACAGTTTAGACAATTACAGTTTTTGCTAATTTCGATTTTGTTTTTTTGCTGTATCTACTATTAGTTAAAAATAATCGTGGAAACCTTAAATTTTTACAGAACATTTTTATTAGCATTTTCTGGGCGTGTTAAAAATTGTAAAACATCTTGCTGGTGATTTTTTAGGTATTTAATATATAGTCATTTGAAATGTTCAAGTTTTTTTTCAGATTTTTTGTGAATAAAATGGTTATGGTCCGGTTAAAATATATTTGAAAATTTACCACGTGGTCATCATAAGTTTAACATAATAATGGTAAAAAAAAAAATCAATAAAGTGTATTTAAATGTATTGAAATTTAAAAAAACTACGGAATTTCAAAACACATTTATTATAACTAATAATAAAGAATAAATAAAGAATCGTTTTTCGTTGACAATGACTTATCGTTGCGAATAGATATGATTTTTTTTTTTAATTTTCGATAAAGCTGTGTTAGTTTGAATCAATAAGAAAATCGTTTCGAATTAAATGCCACCGTCAAAAAAAGATTCCCATATTTTCCTGAAAAACGATGTTTTCCGTTCGGAAAAACACACTTTTTTTTAGTAAAACTAGTATTTAATTTCCAGGCTACATTTGCAAAGGTATCTCGTAAATTGATAGAAAACTATTAATCGCTCTACAATTTGATCGTAAATGACAAATTATTGAAAACAATAGATCAGAAAATATTTGACTGGAAAGACAACCCAATTCTAATAAGCATTGTATGAGTAGCATTCTGTTTTATACTTGAAATGGTCTTTTGGCTTTGACTTCAACTGCGTTGGGAACAGGATTATTATATGTGGTAAACTTAACGATGTTTTTGTTAACGTCAACGTTAATTTGGCCTTTCCGATACCTTTTTTTCGTAAACCTCTTCGTGTATGCATACAAATCCTTTAAATACCAACGTATTTTGGTATTTTACAATTTTACGTACAGCAGAGACTTGAACGCAACAACACGCGCTACAATCGTTTATTAGAGCTAATGTAACCGATCAGGTATATATTACCGGATGGATTTAAAAATCCCCGTCGTTTGATAGTTTTCGAGTAATTTATAATAAATTATAAATATTTTATGTTAATAATCTTTTTTCATCGTTTGATCAGTTGGCGTTTACGAGCAATATAATTATTGAATCTATTTCGATGAATTATCGTGCAGTTAATTTATATGGTTTCGGACAAGTCGCGGACGTACATATAATACCTATATTTAAAGTATTTTCATATTATTATTATTATTATTATCGCGGCACGAGAGTTTATTTGCATATTGTAAACGGCGAGGCATCGTCCGCTGCAGGGGATTTCGCAGTCGTTGTCGTCGTCGTCGGCCATAACGGGCGGCACATATCACGAAAGCTAATGTATAGTTTTTTTTTCTTCTTTCTAAATATACGAATGCTCACTGTTTCCGCTGGCTCGCAGCTATAATAGCGCATCAGTAGCACAAGCAGGACTATATAATATAAATGTATATAAGTACATAAACTGCTATTCGGTTTGACGTCTCCATATGTACCGAAAAAATTGTGTACCTATACCCGCTATATTACAATACAGGCGTATATACATATAGATTTTTTTTTTATTATAAATAGGTGCCGCGCGACCATATTATAATGTTTACATCGTGAAAGAAATTATTATACGAATTCATTGACGATTGCCGCGGTAATGATACAATCACGATTTTCCGTCCACAGTATCCGCCGTCTCGAAAACTGTGTATATATATATATACACACCTTAGAACTATACTATGTGTCCATCGTGACCCACTTTTAACGCGACAACATCTGTCACGTTGGTTTTTATTTTTTTAAACAATTTAACTGAATCGGATCTTATTTGAATAATGCACCGTACAATGATGGTTTTTTTATTTTTTTGCTTCTTTGTTCGCGTTTTTTTTTTAATATATCTATATTTGTGTTTATCTAGTATATATATATTATATAGTTGGTGTAGGCCATTAAGGCCCGCGTATACCGTTTACTATTATAGAACGGACGTGAACGCTATTTCGAGTATATTATGTCCGCGAAGACATATTGCCCCATTAATTCAAATCGCGTTTGTCTTAGGTCAGCAATCCACCGCCATCGCACGTTTTCGCCTCGTGGACCACCACGATGATAAAATGTCACGGACATAATAATAACTTAGTTTTTATATTATAGGTATACGGCCGTGGCGCAGATTTCTTGCGGTACAGTTGTACGGACCGGGGCGCTCAAGACCTGAACGTAAATAGCTTTTACTGCAGGTTCGCAATTTAAAATAAGGGATTCCGGATTCAACACTTTAACTTTATACACAATTGAAAATAAACTACTAATAAAAGCCATTGATTTAGATGATATAAACGACTTTGGCTCACAAAAAGCTAGAAAAAAGAATGTTTTAAAATTCAAATCAAAAATAGTTAATTTGTTTGGTTTCAATAATATGTGTCCATAAATGTTTTTTTTCTAACACTACAGACAAAATATCAAAGGGTATAAAAAATGCACAGCTCTTAAATGACTTTACAGGGTTCATGAAAAAATATGCTCATAGGCCTAGATAGATAGAGGGGGAATGGATTGAACATCTAATTTACATTAATATGTTATTATCATTAAATCTTCCAAACGGTCTTGAGATATAGTTTTAAGATTCTCAATTTCGAAAATATCCTTTTTTGAATAGTACTGATGGACACAGACAATATACGAGTACAAGATATATTTTTAAAACTAAGTATAGAATGTTGGAATTATGCCTTTTAGCCCAAAAGTATACTGGTAAACTTGAAATATATTGAGTATACTTCTAAAGATTTCACTTTTTTGTTTTTTTCCAGAAAATTACTCTGGTCTTCTTCATCGCGTATTTCTTTTTATTGGACACTATCATCTTCCGCTGCTTCGTTAATATTTTTATGGAAGCAATTTAAATTAGAATGCATGGGATGATATAGAATTACAAAATCTAATTTAGAAACTGAAATGTTATTATACTCATTTCTATAACCTTCAAATGTATATGCTTATTAACGTTTGTACAAAATACCTCAAATGCATTTTTTTGATAATGATGAAGAATCATTTAAATTTGTTTGCAGTCAAGGCCCAAGATTTCTAAAATATCTTAATTTATCTACTGACTGTTCTTTGTACAGAGATAAAAATGCGTAGTATTGTTAAGATTTTATTTGACTATACCAGACTACAGTCAAATAAAAAATTATTAATTTATTAGAATAATTGTGTGAACGAGTAAATGTATACACCAATTACTGAAAACTGAAATGTCGCTGAAAAGAGCAACATACGAGTATATCTCCGCGAAATCCATTGTTATTTTTATAAATATAATCGACGAATAAAACTCTGACCCAGTATTGCATTGATTTTAATGACATTATTATTTTTCATTTTTAAGGCCCCTAAAAACAAAATACTCCAAAAGCTCTTAGTATTTCAGACCTACCCTGGAAATGTTCTTCAAATAAACCCTCAGATATTAAATCAAGTTGTTTTGTAATTAGATCAAAGATATCAAATATTATGTTCATAAATATTAACGCTGTTACTTGTTAGTACAAACCTTTTGATTAGTAAAAAAATCAATAAAATCGTTTGTCTTGCATTTCACAGCGCATTTTGAAATTGGATTTTTCGGGTTCTTTGATGTTTTCAAGTTTAATTCTTATTAAAAATCAGTGGAGAAAACGATGTGTTTTATTATATGCTTTGATGTGTTTTTGTCAATTTATTTTATTTAAGTTTCTTCTACTTTTAGGTTTTAAACGAATAGAGGAATGTATTGGTTTTACAATGATATGTATTCTCAATTCAAAAAATCAATGATTTTATATTGTGTATACAACATTTATACTAGAAATCTTGCACCGGTGTATTAAGTATACCATATTTTCTGAAAGAAAATTTTACCTAGTTGGTATTTTAGGGATGTCAAGTTTTAATTTTCCGAGCATTTTTCATAATAATTAGGAAAAACTGGGAAAAACGTAGGAAGATGTAGAAAATATAGTTCGCAAAAATTAAAACAATTAAATCGGTAACGTTGTGGTATGCCGTAAATATTTGCCTTTTTTTTCCCAGTTTTTTTCAAATTATTATAGAAACCCCTCGGAAAATAAAAATATAATATCCTCAACGCATTAACTAGGTAAAATTTCCTTCGGAAAAGGGGCTAAACTTTATACAGAAGAGCAAAATGTCTGGTCAAAATGGTGCTCATAGATACAAAAAATACAAAAAAAAAAACATCGCACTAAAACCAATAGATCCCTCACTACTCTCCGAATCTAATATTTATATGAAATAGATATAGGATATAAGTATACATTTTCTATACATATATTATAATATATAGAAAGCGAACAAAACAATCTCTGGAGTTGAAGTATTATAAAGGGTTAATATAACCGGTGTAGATTAAAAGAATCTCATTATCAGACTCGAACCAAATAGTGAAAACTGAAAAGTATTCAATTGTATTATAAATTATTACAAATTAAATTACAGCCTTAGGTAGATAATATGAATGTACAATATTATAATTAATGTATGAGTAAATACTGAGTAAGTAAATAAATTTGTGTATAAATAACACAATTAAAATATGCAGTTAATTAAATTATTTTAAAAAATTAAAAAGTTATTATTTACTCTGTTATACAGTCAAATTTATGTTACATACATAAAATAAATAAAAATAAAACAGAGTTTTCAAAAGTTGATCCTTATTTATCGTGGAAAAGAGGTGCTAAAAAAATGTTTAAATAAATACCACCTGGACACCAAGAACCTGACTATGCCTTTGCAGCTTAAGTGGATTGTAAAATCTAAAGAAGGTATATATTTTTTATTTGAAATATTATATACAATAGGTAAGCATATGTCCCTCGAGTTCGTATAAAATAATATGATCGTGAAATATGTGAGGTATTATAATGGTATACATTTTATTTCCTTTATAGAAATAGAAAACCCAAAGGGCTCTTGTAGAAGTATGAGAGAATAAGTAATCCACGAAGAGTCTTCCTAGTTGTAGTCTTTAAATGCATACTTGTTTAAGTATTCTATAGTAGGTAATCTTAGGCTATCTTATCACTGTTCAACAATAGAATATGATAATAATTGGATAGTAGTGATAATTAAAATATTTAGGAAGTTTTAACAGGACTACTTGGATTGTCGTTAATGAGTTCTCAAAAGAAATCCTACATAAGACAGGTCCAACAGAAATCCCATTGCTATTAGGATTATATAGGGTGTCCACGAAAGAACGTTTTTTTTTAAAAAAAGTGCGCAATTTTTTTTTCGGATCAGTACCACTGTACCCGAAAGTTTTCTTATTTCAAAAACCTGAAGTTTCGTATGGTATCGTTCATTTTTGTTTTGGAATATATTGAAGGCGTCCGTAACCATAGAAAGATTGCCTATTGAAACGTACGTTTTGGTTTCCGGACAGACTTACCTCATTGAGTTGGGACCAAAGTTGGCCACCAAAGTCTTATGACCTAACCCCCTGTGAATTTTTTTCATGGGATCACTTAAGTTAAAAGTGTACGAGAATAATCCCCATGATCTCACCCAACTCAAATAAGAAATCCAAAGAGTGGTTGGAGAACTGGACCACGAAATGTGTGAGCGCATCATCGTACATTTTATGAACAGATCAACTGTCTGTAGGGCTAGCATAGGGGGGGGGGGCTGCTTGTGTTTCATATGTTAACTTCAGGACCTCCTGAATACAACCATATATGATTTTTGATAAATTTTTGATAATTCTGATAAAAAATAAAAAAGTTATTGCATTTTAAAAAAGAACGTTGTTTCGTGGATACCCTTTTTTTTAGCTACAATTTTGGTTTATCGTCATTATCGGTATTGGCCAGGGTAAATGAAACTCTTATATTATTATAATGTGAATGAAATAAAAATGAATAAATATTTTTTACACTATAATAGGTATGAATAATATATAATTTTGAATAAGTAACACTCAGTGTTCAGTTATACTGTTCTGGCGGACATTACAGCGCATCGTGAATTGTTTTTTTTTTTTTTAACACGAAACGAGCAAATTTCTGTGAACACTGTAATTTAACAGCTATTCGAATTTAAAGCACACGTGACGAAAAAGTCTATAAATTAAGTATACAGCGTATAATTGTACAGTGTCTTTGTTGTCCCATAACCTGGAAAATAATAGTTTACTGTTAACACACCATATTATAATATATTTTGATTTGTTTTACTCGAAAACGAATTTGTACGTGTCAATGATTTATGCGTTTTTTCTTCTTTGTTTATTATATATACCGATCGATTAGACCGCGGTTTAATGAGGACAATATGAAACGCGTACAAAAACGCATTATGCAATATTATAATATTATTATAGACCGAAAATTGTTAACTGGCATACTTAAATGGAAAAATACCGATACCGAAATAATAATAAAATATGTAAAACAAAACGTTTAAAAATGTTGCACGACGAAATATACCGTTTGTAGGCTCCTACGTGCATAATAACGACTACTGCAATACAGCGTACTGTGGGTACGTCTAATGCAATTCTTAGGCCTAAAGTTACGGGTGAGGTTAGAAGTAGAACCCAACCTTTTTATATTCATTAACAAAACTGTACACGGCTACTGATACAAAACCGATCGTCAGCTGACGTGCGGTGATTTTTAATATCGGTATTTTTTTTATTTTTTTAACGTGATGGCTAATATTTCCACTGTATTTTGGTATTTATTTTTTTGTGTCATATAGAGAGTTCATTGTCTGCTGTAGGATATAAGTAAAAAAAAAAAAAATACCATCGAAACTATGTCGCCCGAACATGTTTATTATTTTTTAAAGATTCGGCACGATGATGACATTTTGATAGCACGGCGTTTCAAATGGAATTTTCGTTCTTCGGGAAACTACTATTACTTTGACAGAGTGATTATTGATTAGGTACCTAGTCTAGCTGCTAGACATGACAGTAATGCACCGTTAAATATGAAACATAATGTACCTAGTCTAGTTATTGTATTGATACATTCGTGTTCATAGGTATATATAATAAATAGGTACACGTATATAGTTAAATAAACAATACTGGCGATACTGCACTATCGCCAACAAGAAATTTATAAAAATCTTTTAGGACGCTATACTTGAATTAACTCAGTCTAACCAACGGGCAATAAATCAAAATTACTCAGAGCATAAACTGTGGAATTTTGGTTGAAATTAGATTTATAAACCCACTGGGCATTTTGGGCTACAAACATGTATGATTTAAGTTTCAACGTTAACACCGTACCGCAGCGTTACCAAAACATCGTGTTTAACAGTTTAATTTACCACTATTTGAAGTTTATATATGAACATCTCAGAAATGTTGACGTATAATAATGTATCAACATCTTTGAGACATGTTTCTGTAACATTACAACAACAGCGTAGTGATGTGATGGAAAACGAATTATATTTTTAATGATAATAAAATAACAAATGAATTCAATTATTATTTATAAATAGACAAATATAGTGGTTTTTATATTTTATGTAAATCTCACACCTGCCGCTAAAATAATTGCGGTTCGCTAACCCACTTATCAGTCACCACAAATAACATTTTTAACATAATATTGCATTTTAAACTGCAACAGACGCGCATAGACGTATTCGCAATAAATTATTATTGTAAATTATTGTTTGTGTCCTATCCGTCCGTACGTTGAATATTTTTTTTTTTATTTTGTCATTGTTACTTGCTGGATATTCTTGTTAAAGTATAAAACAGTGGCGAATTTGAGGGGGAGGGAGGTGATGGGTGGATCGCGATGAGTGGATTTTTTAACTGTGATGTTTTAATCACGGCTATAGCTCATAGGTAATAAAATAATATAGTTTAATATACCCGTGATTTTTATTATTTATTAATTATATATTTTGGGTATTTTAAACAGCTTTACCAAAAAATACCCTGTGATAATGATATCGAGCAATTTTTGTGCGTAATCATAGGGTAAGATAATATATTAAATACCATAGCTGTAGATAATACTGTAAAATACTGTATACTAGTAAAATATTAATAGTATGTACATTATAATAATAAGTTATTAAATAAAATAATTGAAAGTAATAAGTAATAGGTAACGATTCAATGTTAATTTCACTACTTACTGACCTACCTACACTTAATATAATAGGTATATATAAGTATTGTGTATTTTAGGATAGGTGTTGACGTATTGTTAATTATTTTTAGGTAGCTCCCTAAGTATCTATTGTATTTCAAAAACTTAAATTTGTTAGTTGTATATTTTATAAATTATAAAATTATTTTGTTTAGATAATATGTATAGGTATTATTAATACAACTCGCTTTGATTAAATAAGTATTAAAAAAATTAAAATACCTAAATAGCCATTGGTAGGAAATGATTGTCCACTATTCAGAATAATTTTTATTTGAAGTTTGAAGTCCCCGGTTACAAAACAAATTAGCAATTTTATGGTATTATATATAGTAATACCATAATATATAATATATAATTTATAATTATGTATAATATTTTAAAATTTAATTGAAAACTCATATACCCATAAAACGATTGAGATTTTTAATGTTTAGGTAATCTTGTGGTTAAGACGTTAGGCATTTAGATAGGTAGATCGAAAGATCGAAGATTCGATACCTGGCGGCAAGATCTGAAATAATTCCATTTTTTGCATTTTTATCTCTCGAATTTTTTTTATTATTTTTTATCATTTATGTTGAAAATGACTTCTACTTAACATCTAGTATTGGTTAGGTACGTATTATTAGGAAGTTATTTATAACATCAAATAGCAGTTGTTACGATGTTATTGAGATGTTAGAAAACACGTTACATTTGCGTTAATAAAACATAAATACGAGTATAACGTTAGCAAATTTGAACATTAGTGGTACCGATTACGTTACTTAAACGCAAAAGCAACAATAAATGTAATATTGCATGTTGATATGAAACTTCCCTGAAATGTTTCTATAACATAATATTGCACAGTGGGAAATGCTCTAAATAATGACAATTGATTTTATTTCTAATGAACAATCTGGTTCGAAAGAAAAACGAGAAAACCTCTACATATCTAATATAATCATTCTATTAAACATAAAAAAAAAAAATCTAAACTAAACCAATGGCTATAATGTCACTGATATTCTCGGCTGCCGCAAGTACAGGTACCTGAAATAATACCTAGATTTTAGAAAGTCGGCAAACACGCAAGTGTACCTATACTTGTTATACTATTACGTGAGTACTGAGATATACCTAACTCCGGAAATGTTATTATTGTATACGTTATATGGGTGTTTATATTAACTGAAAAATATTTTTCTTACGAGTTTTTCATCTCGTGATGTTATAACCCACGTGCATGCAGCTACAGTTGCAGTTATCCTCTGTTATACTTACTGTGTGTGTGCAGGTATATCCGGCAGAGTCGGGCGATGTATACGTTTTTTATTAACATAATAATATATAATAAACAAAACATTCGCTGTACTTTTTATGTTGCTTAAAACATAGTTATACACAGATCCACATCTGGGGGGGCAAGCGTACCTTGTTGTCCGTAGCGGCAGTTTGTTTAGTCAAGGGGTAAATTTATGTTGACACAGTACAAAAAAATAATATAAGATTGTTTTATGCAGGTAATAATGCTGTCATTTATTTTTATCAGCGTTCCAAGTTCAAATTTATGTTAGAATTCGTTGAAAACACGAACAATTAGATAATTGTAATTTATTACATGATCCCAAATTATTAAAATTGTCTGTATACTAATATTATCTACAAGAAAATTGAAAAATAGTTGAGTAATATATATTACAATTATATAATTATTATATAGTTTGATAGCTATTATTCTATAAATTATCATTATTCTTATAATATCCTACATGGCTACATCTGCATAAATTATGGAAAAATATATTATTACTACTACAATAATTATTGTGTTTTTATAATAATTATTGTATTTTAACACTAATTGTCGGACACGAACAAAATTCACACGCGTCCAGTGCTTCAGAAAAGAAAATTAAGTTTGATTTATTTCAATAATAATATTTGAATCAAAAAGGTGGCAATGAGTGCCATCCCATTTCTCCCACATGTTGCGTAAATTATGAAATAGCTTCCTCGTTCTTAGTTGATTGCCATTATTTATAAAAAATTGTATACATATATATATATATTTAAATAAAATTGTATTCAAATAACGCTCTACTCTGCGCAGATAATCCATCGCAGATAATATCCGGTCTCGTTCTCATTCGTTAATCGTTGTATCGTTTCGCTCTTCTTCCTAGCGTGCCCAATATATTATAATAAACTATATAAATACAATAGGCATTATAGGTATAGGTTACTTAGGTATGGTAGGTATATTATTATGCCCACGCAACAAGTATGTACTTGTTGTATACCTATATGGTATATCTGTCAACCCTTGACCCAGCGCGTGAGAGCACGTGCTCCACCGCGCCCGGACGACTATACTTAATAATAACCTGCGAACACGCGATGTCACGATTCCCGTATTAAAATGCACCGTGAACACACTATGCACATTACAGCTTCATCCATTATAAAAAAAAAAAAAACCCACGTGATAGAGCGTGAAATCTAGATGAGCTGCACGGTGGCGAAGAGGAACCGTTTTTGTACAGATATATAGATACCAAAGAGGAGGATCAAGAATAATAATTAATTATATAAGTATTTATAATACCAATAGTAAACTATGTTGACTCGAGTATACAGTAAAACGTAGTCGCGCGTCTATGGTTATTTAAACGAATTAATATGCACTTTGAACACTTAATTATAATATATATATTCAGTTCCATAGTCGGATTGGTGTCTATAAGAAAAACAAAGAATCTTTTATACTTAAATTGTACAGACCAACAAAACCACGACCGTTTATCGTTCTTTTGATATTATTAAGTAACTATAATCTGTATGTACTTAAAAAATATTATACCGTTCCCGGTTTTAAAAAGGAACTTTTCGCCTATTCAATGGTCACACGTAAAAAAAACAAAGAAAAATATTAACGTTCATGACGCAATGTAAACGATTGATAACTATTTACAGCATATTATATTTATATATTTAAAAAAAAATAATAATAATAATCAATCATAGGGTGATTTTTTTTTTTAATATGAACAATCAATTCTCTTGAAGGATTTTAAGCGAATTTAATTTCTGTATTTTTTAATCACTGTGGAATCGATTAAACTTTACTTTAAGACTATTTTTTAAATTTTCACCCCTACTCCATGTAGCTTAAATAAGTATATACATTTGTTTTTCAATTGGGAACCTCCTTTTTTGAACAGATACTCGAATAGAGAATATTTTTCCAGAAAAGGGTAATTAATTGCGTATCTATTTTAAAATGATAAATTAATAACTTTTCCCAACTTCTTCGATCTAAACTTTAAATGGGTATAACTCATAAACTCTAAAGTTGATATTAGTATTATGCATATCAAAATGTCTATAAAAAATACTCTCTATTCAAATCTGTGTTTAAAAAAGGGAGGGGGTTCCTGTATGTAAAAAAAAGTAAATAACTATTTAAGGTATATGTGGAATAGGGGTAAAATATTAAAAATGGTTTAAAAATAAAGCTAGTAATATAGTAAAACCAATATATTATTCGCTTCACTCAGAATTTAAAAACTAGGAAAAAAAAAACTGATTTTAGTAAAACTAATGTAGCTTTATCGTTTTACTCTGAATCTAAAAGAAATATCAGTATATTTCATTCGTTTTAGTATTAAAAAAAAAAAAATAATAATAATAATAAAAGTCCCGTTCCAAGAACTATTTTACATAGGTATTCCTATTTTTTCTTATTATTTTAGACGTTCCTCAAAAGTTATTTATAGGACAGTTTCTTTCGGAACGATAGCCGTTAGGTATTTTGTAATCTGTATTAACAATAATATTGTACTATATGTATTGTATTATCAACCACGGAACGTTTATTTAAATAATTTTGAAGCATAGTCATATGCATACAGTTTAATAACCGAGTTCATTACTCTTTAGTCTTTTTACTATTGATTATGACCAACTTTCCTTAATCTCGGTGATATTATTAATAACAATTTTAGGTATAAAATATATAGCTATATTTATAAATAATCTTAAGAATAGAACTACAACACAGTATAATTTTTCCATCTCTGTATTTCTATCAAAATTGATTAAATTAGTTTCCTAAATTCTCAAAGCGTTCAATGGAACGTGAATTAAAATTAATGACCCGATTAAAGTTCAATAGTTTCTTGAAAACACTAACTTAATTAAAAAAAAAAGTAGATTCAATTAAAATTCATATGCTTTGTTCATATATTTTGAACTTTGAACGGATAAACGGATAGTTCATTAGAATTCGTTCGTTCTGAGTTTTAAATATTATAATATTAACATATTGAACACACGTTTTGGTATCTAGATTTCTTTTTTATCGATTATAATTTATTAAATTATATTTTTTAAACGCGCGTCGCAATAACGCATATCAAGTAGGTACCTACTAAAAATAAATTGAAAAAAAAATCAATCTCTATATTATATACCGTCGTAAACGATATAGTATTGTAGCATCTTCCATATAGCCAAGATTTTAGGGTTGTGCGGGGACAACCTTCGATATGTACTAAAATATATAAAACATTTTCTAGCGACACCTCACTAGTTTTTAAAAGGTGAGAATTCGGTTTTAAATAAAACTTAACGGTTATCGATTTGTTCGTGTCATTCAATTCGTGTCATCAACAAAAAAAAATCTATTTTACAACTAATGTCAACAAATAAACAAATTACAATATTATTATTCATGCGAATAGCGGATGAAAAAAAAAAAAAATGTAATTTTGAAGAAAAGGTTTGGGGAACAGTCCCCCCCCCCTTTCAGCCCCCCGCGTAAATACTCTGCTGTCTAATAATACAAATAATTCGGTTGTAACTGACGTCAATTCGTACACCGGGCAAGACAGGAAACTGTGTCCGCGTATACCGGCCGGACTGTAGCCAATCAATGAACATAATAAAATACAATATTATAATACCGAAGGGAGACACAAACGATGTCCACGCGGGCGGACGTTTTTCAAGTGCCAGCAGTACATTCGTAGTGTATAATAATATTATATTGATAAAATAATTTCGTCGTTCCGGACGGGTTTCCGTATAGAAGTATGCATTATAGCGCATAATAATAATAATAATAATAATAATAGCAGCAATAATGACGGCGGAGTGCGTATACACAGTGCGTACGCGTAACGCGCACCGGAATATAATATAACAATGCTAAGAAAACTATGTAAATAATCGGTCGTCGGTAATATAGCATTGCCATTTACCTATATTATTATTATTATTATTATAAAGGTAGGTATCTGAACGTCCGACAAAATGGAAATAACACGTACTTATATATTATTCCGTTATCGGGCCGAACATGTGCCGCATTAATGTTTTTTTTTTTCTCCACTTCAAAACTCCCGACACTAGGTACCTGCCAATACACGTATTATAAAAATGTAGGTGACCAACAATAATAATAATAAAATAATCATCGTCGCGTAAGGTACTCGTATAGATGGCATTTAATATAAAATTGATTATAATTCGAACACGCTCCTTCTGGTCACAATTTGTATTCCCGGCGAGTATAACGTACCCGTGTACCTAAAAGTACACCCTTCACGAAACGTCGCGCGCATATCTATTACAAAATATATTATTTACACTTCATTTTTTTGCTTATATTGTTAAACCACTACCACTAGATATTCGTAAATGTATCACATTTAAACGGTCTATTATATATTATATTATATTTATTAATAAATGTAAGGATCGTATAGATTATATAAAAGATGTATTTTAAGTAATTTTTCAAAAATAAAAATCAAGAAAGTCTACATGGCAACCCCGACTCGGTTAGGGTTTTTTTCTTGTCATACTAATATTATTTTGTGTATTAGTGTGTTATTAATTTATGTGAAATACTTTTTGAGAAACTTCTCGCAGTTATAATCGACTGACTTCTTTGTTACCTGCTGCATTCTGCAGCTTTGATATCCCGCTCAACGTATCATTGAAGCAGATTTAATAATGATCCGACTTAACAAAATATCATGTTTTTTTATTAGGTATTTTTGAATAGTAAAACAAAAAATTGGAGTAATAAATACAGTATACTATAAAGTCGTTTGAAAAATATATTATAATAATAAAAATATACGACGTATTATGCCATTCGATTATAATCAATTATTAAAAATCTTCGCGCGCGTATTATATTCGCATCCAATACTAAATAAATTATGAAAATGAGCAGACACAAGTGGAGCAGAAAATCCATTTATTCAGTTCGATTATACTCGTTAAACCGAACGTTATTACAGCGGATCAAAACGTAAGAAATGAATGAACAAAGTAAAAAATAATAATAATAATAATAGATACAAAGCAAACAATATAAAAATATTTGTTAATCGTGTCTGTCTATAAACATTTTTTGGTACGTTCTTATACGTTTTCTTGGCCATGGAAAAAATGACCACGTAAAAATGGTCAGATGAAAATACTATTTGGCTATTATTATACTCACCGTTCTTGTACATAATACTATAGTAATATAATTAACATTACTTTTGTAGTTTCTTCTATGGAATTATAAGTTAATCGAGTAGGGTTTTAATCTAGCAACATACTTATAGATAGGTATGTACGGCACTACGACCGGCAAAGCGCAAAAAGTCCGTGAAATGTAAACTTTATACGACGTACGAGATCGTAGAGAAATTTCCTGTTGGCAAAATAATAATCTTCACTATCCTCATAGTGGATAGGACAATATCGTAAAATACAATTTTTTCGGTAGAAGTAGGATAACAGATTCAGCGGGTCACATAATGTACTATACATGCATAGTGTAACATATATTGTATATATTATAAGATATATATGTATATTTAAAAAAAAAAAAGTTAAAACCTAGTTTATAAAAAATAAAAAATAAAGAGATGATACTGGGGACGGGTGGCTACTATTGAAGGGGGAAAGTTGAGAAGGTAGGATACATAAAGTTATTTAATTTAAATCTGTAGGCAACGATAAACTATTGATAACAAAAAACGATTCGAAGCGAAGTTCGGTTAGATAATATGTTTTGAAACCGTGATATTTACGATTTTCGTCAAAATTTGATAGTTAAACTCTTAAGTTTTGTAAAGAAAGTAATACATTACACGCAATTTTTTTTTTTAACTACTTAGTACAACTTATAATGAACTTCCTGTTAAATTTTCAAGCATTTTTGATTAGTCTAAACATTTTATACACAGAGTACCTACTAATTAAAAATTACGTAATTACTCTAGTTATTTAACCCTCAAAATTAAAATGTCTATAAATAGCTTAAAATTGCTTAAATGTTTTTAAAATTTTAACACTTCTAGAAAAAGCACCCATATATTTTCTGTCAAAATGTCTAGTCTCTACGAATATTTTTACTGAATTACACAAGAAAAATTGAAATTTTCTAAAAATTCTAAAAATATTCGTAAATTGTCCAGTTCTTTCTTCGTTTTTTTTCTTTTTTACTAAACTGTTGAAAAAACTACAAGAAAAATTATAAAATGACTTTATTAATCAGCAACTAGATTCAAACTATAAGAAAAATGATCTATTGTTGTTTTTCCATAGGAGCAATATTTCTGATAGAAAACATAAAGTGTAAAATTTAAAACAATAAAATCGGTAATACCGTGGCGCGTCGTAAATATTTGCCGTTTAACCTACTTATGATTTTGTTTCAATTTTTCCAAATTATTTTGAAAACCCCTAGGAAAATCAACAAATAACTTTTGTAATGCACTAACTAGATAAAATTTCCTTTCGAAAAAGATGCTTGATACATCGGAGCAAGATTTTTTTTATCGAAAAGTTGTTTATACAGGGTGTATCAGAAAAGACTGACCAACTCTACGGATTGTGACTTTATATGTGGCTATAAGAATTGGTTTTTTGGAATTTTTGTTTTCCCATGAAAACTTTGGTTTTTCCCGTTTTATTATATAAAACAAAAATAAACCATTCCAGAGAATTTATCGCAAAATTCTCTTACGAAATAAGGAGTCACTCGATTTTTTTCAAAACTAATCATTATCACCGCTATTTTTGGCTTATCATGTCCAAAATCGCAATTTTTGTGTGACACATGAATTTGTATGTAAATTTGTCAGGGATTTCAATGGAATAAATTATTTTTTATTTAAGCGTCAATTTAACGATCCTATCCGTAAAATACGACTCATTNAAAAATGCATAAAAAAACATTAAAAAAATGCATAAATTCAGTTGTTTTTATTGAATTGTTTTATAATTAATTAAAACATTAAAAAAATGCATAAATTCAGTTGTTTTATTAAAAAAATGCATAAATTCAGTTGTTTTTATTGAATTGTTTTATAATTAATTATTATCAGATAATAAAAAAATAATATTTAAAGTAAATGTTCAATAAGACCTCCGTGTACTTCGATACATTTATTTGCAATTTAAATTAATTTATGGTTTAATGTAGGGTCAGTTGTACCAGTCAAATTGGGGGGGTCAAAATAATGCGAACTCCAGAACTATTTGAAAATGTTTGGAGGTCATTCCATGAATGACTTTTAATACCGTATATGTTTTATACCGATTTTTCACATTTGCTGGAAAAACTCTTAGAACAATCGAAAAATGATCTCTTTAAAGTACCTCATTAGTGAAATTTCCTTTTAGAAACATTGCTATCATTAAAATTTGAAGCAAAATTGCTGGTGAAAAAGTTGTCCACAGAAAAAAAAAATCGTAAAATTATATTTATTATATTTCGTACATTTTCCAGTTGTTTTTTTTTCGGTTTTTCGTATTTGATAAAAAAACTCGAGAAAATCGAAAAATGACCTTCTTTAAGTACCTCCCTACGCTGATCTTCTTTCAGAAAACGTGCTACACGTAGAAATCCGAGCAAGTCTTCTGGTAGTAAAGTTGCGCACAGATAAAAAAACATTAATAAATAAACATATTTATAAAACTATTAGCTTCTTCATTCCACTCAGAATCTAAAAATCACAAATTGTTTGTACATAACATGTTGCTCGATGTAAGTACAGGGAAAAAAAAATTAACGCAACGTTCTTTTGTATTTTAAATCATTTAATTAATTGTCGAGTATGCAGTTATTATATACACAATATTATTCTAAAAGAAATTTATTCTATTTTCTTTTATGTATAAAATATGCATAATCACCAATTATTTTTTATTCCTTTTCATAGCGCGTGGCACACCGCACAGCACGTGGCATTATTTGAACGTATCTATACAAATTCCGATTACTAAAAGATCCGAACGAGCTAAACTATCTGGATTATATAAAGATAATAACATCCGTTCTATTTTAAAAATGCTACCTATGTATTTACTTAATATTATCTTTATAATTATATTATATTTTCTTTATCTCTATATCCAAGGCGTCGTTAATATTTACTATATTAAATTCTACACTTGTTTTACGAGTTATCCAGGAATACCTACTGTACCATCTTCAGAACGATGCAAAAATAAGTTCCTTCGGAATCTAAACTTACATTAGGAATTTGTAGAATTATTTGTAAAGGTTTAAAAATACATCGCTGTTCAGGATGTATAGCATTTGTATTATTCCTTTTCATCTTTATCCTCTTACTTTTATCCTTCTGCACGTTTACCTATGTAGGTTTATCGATCACCATTAACTACCATCACCATCTATTATCACCATCTACTTCACATGCTCTCATACATCCCGCCAATAACCTCTAGCCACTTTTTCTTCGGCACATGTTCTTTCACTGTTCACATACCATTATTACGAGTAGACATAAATAAACACAAAAGACATGCCCACGCACGAATGTTTGTCATTTGAGGGTATTTGAACAACACATCACATCACAAACACTTAGGTACATAATATTTTCGATTAAAGTATATGCTTGTTCGAATAAAAAAAAATAGTCTATGGCCCGATCGAAGACGTCATCATAACGAGTGATAAACGAAAGTTTAAACATTTTCTTTTTGGACCCTACTCAAGGCGTTTTAGTCTGTCCGTGACCTCCGGACTCCGTAGCAGCTATATTATTGAGACACCGGTACACTATATTTTATTACTTTATTAGATGCACATTCCGCCTATAGTTTATTATTCGTAAATAAATAGTTTTACGGTATATTAATGTTAAACTGAAATCATCGTCAGTGATTTTTTTTATTTTTTTGTTCTCCCTACGTGTGTACACGGACTAAACGAATATTAATTATTACTACACCTAAAACGATTTTAGATTTCGGTCTAAATCGCACGCGTGACGCACAGAAGAATATAATAAACGAGCTATTAATTTTCGTTTGTTTGATGTGTACACCCATATGCTTGCCGAACAACGGCGACGTATTTTTTTTATTCCATTAACAATAAAATATTATTTTACTTTTTCTTGTAAGACTTATAAATCTGTCAAATTTGGTGAGGAAGTTTGAATGTGGTCATTGGTCAACGAATATAGTGAATATTTCAATAAGAAACGTTTGAAAAGAATTGTTCAAATCCGATTCATTGTTGAAAATCGGATTGTAGAGAAAAAGAGGTTAGCCCGAGATTTTTTTACGAAAATGTTAGCCTCCCCCCCAAAAAAAAATGTTTACTAAATATTATAATTTTTTTTTTTTATCATAAGTACTCATTACTTACTACAATTTTACTAATAAGAAAATATTGTGATTGGTCAAATTAAAAATGAAAATAGATCAGTAAAAATAAATATTGGCCTAGTTAGGTTTGGGAAAAAAAACGGTAGAATTTATAATCCTACCTTCCTAACTTCCCACCTACAATAGTGACACATCCGTCACCAGAATCAGCTATTTTTTATTCAGATTGTAACTATTAATAAAATATTAAATTTTTGAACTTGAAATAAAAATGCAGGGAGGATTGACCACACCCACTTCCTTCACTGATAATTGGCGTATACTCGAGACTTTTTTTTTGATACTACATCACTGAATATACCGAATTATAATCAATGTCTTTTTCTAAATAAATACGAATTAAAAACGCGTCGATTAATAACTATAATAGGTATATTGAATAAAAAGTGCTAGTTCTTTCTAAAGAGACACGGAGAAATTACAGAAATTATGAAGAATCGACACGATAATTAATTTTCAAAATTTTGCTACGGCCGCGTGTCCGCCGAATTCGCTTCTTCGTTTCTTCGGCGTTTACGTCTGTTTATACTCTTCACGGTCGCATAAAAGGTACCGTATACCGCATTATTATTATGTTTGTTTAACATGATGGTCACCGCGCGGTCAAGTATACCGCGGTCCGCCAATTACACGGTATAATAATAACGGTTACGGGATTACGTCGATTTTCGCGGAGTTTCGGCGACGATGATGTTGACCCAGTCACTTCGGCCATCATCGTTTGTCACGTCCACGTAAACAATATCTTTACTACGGTACTTAGGTACCTAAACCTATCTATACCTCTGTACATATTACTAATTTTCTTCTCGATCCGGTATGCCGTGATGACCGAGGACATTATATCCATTATTTATACGTAGGTATATACACGGCGGTAGGACGTAGGTATCTAATCTCATGTCGCGGGAGAACCTCCGTCGGCTCGGAAACTATCGGTTAGATACGGCGTCAATTAGAAGGATATACTACATTAGAACTATTAAAGGACACATAATATTATTTTATACATCCGCCGGAACCATTATCAATGTGTTCACAAATCAGAGCGGTAGCGGCAATGACAACAAAAACTTGTTTTCATAAATTTAAATGAAAGAGAATCATAACTAAACTAAATGAACATTTTCCCGGCGGGTAAAATTTGTCCGCGAAACCTGCGGTAGTTTTATTTATTTTTTTTCGTTGCATGCACTATTATTTTGCCTGCCGTCGCGATAAAAATGGATTTTTAAAATTGAAATTGTAGTCAATGAACGTTTATGATAATATATACGACAGAATATTGTGGTGTGCACTTTATCGGTATTTTGTCATATCGGTCAATTGTCAAAATGTTTATCTCGATTCTTGAAGACTTATGTGTATTTACGGGAGGGGGAATTGGGAGATAGATCCGCATTGCCTTCAAAAAATAACATGTATTAAAATATTGTTATTTCAAAAATCTTCATTTTCACCGACTATCATTTTTTTTGTTCCACAGCGGTAGGCATACTATACCAAAACGTACATGGTCTCGGCACTACGTATAAAATAACCTAATACCATTGGCTAATTTAAAATGAGCAATTCGCCGCCTATTTAATAATGATAAAAAAAAATTGATTTTCGAAATAACTGCAGATACCTAGTGACAATATTGTATTGAACAAATACCAATTGAAACTACTTAATTTAAAAATAAGAAATGAAACAATTATGTCTATATATAGCTGTATAAATTCTTAGAAACGAGTATCATAACAGAAATCTAACATATTAAACATAATATGTAATGAGATTATTCCGTACAATCATTTTTATTTGTATTAATTTTTATCAATATTATTTTATTGGCATACATATACGCAAACGATAACACCGTCGATTGATTTGTCCCGACTAAATCCCGTTACAGTTTATATTTACAACTACAACATAAATATATTTGTTGCACTAAAAAGTTATTGATACATTTTTAAAAATATAAAGTGCATTTAATATTGTATTGTTCACGGAAACAAATTCGTGAGAAATTAGATAACGTCATGTATTACCATTTACCGTCTTAAATTCATAATTATCGATAATATACAATAATAACCTAATGTCTATAAATTTATTTTTATCGATAAACTTCTCGGAACAATTTTATTCTCGGAATCATTATTCTTATCTGCGCGACGACGACGAACAAAACGGACAGGTTGCAGGTAGCTGGAGACCCGCGGGCCGCCGTGCCGCGCAATACGTATTGGCGGTGATTAATTAAAATTGTTAATTACTCCCACTAAAACGCGACATTTTTGAAAATCCCTCCTTGTTGCACGGTGAAAATACGAGAAGAACCTATATTCCAAATTTCAAGTCCGTACGTTACGTAGAGTTTTTGAGATACAGCGATCGGTCGGTCGGTGGTATTTGGATTTTATATGTATAGATTATTAAAAATAACATTAAATGTCATAACTGTGCGCTGAGAGCCCCTTACATAATTTTCTGGAAATTACCCACTCCCATTGGAAATTCCTGAGAACGTGACTGTAACCACGTTATTAAATACTAAGAAATTATTGTAGTTTCGTTTTTGTCGGGACTTTAAAATTAAATTAACGTCGGATCGTCGACTCAGCGGTCTAAAATTGCCCGGTATGGGGAGGGTTAGGTACTCCCCCTTCCACTATATGTACCGGCCCTGGCCACTGCGATTTTAAGTGCGCTGTTTTGTACACACTGTTTAGTACAAAGTAGGTAACTGCTCATATAAATTGTATAATACTTATAATAATAATTATGTTTGACAAACGGTTCAGTATTTTTTTAAGTCCGAACACCATTACGAATTTGGAATTTGCGTGGATTTCATTCCGTGTACACTCTATAATAATATACGCATACCATTATATATTCTCGCACGTGTGTATAACAGAAAAAAAAAAAATTAATAAATAAAACTGCTTACCTACCGCACGAGAGGCTCTGTTTTACGGCTTGCAATTACTGCACGAGCGTGAACATTTTATGTTACGCCGATATACATAATATAATACATTATAATATACTCGTATATTATATTATTTTATTCTCAAATCGGGTTCACTCGGCTCGTACTATATTTATACAAATAAAAAAAAAATAATAAAAATCTTTTACCACATTATTATTTTATTGGCGTGTAAATCTTGACGCTATAACGTCCGGGAATTTTCGCAGTGTACCAACTTGCAATATATATGCTCGAATTAAATTCACAATTAATAATATGTAAAAATAACTTGACAAACACGACAAACGATAAAATAATTCTGCAAATATTAAAAAATCCAAAAGTTTGTAAGGCGAAAATCTAGCGATGGGGGGATTAGGGGAACTGCTCCCCTAAACATTTTTCGTTTTTCATGTTATATTATTTTCACATACCGTCGTGTAACAAGATTCATTTAATGTATCTATCATAATTTTAAATCTGAATTATCTGTTGCAAAAGGGAATTATTGAGAATATTTGTGAAAAAAAAAAACGATTTTAATTTTTAAGATGTGTGCCTAAAATCTACATGCATATTCTAATTTATATCAACTTTCGTAAATAAACATTCTTAATACTAATAACACTTATAAAATAAAAACTTCAAACGTTCGACTTTTTTTTATTTTGAACACCAAATATAATTTACAATGGATTTCGTGAACAATTCTATCCGTATAATAACTATAAAATAAAAAATAAAATATAAAATGTCTGTAAATAGCTCAAAAAGGCTAATAAAACTTATAAATATAGACAATGAAAATATCAGGTCTCTGCGATTATTTTGAACTAAATCACAAAAAAAAAAATTGAAAATAACGAACTCGTTATTTATGTATACTTTCCCGGTTAGTCGAACAATTCGCAACTTTTAACTCTTGACATGAACAAATCGGATTATATATTTACTAACAACTAAAAATTATTTTTCTAGGAAAACAAGAAACAGATTTTAGTAAAACAGCCTACAGCCAATAACGCTGCATTCAGAATCCAAAACTAACGGATTTAAATTTCCCTATAGCAACGGGTTTTCGTTGCACGTCGTAATGAGCAAATCCGGCCCAAAATCAGTGAGCAAATACAGTGTATACAAATATTGTGAACTAATTCATCAGAAACGTAGAACTTAATGTATGAATGACACCTATCTCGTTTATCGATTTTGATTAAGTTTAAAGGGAGAAAAAGAGTTTTTACCGAAAATACCATCTTGGAGAAATAATAATAATGATTATATTAAGATTTTTCAATTGTGCTGTGATATAAATTTATAAATTTTATTTTTCGAACGAACGTCAAGACAAACGGTCAAAAATGTAAATGGTTTAATTTCCGTTTCTCTATCGAAATATTGAATTTTAAATTGTAATTCCATTTTCGGCCATAGTTTTTATAGTACCTGCATAATTAACTGTATACGTTTTTGATTCGAACAGAATATAATACTCGTACTTAAGACGATACGATTATCGTAAATCAGTTCGTTTAAAACAAATATCGCGTAACTCGTTTAAACCCAATTTTTACGTGAAGTGAACCATCACTAATATTATATTACATTTATCTGTTCAATAAAATAATACCTACCTACTTTTGATTTTCCTGATTACCATTAAACAGTTGATATTAACCACGGCAGGACAGGTTGTTGTAGGTGGGTAGTTAGGAAGGTAGAAAAAACAGGTTAATTTAGTTTATGTACTGAATATGCAACGATAAATCGTTGTAAACAAAAAAAACTATTCTGATCGAAACAGTGTTAGTAGTATTAGCCGTGTTTTTTTTTTTTTGTCCTGTATAGCTAAAATAACCCAGAAATCAGTACCTATAGAAAAAGTGTCGGGAATCTAAACATTTTTTTCCAAATAGTGTTATGGAATGAACTGTTGAAAATATCGATAAATATTTAAAACAAAGTACAACCAGATAAAAAATTCGTATCTTCTGAGGTACTGTTTAAAAAAATTGGGGCATTTTCAGTTGTAGTATATTACTAGTATTACTTAGTATATTACACAACTAGTAGTATATTCTAATAGCTTCTTCGCTATACACTCAGTATTTAAAACGAATGATACTGTTTCTAAGTAAATTTCAAATTTAATAATAATAGTATACTTCCGAATCAGAGGCGTAGGTATGAAAACTCGGCCCAAATGCGTACAATTTAAACATCTCTTTCCTATTAGGTTAAAATGTAAAAAGATAAAACTAGCATAAGTAATGTATTTTATTGGTCTGTTTTTATTGTATCAAATAAATATACTTATAAATATTAGATAATATATTTATACATATAATTTATTAAAAGCTACATATACATTTATAATAAATAAATAACGTTCCATTTTTACTTTACGAGCTTTTAACTATTGGTTTCTTAGATAAAGCGGTTGAGTTTCGTTATTTATAAATATGAACAGTGAAACCTGTCGGTACCAGAAAAAATGTCTGTTATAGACAGGTATCCGTTGTACACAGATTGTATTGAAATAGCCAAAATCACAAACAAAAAAAGTAAATTATAAATACTGTTAAAAATATAGTTAGACTACGGCCTTTGCGTAGTACATAATAATATAATACGTGTTGACGATTATTCTGATTGAAATATGATAAAAGATACACGTATATTTTCATATTTTTCGGCAATTTGTATTCGTATTTCCAATTTACCATTATTATTATTATTATATAGCTAATAATATTAGGTACGAATTTAAACTTTGATATTCGTTATCAAGAAAATATTACTGTCCACGTCCCTTATAGACGGGTCGAAATTCAAAATACACGAAAACCCCTGATTTTTTGTCGGGACCTTAAAATAAATTATTTATTTTAAGGTCCCGGCAATAACCACACTAAATGTTAGTGTGTTGCGAGAGGTTTCACTGTAATCATTTATTCGAATTGCAGGTACTCAAAAATAATATAAACCAAGATATTATTTTGGATTATTATTTTGTTCAACGCGTACATATTTTCCCTAATGACGAAAATACAGTATTCTGGGAAGGCAGTAAAGCTCCTTAGATTTAGGGCCCTGATGCAACCGCATTCCCTGCGTTCCTCTGTTTTATGCCACTGTTCTGAATTTATAACCGAATTTGTTTATTAGTATAATAATTGTATGCCCTAGTATGTATAAGTTTACGTGCTGTTGTAAAAATGTTTATGCGGTGCCGACAAATGCATTCAAAAACAGTTTTCTGTAAAATTCTGTGTATTCTGTATTTAAAATATTTCTGTGCGCTATAGAATAATAATTATCATGTTCAATAGTATTTATTCTTTTCTAGTTCTTTACAATTTCGTTTTTTTTTCCATAGACATTCTATTATAGCCTATGGGTAGGTAATTCAAAAAAAAAAAAAAACAAATCATTGCTCTACAGTATACCGTAATTATGTATGTTAAACTTTCTCTCCACAGTATATACATATTTTTACATGAAAAACATGGGTACTTATGTTTATATATTATTACAGACAATATATAATAATATATTGTCTCACAAATCGTTGTCAAAAAAAACACATACGCACACGCATGCAGTATAAACGTAATAGAATTATTCCTCTTCGCCTCAAAATAGTCAAAATATAATATATGTATAATTATCAATAGTTATCTACAAAATCATCCTAAATCGCACATTTTTCAACTCAAACACGACGAATCTTAAGAAAACGCCACACCGTCCAGTGGTAAAAACGTATTTTCGCGGACTGAGAATAACTCGCTTAGTTATATGGTTTTAGAGTAAAAGCACCTGTATGACTGTATTATATCATTAAAATACGACAATATTCCGGAGAGTAAAACGTTGCGATTTTTTGGTAAACAAAATTGATTTTTTCAAAAGTTTTTGAAGTTTAAAAATGCCAAAATGGTCGTTATTTGTACATTTTTATGATAATTTGCCCTCCGGAATATTGCGGTCTTTTAATTTTACATTTAGTGCTTTTATTCGAAAACCATCATAAATAATAATAATTAAATATTATCATCGATGTATATATAATTTGTATTACATTACGTGCATTGCCTAAGTAACTGTCAACGGTACCTTATTGTAACTACATCAAAATCGTGACATATATTATTTCCGTATAAAAACAGAAATCTGTAATACCATTATAAAGTTATGGGTATAGATAATCAAATTATTTTACATCAAAGAACTTATTATAATATAGTCGATATTTCAAAGGACACGTCCATTAAGGATCGTATACGCGAATTATAATTTAATAACGACGATAGTAATAAACTACCTGCAGTATTAAATCAAAAGATAAAAAGATTTAATATTAAATAAAGATACAGCTGACAGCTCGTATCATTATGCGACGGATAGCAAAGTTTAAAATATGGCCAATATTTTCAACAAGCAATATATTTGCGATTTTGATTTCATTCGACGTTTTATCAGTGGCATAATATGAAGTTCTAAAGTCCGTGACAAAATATTAACCAAATTGGGGGCTAAGTGTACTACTCGAAGTTAGTGCTCAATAAAAAAGGTCATTGACTGTTTTCATACACCTGTCCGTACACTCATATTAATTAATAAGCGAAAAAGGTCATCAACTGTTTTTTTACCTGTTGAATCAAAATAATGACCGGGGCTATCCCGGTAGTTGCCCGACCGTCATGTCACCCTAACCTAAACTAACCTCTGCGTTTATTCGAATCATCCGAACATTTATTATATTCGAAATAGAAAAACAAAATGTTGACTTTTTGGGTTTTAACTTTCAATTATTTTAGTTGTTATTTATACGCATTATTATATTCTCGCAAATTCTCATCGCTAGGAAATTTATTAGACACCTAAATACTCATAAATATTCATGACGTGAAATAGAATAATAATAAAAAAAAATTTTGAATTCCATTTGATTGCTATTATTCATTTACTTAGTGGCATGCCGAATTATTTTTTATTTTTTAAGGCAACTGCTTCATGACTTAAATGGATGTGTCACCGAATATGTTGAATATTGATTGACTAGTCCAAAGATCAGAGACGTCTTAGTTTTGTGTATTATATTATTTATATATATATATGAATATGATAGTCTAAATGCATAGTCAATGTAAACTAAATGGGATTTTTTAGGTAAAAAAAATAAATATTTTAAAGAGATATCAAAATCTATGTTTTGAGTAGGTAGGTACCAAAATGTCTCCTTAGTTTGCCTCAAGAAAAATAAAAAAAATGTTCAGCACGCCACCGAGTATATCAGCGATTTTAATTTAAATTTGCTATAGGAATTATAATATAATAAAATATATTCGGCGAGGAATATATTATAACGTATGTTTTCAAGGTGCAGTATTATTATTCTTATTAATAGATTACGTGATTTAAATGAATTATTGAGTTATTATAACGATATATTTTGAAAAAATCTTCTTTCAAATTTTCCTACCATCATAACATTGGAATTTTAGAAACAATCAAAATTAAAAATCGTAAAAATATTACGGTAGCGTAAATCTAAGTATTTTAGATTATGGGATAAAAATAAGGAAAACAAAATATGTTTTAACTATTTAAATACAAGTATTCGAATACTTAACAGGACTAATTATACAGACAAGTACATTTGATCGACCGACTTTGAAAAATATTTTCTTTTTTGTTTGCCCGTCATAAACCAAAAACATTGTAGTTTAGTATTATCTATTTTCTAATTCTTAACCGAAACAACATTTTTTTTCCTGACCATTCGCGATCATACGAACAACTCTCCTGCAGGTAAGCTGAGAGAAAAAGCTGTCAGTTCGGTCCACTGTTATAATTTCGTACTCGAGACTACATCGCCATCGGCCGTTGATTGGCCGGTTTAAGACAGCACAACAAAATATAAAACGTGTTTATTTAATTTTTTAATTTTTTATACCGTACCGGTGTTGGCGTTTTTCTGTGGCACCGCGGCGTACGATACGCAGACTCCCGTCTCGTACGTAACGGCGGCGCACTGGTCGTCGGACTTGCAAGCATCGATGCACTGGGGCAACGTGAACAGGGCCAACTGTTCGCGCATCGCGTGCTTGGCCGCCGGGCTGGCCGCGTATCCGGTGAGCAGTTCGAAGCTTACGTCGCCGTCGTCGCCGCACTGAAGCGACGCGACCTGCAGACGGGCGCATGTCGCCACCAAAATCAGGGCGACCGCGGTCGTCCTGCGGAGAGCCATGATGACGGTGCCCGACGTTTTCGGAGACTTGTACGGGCCGAAAACCGATGGTCCTTCGGGAAAGCTGGGGGTAGGGGGAAGAAACGCAGACTGTTAGAACTACCGGGGTGTTGTTCAGAAGGTCGGGGTTGTCGGGCAGGGCATATTATTATATTATTGTGCGGGACGTATTGTTTATTCGCGGACGATTTCTTCGGCGTTGGCCGACGCGAAGACTAACGCGCGTGTAAAATATAGAAGGCCGCGAGAGGTTTACAAAAACGAAGAAACGAAACGACAAAGGTTTTAAACGCAAAATATCGCGGGGGGACACGTTGTGCGCGGTAAAGACGGCGTAGACGCGGAGTTTGTGTGGATACTGTGAACACGCGAGCGAATGATGAGTTCACGGAGTACGCAGTTCAGAGAGCCGAATGAGACTGCCGCGGATTTTCACGTAGTGGTGCCGGTCGCGCCACCGTAAACATCGACTGGCGGCGGCGGCGGCGGGCACGTGGTCAGAGGCCGCGCCGCGGTCGTTCGGAGTTCAGAGCGGGAGTACCTCTGCCGCCGCGTATCGTCTTCGCCGTCATCGTCGTTGCCGCCACTGACGCCGTTTCTTACCGACTATTGTTTTCTCAAATAAAATATAAATTTTGGGTTCAGGACTTATTCTTGAATCTGCGTGTTTTTTTTTTTTTTTCTGTAGCGGTCGTAGATTATTCTAGGAAAGCTATACATTTTGTTTTATGAAATGCCGAAATTAAATATTTATACCTATTAGTCTGAATTTGCGAATTCCCGCATAATATTTTGTCATATTTTCGGAAAAGTGCATATTTGAGCAATGTGTACCATAATTTGTGCATATTTCGCATTTTCAAATTTTTATTATACCCATAAAATTGTCGGTGAAATCGTATTTTATTGAGCGTACTCCGTTCAGAATCGTTTTTTCGTAAGCAATATGGTTTATCGTTGCTTACAAGTGCACATTAAAATATCTATAACAGTGGCTGCACCCGACCCCATTATCCTAGGATGTCTTTTTGTTTTGAACATATGTTTATTGCAGATTTAAGAACGACGGTGAAGTAAGAATTGAGCGGACTGACCACGATTCGAAATAATAGCTTTTTGAAGTTCTGATATTATATGTTATGTATAAAATTGTATTGTGTGTTTGTTATAGTCTAATGATATTACATTCCCTGATGTCCCATGGGTCATGAGTTCAAAACCGAGTTACGAAACAACTTTGTTTGTATTTTTTTCTCCCTTTTATCTAAGCAAGGAAGATACTTTAAGAAGGTCATTTTTCGATTTTCCCAGGAGTTTTCTCAACAAATGTTAAAAACCCATAACAACTGATGAAAAACGCGAAAATTTACGAAATATAGGTATTAGTTAAAAACATATATACGGCCTTCTGATTTCCTGTGAACAACTTTTCTACCAGCGATTTGTCTCCGATTTACACTAGTTGCACTTTCTCTAAAAGGAAATTGGTGTGGGGAGGTACTTTAGGGAGGTCATTTCGATTTTCTTTAGAGTTTTCTCATCAAAAACGAAAAACCGGAAAAAAAACAGAGAAAAAACGGAAAAATGTACGACATGAATTAGTATATTATGATTTTTTTTTTCTGTGGACAACCTTTCTACTAGTAATAAATTTTACTTCAACTTATAATGATAGTAATTTTTCTAAAAAGAAATTTCAATAGAGAGGTACTTTAAAGTGATCGTTTTTCGATTTTCTTCGGAGTTTTCTCAACAAATGTGAAAACACCCAAAAAAAACGTTGAGAAACAGGAAAATGTAAGATATGTAGGTATCAGCTGAAAATATTATGGCCTTCTTATTTAAGTCTATTTAATTATTTTACTATAAAATTTCATAAATATATATTGTTGACAATGCATTACTGTCAACTGAACTTCGCTCAGAATCTTTTTTTCATAAGTAATGGTTTATCGTTAATTACAGGTATACTCTAAATCCTCTATATCAGTGGCTGCACCCGTCCCCATTATTTGTATTTTTATATATATATTTATTTGTTAGGTATATATTATTAAATCTTTATAAATTAAGAGGAAATGTTTTGAAATTTAACATAAGATAAATTATAATAGTTATAGGTACTTAGTGGTTTATAAAACAAATTTGAGTTTAATGCATTAGTTTTTTTTTCATAAATGTTTTAAGATCAAATATTGACGAAAATCGTAAAAATTACGGAATTTCAAAACATGTTTTACCAAACTTCGAATCGCTTTTCTACATCAGTTCTAACAATGGTTTATTTATGCGTAAATATATAAATTAAATAACTTTATGTATCCTACCTTTCGAACTTCCCACCTACAACAGTATCTGCGCCCAACCCCAGTATTAGCTCTCTTTTTTTTTTTTTTTAAAACTTTATGTTGACTGCCATGTATACTATAAAAAAATTATGCTTTTAATAAAAATTATGAAATGAGAATGAAAAATGAAAAAATTAAAATCAATTTTTTGGGGTATACTCGTATGCTTAGAACCTAATCCTCCTCAGATTATGTCCATAATTTAACCCTGATATTTATTCGTCTGGAGCATAAAATTATTATTTATCACGGTCACACTGGTCAACCATTTATTTAAAATGAAAATTTCACCAACAGATATACTCTGTATATATTAAGCACCGCTACACACTATATGACGTATCAGCATAATAATAATTTACTTTTCTCAGTCATTTTTCTTGGCGCCCCCTTTTTTCTTGGGGATAACACCCTTTTTGGGCTTTTCACGGATCATCTTTGTTCTGTACATCCTGTAATCGTTTGGCAATTGATCGTCGTTATACTGTTCATCGCTGAAATACACCCTCCTCAGCCGACAATTGGCGTGCACCTGGACTCGAACCGTCTCCTTGTAGTTGGTGTTGAATGTGCGATTGGTGAAGTCGGCCAAATTAAACTGCACTTGACTCCAGTCCTCGCTTAAGCACAGCGGAATGGAGCACATAAACGTGCTCATCCGGGTCGCGGACTGGTAATTACTCACTCGGATACGTCGGCGAATATTCTCATCATCCAAAACCTACATTTTTTCCATTTCACCGTATAAAACCGTAATAAAAAATAAATATAATACGGAGTGATCAACATAACAGTCACCCATTATCTCAGAAAGTATTAACTTTTTTCGGAATTTGTTTTACATAAAATTAAAAAATAATGGAGCATCATCAACGTGTTCCTCAACATTCCCCTACCAAATAATTGGAATATTTCGTCAACGGATTGATGTAAATTATCAATTTCAAAACCAATATTTATTTAAACTAATGCCCTATCTATAAACAGGTATAATTTAATATGAGTTACCATTTGAAAATGGTAATTGCTTCAACTCCAAAAATAAGGATAACAAAAAATAATCACAGGAGTAGCCAGCGGATTGGTCTGGCAGACCTTCCCATTATTCTCCGAAAATCAACACAAATTTAAAATCATTTTAAGTAATATTTCCTATTCAAACATTTAAATTATTTTATCTGGCCTACCCAAAAAAATATTTTTAGCTATGCTTCTAAAAATAATGGTGGTATAAAATTTTAGATCTGCTTGTTTCGTAAACTTTATAAAATATTTACGAAATAATGAGTGTTCAACGATAAAATAATCACCCTGTATAAGATAAAATAAATGAAAAATATGGTAGTTTGGTCGCATTAATGTTGTACAAAATAATAAAAATAAAAAAACAAAGATCTGATACTGAAGACGGGTGCAGTCAATGTTGTAGGTAAGAAGTTGGGAAGGTAGGATATATAAGGTTATTTCATTTATATCTGTAAGCAATGATAAACCATTGCTGACAGAAGACGATTTCCCGAGCGCAGTTCGATAATACATAATTTGAAGTGTCATCATTTTTTTTTAACTTTACCTTCCTACGTTTTTCCCGATTATCATGAAAACTAATTAAAACATCAAAAACGAACTGCATCATTAGAAATAAGAGTAGTAATTCTACAAAAAAGATCTCTTGTCATTTTTCAATTGGAGCTATATTTATGCTAGAAAACGTGGTAGGTACTTATTTTAAATAACAAAGTCGTGAAAAAATCGTATTTTTATTCTCCCGATTAATCGGTTTTATTTTAAATACCGTTTTGAAAATCAAAAACTGACTTATGTATTTACCAAGTAGATAAAATTGAGTTTCTGAAAAGGTGCTTAACTTATACATTGGAGAAAGTTTTCAACAATAAAATGGTCTACAGTATAAAAATAAAAATAAAATTCCGCTGTAAAAAATAACAAATTTAAAGGAAAAATAGTCGGCAACAAAAAAGGTATCTTGTGATTTTTTGATTAAATCATTTTTTCTGGTAGAAAACGTCGTTCGTGTTTTTATAAAATAATGAATCGTGAAATTGTACGTTTTTCTACGTTTTTTTCCCACTTAAGTACTATTATTTAAAAAATGAAATTGAAAATCAAAAAAATGACCAGTTTAAAGTACCATTTAGATAACTTAAGCTTTCAGAAAAGTTGTACGTAAAAATTGAAGCAAGTTTACTAGGAAACGTGTCTACAGACTAGAACAAAAAGCAATGAAGATAAAATAAACATCTTATTAAAACCAATACATTTTTCGCTACACTCAGAATCCAAAATTAAATCACTAAATATTATACAGAATGATCAGAATTGTACGTTACAGAAATTTTCTCCTATAAATATACAAAATAGAGAATAATGTATAGTGAACATTTTTATTAAATAGTGTAATCTAAAATTATACGTGGGCTTGAAATTTATAGACGCTGTTTTAGTGGAAATTTTAGGGATCAACTTCTAAAATTTAAACGACAGCCTACATTCGAAATTCCATAGATATATGGAGTATTAATTCGAATACATTTTGGTGTTAATATTTTTAATCTCTATTAACTTGTTGACGAGATATTCCACATTTTATTTCAGGCAGGGGGAGAGTATGGAACACTATGCGCTTGTGTGGTTGCATGGCATAGTGCGCGGCGTTTGAATAGAAAAATTTGATCTACAGAATACCTATCAAATAAAAATTACGTAAAAAACTCTGAAAACTAAAATGCCTTTAATTAATTAAAAAAAGGCACAAACTGTTTGAAAATTTTACCATATATTAAAAAAACAAATATATAAGTTTTCTGTCAAAATTTCAAGTCTTCACGAATATTATTAACTAAATTACTTTAAAAAAAAAAACTAAATCTAAAAGAATAAAATAATTATTATGTTAATTTTCTCGTTCTTTTTACGTATTTTTCGATTTTACTAAATTATTAAAAAAATTCAAAGAATCAAAAACTCTTACTCACAAACAAGTTAAAAAAATTAGTCAAAAAAAGGTCTCTTGTCGTTTTTCTATTAGAGCTATATTTATATTGGTAGAAATTATAAGTCGTACAATTTTAAATAACTAAATTGTATTTTTCATTTTTTTTGGTTTTTCTAATATAAATATAAAAAATTATTCAGATATTACAAAAATAGATTTTCTATGTCAATGGCTATAATTTTAAAAGAACAAATTAGATATCTTATTATTTTTTGATTGGAGGAATATTTTGTAAAAATAAATAAATATTTGCTATTTTACCCATAATTTTCTTTTGAGTTTTTCCCAATTATTTTGAAAAGTCCTTTGGAAATCAAAAAATAACTTTTATATTGCACCAACTAGAGAAAAATACTATTCACAAAAGGTGCTACACTCTTCACATCGGAGCAAGATTTCTTTTCAAAAAAATTTTTACAGATAAAAAAAAAACACACATCTCCCGCTACGTTCTGAATCTAAAAATATACATTATGGTAAAACCAATATATTCCTCTCTGTAATCAGAATCTAAAATTGCAATGATGCCTCACCGTTATTTCGAAGGTGAAATATCGATTGAGGTTTTTGAGCAGCAGCGTGATGAACGGCTTCACAATACCGAGTGAACCTTTCGGATCGGCTGGTGTCGTTATCAAACACGCAGCTACGTTTTGTGACTGTAGTTCAAGCACGTTCGATTTAAGTATCTCATCCTGGATAATGCGCAATTCACCATTTGTGCACTGCAAAACGATTAGTATACAGTAAAACTTAGGTGTTCATCATGAATCATAAAGTGCCATCATTATGCACACCCAGTGGAGAATATAAAATATGTCATCAGTGGAAAGGGTGGAGGGCTAAAAACAAAAATAATTGATGTTTTCTAATTTCCTAGGTTTCTTTCCCGTTTATCATTGACCTCATCGGTGGCCAAAGGTGTTCCGTCACGGGCTGTAACTATTTTCCTCCAAGAATCATAATATATGGTTCTCTTCCTCTGAACATTTTCCTTCGAAAAATTATATTTTGTAAAAAAAAAAGAAAATAAGAGGGAGAGTTGAATACCCAAGGTTTTCTACAATTTCGGAACCTTTAAATAATCTTAGACCAATATTACTTGTTTCTAAATAAAACTGCATTTGAAATCAATAGGTGGGCAGTGTACTATAATAAAAAAAGATTTTTTCACACAATCAGTTGCAATAATTAATACCGTTAGTTTTTAATAATTATTTATTGTAGGTATTTGTAATAATTACATAGTCAAAAGAACACCAATACCATTATTTCTAGGGAAAGTTGAACCAGTGTCGTGCACAGGGGTTAGGGTTTAATCCCTCCATTGGCTTAAAAATACAAAACTACGAAAATTTAGTGATTTAATTTTGGATTCTGAGTGTAGCGAAGAATGTATTGGTTTTAATAAGATGTTTATTTCTTCTTCATTGCTTTTTGTTCTAGTCTGTAGACACGTTTCCTAGTAAACTTGCTCCAATTTTTACGTCCAACTTTTCTGAAGCTCAAGTTATCTAGATGGTACTTTAAACAGGTCATATTTTTGATTTTCAACGCCATTTTTTAAAATGAAAACACTTAAAAAGAAAAAAAAACGTAAGATATCCTACAATTTTACGATTTTATTATTTTATAAAAACACGGACGACGTATTCTACCAGAAAAATATAATTTAATCGGAAAATCACATGACACCTTTTTTGTTGCCGGATTTTTTTCCTTTACATTTTTAATTTTTTACAGTGAAACTTATACTGTAGACCACTTTTATCCTAGAAAACTTGCTCTGATGTATAAGTGTAGCACTTTTTCAGAAACTCAATTTTATCTACTTGGTAAATGCATAAGTCAGTTTTTGATTTTCAAAACGGTATTTAAAATAAAACCGATTAATCGGGAGAATAAAAATACGATTTTTCACGACTTTGTTATTTAAAATAAGTACCTACCACGTTTTCTAGCATAAATATAGCTCCAATTGAAAAATGACAAGAGACCTTTTTTGTAGAATTACTACTCTTATTTCTCATGATGCAGTTCGTTTTTTTGATTTTTTAATTTGTTTTCATAATCGGGAAAAACGTAGGAAGGTAAAGTTAAAAAAAAATGATGACACTTCAAATTATGTATTATCGAACTGCGCTCGGAATCGTCTTCCATCAGCAATGGTTTATCATTGCTTACAGATATAAATAAAATAACCTTATGTATCCTACCTTCCCAACTTCTCACCTATAACAGTGGCTGCACCCATCCTCAGTATCAGCTCTTTTTTTTTTATCCTGTGCACAAAAATTGTACTAGAAATCTTGCTCAAATGTATACGAGCGACACCATTTCTGAAAAGTAGTTTTATTCAGATGATAATTTAGGGAGGTCATTTATTATTTTTCAAGCGGTTTTCATAATATCTAAGAAAAATCGGGATAAAACGTTGGAAAAATGGAAAATGTACGAAATGTAGGTATTACTAAAAAAATATTATGGCCTTTTTTTTCTGTGTACAATTTTTCTACCAGCAATTGCGCTCCGATTTAAAATAATAGCATTTTTCTGAAAGGAAATTTCTCTAGAGAAGTACTTTAAAGAGGTAATTTGTCGATTTTCTTATGATTTTTTCCAGCAAATGTAAAAAACAGAGAAAAAACAAAAGAAAACCGAGAAAACCGGTACAAAATAAAACAAATATTATTAAAGAAAATATATAGAGCCTATTTAATTATTTTACTATAATATTGGCATATAAATTGTTGAAAAAGTATCACTATCAAATGAACTGCTCCTCAGAATCTTTTTTCTTTAGCAATGGTTTATCGTTGCTTACAGATAAACATTAAATTACCTATAACAGTGGCTGCACTCATCTCAATTATCCTATAACGTATTTTTTAATTTGTATATTTAGCAAAGGTACAAGAACATTAAAGTATGATTTATTGATACAGAATAGCGTTTTTTCATGGACGTTACTTGATAAATTTGTGTGGGAAGCGAAGGCAAACTTTATTTTATGTCGGTTTACCCAAAGACTGGAAAAAAATTGAATGTAATCAATAATTACATTATTGATAGTATTACAAAGTTATACGTAGTGTAACCTTTGAACAGTTTATAAATTAAATTTTTATCAAATATTTGTGTTAGTTGAAGTCTTCTTCTCCTTTGTCTCAAATTTTGCTGCCTCTAAAATAAAATTGAGCTCTCATTTTAACTTAGCCCCTCCCCCTATTTTTCATGTGACATATCTACATAAAATATTTTTTTAGTTTTTATTTTAAAGAAACAACAAGTAGTGTTGAAACTATACAGATATTTTTATACATTTTTTATTTTAATGTCATATTTGTATAGTTTTATAATTATAAATTCATTAGTTATAAATTCATTAGGTACACATATTTAGATTTTAGGAATTTATTAAAATTCATATAATAAAAAATATTTATTGCTTTTCAAAATATTTTTTACTTTTACCCTACAAATCATTAAATTTTTGTCATAATCTTAAAAAATTAAAAATATTATTATAATCATATTGATAAAATAAAATAAAACAAACTTAATTTTATTTAAAATTGACTTTTCTTGCTTTTAATGAAGCAAAGCTCTGTATAAGTTCATCCATGTCTAATTCTTCAGCAATTTCGCTTTCAATAGAAAAAGTGACTAATACTTCTAATTGGTCTTGAGATATATTTGATCAAAAATAATTTTTTAATATTTTAAGTTTTGAGAAATGCCTCTCGGCTGTTGCAGCAGTTATAGATAAAATCAATAGAATCCTTAGTATCACGTAATCAAGTATTAAAGTATAGTTCTATTAACTTGTTTTGACATACGTACTCAAGAGCTGATTTCAGATCACACGTTTCGAATATAAAACGTTTTTGCAAAGATATAATTTCACCATACAATTCAACAACATTTATATCCGGAATTAATCCATCACTTGAAGTTAGTACTATTTTTAAATCTTTATAATTATTCATAAGTTTATCAAAATCAGAAATCTCAGTTATATTATAGAGAAATGGAAATAAATCACTGTGATCTGTAAGTTTTGAAAATCTGTCATTGATTGATTGGATATCAGTGTCTAAAATCTGGTTAAAATGTTAATTTTAAAACTTTATTTTGGGTCATGATTAGGTTCGTCTTGTGATTCATATGCAAATTGAGTATTTCTACGACAAATTCGAGTTGAGGCAGGAATGTAACCCTCAATTTGAAGTTCATTTGTTAGTGATTTAGTTTGTTCTAACGTCTTTTGAAATCCTTCATCTGTACGATATTCTTTCAAAAATATTATTGTATTCATTAATTGAGTAATAGTTTCTGAAATAATCAATGACACTAGTTGAAGTAATTTACTTTTATGGTTAATTTCGAACAATATATCATATCATACCAAATAACAAAACAACACAAAAATTTAAAATCAACTAATTTTTCAGCAATACTTTTAGCTTCTGCATAACATTTTACTCCAGTTGCATTCACAAGTAAAATCTTCTATAACTTCTATAAACGAATTATCCACTATTGCAATTGACAAGTTTGGAAGGTAAGATATAGAGAGGAATTTAATGTATTTTAAATGTTTGCCTAGAAAGATTAATCATTGCTAATGAAAAACTATTATGAGCGGAATTTGGTCATACATGTTTTAAAAGACCGTAATATATATTTACGATTTTCGTTAAAATCTGGCATTATAAAAAAAATATTACATTAAAATCAATGTTTTCATGACTAATAAGTATAACTGATAATGAACTTCCGGTTAAATTTTCAAATATTTCTGTTGGTGTAATAATTGTTTCTACAGTATACCTACAGAATAAATATTATAAAAAAAGTCGCAAAATTAAACTGTTTACAAACAGCTCAACATTGTCACAAATAGTTTGAACATTAAACCATGTCTAGAAGAGCTAATTATAAGTTTTCTGTTCTCTGCGGACATTTTTAAATTTATTACAACAAGTAAGGTAGAATGAAATCATGCAATTTATTACCCTTCTCTATTCCTCCAGTCTAAACTTTAAATGGTTACAACACTAACGGTAAATCTGATATTAGTGTTAAGCATATAAAAATTTCTAGAAAAATATTCTCTTTCTACTCTATTCAAAAAGGATGGTTACTATTTTTCATTTAAAACCCTCCAAGAAAATTTAACTGGTTCATGATAAAAATAAAAACGTCCTAGGATAATGGGGACGGATGCAGCCACTTTGTTAGCAAATATTAATCAATACTAAAGAAAAACGATTCTGAACCGAGTTGATAGTAATGCTTTGTCAACAATATATGTGTCATATTATAGTAAAATCATTGAATAAGCATTGTATAACTTCTTTAATAATATTTGCTTAATATTGTACCGATTTTCCCGGTTTTTCTATGTTTTTTCTAGTTTTCCCATATTTTTCCTGGTTTTTCACATTTGCTGGAAAACTCTTAGGAAAATCGAAAAATTACCTCTCTAATTGCTTAATTAAAAATTGCTTCTAGAAAAGTTGTTCACTGGAAAAAAAGAAGGCCGTAATAATTTTAACTAATACCTAAATTTCTTACATTTTTCGGTTTTTCATATTTATTGAAAAAACTCCGGAGAAAATCAAAAACCGATCTCTCTAAAGTACCAGCCCAGTGAAATTTCCTTTTAGAAAAATTGCTATTATTATTAGTTGTTTTTTTATTTTTTTTTAAATAAAATTGTTTTTATTTTAATTAATTTTTCATAAAAATTCGTACTATACATTTTTTGATGTACATTGATATAATACAGAACCATGGGAGCGAAGCTTCAAACTTTGCTTCACTTACCTCTTCCACATGATTGTAATTTTTAATACAATATCAACTTTTTTTTTTGCGCACTATTATTAGATAACTACCAATCTATTATTATTTTATAAACCAAAAAAATATACTTATGTCTGGTATAAATCTAAAAACTATTAACAAATTATTTATTTTAATGTGGGATACATAACTTAAAATTGAATAGATATATTTGAGTCGTCAACAGCTCTCTTGTTTAAACTGGCTTCCTGAAAAACACCTTTATAGGTATTTTCAAATTCACATTTAGTATAACATTACATCATAACAATTAAAACACCCAGTCATTTAATAACACATTTTATAAATGTACACAATAATAAAATAATTACAACTGAACTTTATTCGTCTTGTTCGTTGATTAGTTAAAAACGCGCAAAATATTTATCAATTTCCATTTGATACTTGTGATAACATATCAGTAATCAGATACAGGGCACAGACAATGATAAATAATGTATATTGTATAATGAGGAGACTTCTTCATGAATAATTATGATTAATATATGTCTAGAGTCTTCACTCTTTATAATATTAAATTTGAAAAATAAATATTATATACAATGTAAATGATAACAATTTATTATTGTTATCATAAAAAATATTATTTTTTTAAAATTTGACTATTGTATAGATACTACCTACTACCTGGCCAATAGTCTTATTTCTTAGTATTTAATAGGTACACATTTCTCGAATTCGTAGTGCACACTTCCAATTTCGTACTACACACTTTGTGTTGGGGTTCACTAAAAAATAGGGACTAAGTTGGAGCAAAATTACTGGTAGAAAATTTGTCAACAAGAAAAAAAAAGGCCGTAATTAATACCTACATTTCTTACATTTTCCCGTTTTTCTTGCGTTTTTTTTTTTATTTTTCATATTTGTTCAGAAAACTCTTGAGAAAATCGAAAAATTTCCTCTTTAAAGTACCTCCCCAGTGAGATAGGTATAGATTATTAATTAGAACAAAAGAAGATACAATGATTTATTTATGAAATATGATTATCATTCACTACATCCTCTCCCATAAAAAATTCCTAGGCACGTCACTGTTTTAGCCCACAAAATCACCCGTGCAGTGCGCGTCCACCACTGAACACAAGTCGCGGTATTTTATAAACGTTCGTGCTTTCTATATAGCCATATAGATACCTGTATGGCCCAATCGGCCAGCGGATTTTGGCCGATGCTGTAGTAGATACTGACCAACTTCCCTTGATATTTCGGCACAAACCCAAACATGATATGTTCAACACGGTTCAGAATAAAAACAAACCAGGACGGTCACAGTCGCTAGAATGGTGGATACAATTAACGTGAAAAGCGTTCTCTGGCCAGTGCGTCAATGTTGTAAAAAATTGTACAGCTAAAATATTATTCAAATTAACTTTACAGGTGATAATACCATATTCTAAGATTTTCGTCCTGCATGGGAGGATGATACAATTAATAATAATAGAAAATTAAACAAATATGTAGCTAAGCAACTGGCGGAATCGTTATATTAATTTAAGTGATTAAAATTAATATTAGATTCTAAGTGAAACAAGGGATTGCGAGGAATTGGTTTTATTATAATATGTATATTTTTTTTTGTCCGTAAACAACTTTTTTTCTAAAAACTCTAATCAAAACATGACAGGATATCTTTTTTGTTGCACTTTGGCTTTACTTGATACTTTAGAAAGGTCATTTTTTGTAATTTTCATAAATATTTGAGATTATAAGGAAAAACTAGTTCATCAGGTTAAAAAAGACTGCTAAAAGATTAAAAATAAGGTTGCCATTTGTAACCCTTATAATTATTTTTAGAATCCGAGCGTAGCGAAGGAGCTATTGATTTTACAATGCTGTTTATTTCTTTTTTTCCTTCTTTGTTCTTGGTTTTAGTCTGTAAACGGGTTTTTTCCTAGTCAAGTTTTTCAAGTCCTTACGAATATTTTTAACTGAATTACATTCCAAAAACAAAATTTAAAATAATAAAATCATTGTTTTAGGTCGTTTTTTTGATTTTCTCCAGATTTATTTCAACAAATGTGAAAAAACGAAAAAGAAAAACTCAGGAAAACAAGAAAATGGACGAAATATATTTGTATACTATCAATATTTTTTTTTCTATGGAAAACTTTTTTCAGAAAATTTAAGTCATTTTTGTATTATTGATAGATATTTTAATTTTACGAGTTTAAACCGAATAAAATTATGTATAGACATAATTTTATTCGGTTTATACTGTATGGTAAAATTGTTAAACTAATCAGAAATGCGTGAAAATTTAACAGAAGGTTCATTGAGTCTTTCTTGTGATCAAAAAAAAAAAAAAAAAATTTAGTTTAATGTAGTAAATTTTTTATACAGAATTTTAATATCAAATTTTAACGAAAATTTTTCGAGCAAAAAATTATGTGGAACAAATCTAATTTTTCAATTTTTTGTTTTAAACATATGTGTTTAACGATATGCTGAACGATGGTGTAGTAAGAAATGAGTTGGCTGACTAAGTTTCGAAATTATAGCTTTTTGAAAATCTGATATTATACGTTATGTTAAATAATTTAATAATGTCTCTTTTACAATATGTTTGTCGTAGTTGAATAGTTATAGATACCTGTTAGGTACTCAGTATACCCAGTTTAGGAGTCGCGAGTTCAAACCCGAGTTTCGAAACAAATTGTTTTTATTTTTTTCCCTTTAACTTAAACAAGGAAAATTCAAATGCATTTTGGTCGTACTTAGATTCCCAATTCCCAATGCCATCAATCGCTCGGACTATTTTAATCACAAAATACCTCTCGATTTTTTGTGCAAACTTTTCTACCATAAATCATGCTCCGATGTATCAAGTGTAGTTTATTTTTTGAAAGGAAATTTTATCTGCATGGTACTTCAGGAAGGTCATTTTTAGATTTTTAAGCCATTTTCATAATATCTGGAAAAATCGGGATAAAATGTTGGAAAAACGAAAAATATATGAAATGTAGGAATTAGTAAAACATATTACGGCTTTCTTTTTTCCTGTGAACAACATTTCTGCCAGCAATTTGGTCCGATTTACAATGACATCACTTTTTCTGTAGGGAAATCTGACTGGGAAGGTACTTTACACGGGTCATTTTTCGATTTGTCCAATAGTTTTCCCAACAAATGTGAAAAACCGGGAAAAAACATGAGAAAAACGCAGAAAAACCGGGAAAATGTGTACAAATAATATACAATATTAAACAAATATTATTAAAGAAAATATATAATGCCTATTGAATTACATAATAACATGACATATTTATTGTTGACAAAGCATCATTATCAACTGAACTTCGTTCGGTATTGTTTTTCGTTAGCAATGGTTTATCGTTGCTTACAAATATACATTAAATTCCCATCTATATCCTACCTTCCTAACTTCCCACCTACAATAGCTTTTGCGCCGGCGGGCAAAATATGTCCGTCTTTTTTTAACATGACAAAATTATTATGTTGTAATATACAAGTATAATATCATTACGCAAAAATAAATATTGTTATTTTTAACAGAAAACATGTTCATATATTATAATAAGGTTTTTATAGTATAGGTTATTATAAACTATTATCTATTGATACAATATTAAATTCTGAGATTTAGTTGCACTTTTAGTTCAATAGTTAGTCAATTTAAATTAAAACAACATAATAACAACAATCGTTTATCAGCAGTCGTCGAGTGCACACGTTCTTTTATCGCTATTATTGTAGCTGTTAGTAATTTAAAATGATGTCTTGTTCCATTTGTTCTATAACTATTAAACGAGGCCAATCACCACAGTGTAAAATATCTTGTAGTAATTGTAATGATTTCTTCCATTCGGAGCGCGTTTCATTAAAAAAGATGTTGATTTTCTTACTAGTACCAACAAGTCATGACCATGTCAAAATTGTGCCAAATCAATGAAGGATCTCCAACAGTCAGCTGACCCTTCTATCTTTACTAATACGCCACTGTCGCTTAATATCTCTGACTCAACTGATTTAAAACTTATTTTAAATCATTTGGATGCCGTTCACGCCAAGCAATCCAATCTTTTTGACTTGGTTAATAAACAAAGTAAGAAACTTGATATTTTTACCAATAAGTTAACACAACTTCTGTCAGAACTATCTGAATTATAAGAAGAAAACACTAAACTTAAAAATAATTATAATTCATTGGTTAACGGAGTAACTTCCTAAGAAACCAATCAATTGAACTCAATTTCTAATGATAATTCATTTTCAGAATTTATTAACCGTCAGTCTCGATCTAAAAATATTATTATTTTTTATAGTCGTGAGTCTAACGTAAACAATTTTGAGATTCAACTGTTAATCTTATGTAATCTTGGTGTTGATATAAAATCTGTTACTGTACAACGTTTAGGTAAACCAAGTAATAATAATTGCCGTTCGATAAAAGTTACGCTGCCTTCTATTTCTGATGTTTATACAATTCTCGGTACTACATGAAAACTTGAATCGGATCAAATATTTAATGATACCAAAATAAGAAATGATATAACACTGAAGCAACGTCAATATTTCAAACACTTCCGTATTCTACTTAATAGTCGTCTCCAGTGGATAAAAAAACCTTACAATCAAATATTTCAAAGGCTGTTTTACTATTGTTTCTACTACCGTTCATAAAAACTAATTAAGGTGTCCGAGATTACATTATATAATCAAGATGTTAGAAGTTTAGTCTCAAAAATTAATAAGCTCTATAGTTAATACTTCTTTTTCAGTATAATTGGTTTTTTTTTTAATTATAATTTGGTTTTACAATGTAATAAGTTCTCTAGATAACATTTTTGTGGATAGCTCTGTGATATGAATTGTCTGTGTGAAATAATGAAGCATGATTGTTTACATTTTTTAGTCACCAACAAAAGGGTCACTTCGAAGTTTTTAGTGAAAATGTCTACACATTTTCTTGTATGACCATGACAGGAGGGGGAGATGATCAGATTGAATTTAACTTCTGACTCAGAAGTCTGCACACGCCAATGGTCTACATATATACTTTGCTGTGTTTATATTCCGTCTCGTTCAAATCTCATTATGTATAAGAACTTATTCATTGCCCTAAATGAACTGTATCAAAACAATCTTAATTCAATTATTACTTTTGGTAATTTTAATTTTCCTTCATTAATTTTGATAAATACTACCTTACCTATTAATTGTAGTTCACACATTGATTCTTATTTTATTAGTATGCTATCTCATTTTAATTTAAACCAATATAATAATATTCGTAATTACGAAAATATTAGTTTAGATTTAGTTTTATCAAATATTCATGTTAATGTCTCTAACGATTCGGATTCATTATTACCTGCCGATAAGCATCACCCAGTGTTAAATATATCATTAGACTATACCTAATCAATTTAACCTTCTTCCAGCGCCTGAATCATTTTATGATTTCAAAAACTGTAATTATGAATTATTTAGGTGACTCACTTTTTAATCACGTTTTTTAATTCACCTGATGTTAATATTCTAATTAAACAATTATATTCATTCGTATATTAAAAAGCAATTGATTATTTTGTTTCAATAAACTATATATTCTAAAATTCTTTCCCTAATTGGTATTCTATTAAGCTAAAGTTCGTTAATCAAAGAAAAAAAAAATTGTACACTTAGCCTATAAACTAAATAATAATATAATTGATTACAACCATTTTTCTCAGCTGCGAGATAAATGTAAAAGTCTAGCATAACTTGATTATAATAATTATATCATTAAATCATCTATTAGACATAACCCAAAACAATTTTGAAATTTTGTAAATAATCAAAGAGATAAAATTCACTGCCAAAAATTGTTAAATTTTGATTCTGTTTCTGCTGATAATGGCCAAGATATTGTTAACCTTTTTGTATCTTATTTTTCTAAAGCCTATTGTAATTCTACTCACACTAATTATCTAAATAACAAAATTAATGATGATATAAATAATTCAACCATTTCATTTAATAAATTAACATCTATTGAAATCAAGGTATTAAAAGTAATCTCCAGTCTACTCCTTATATCAAGTAATGGACATGATGGTATACCACCAATTTTTGTTTCCAATTGTAGATTTATATTAACATTGATTTTAACTAATATTTTCAATACCTCTCTTAATAAAGGTATTTTCTGATTCTTTGCTTTCCTAGTTTCGGTCCTTTCTATCTGGTCGGTTTCAAATAATTAAGTATCACAATTTTTGCTGTCCCAAATTTAGTGTTCCCTCAGGTGTTTCCTAAGGTTCTCATCTATCAACCCTAATTTTAATATTTTTATAAACTATTTACCTATTGTTATCAAAAAGTCTGAAATTTTTTTATTTGCTGATGATGCCAAACTTTTAAAAATAATAAAATTAATTAAGATGCTATAGATTTATAAACTGATTTTAACAACTTACAAGATTAATATGAAACAAATTTTCTTTTTTCAAATATTGAAAAATGTAAGGTAATAGTTTAATTTAATCAACCATCCAATTATTTTTAGCTATTCATTATTCAATTCTAATCTAGAACTTGTCTCTAATTTCAATGATCTTAAGATTAGTTTTGATTCAAAACTAAATTTTTTTTTCATACAGAATCAATTAAAAATAAAGCAATGCAATTATAATTATTGGTTATATTAAACAATCATATAAAGATTTTTCTGATCCTTAAACTTTAAAAATTCTTTATTTTTCTTCCCTACCTTGAATATTGTCCACTAATTTAGATAAACAATACATCTAAACAAAATGAAATTATTAAATCTGTACAAAATAACTTTTTACGATTTATGTCTTTTATATGTAACATACATAGGCCAGCGTATGGTTTATATGATAATATTTTAAATTTCTTAAATCTTATTCCCTTCCAAAATAGGCGCTTGCAGTTGCTCTCTAAATTTCTCCATAAATTAATTTCTGGCCTTATAGATTCTCCAAAACTACTTTGTTTAATCAATTTTAAAATTAAGTCCTTTAATACTAGAAATCCTGAGCTTTTTTTATCCTACATATTCTAATAAAAAATATATATTAAATTTGTAAATAACTGCAGGTAATAGTTATATCTATGATTTTAAATAGTTAAGTTTAGTTAAATTAATACTGTGTACCATACCTATTATTAGCAATTGTAATCTATTATTGTTGTATATAAATCATTTTATAAAAAGACATTATAAATAAATAAACCATACAAGTTTTAATTTTTAAATTTAATTTAAACAATAAAAAATTGATATTTATTTCTTGTACAAAAAAAATAATAATATGTACAAATAAATATCAATGAACTATTGTGAAACTTATTTTTAAAAACTTGTTAAAATAATGTTTTTATAAAACAAATAAAATATAATATAATATTTATACATAATTTCAAAGGGGTTTTATTATTTTACACTAATTAAGTGGTGGATAGCAAATATAACTATATCATATCACTACTTTTATAGGCAGCCTTTTGTGTAAGGAGGTCCAGGACTTAGCCTTTTTTCAACTTTAGTTTTTTAGATTCTGAGTAGAGCAAAGAAGCTTATGGTTTTATAAAGATGTTTTTTGTTTTTTTATCTATGTGTAACTTTTCTACCAGAAAATTTGCTCTGATTTACAATGACACAATTTTTTTTAAAAGGAAATCTGACTGTGAGGGTACTTTAAAGAGGTAATTTATCGATTTTTCCAGTTTTTCCAATAAGTGGCAAAAACGGCAAAAAATTAAAAAACCGTGAAAATAAGTGCAATATTAAATATATATTATTAAAGAAAATATATAATGCCTATGTAATTATTTTTAATTTTACCATAATATGGCATATATATTGTTGATAAAACAACACTATCAACTAAACTCCGTTCAGAATCATTTTTCCTTAGCAATGGTTTATTGTTGCTTACAGATATACATTAAATTTCGCCTCTACTACCTTCTCAAATTCTCACCTACAACACTGGCTGCACCTACGTGGGAAGTATGTCTCTTTTTTTTAAGGATTACATAATATTTAATAGACATTATAATATTATAAATAATGTTGTTATAATAAATGTTAAAATATTGTGTTTTATTATATAATAAGAAATAAGTAAAAAATAAGAAATTCATTGATTGTGTTAATTTAATAAATTGTATTAAAAAAAAATAATATTAATAATTGTGAAAGAGAGTAGGATATTGTACTTCACATAATAGGAAAACAACATTATTTATTTTCTACAATTTGTTTCATTGCTTTTTCTAATTACAACAAACATTAATTGATGTTAATAATAAAAAAAAAAAAAAACAAATGTGGAACATCATAATATAAAATTACCTGGTATACAAAATAATATCTTGGCCTAATACCTAAGGTACCACATTCCTTTTTAATGGTAAAAGATTAAAACTACAGAATTAAAATGGAGATTTGGTGGATTAAAGAAATTAAAATCCCAGTCGAGGACAGTAAATTCTGGCCAGTATAAAATAAAACAATATCTCAAGTATTTCATGTTACAAACAAATAAAGCCTGTTGAATCATGAAAATAACACTCATAAACAATAATAATAAATAATCTAATACTTATAAAAATAATTTATCATTAATAAAATATGATAAAAACTTAAAAGTTAAAAGTAAAATAATATTGCAATTTTCAATTATTTTCATACAGCTTATCTTTGAGCCTTGTTCTCAGTATTAATCAAAATATATTATATTTCTATGCAGTAAAAAATTAAAAAATCACCATAAAGTGAGAAAATTATATGAAAAAATATTAAATAAGCTAAATTTTATAAATTTTAAATAGATAAGAATATTTTATATTATAAGGTGAATAAATTCATCAAAAAATAATTGAGTACCTATTTACAATAATATTTTGTGATTAGCTAATAGTTATTTACAAAATGCTAATGTCAGTGTAATTCAAAGCAAGATAAATGTGCATGTTTTTTTATCTTTGAAATTTCAACTTTATGATTGTGCTTCTGTTGGATTTTGAATGACTATCATAATAAAATCTTTATCTGTAAAAAAAAATAAATTCAAAATTATTCAAAATAGTCTAATGTGCAACAATTCCAGAGATATTGCAATAGACAATTCCACGTACAAAATATTGTTTAATTGCATTTTAGAGAGTCAGACTATGGGTAGAGGAATAACTTGGTGTCTAGGAATAAGAAATCTGTGACCAAATATTCATATTAAGGCTAATTCTACAAAAAATACAAGAATTCAATAAAGAAGTGTATTAATTGAATTTAAGAGGACCTACAACTGCATTTATGTGGAATTTTTAGTTTGTATTATATTTGAACAATTTAGTTTCCCACTAAAAATAGTTAATCTCATAAAAGCATTTTGAACAGAAATAAAAGTACACGTAGGAAATTCATCAACATCTCAGGTAACTACAGGATTAAGACAAAGGGAATCATTATCATTGATTTTATTTGATTTGATGGACCAGAGAGAAAGTTGCTATCTCTCATGGATCAAAGAATAAGTTTATACTTAAACCTCACCAGAGGAACCTAGGCAATTAAACAATATTTCAAATCCTTTTTGAATTAATTCCAAAAATGCTATAATTTAAGGTTTACATACAAACACTTTAAGAGTATTTATGATAGATAAATTTTGATTTTACTAATAAATTTAGCATCACAGACTAAATATTTTGTAAAAACATGTTTTAAAAATATTAAATTCTAAGCTTTCTTTTTGGTTTTAATTCATATTATAGGACAAATAATTAAAATATAAAACTCCAGAATGTGACAATTTTGTACTATTATGTACATATACATTATAGTACATATTATAAACATACAAGTACTTAGTATGTAGTATGAAAAAATGTATTCAAAAACTAGTTATGACAAATTAAATTTAAAATGTTATAATATTTAATGAGATTTAAATATTGTTTGACATTTTACATTCCAAAAAGGAGCGAACTGTGAATTATTATTGAAAATTCATATTATCAACATGAACGAATAACAAAGTTTTAAATTAAATTTATTGTACTTGTAGTTTTTTAAAAATAATATTTTTAATATTATTTATCATGACTTCTTTGTAATTATATAATTTACTTTCTTAAAATAATATGTACTTAGTGTATGTATATTTATGTTTATAATGAGTAAATAATATTATAAAAACTGTCCCGTTTTTGCATTTGTTTAATATAAGTACCACACATGTTTAATAGGCAGTGTTCTTGGAACTAATCTAGTTTAGCAACCCCTTTAACATTTTGTGTATTTTTTAGAAACCTATATATTTAAACTTTTTGAAAATGATAGTGCCAAAAATTATTCAGAAATTATTAGTTTTGAAGTTATAACCATTTGAAATTCGAATACTATAGTCACGAGAGACCGTTACTGGGCAGCGACCAAAACTCGTCTCACAAAAAAATTCCCACTGCGAGTTGGGAGTAGAGTTGGAGAAATTTTGACACGAAACCATAGAGCTCTTTCATTTAGATGCGGCAAGGAGTAACATTCTTTCACCAACTGGAGTTGTTAAATAACTCAATATTACAAGATATTATTATAGTATGTTAATTGTAGTTTAGAAATAATATACAACTGATGTCATTCTACAAATTCCAAGTTTGAACCTAATAACCTACAATTTTTTTTTCAATATTTTAGATATTTTGATTGCTTTAATATGTAAAAAATCCATAATTCCCTTCCATTTATTAGTGAAACCAAGTAAAATCTTTTTGTGTGTCCTTAAAGACCCTATTTTAATTGAAAATAACCTTTGATTTGTAGTACAACAGTGAAAAAAGTATACAATCAATTAGCCATAATAATAATAATAATAATCAATTAGGAAATGTGATTAAAGCATGTGATTATACTAATATAGTATTTATAAGTACTTTTCTCTGAACTTTAAAAAATGATTAAAATGTCCATCATCAAATTTTTTGAAAATAATAAAATAAAAGATTCTTTTTCGTTTTTACCAAAAATGTAAACATTTAATTCAAATAAAAATATTTGTAGTAGGTACTTAGGAACGATTCATGTTTAGCTCCCACATTTTATTTTCAAAATGTATGTTTTTAAGTGTACATTAAAAATATAAAAAAAAGTCACACAAACTATGTTTGGAAGTTATGGGGAAAAATTTCTTAAAATTTGGGTTTTTCGTATCGCGTTAGAATTTAACATTTTCAAATTATTTTTTTTAGTCAAAATGGGTGTTTTTCAATGTCTCATCTATTAGTATAATCAAAACTTACCTATCATACTTACTTTTATAATTTTTGTACATAATCCTTGAAAAATATAATTTTTGTAATTAATCCAAAATGTGATCAAAAATAGACATTTTTTTCAATTATTGATTAAAATGGTTCGAGTGTGCGCAGCAAAACAAGGCGGGTTTGAACATTTGTAATTCTAAAACTAAGCCAAATAGACTTATTCTGATTTCAATAAAAAAAACTTTGTTACCAAAATATCAATAACTACAAATAATAATAATGAAAAAAATGTCTATTTTTGACCACATTTTGGATTAATTCAAAAACTGATATTTGTCAAGGTGTATGTACAAAAACTATAAAAGTAAGTATGATACCCAGTATTTTACCTTAATGTTACAGAACCTACTTAGAACTCTTTTAAATAAATTATTTATAAGTTTAAAATATATTCAAGTACATTAGACACAATACATTTTACCATACCCCTATGAATCTTTAACCTTTATCATTTTAGAATATCAGCCAACAATAGAAAATTAAATTTATTCAATTTAAATAAGTATAGAACCTATTATTTTTTTAAATTATAAGTAATCACAATTTTAGATTTTTAAAAACCAATTATTTTTAAAAATATGTCTTGATCAACTTATCATTTTTATTTTTGGTAATAGAGAAAAAGTCAAGAATTTGTTTAATTTAAATTAATTAATATCTAATGTAATTTACCTGGTGCCACCATTATCTCATGTTTTTTAGTACGCATCCGTAAAAACATCAAATCATTTGATGGATCCAAATCTCTGACTACGCTTCTGGCTTTGTCGGCCAATTGTTGTATCAAACCAGCATATTGAACAGAAGTCGAGTTGTCTAAAGTAGACTTTATTGGAATGCCTAAAATAAATATTGTCCGTGTTAATCGTATGATGATTAATTTTATATGAATAATTTAATAATTAAGAAACAGATGTGTAATAGGTACCTGGTTGTGCAAAAGATTTAATACAAAAAAATACAAACCTTCATTGTTGACTACAATAGTACCGATAACTCCACGGTAAGATTGGATGCGTTTTAATGTATCTTCGACTTCACTGGCCATCTTAGTTATTTTAAATGTGCAATTACTTGTTAAATATTAATCGACGAAAAACGAAAAATGTTAAGCAAAATGAAAATTTGTTTTAGCTTTTTCTTATCAAAATACTATAAAAACTTTAGTTACGAGTTATGAAATGAAGTTGGAAACGTTTTGATAAGAGATAAGTAGCATAATTTCGTTTAACTTGAGTTGCCTATACCATAGTCCTTGAAGGAGTGTAAAGCGAGAGCATTATTATTTGTATTAGATAGATTAGCAGAAATGTATCGGATAGTCTTAGAGTCAGGGTCCAGGGCGGAACCAGATTTCAATTTTGGGAGGAGCAAAAGTGCACATATAGTGTTAATAATATTAAATTAAAAATTAAAATTAAATTGAACCGAAACATACTACTCCACCACGGTGTTTGGTGGGAGGGGCAAATTACCCCGTTGCCCTCCCCTATGATCCGCCCATGTTTAGAATAAAGTCTTAGAGTATCTTTGAACATCGTTTCTTTGTAGAACAGTTATATTGGGTTCAAAAGCAGATTTAGGATAAGATAACAAGGGAGGGGGCAATTTTAAAAATGCATAGAAGGCATATTTATGACGAATTCAATGATAAATTAAACTGGTGAGTAAATGGCGGGATGGATTTGCTACTGGCTGAATAGACACACTGTTATCAAAGAAACAAAACAAAAACTAAACATAACTTTTTTTTAGTTTGAAAAACAAAATACATAATATCCATACCACAGATGTATAAGTTTGGGTAGTTATTTATGTTTATATATCTGTGGAACATTCTGATTTTAGTAACAATCATACGAAAAATTAACGAAAATCAAACTAGCATTACCTACTCATGAAATCCCGAAACCCTATTGCTTGTTAAATATTTTTAAAACACTGTCCACAGGAGTTCGACAATGTTCACCGAAACAACAGCAAAACCAAAACCTTTTGATGTTTACCCAAATCGTTCGAAATACAATGTTGCTCTTAAAAACTTCATCAATTTGTTGAGATAAAGTAAAAACACAATTAATTAAAAACAATTTTTAATTTTGTCGAAAACACAAAGTTTCTGTTTTGTTTTAATTTTGTTCTCTGTGTGAACCCTGCATCTAGTTTTGAATACAAATTGAAAACTACCTATTATTTCTCTGTAGAAGGGGATTAGAATACTAGTATTATAAGTATATAGTATAGTATTAGTATTCTAAGAAGCATAAGAGCCAAAAATGGGATTGTGTCAGGTTAACAACCGGTGTAAAATTTTGTCTAACAGTATGAGGAGTTCTAGACAAGACTTTGACGGATTGTCCCTTCTCTGATGAAAATAAGTGAGAGCAGGTACACGGTGCATGAATGCATGTTATTGTTTACAGATGATTGTATAAGTAGGTAGCTTTGTAAGAGAAAATTTGGAATAGGTAAGTTAACAATAAGCCTAAAGAATGGAGGCTGTAAAACAGAGTATATAGAGTATGAGTTTGGAGAAACAACACAAGACAGCTAACGATAATAAGCGATAACTTAATAGGGGAGGTTGAGTGTTTTAAGTTGGTACTTAGGATTTTTTTTTATACAAAATAACTGATTGGCTTTGCCAAGGAGGAGAAACATAGGATTAAATGGAAGCGGCAGGCGTTTTATGCGACAAGATGATTTCAATGACACTTAAACATAAGTTCTGCCATGTGCCCGGGTATTTGAGTGTTTAGCCAAGCTCATTAAATTTCTAATTGAACTCGTGCACCGAAAAGGAGGTACGGGACCTAAAAGTTTTTTACCCGAACGGTCACTTGTAATGATAATCCCATTTTTGAAACCGATTTCCCGAACATAATCCGGGTACATTGTATATTGAATTAAAATGATTAATGAAACATACAGTAAAAACCAAAAGTATTTATTTCTTTTGATGAAACTGATGGTTGAGTACAAAATATAGGTACCTATAGTTTTGTCCTAGTTAATTGTCCTTGTACTTTTTTTATAAGTACCTAGGTAGGTACTTATTATCTACCTGTATGTATAATCTGCTCTTGAAGCACATTTGAACGGTTCTATAGTATTTATCTACTTAAAGATTAATATTACACCTACATACTATTAGGCTCGGTAATTTATTAATTATATAGTAAATAGTAAAATTCAATAATTCGGTAATTTATATTTCATTATACTGTATATTGGTCTATGGCAGGGGTTTCCAACCTGCGGCACACTGTATATTTAAATATGGCTCTCACTTCGGTTTTAAATCATCAATGAATTGTATATAATGTTATGAGAAAAAATTTGTGTTAAGAATATAAAAATTAAAAATTTTTTAAATATTACTCGATAGTATTTACTATTATATGCGAGTTTTATGTTTATTGGGATCCGATAGTGACAAAGAAACTAATGTAACTAAAATAACAATAATTGGTTTCTTTTAATCATAAATAAAATGTAATAGCTCGTCAAATTATTTCTTCTCATCATTCGCTATGGTAAAATTATAAATAAAATGTATTATTATTAAAATGTGTGTGGCCCACAATCACTTCTATTTACACGATGTGGCCCAGTCTTCATAAAAGGTTGGACACCCCTGGTCTACGGTGTTTGTCGGTGACCGGCGGTTACACGGCGAGCGTCCCGCGTGTCCACCTTATCTCGGACCACAGATCGCGCGATTCCTGGGACTCCGTAGTACGCGGGTACTCGTCCGCCTCCCACCGATCGTCCGTACCCCGCGCGGCTGCAGCGTCGCGAATAGCCAGTTGGTATTACCTACGGTTATTTTGTTATTGGAATCCAACGTTTGTTGTGCTCTTGTCCCTCCGTCCCTTGTATGTTCGCGGCCCGTGTTTTATTGTTGCAAACGACACGAACTCACAATTGATTTTTCAGCGTAGACATCTACGACGATGTCAATGCCGATTTATTAACTGGAGGTATGTATTTATTGTATTAACGTCAGTGTAGCAGTCGTGCATCGCACTTTGTTGTCATTATCGATTACAGTTTTTCATTTCAGTTCCCCTCGTCATTAAAATTTACGAATAACAACGCCACTGGCGCTATAACCTATAAGGTACTACATACCGCTGGTCCAGTACCCTATTACAGTAAGTGAAAGCCGCTCACGTCAACCATTCAGATGGGTGAAAATGGCGAACGTAAAATGGCTCCGGTGGATGCGAGCTATTCCGACAGATACGAGCTGATCAGCTTTTCAAAAGTGGAGTGCTCCATACCAGTGTACAAGTACAAATGTCTGCGCACCGGCATTTCTATCGTGTTCGGTGACATCGACGGCCCGTTGGTCCAAGGACACTTCGCTCTAGGTAAACTCAATTTAACCATACTAGGCTTGCCAGCAGTTAAGTATCTACCTAGTGAGATTTTTCATTAGGTATAAAAGATTAATGAGTTGCTAGTAAACTGTATAATATAATTTGCCTTGTTAAACGAAACTAACATATTAAATATCAGATTTGAGGTAGTCCATACAATTTCTAGATTCTAATTTTTTTTTTGTTAGGTTTGAGTAGGTGCAGTTATACCCACTATAAAAGAAAATAATCATTTGATCAAATGATAGTCAGTTCTTGGCTAACATTAATCACTATTTTCGAAGGACGTTTCAAATATCAATACACTGATATATAATATTTGACTACGCGTATCGTTCAAACAATCATATTAGGTAGTAGGTACTTGACTTGAAGTATTTAATTTGTATAGGTACCTAAGCTATATTAACATGGTTTTTTTAAAAAAAAAAATTGTATCGTTAAGTAGGTATAAGGTAGTTGAATAAATTATAGTGTTATAGTTTTCTAGTCAAATTTTCTGTAACCGGACCAAATAAATATTAATATGTTGTATATTCACATCACTTTATTCATAATATAGGTAGATAATAAATTGTCCTTGAATTTACATTATAATAATAATATCTATAATAATGTATGCAGACCATTAGACCCCTCTTAAGACTTATGAAGTACCCGTGTTTGATTTAAATTGACAAATATTAAACAGTTGTCATATAGTTGTGTATGTTTACTTAAGATAAATTATTATACATGTTATACTATAAAAATGGTTTTGTGTAGCATTATGTTGAGGAAGGCTATTTATCTTTATTTTAATAACTCGACAAATATTAATTTCATATTTGTTGTCTTATCTAGTGATGGGTCGTTCATTAATGAAACATTGAAACTGAAATTGAACGATCTCACTTATTTGATTCTTTTAGGTCCAACATGTCCAAAACTAAATTGTTCCATATTTATATCATGTATTGATTGCATCAATATATGTGTGTATCGTTCATCATATGAAAATTAAAACACTACCTAGTAGGTACCACCAAATTACCGCACTATCCATAATATCACTATACTTGCTCTGGTAGTTTGGACCGGAACAGTGGTAGCTAGCTAGTAGCACTGGACAGTTAGTAGCAATCTGGCATGTAGCCAGTATTTTTTTTTTGGGGGGGGAAGGTTAAACATACAATTTATCACAAACTACCGATAATCTGATTTTTTAGTGAGAAGCTTACATTTTGTGTGTGAGGGGGTTGAGAACCTATGGATGAATCCTCCCTTGATTACATGTTTAGCTGCGATGTGCAATGTATATTATTATAATAATATAATTGTTAGTTTTCAGATTTTTGTTTGTGGCGTTTAGGTCATTCGTATCATTATTCGTGTATTTTTCATTGTTATGCTATTCCTTAGTGAAATAAAAACTGGTAATTTTTTTTTTGCATATTTTAAATATAAAACTAGTAGATCATTAAATATAATTATAATGCAATATTTACCTATTCAAAACAAATTAAAGTCAAAACAAAAGATTTTATTTTATTTTTTAATGACATGAATATGTTGAAACATAGGTGTTAGGTTATAAAATAATATATTCATGTACCTATTATATCACTGTCTTGACTGTATTAAACTATATTATGTTGATTATAATAAAATATAGAAATAGATTACAAACATATATACATTATTTTATATATTTATTGTGTGTGCGGGTATTTATGAATTATTAGAATTTATACTGTACCTACATTATAATGGTATCGCATTGTTAATTTTGAACAAAAAATAGTTTCATATCATTGTAATGTATATTGTATAAAATGAACAAAGGGATCAGTCATTTGAACTTGTTCTTTTATGAACCTTGAAAAAGAGAAACAATTCACTAAAATTAATGAAAAATCTCGTCACTAGTCTTATCAATAAATGTATTGTAGGTATGATCACATTGGATTTAGTGCACCATGCTCACTTGGGTTCTCCTATAAATCTATAGATATGTTATTTGACCAATGGTAATTATTTCATATAAACAGGGTATGGAGAGGGCAGCAAGCAATGTGTGTTAATAAGTTGCTGACATTTATTTCTATTTTGTCATTATATCCTATTTGTTTTCATTGAAATATACATAAATTACACTCATAAATTATCCTGACCTTCCTGTGTTTTTTAGTGGGTTTATACTTAATTTTTGTTTTATCTATTGCCTGTTATGTAAACCTACCTTAAATCTATGAAAGTTTACTTTAGGTATACTTTTTAGATAAGTAGGTATAGGTACTTGTAAGTACTTATGATTACAAACAATTTGCTATTTTAATATTGCTTAAACATTTAATTAATTTTTCAATGGTCTTTTGGTTGTGTTCATTTGTATTTTATTTGAATTGTTTTATTATAAAAATATCAACTTAAATCTTAGGTTTATATTATAAATTATAGTATTACACATTATACCTCTCTGCTTGAGTGTAAAATATAATATTAATGTACTCTCTATAAATCATTCACATTGCCATATATTGTCATATTGTTCATGTACTAAACTATTTACCCAATATCTATGATACAAAATAAGTGCACTTTACCACAGCCTTTCCGAATTTCAAATTTTTTTTTTTGAACAGAAGTTTTTAATGTTGATTTTGAAAATATTTGAATTTTTTGTGGAAAGCATTATCAAGAAATGATTTTTGACCAACAAACTTTTAAAACTATTTGAAAAATTGTGGTTTTTGATGTTTAAGATAATGGTGCATTCAGTATAAACCATCATTATAAATTACATGCAGAATAATAAATTTATACGAATAATAATGATAAAAAAAATTAAAACAAGAAATTAGTTTAATCAAACATTTAATAACAAATAAAATAAAAAAAATTGAAAATATACCTTGGTTAGGTACCTTGTTAAATAGTTAGTAAGGAGAAAAAAAGAACTAAAATGTGAAACCAGGCCTTCCATGACCTCCATTACCCAACCTCAAAAAGGACAAAATTTAAATTGCTAATTTATCCAACTCAGAATTTTTAACTTAATACTGGTGTAAGAAAGGTAATGCCCTAAGAATAAACTTAAACATGACAACTTCAGATCAGGACTTCAGCCAACTTCAAATCCAAAATAATATTGTTTTTATGGGTTGACAAGTTGAAATCCCAAAGTTTATATAATAACTTATTTAATAATGTTTATTATTTGTTTTTTTGTTGTAGTTCAGTTAAATATATTTCTAGGAACTCAAAATATCGACAGATAATTTATATTGGCCTTTTTCATTTATTTTGGTTATTTTTTTAATTATTTATACACATTTCGTGTTTGGGGGAGGAGGGTGTTATGTAGTTTTTATTTGGTAATTTGATATAGTTGTTTGACCAAACAAGAATGCTTGACAATTTAACAAGAGGTTCATTATAAGTTGTACTTAATGGTAAAAAAAAACAAAAGTAGTATTATGTAGTGATTTTCTTTTATAATAATTTTAAGATCAAATTAATAATTAAAATATGTATAAAAAACTCTGTTCAGAATAGGTTTTTCTTAGCAATGGTTTATCATTGCTTATAGATATAAATTAAATAACATTTAGTATCTTACCTTATTAACTTCCCACCTATAACAGTCTATAACCCATCAGCAATATTAATTATTTTATTATTTATTTTTTTAAATATTTTACAGCTACCGAAGCTCATGATGATGATGGTATTCCGCATACTCTTGAACACTTGATATTTCTGGGATCAGAAAATTATCCATATAAAGGAATTCTTGATTTATTAGCCAATCGATGCCTTGCATCTGGTACAAATGCATGGACAGGTAAACAATTATAGCTTATAATAATTTTTCGTAAATATTTTTGTTGTGTGATATTAAGTTTTTTTTTCATATAGATATTGATCATACTTGTTACACAATCAGCACAGCTGGCAGTGAAGGGTTTTTATCATTACTTCCAGTCTATCTTGATCATATTTTATACCCTACATTAAAGGTATAATTAATTTTTACCTCATTAATATATTGATTATAAATTATTTTCTCCTTCGTTTTCATATCAACTTTTTGGGGCAAGTCACCCTTATCCTAAATTTCTACTTGACAAAATATCCCACATGGTCATAGCATTTTCAATCAACCATTTTTCTATCTTTCTTCCAATTTGTATTTACATAATGTACTATTCATACTGTCTCGCCACACTCTTGTTGAACTTAACTAAATGCCATTGAATTTTCTTGTTACATAGAATACCTTATACTTCTCTCCACTTGATTCAACCACATTTAATCATATCTTTGTCAAAACATGTTTTTTTTGTAAAAAAGTTATTTTGACTTATTTCAGATTCTCTCTCCTATCAAAACTGCCATATATATCCAATAATCATGCATCATAGTACCTTGTGTTGTATTTGCTTTTTAAACTTAATTCACTATGACAGATAACAGTTAATGGGCCAAGTTGAACTCCTATTATCACCTATTCCAACCACAAAAATCATCCATTATTCCACACCTAAATATTATAAATTATAGTTATTTAATTTAACAAATTATTCATTTAAATTATTTTATTTAGGATGCTGGATTTATTACAGAAGTTCATCATATAACTTCTGAAGCTGATGATGCAGGTGTTGTGTATTGTGAAATGCAAGGTAGAGAAAATAACGCAGAATCTATTCTAGGGAAACATTTGTTGGAAAGCTTGTACCCTGGAAAATGTGGTTATAAGTCTGAAACTGGAGGTATCATGAAAAATTTAAGAGAATCTACTACAAATGAAAAGGTAATTATTATGAAATATTTAAATTCTATTGTTTTTAAATGATTTATCTAATTATATTTCTTATTGATGTATAAATATTTAGTTAAATGTATGGTTGTTATTTATTTTATTATAGATTCGTAAATACCATCATGCATTTTATCGTCCTGAAAATCTATTGCTCCTTATAAGTGGAAAAATAAATCATGCTGATGTATTTAATGCTCTGGAACCATTCATCAAAAAAATTATATCAAAAGTAATAAAATATATTCTTGAATTATTAAACTGAATATTACTGATCCTTAGGAATATTAGTAATTATTGTGCAAAACTAATATGTATTATTTTAATGATTTAGGGAAGTCGTGGAGATTATGTGAGACCATGGCAAAGTCCAGTTGATCCATTAACTAAATCTTCAAACTATGTTATATATTATCCTTCTGATGAAGAATATAATGGTCTAGTTAATATTGGTTTTAGAGGCCCTAATGATATTTATGAGTAAATAATAAATATTAAATTATAGCTTATTTATATTAATATATTATATTTGTTATAGCCATATTGCGTGTCAGCTACTACTGAAGTATCTTACAGAGACTCCTATAAGTCCATTACCGAAAGAAATGGTTGAAATTGAAGATCCCTACTGTAGTGATGTAAATAAATAATAATTATTTTTATAATATAACATTTTTTATAACTTAATTTTAGATTCTGAATGAAGAAGCAATGTATTGGTTTTACAATGATGTTTATCATTATTTTTTTTTTATGCGAACACTTTTTCTATTAGAAAGCATACTCCGATTATCAAGTATAACACTTTTTCTGAAAGAAAATTTTCTATGGGTTGTACTTTAGAGAGGCCATTTTTGAAATTCTCATCAATATTCAAGATACTGAGGAAAACCTTGGTTAATATTTATGTTAAAAAAGAAAGAAATATTAAAATAAGGTTGTTATTAGCAACTGTTTTTAATTATTTTTCGTTATTTTTAAATGTTTATTATTTTAATCTTTTTAAACAATCATTGTTATGAAACGTACATTGTTTTAATCATTTTACCATAATATGACATAATACCATATATTGTGTTGTTGATAAAACAACATTATCAACTGAATTCCGCTCAGAATCATTTTTTGTTAGAAATGGTTATCTTTGCTTACACATCAAATTCCCATCTGTAGCCTAATTTCCCAACTTCCAACCTACAACAGTGGCTGCACCCTTTTTTTCTTACAAATTTTGATATAAATTATGAAATTTATTACTAATTATGAGTACATTTTATTATTGTTATTATTTTTTTATTTTTACAGGCTTCTCATTTCATCACTTCACACAATGAACCTTCTATTCATATTTCTTTTGAAAATGTACCCTTGGATAAAATGGGTGATTTAATATCTACAAAGTTTGATGAAATATTAAATAAACTAATGACTGATAATAGTTATTTTGACTTGGAACGATTAAGGACATTTATTAAAAGATTCAAACTAAATTTATTGGGCAGTCTTGACAATTTGCCCCACGAAGTGCTGTGCTCAATAATTATTGATGATTTTTTGTATGGAAAAAATTTAGCTGATGTAAATAGTTTTTAAATTTTATTTTGTTAGTAGTTGTGAAATTTCTTAAAAATATTTAATAATTTGTAATTATTGCAGTTGGAACTGAGATTAAATAAAATAACTATACTCAACGAACTACAAAACAAAGAAATTACTTTTTGGAAAAATATTTTGCAAAAGTATTTTATTGATGGTCCTAAAATAGTTGTTGAAGGTATGCCATCTGTAATAAAGCAGAAAGAGCTGGCGAAAGAAGAAAATGACAGGAAGGAATCTCGGATAAAAATTTTGGGCGAAGAAGGTTTGAAACAAAAGGCACTTGAATTACTAAACGCCAAGATTGAATGCGAGGTAAAACTATTAAATGTTACATTGTATTGTGGTGTGGTAAGTGACATTTATCAAACTGTTCAATTTATTAATTAAGAATTTAATAGATTACTTAATTTGATTTTCGCGAAAAATGTCACTTATACACCTGTGCATTAGACCATCAATATTTTGATATAACTATAAATATTTGTTTTTTAGAAAAAACCATCAAAAGAAATTTTAACATCAATTAAAATTCCTAATATTGAATGCATAAAATTCTATTCTTATAAAACTTATTCTTCAATCTCTGCAGAGCAACATGATTTATTTAAATTAACTGATGCGCCAATTTTAATGGAAGTGGATGATATTAAAACCAACTTTGTTTATGTAAGCAATTTTACAAATAATATAAACAACAATTTGTATATTTGATAAATTTTGCTTTTTGTAGATGCACACTTTCATTAATACAAAATATTTGCCAACAAATCTTCGTTTGTATTTACCTTTAATGGTTGAAATATTTATGGAAAGTACAGTAGTTTATGAATCTGGTGTTAGGATTCACTATACCGATATTATTGCTGAATTGGAAAAAGATATTATTACTTGGTATTCTGAAGTAGGATCATTATCCCCTACTCGCTTTTTATGTGGAACATTTTCTTCCATCATTTCATTATTCTTTCAGGTAATTACTACTATAATTATCTTATATTAATTTGATTATATATCATAATTAAATATCAAATGAAAGAAAGTATATTATACTTGAAAAGTGTTGTTATTTTCAATTATTTTTTGTTCGTTTCATTTTTTTTTTTTAGTTGGAACCATCAAAATATGATATAGGCATTAAATGGTTGAATAATTTTTTGTATAAAACAGAATTTACTAGAGAAAAGTTGACTATTAGTATACTAAAAATAATCAATGAAGTTGCCAGTTACCGTAGAGATGGTAATCATATGTTAAAAGATATATTGCGTAACATGATTTATAAAAATAGTAAGTGTAATATAGTATTAATATTTCAATGCAGGAACTAGAATCTAAAAATAATCTACCCAAAAATATCATCTTTGAACTGAAACCATTTAAAAATATTTTGATTTATGATTTTTTTATAATTATATACAATTTTTTTATTATTATTATTATTAAAAATAATAACAATTGGTTTATAAATAGTTTCAAAGTTGTCATCTAATTGTTATCTCATCGGTGGGCGTCAGTGGTAATAATAAATAATGTGTTATTTCCTTTTAACTCTATAACCCTTGTTAATAAATTATTACCACTAATATTATTATAGTTAATATTTGTTAAACATCAAACACAAACATGTCCAAATTATGTCACAAACCTTATTATGTTTAAAATTCAGTAATATACCTTCCCAGGTATATACTATTTATATTTTTTGAATTTTTATAATATTAAGAATTTAATGGTACAGCGAAACTTCATGAATAGTTCATGAATCGCCGATTCTGTTCAACGTGGTTTTGGAAAAGGTTATTAGAGAAATGAAAATTGGTTCTAACGAGGGTATTAGATTACAAGACACGTCGATAGGTCTACTTGCTTATGCTGACGATATAGTATTGATGGAAGAGTCTCAGGATAGATTGAAGATTTTATTCAGTAGATTGCATAAAGCAGCATCAAAAGTAGGACTATGTGTAAATGAAGAAAAAACGGAGTATATGTTTTTGAGTAGACGGGGACTACCTTTTTGGCAATCCATAAAAATAGATCAATATGAATTTAAAAGGGTAGAACAGTTCAAATACCTAGGGTCTATTTTGTCTGAGAAAAATAATGTAGCAATCGAGGTAGCAGCAAGAATCCAAGCTGGGAATAAATGTTACTATGGACTGACTAAGGTNTACGACCGGTTGTAGTGTATGGATCGGAAACATGGCCACTCAGAAAAATGGATGAGCATAGATTCATGGTCTTTGAAAGAAAAGTGTTGCGGAAAATATATGGCCCGGTCAAAGATGAAATAACTGGTGAGTGGAGACGAAGAAAGAACTTAGAGTTGGAAACACTATACAGCAGTTCAGATATTTTGGAGGTCATCAGAGGCAGAAGACTACGGTGGGCTGGCCATGCTTGGAGGAGCCAAAATCCACTATTACATACTGTGATTGAACAAAACCCTGTAGGTAAAAGACCTCTGGGGAGACCAAAAATGCGATGGGAAGACAATATAAAAAAGGATGTTGAACATTTAGGAGGCTGTGCCAATTGGAGAAATCTGGCATTAGATAGAGAAGGATGGAAGCTTGGTTGTGAGACGGGATGGTCTTAACGGCCCAATAAACCCAAAAAAAAAAAAAAAAAAACTGCCTAAATGATAAACCCATTTTAAACAAACTCTAATTGGGTAACATGTGATAAAAATGTTTAATTAAATCTAAAAACAATTATATTATTTAAGATTAGTAATGTCATGAATAGACAAACTATTTAATGCAAATATAATGTTCATTAAATGTAAATTGCCTAATTAATTTTAATTTTATCAATTTTAGCTAGCAACCACTATGCATGTAGTACACTGAGACAATATAACTTTTTAACTTATTTACAAAAGCAAATTGAAACTGACGAAGGATTTAATGAGATATTACAAGATTTGAACACAGTGAAAAAGATGTTTATTGAACCAAATAATATAAAAATGCACCTAGCTGCTGATATAGACAATTTGTGTAAAATAAAACCTGATGCTCCATCCTTGTTGACAAAACTATTTCCAGCTGATGTTAAACGTACTAAGAAATCGTAAGTGGCCAAATTTGTTATCATTTATAATTAATGAGATTATATAAATTCAATGTTTTTAATTCAGATTTGAAACAATTTTTGATGATGCTTATATATTACCTCTACATCATTGTTCTATAAGAGCATGCGCTGTAGGAATGGGTGCTATCGAGTCAAGTTACTTTACTCAGGTAACAGAGAGTATCAACGATTTTAACCATCCAGATATGCCAGCTTTACTCGTCTTTTTGCAATATTTTACTCAATTGGAAGTATGGTTATAATTATTGTTTATTTTTTTTTCTCCGATACTTAAAAAAATTGAATGCAATGTTTTATATTTCATAGGGACCGATGTGGAGAAATATTCGTGGACTTGGTTATGCATATTCATACAGCATTAGTCCCAGACCCAACGAGGCATTAATTTCATTGCATTTTTATCGATCAGTAAATGTGCCTGCAGCATATAAAGAAACTAAAGAAATCCTGGTATACAATTTACATTAAATAAATTCAAATTTCTATTATATCATATTATGGTTTTTACTCTCACTACACAGATTATTGAGGATATCTATTTTTTTTCTTACTAAAATTTAAAACTGGATTCATATTACAAAGCTTATTATAATAAATATATATACATATAATACAATAGTATATTTTTATATAATATAATACACACGGACATATAACTTTAAACACATAATTAACATAAATTTTCTTACCTATAATTTAGGTAATCTGTCAATTTACTTTAATATTTAGAATAACAGCACAAAATGTATCCTATGGAAAGGAAATTTGCTATGTCTATGTCTGTATTTGTAATACAGAGACTGTGGATATTAGTGTGGCATCCTCTTAATATTGAGATTTATTCATTACTTGAATTGGAAAAAATAAAAGGAGTACTATGAGGTTTAAAATAAAGTAGTATCCCTTGTTATGATTGAATTGTACCTAATCCAGATTTTAAGTAAATTAGATTTTTCTTTTTGGAATTGATTAAGCTTTATTTTAAAACTATTTTAAATTTTTTACTTCTACTCCATGTATCTCAAATAAGTATATACTTGTGTTTTTCAAATAGGAACCCCTAATACCCCCTTTTTGAACACAGTTTTGAATAGAGAATATTTTTTTAGAAATGTTGATATGCATAACACTAATATCAGATTTACTGTTTATGTATTATAATTAAAGTATGAAACTTGATGACTTAAAAATCATGAACAAATGCACGAAAAAAATGTATAAAATGACATAAAAATGTAAAAATTAGTGGAAGTTGAATTACAAACAATTTATAGGATAATATTATGAACTGATTAGTAGGGCTAATCACATCTCCCTGCTAAATATGAACATATATTCCATTATTATTTTCCTATTTTAGGAGAAACATTTGAAACCTGGTACTATTTGGGACCAAACATTGTTTGAATCTGCAAAATGTTCCATGATTTTTGAAATTGTAGAAAGAGAAAAAACAATTGGTGATGTAATAGCACAATCTGTGCTATTACATTTCAGGAATCTCTCACAGGATTATAACAAGTAAATTAAATTATATTTTTTGATAACATTTGTGTTTATACTTATTTTAAATTAATGTTTAGAAAACTTGTCAAGAAAATATCTGAAGTAACATTGGGAGAACTTCCACAAATTGGATTGAAGTATGTTATGCCATTATTTGACCCAGAGTGCACACGAACAGCAATGGTTTGCCCACCATCTAAGTTGCAAGATACAGCTGATGAGTTTAAAAAGTAATTTTAATTTTAAACAATTAAATTGAATTTTAAAATTAATTTCTTTGTTTCTAAATTATATGATTGCTGTTATTTTATTGATAAAACACACATCTATAATTTTCTCTATAAAAGTTCTATTGACTAAATTCTTATTTCGTATAATCTTGAATAATCTTGTTGAAATCAAGTCATTGGTGTACACATTATTGTGTAATTTTATTTTTGTTTCTGCTGTTTTGTCCATTTAGGTTATAATTTTGGTCCACAATATGACAATAGGATACTCGGTCACAGTATCATATTTTAAATAGCATTTATTATAATCAATGAAATAGGTATTAGATTTAAACAAAATAACATTTATGTCTTGTATTTAATATAGGTTAGGTTCTGCTCAAATTGCTGGTAGAAAAGTTGTTCACAGGAAAAAAGGAGGCTGTAATATTTTTAAACTTATACCAACATTTCGTAAATTTTCGGGTTTTCACATTTGATGAGAAAATCAAAAAATGATCTTCAATAGGTGTCATTACTCTAATGGTCCTAATATTGTTTATTGCTGTGTGGTTTCTGCGAATCAAATTTTATAAGTTTTACCTGAGATTGACCTTGGATCACTACTCACAACATGCCTATACTTTCTATTTTATTAGTATTTTTATATTGCTATCCAGAAAATTTTATAGACTGGTTTTTTTTTGTTCGTAAATATCTTTGTTACCAGAAATCTTTCAGAATCAAAAACGTAATAGTAATTTTCTTCTAACATTTTTGATTTAGTTGGTTTTTTGGGAAGGTTAATTTTTTTATTTTCCTTATAGTTTCCCCAAAAAGTAACTAAGAATTTGCTGTAATTGTTTGGTGTAATATATTGTATTGTCTTAATTTTATACACATTTATTACATATTCCCAGTGCTAAAGATACTTTTTTTATTGATTATTATTTAGGTTATTCTAACATTCTAACAAATAGTATGTTATAACACAAATTATTAGTATCAACCTCTATTTTACCCTTGCTACCTTATTTTATCATATAATTAAATTTAATTAATTCTATAAATTTTATATATTTCAGAATGAATATTGATATGACAATATACAAATCACTGGAAGAAAGTTTTCTCAATGAATGTCTTTAGATCTGGAAAGAACTTTTTCTTCAAAACTACTATACATGTGTTTATATTTAAATTTATTTTTTTCATGATATTGAAAATCCTTTTGGTCTTGACTGATAATCAATTTTTAACATATGGATTTTAGTTTATATTAATAAATAAACTTGGGTATCATAAACAACTGATGTCCTAAATTTGTAAAAAAATAAAAAATATAAATTACATACAAATAGTTGTTCCAAAATCTTTTATATTAATAAAATAAAAAGAGTATCTGTCTGTATATTTGTATGTATAATAATTATGCATTATGTATATTTGTTATGCACAGTAAAATATTACAGTTATTATTAGTTAATTTGGTTGTCACAGACAAGGAGTACAATGTTTGAAAATAAATTACTAGGTAACAATAGTTAACTTTTATTGAAATGGGAAGACATTTAAATATCTTTTTTTTTTCAATTCTGTGCACATTAAAAGTGTACAGTTATTTATAAACTTCATTAAAATTATAAAAAAATATTATTAATTAGTATTAGCTATAGTGATATAATAAATCATATAACAATTCTGTAATTGTCAGTACTTTATTGCAAGGTAGTTGGCACAAAAAGTTGAAGATCACCACAAATTATTAAAACAATTTTAAGCGATTCTTAAAATGTTTTTGGTTATTAGTTATTACCATTAAACAAATATTACTGATTAATTTATAATTGCATACAAAGTAAAAAATATAACACTTTTGTCAATATGCATAATGTTCGTGGACTAAGTGTGACTAAGTTAAAAAAAAAAATAAAATTATAAATGTTTTTTTTTATTAACATTAATAGTCTTATTTAAATATATTTTTGAATGATTTTTTTTGTTTGTGTATAAGTCAGTATTAATTTTTTTTGCAATATTAATATTGAAATTTAATATCGATACATTAAAAAAAAAAATCATGGGTAATATTAATTTAAAAAGTTTTGTAAAATAGTTTTGGCAATACACTATGGTTGAGACCCGGGGTTGTCATTTAAGTTTTTCAATAGAGATACAGACATTTGAATTGGAATAATGTTTCTTACATTCGTATACCAGCTTTACATTTTCATATTTAAATACTAAGTAGTTTGTTAACATTACAGTAACATTGATACTAAATTTTGGCCATACCTAATATCTGTTTCATGAAAGTACTGTTTTGTGCATGCCTGAATGAGCTATACTATATCAAATTCTTTCAATATGTAATCGATTATAGATAAGTATATATTAAAAAAATATAAAACATTTATTAATGTTGTAATGTTTGCCAAGTAATTGATCGAGATACATATAAGGTATAAATAGGTATCAAAAATATATAATATTTTAATAAATCATTTAATAAATATTTAAAAAAAATTATTATAATAATCACACAAATTATTCAGCATCATCGTTGACGGTTTTCCAGTAAATGTAAAATCAGTGGAATCCATATCCGCCATGTCCATGATCCGATCTACAACAAAATCTATTTTCCAAAATTTGTCTTTGATTATTGTGTGTTGAATAAAGTTTTTCCACATGTCTGGAGTACATTTGTTAATTCAACCGTGAAGAAGTTTTTGTACATCATCTAATTTGAATGTTGTGCTGTTCATTCTGACGTGTTTTTTAACAACTGACCATGCAAACTTTATAGGATTTAGTTCACAATTGTAAGATGGTAATCGTAATATAACTTTATTATGTTCTTTGACGTATTCATCAATTAGGTATTTGTTATATACCGGTTTTATATGTTTTACTTAACCATCGGCCGGGCGTTAATGATAGGCTTTTCAAAAATGTCACTTTTTTCCTCCAACCACTTCTCAATATCTGTTTTCTTCCAACTAACCGTTGGACACGAATCGGCCCTCACGCTATGGTATGGAGCATTGTCCATGATGATAACACAATTGTCCTTCAGTAGTGAAACGACATCTTTCATCCAATCAAAAATGGTTTCACAATTAATTCCATTGTGATAGTCACCGATATGTTTTTTTGATTGAAATGATAATAGCCCACCAGGGACAAATCCTTCCTCCGAACCAATGTGGAGGACAATTAATCGTTTGACCTTGCCCTTCGGGTTGGCAGCACCTGTTGAGAGACTTTTCAATCTTTACTTGTCAACCTAAATTTTATTTGAAACGTCACCTGTATTTACCTATGTATCATCTAGGTAGTAAATGACTCCGTCCTTTTGCTCGATATTTTCGTAACTGCTTCAAATATTTGTTTCTCCAATTAATGATTTCGTCCTTCTTGATTATTCCACCTAGTCTACCTCCTTTAGTATGTACAAAATTTAGGTCTTTTAATAGACGATGTTATGATGTTCGAGAAAAGTTAGGTAGATCAGGGTTTACGTGAACAGCAGTTAGAATTGTGTTAATCGTTGGTATTTGACGATTAAACCGAAAACTATGAACCTTTCAACACACCGAATTTTTACCGAAATCGTCAATTTTGTCGATATTTTTTTTTTCCGGTCTGGCATTTGGTCATTATATTTTTTACAAGCAAAATTCATTCTCGTATTTAAATAAAATTGTATAATGTACTTCGTAAGTTCATATTCATGATCCGTACAGCCTACTTTAGACCCAATTTGTTAACTTCAGAAGTGGAGGACACTTATTCACACTAATAAATTCACTAATGAAACTTGTTTCTAGCTTGGAAACAGCCAAAATCAATGCTCTAAATAATAATAAAATAAATACAAATATTTTAGAATTTGGTTAGTACTTAATTATTTTTAATAATGCATTTTTTCCCATACATATCTATCATAATATTGATATATTGATATGACTAATATTGAACATATCAATATTAGTGGCATATATAGCGCCACATAGCCATCCCTCGAACTGTCTACAATAACGGCACATAGAATTTAGCGAGTTGCCAGATCTATCTATATGGCCGTGGTTATTATTATTTTAAGATTCTGAACGAAGCAAGGAATTTATTGTTTATACAATGATGTTTATTTTAATATATTATTTAGATTCTGAATGAAGCGAAGAAGCTTGTGGTTTTACAAAGATGTTTATACATTTTTTTTACTGTGGATAACATTTCCACCAGTGATCTTTCTACGATTTTTAAGTGTAGCACCTTTACTGAAAGGAAATCGATGTGGAGAGGTACTTTAATGAGATAATTTTTCGATTTTTTCAGGAGTTTTCTTATCAAATGTGAAAAACTGAAAAAAAAAAACGAGAAAATGTACGAAATAATATATTAGTAAAATATTACGTTTTTTTATTCTGCGGACAACTTTTCTACCAGCAATTTTGCTCCAATTTATAATGATAGCAATGGTTTATCGTTGCTTATAAGTATAACTATAAATTACAATTATAACAGTAGCTGCACCCGTCCCCATTGTCCTAAGACGTCTTTTTTGTTTTAATTTTATTATTAATTGTTTAAATCAATGATTTTCAACACGAGCATTACTGCTCATTTGTGGGCTTTTTCAATTTTGTGACGTGTTTTTTTTATTTAAGGGAGCGCTAAAAGGGGGGGGGGCGTTTCCATCGTGCTTTCGTTATTAAAAATAATTCGCTATTATGAAAAACAAATACATATATTATTATTAAAACAATAATAGTGAATTCATAACTTATTGCAATGAAATGTATAACTGCATATAATAAAAAAGAATTATATATTTTTATACACACCAAAATAATAGCTAAATGCTAATAAACAAGTTTTTATCTTATCGTATGGATGTTGATAATAAGCTTCATTTGGTTCCATTTTCATACGGATATTTCCGATAATTGTTTATTTGCATTTATTACATGAAGTTATAATTTAGTGTGAGTGTACGTTAAAGTCATACTTGTTCATAATTATAATAAAACGACCGACAGCAAAAAGTGTAGAAAATATTTGTTTTTCACTTTAACTAAATGACTGATTAGAAAGATCAAACTACATTTTTTTTTCAAATTTATTGAGGGAGAGTTTTTGAAGATCTAAAAAGGGCGTTGAGTAAAAAAAGACTGAAAAACACTGGTTTAAATTATTTAAGGTATTCTAATAATATGAAGTTTATAGCATAAGGTTAGCAACCTTTTCGTAGCAGTGTGTGACTTATACACAGCAGTGGATTCTGAATTTTAATCAGCCTGGGAGAATTTCTATTCACCGGCCTAATTATTTGTTCATCATTCATTGTTATCACATTATTTTGCATCGTGATCGTTTTTCTCCTCATTATCAAAGATATAGGCACAATACGTCATAAGTAACAAAAAATATGTTTAAAAATAAAAAAACAATAATTTTAAGTACAAAATTAGTTTTATGATGAAAGGGCCAGTCATAGAGTCATAACCATGCTCCGGCCTATCGGGAAACTTCCCGGCGTTCCAGTGGCGCCATACGCCACTGCCTACACAGTTATCATAATTTTGGTGACCTACTATATTTAATTTTGGTGACCTACTATATTTAATCCTAAATTATTTTTGATTATAATAAAATGTTTACCTTTATACCTTATGATTTGTCTGCATTGTATTTCGAATGTCAAAAATATAAATTGTATTGTATAGAAATAGGAGTGAAGATAATTCATATTTTAGTTATTTTACACATATTAGGTATTGTAAATATAATATTATATTTAACTGCAAAAATGAAACAAAATGTCAATAATATGTAGATACTGAAAATTATTTAAGCGATACAAAAAAAAAAAATTGCTATTGAAACTAAAATAAAAACTACTAATAAATTCTATACCTATACCAAGCTAATAATAATTATATATATTTATGTGTATAGGTTAGCGTCGTTGACTTTTTATCTATTGTTGGATTCTGCGCATATTCGATCCAACACCAACGAGGACAAGCCGGATTGCTTGAAATTTTCGTAGACGCCACCGGCCACTTGAATACCGAACGAAGTGATGTTTTTGACATTAAGCGTTGGACCATCAATAACCTCTTTACCTCTATAGTACGGTAAAAATTGTAACAAAGGCATTTTCACAAAAGTTTTTAAATTGTGGTCAACCTGTTGGTAATATATTATTTATATTATTATTCATTATAATAACAATTTATTATTATGATATCTCTGACCAGTGGCATGCCCAGAATTTAAAAATGGGAGAGGTCAGCGTTTTATTTAATATCTTAAAGCTACTGGAAACAGAAATGATCAATTTTTGCCTATTTTTTGTATAAAATGTTAATTTCGTTTTAACACAATACATACGTGTAATGATATTAATAGTGAATAATAAATACTGTTACGACTTGGATTAAGAAGTCATAACATGATTATTAAAATTATAATTTACATAGCACAGTTAACTGAATAATTATTTTAATTTAATAATCCTTTTGAAGCTCCTAACTGATTCTCAAATGTTCTACCACACACTTTTGTTTCTTAGCGTTAGCGAAAGAGATTTGAACGTATTACTCAGTAGTATCCTCAGTTTCTACTCTGAAACTTGAAACCTATGGTTACCAGGCCACACAGACAATTTGTCAAAAATGGACACAAACTTCTTATGTACGTGGTCACTCTTTCAAACAACATAGATTGTTAACAAATTTTCAATATTTAGTGTCACTTGTACAGTTTTATATGTTTTAATCAAGATCAAACAGTACAAACTCTCCGGCCCTGTCAATGTTACAACTGCCAAGAGTTGGAGCTCGCCGCCGTGTATGAGGACGATTATAATAACAGTGTTTCGAGCATAATATATATATAGTATATACGTAGAGTAGAACGTTGTACGCAGCTTATCGGAGTGTTGAGAAATATTGTGAAAAGTGTTGAGTTTCGATTAGGTTGTATACAGGTCGCCAACATCGTTCATCGCTGTTTCAGCAGATTACGTGACATACGAGGTGTGGCTATTAAATAACGAGACTGCTCGCCTAGAGGGCGCCCTAGATGGGTAGTGAAAAAAACGAGTAATGCGTTGGGTATCTAGATATCTTATCTATGCACGTACCAAAACACGTTTTCGTCACTATTATAGTATTTGTGCAGTAGTGGTTTGAAACGAACGTGTTTTTTTCTCGTGCCGAAAACCATGTGTGACGAAAAATATGAGCAACGGATAAACGTAAAATTTTCTCGTTAAACTAAANGTTGTTAAAAGAGGCCTATAGTGAGGATTTCCTATCTCGGGCGCGTGTTTTTAAGTGACATAAATTATTTTCTGAAGGTCGAGAGTGCACCAGAATCCAATTCAGTCGTAATCCAAATTCAAAACCGTTTTCTTCGATATCAACGGCATCATGATGACTGAATGGGTTCCAGAGGGTCAAACTGTGAACCAACATTACTATTTGACAGTTTTGGCAACATTGCGCGAATGAGTTCGTAAGAAACGGTCGATATTGTGGAGGGGAGGGGAGGGGAGTATATTGAAGGGGATCATTTGAATGTAGAATAACTTTTATAATAAAACACTTTTTCGTAACCAGTCTCGTTATTTAATAGCCAGATCTCGTACCTGCGCGAAACCAGACACGGTTTTGTCATACATTTTCCCAGACTTATTTGGAATAGAATATAGTACCTAGATCTTTTTTTAAAAAAAAGTTTTTGTTTTTATTAATTTGAAATTTAATTAAATTCATGCATACACTGTTTTTATTTATTTATTTAATTATTACTTGATAACTTTTATAATTTTTAAATATCTTAGACATTATCCAGGTATATATTTGTAATAGAATAAAGAGAGAAAATACGGGTTAATGTATTTTGCGAGGAATATAGTGGAGAAACACGCGGAATACGGTGTCAAATATACCCACAGTAAAACTACATAAGAACCAGTTGAAATGCATACAGTCAAAATGTCGACAGGTTAAAATGTTAACTTTGAAAACATCGAATATCACGAAATATATATTAAATAATTTATAATTATGTAAAATAAGAATATAAAACCTATATTATTTAATAATAATTGCATTGTGAGAAAAAATATTTCTATAATATAACCGAAACGTATTAAAAAAGTAACAATAGAACGTATCGGAACGTACTATTGTCTTTAAATAATACGTATCATTAAAAATGAAACGTTATACCTAGTAAAATATTATTCATAAAGGATTGTATAGTATCGAAAATTCAAAGTTTAAATGTTGTTTCGATGGCCAATATTTCGTTCTTTTATTTACAACAGTTGACATATTATTGACTTGTCAATACTTCGACAGCCGATATTTTAATCTGTCGACATTTCGTAATTTCCGATACTTCGACTGTCGACATTTTAACCTGTCAGTATATTGATTGTCTACGTTTCGTACCACACCCAAATTGTACATAATGTCATGTCTATGTGCTACTGAAATTATTATTTTACTTACAAAATATAATACAATCACCACCACGGTGATGAGCTAAATCAAATTTTTAATTATTTACACTTCTTTTAAATGAATTAACTTTAAAAATCAACTCAAATAATTAAAACATAATGCTCAAAAAGTGACTAAAAATACATGTAAATTTAGTGTAATCAAATAGTAAATACAATTACTTAAATATTAAATTCACATTGCTGGTTTACATTTAAACAGTTATTTCTTTACAGTCATCATACAATTTTCTTCTGTCATTAAACCTATATGTATTCGTAGTATAATGATCAGATGTGTTAAAAATAAGGTTTCCTCTTTTTGGTGAACTGAATGATATAATAATTCATCTACATTAGTATATTCTGTTTCTTTTAAATTGTTTATTAATCGCTAGCACCGTCACGGACACTTTAAGAACGTTTTTCAAGTTTCGGGTGTTAGAGTTAACTTACGCCAGTACCCGCAAACGGGAAATTTGGTTTTGGTCAGTTATAATTGAGTTACCCTGTGATACCCTGTGCTCTGGGGTTAGAATAGGACCACAGTAACTCCTGCTTATCGTAAAAGGCGATTAAAAGGAGGTAGCGGAGGGCAGCAGTAACCGCTACTACCGACCATTGGTGATTTTCGCAGAGGATATAACGGCAATGGAAGGATTTGGGGATAGCAGCTTGAGGAAAGCTTAAGTAAGGACTCTCCAACTGCGATGCAGAAAGCAAGAGGAAACTACTGCATTATACATCATTAAAGACAGAAGAATTATTCATAAGTTATATTTAAATGAAAAGGCTGTGATAACAGGCAAAGGAAGTAAATAATGGGAAGAAGCAAATATTGAAAAAGGAGTTAGACAAGGGTGTAACTTATCACCCACACTATTTAATCTGTACATTGAAAATACTCTAAATCAATTAAGGGAAGAAGAAATTGGAGGAATAAAAATAAATGGTATGCTAGTACTAATGTTGCATTTTGCAGACGATATAGCATTAATAGCATTAATAGCGGAAAGTGAAGAAGAATTAGGCAACATGATAAAAAACATGAATGATAGCTGTAAAGAGTACAAAATGAAAATAAATAAGAGTAATACAAAAATATTAATATGCAGCAAGCAGGTATTGTTTTCGAACATAACAATTGAAAACGAGAAGCTGGAAACTGTTCAATGTTTTACGTATTTAGGAAGCAAAATAACACATGATGCAAGAAGCGAAATGGACATAAAGAGTAGAACAGCACAAGCAAAACAGGCATTTTACAAGAAGAATGGTGTTGGAGAAGAGTACTGAAAATGTCTTGGACAGAGAAAGTTAAAAATGAGGAAGTATATCTAAGAATGAACGAACAAAAATCAATATGGAAGATAATCAATGAAAGGAGGAAAAAATGGATCGGACACATTATGAGAAACAATGAATGGATAATGACAATAATAGAAGGAAAGATAGAAGAAAAAGCTGAAAGAGGTAGACCAAGAACACTATTTATGAAACAGATCATAGAAGACATAGGGAAAACGAATTATAAGGAACTAAAAGTAGCTGTAATGGTTAGGGACAAGTGGAGAGCCATCAAAGTTATTTAACCAATCTAAGGATTGAAAAAAAAAAAAAAATTTAGTTACACATTCTAAATTCATGATTACGAATTATTATGAATTATTATTAATTTGTGAAACCATTTTTGTTCTAGAATTTTTACTTTGTAGTGCCAGGTTCATTATAGGTCATATGTTGTAGCAAAAAAATAAAATCTAGTGTGATACAGAATTTTTTTCATAAGAATTTTAATATCAAATTTTGACGAAAATCGTAAATATTACAGCCTTTTAAACACGTATAACCGAACTCCACTCAGAATTGTTTTTCATTAGTAATGTTTAATCATTGCGTACAGATATAATATATTAATTTCTTCTCTATATCTCTCTATATCTATCTTTTCAACTTTCCACCTACAACAATAGCCCACTCATCGTGCAAAGTACGTGCATCTTCTTTTTTTTATGACAAATAATTTGTGTAATTATTCCTATAGATGAGAATTTTGTGTTCAAATTAAAACGTATCTACTCTATGGGTACTAGATAGTTAGTTTATTTGACATAACAATATATTGGTACTAACCTTAAATTTTTGTTCGAATGATGGGTGAGGCTCATCGTTTTGTCCGTTGTGCCTAAGTATGATTTTGTATGTTGTTGCGTTTCCCGCGGATCTGCACGAAAACGATATGTAATGATATCCATCCAGGTTCAGTCGCGTTCCGACCGCCCGGACGCCTGCGAAACAAGCGCCGTTCGGCAAAGGGTTTAACCACGTGAACAGCACTGCCGACTGTTTGCTTTGGGTTTTGTACAGATCAAACGTAGCTTTCGATCTTCCAGCCGATCTCACGGTGTCCGACAATTCTGACCAATTATTTAAATCGGTCGAACTTTCAAAATCAAACAGAGATAAATTTGATCTGTAACATAGCAATGTAAACAGTGCCACAACTTTATGAACATTTTTGTCAGTTATATATTTACGAGAGTGGGAGGTGAAGGATTTTCGATAATTTCTACTCCCCCCAGGATGGTTTTAAATTAGTTTTTTTCTATAAGTGTTGCCGGTGCTTTAACGTCGGGGCTAAGTGTATCGAACGGCCGTTTGAAAATCTAATCCTTTGCAATTGCGAATATTATATAACGTAAGCAAAGCCGGTCGTTATCTCCGCGTCCAACCAGCCAAAGGTTGGTTACCACTGAACTATATGATAATATGATTATCATGCTCACACTATGTACTATATAGTCGATAAAAGCGTATACTGGCTCATAATAATAATCAACCTAATCCTGCTCCTGCAGTAAGCCCAGAACAGTAGTGGTTTTGGTTAAATTAGATACACAAATAATTTAAACTAACCAAAAAGCAATTTAAGATTAAGCGAAAATTAATATTATATATTTTTAATAATGTTTACCTGCTTTAAAAAGTCATATTATTAAAGTACAGAATCGATATTTATTTTTTGAAGATCGTATCTTTTTGTTTATTCATGTACTCAAATTCAATTAATAATTCTATTTTATTTATAGTTAAATCTTTTAAATAAATCGGTATGAGTGATATTAAAGCCAACAGTGGTTTATTTTTTGTTTTAATGAATCGCTCCTTTATTTCTTCAATAATATTGCTAAGTAATGTAATGTATAATAACCTAAGATATTATTCTTTTGTAGAGTTAACGTGGTAGGTTAGGTCTATGGTTCTGACGTGTACCAATTTATTCAAGGCAGGTTTATATCAATATCTTATTCTTTCATCACTGAAATTTCATACTTTATAGTATACTGAATGTAACTAGATTTTTAACCATGATAAAACGAAGTGAAATTTCAATTTTTCATCTAATTCGAGGCTCATCATCTATAGCTTCATTATACAATTTTATATTATTATAACCGTTATATCCTGTGTAATGTTGATAACAGTCACGAGGTCTTGTGGTCACTGCGATAATAATGGTTACCAAAGGGTAATATAGAGGAGGTGGACGGATTGCCGACCTTATCTTCTAAGACCGTGCAGCAGAATAACAATTAAATTGACCGCCTATATAGGGTGTATCAGATAAGACTGACAAACTCTATGGATTGTGACTCTATATGTGGCTATAAGAATTGGTTTTTTGGAATTTTTGTTTTCTTATCAAAACTTTGGTTTTACCAATTCTTATTTTTATTCTTATTCAAAAACTAATTCTTATAGCCACATATAGAGTCACAATTCGTAGAGTTGGCCAGCTTTTTTGATACACTCTGTATATGTAGTTTAATCAATTATCAATAAGTTGTATAGGTAATTAAAAAATAGTAAAAAATAATCAAACAATAAATCAATCAGTAAATATTATTTGTAAAAATATATACGTAATGTGTAATAAAAAAAAGCCAAGGAGGGCGAACGCATCGTCCCTACCGCCTCTTCTAAATCCAACCACTGGCCCAGATTCCACCCCTGCGGTGTCAAAATAATCAATATAATACTTTATTGATTTGATTTAGTTAAACATAAAGGCTATAAGCAACTGCAACTCATCAGGATGCGTAGTGATAATGATAAACGAAAGGTCGGGAAAAAAATATACATCCGCCAGACAGGGGACGATAATAGAGTACGTTACTAAAAGGTAGAGGCCGGTAAGGGTAGATGAGTGGATATTCATGACCAATCTACAGTTAACAATTATAACACGAAAGTGCTGCCCGTTCAATAGACGAAATATTTTTATGTTTTAAAGTAGTTTTTTTAGGTATAATACGATACATTTGGACTTTTGCTACACAAACTCAGAAATAGATCGATTCAAAATAATATTAATTAGTAACGGGTTGAAAAACTGTTGGCTAATAATAATAAGATTTGAACAAAAACCTATAAAGTAACTCGATAAAAAAACATTATTTTCACAATAATTTATTGAGCTGCTGATATTTCCATGACGGTTAGGTACGGTTAGGACCAATATCCTTTTTATAACAAATATGTATTCAAGGTAAATAAATACAAATAAATTAATTTCGTCAGAAATTGGACACGACGTCATTCAAAAATTATACATAATAATAGATGTGTTAGGTTAGGTTACTATGGTACCACCATGTCAACATTTTTACTTAAAAACCGACTGATACAAAGTAACAATTTGTAACCACCCTAGAATACCAGAGAAAGATTTTTTTTTTTTTACTAATGGCGACGCAGTAACGTTACCCTAGCACTACCACTTATAATAAAAATTATAACAATTATGTAATCGTGATAAACTCTCATTGTTGAATTTCAATATTCTTGACCTCGGGGTTTGGTCTCTGTGTTAGTACGTCATTCAATCAGTCGATCTTTAATATTATACTATTTATAAATTATTACTGTCCTTTTACTGTTGTACATGGTTTACGTTCGTATAATTGAATTGAAAAGTCTCAAGTCGTACAATTTATTAATTAATTATTATTAAACACAATTTTTCGAGAATACATTTGAGTGAGGGGATACATTCTTAAGAGGCTCTTTCTCTAAAATTTTTAACTTTGGCATACAACAATATAAACTAAGCTACCAATTATTTTACAATTTGTGACTGTCCTCGCCGTCTTCTTTCTCCGCCCACGTTTTTGGATAGCACCAAGTGGACACACAGAGGTCAAGAATATTGAAATTCAGTAATAAGAGTTTATGACGATTAGATGTTGTTACGATTTGCATTATTATAAATGGCGGTATCAGGGTAACGTTACCCTGGTACCAATAGAAAAAAACTGAATTTCTGGTGTTATAGGGTGGTTACAATTTTGTTTTACAAAAAAAAAAAAAAAAAAAACATATATTTTAGTATAATGTTGTTTTCTATGTATTTTTTTAAATTTGTTAATTTTGTAATCATTTTTTTAAAAAAGTCAACTAATATCAAAATTTATAGATAAATATTCTCTATTCAAACCAGTGTTCAAAAGAGGGGTGGTACCTATTGGAAAATCAAAAGTATGCACTTATTTGAGGTATATGGAGTTGGTGTAAAAATTTAAAATGGTTTTTAAATAAAGCTTAAACGATTCAACAGTGGTTAGAAAAACCAGAAATAAAATTCACTTAAAATCCTCTGAGATAATTGCTGGTTCATGATAAAAAAAATCACTCTGTTTTATCATCTTTTACGTTTTTTCTCCGCTTTTCCTCAATTATTATAAAAACCACTTCGAAAATCAAAAAATGACTTATTATCTAAGAACCAAATTTTGTGGTAGAAGTTTAATTATAGACAGAAAAATAAACACTAAATATATACCCACCTACATGTGTATAATTTTATACAAGACATTAAAAACACATAGTTCACATATATCATTTAATTATTTGACCATGATTATATTTTTTAACGAAAGGAAAGAGCAAATATTATTCTTTATAAAAGAGCAAAATTAATTTTTTCTTTCTTTGTCCCCTATTTTATATTTATTATTCGACCCTCTTTTTCATAAAATTCATTGTAAGGAAATTAATATAATACCTACCATCGATCGTCTAGCTTCTGGCAGTAAAGTTAGTCTAGAGTCGGTCCTGTTTTTTTTTTTTATTTCTTTTCGTTTATGAAAACTCTTTGACATTATAATTATTAAGTATTAAACATTACGCAATTTTTTTTAAAAGTGCACGACACGATAATATATTATGTACGTGAAAAAAAAAATAATCCACATAAAATATATTATTATGTGACGTTCTCAATTATTTAGGATTTATTTACTGCAGAGCTGTCGGCTATTTTTTTTAATTTATACATTGAATTATTCATAAACTCGTATTAGAATTTTCAGGGGATTTGACGTAGAAAAAATAAATACATTTTAAAATGTCCCGCGGGAGACGCGTCTTCTGCTATAGGTCTTGTAGTTACATGAATTTAATCCATTTTATAGTTGATATTACCGTTAAGTGAGTTCCGAAATAGATATTTACTTTTTTTTTTTGTATTTCTTATGGAATTGGATTTAATTTGTATTATTATTATTATTTTTTTGACGTTCCACCTATATATATTATTATGAATATCCATCGGCAGCCCGACAGTCTGTCTATATACACGTTTTAGTTATTTTCATTTCGGCTTATCATACTATCTATTTGTATAATTATATTAACATAAAATTAGAAGAGTGCGTCTATATAAATTCATACTTTAATATGAGAGATTATTTTTTTTTAAAATTTATATTCATCAAAATTACGTTAGCAATGCCAATTTACTTACGCGTCCGTGGATTTTTGAGCCATATTTGTAGAACAAGATGTTTGTATTATTACGAAGATAAAAAACACAATGAACACGAATCTCTTCATTGGAATGTTATTAAGCATAAATATTTTCGCCAATTGGTTCACTTATTATCGAATACAGCCACCAGATTGATATTCCTCGTCGATTTACACACTAGACAAACATGCATGAAAATTAAAATTAAAATATTATTATAGGTACTTGTACATTCTAGTATAGTTCCTTAAAACTTTAGGAATCGATTCGAGATTTCGTTACTGTGTCGCCATAAGTAAAAATTATCTTATATTATATTTCTTTCCGTGCTTTCGAGGGACGCAAAATAAACCTAAAATCAATATCAAAGCACTGTGCGTTTACTCGAATACTGTATAATTTATACATTTTTACGACTCTTTTTTTTTTCTCAATAGTTTATGGTCGTATTTTTAAAATCAAATATTATACAGGTTGATGAACTTGCAGACTGAAAAACGCGGCCGATTGCAGTAAATACTCGAATAAAAAATTCCCCGCCGTTCTCCCCAGTGTTTCCCTTGCTCTTTTACAATGTATTTTTTGCAGGTTATTAACGGTACGTGCAGTATATCGGGTATGTGAGTTCAAAAATTATTTATAAACTACTGCAGATAGAAGCGAAAAGGACACCGACAATGCCATTATAGTTCTGTATCCGAGCACGTTACATATTTTACCAAGATGATGCTATACAAGTACACGATGGAAAAAAGTTTGGTCTCCCGTAATATGATATTTGTACTCGGTATATCACTCGGTATAAAACTACAAGTTTTTTTTTTCAACAGATCAGTTGACATCCTATAATATGTTTTTTTAAATAAACGAAAAAAAAAATTAATATTTATTAATAAACTACACATTGGCCGTAATATTCTATTTCAGCTGTGCGATTTTGATTTTTGATTGTATTAATATTATTTTGTTAGTGATGTGTTTGTTATGTGATCATTGATCACATCACTTTAATACAGCAAATTAATTTGAATGAATACAGTTTTAAAAATATGAACATATTTTGCACGTGGGTGGACCATTGTTGTGGGTGAGAAGTTGGAAAGGTAATAGAGGAGAGATTGAATGTATATTAGCAAACAACGATAATCCATTGCTAATAATAAACGATTCTGAGCAGAGTTCAGTTGATAGTATTGCTTTGGCAACAATATATAATATGTCATACTATGGTAAAATAATTACATAATAGACGTTATATATTTTCTTTAATATTATTTGTTTAATATTGTACCTATTTTTTTCTGGTTTTTCCCATTTGTTGAGAAAACTCTTGGAAAATCAAAAAATGATCTCCCTAAATTTCCATTTCCTTTTAGAAAAGATTCTGCACTTAAAAATAGTAGTAAGATTTCTGGTATAAAAGTTGTCCACAGAAAAAAGAAATTAAAAAACTAAAAATCATTGTAAAACCATAAGCTTATTTTTCATTTCACTCAGAATCTAAAATTGTAACACCTACATTATATTATGCTATTTTTTAAACTCTAACCAAAGGTAGAAATTATTATTTTTTATGAAAAAATAGTGACTTAGTTAAGTTATTAACTTAACTAACAGAGTTAAAAAAGTTAGTTAACTTGCTTCTGATAAAAAAAGTTGTTTACAAACGGATAAAAAAACCGAAAGGGAAAAATGCTAAATGATAAGATAATACGATAATACGAAAGTTCGTTAGTATAATATTATGATTTGAAAGGCCGCATATTTACGATTATTATCAAAACGTGAAAACCATTATAAAAAAAAAAATGACTACATTACACTGTCTACTTTTTCTTTGGCCATTACCTATACAACTTATAATGAATCTCGTGTTAAATTTTTAAACATTTATGTTTCGTCAAACAATTCACGTATAGTACCGACGAAATAAACTTAGAAAAACATAAAATGAGTATATATAAATAGCTCAAAAATGGCTCAAATTTTTCGAAAATTGTACCGGGTCTAGAAAAGGCAAATTTAAGTATTACTATATATAATAATAACAAACTGGTTTAATATCATATTGTTAATAATTTGAAATACACTAATAACATGATAATAATAATAGAGACATTAAGTCAAATGATCGCGTGTCCGTCTTTTTTAGCGTTAATTTAAATTTCGAGCTATTCTTCGTTAATTATATTAAATGTATATTCCTATAAAGTTATTCCTCTTACGCGTGACGCGCCGTTTTGCGCGGATTCTGAAAAATCGACTATAAAATATTATAACTATTATTATTATTATTATAACCGGCTATATATTATAAAGGTTATCCGGTCGGATTGGTAAGTATAATAAATTATTATTGTCGTGTTAATCCGCGTAAAAAGCCGCGATATTGCGGTAATAAATCGTTTCGCAACAATGAATGTTTTTGAAACAATGTTAACCGGCGTGGTAACGAATTACACTCGATCGATCGATGTCGACGAAGGAATGTGTGGGACGGTTTCCCGCAGAATATCCGTTCAGAACGGCCCGTTTTTTCGGTGTACCTATTACGCGTATAATTACCCGGTGCTCTTTTAAAATTTTATGCGGAACGAAGAAGTTTTATAGTTTTACAAAGATGTTTATTATTATTGTTATTTTTTTTTTATGTTTATCTGTGCGTAACTCTTCTACCAGAAATCGAACTCCGATTTTTAAGTGTAGCACCTTTTTGCAGCAAATGTGAAAAACCGGTAAAGAAACATGGGAAAAACATAGAAAAACGAGAAAATCGATACAACATTAAACAAATAGTATTAAAGAAAATATTTAAAAGCCTATATGTAATTATTTCACAATAATATTATGGCATATAATGTCATAATGCTATTATGCATACGTCATATATAATATATATTGCCATAATGCTATTATGCATATGTCATATATAATATATGTATTGTTGACAAAGCATCACCATATACTAAATTCTGCTCAGAATCGTTTTTTTATTAGCAAGTTCATCGTTGCTTATAAGTATACATAGGTATACATAATATAGGCATATTAAATTACCCATAATACTAACCCCATTATCCTAGGACGTTTTTTTATTTTTATACTTTATTTCGTCTTTTCGAATTTCGTTCGTCGAAATAATTTCCGACTGGTTGGCGTGGTGCTATCGCGGAAAACGAAAGATATAATAATAATACTTACTAAATATGTTTACTCTCGCGCGGTCCGGGCAAACCACGGTTGTTTTTACATAATGTAAATTTGCACAACGCCCAGGCTTTATGAATATTTATTTTCGAAATCCTACGCATTACTTTTCAGTGTTTTTTTTTTTTTTTTTTACGTTTTGGTATACCGACGACCGCTGTAACTATAATATACTTGATATGTATTTATATTTTTGTTGAAATTTAAATTTCGTACATACAATAACCACGGAAAAAAAAAATGTTGAATATTAATTAATCGTTATTGTAGACTTTAAAATTATTTTTTATAAGACTGAGCTACTATACAGGCTACGAGTTTAATGCGTTAAAAAACGCTTTCGAAAATATACAACAAATTTATAAAATCTTAACGAACCGTTGAACGTTTCAAAAAATGTAATTTTTGAAAATATTATCAAACGAAACGGTATACTTATTGTTGAAAATAAATCAATTTTATTATATTTTCAACGTTGAAAATCGCTTTGTGGTTAAAATTATCGTGATACATGTATTTTACAATAAGCTAAATAATTATATTATTCGGACCACGGGTATTTACAATTGTAGTAGGCGGGAAGATTGGAAAGTATTGGAAATAAGGTAATTTAGTTAATATTAGTGCTAAGCGGATGTTTGATCAAACTGAGATCTTAATAAAAAAATATGTATTTAACGAATTGCAATATGTCTGTTCGAATATTAAAAATAACATGGGTTAACGAGGATTTTTTTTTAATCAAATTATGAATGACGTCAGTTATACGAGATTTTTTTTTTGTAATCCTAATTACATGGATTGTTACAATTTTTTCAGTCTCTGGATCAATACTGCATTACATTGAACCGGATTAAATGTTCAGTACTACTGCATATACTTTGAAAACAATGATAAATCATAGCAATCAAGAACCGATTTTAAAATAAGCTTGATAAACTGGCCATAAGGTCATAGATTATAGACTAAATAGTAATAATAGCGATTTTTGTTCTTGTAGTCAAAGTAACCCAGAAATTAACAAAAAATAAAACCGATGTATGTGAAAAAACAAAACTAAAAAATAATTTTTTTGAAAAAGTATCTGGAATTTCAGCATATTTTTTTGTTGGAAAATTTACTTTATCTCACATACGGTATAGCGTGAAAAAATCGAAGCTCTTTTACTATCTAATAATCGAAAAAGTGTGCTAAACAAAGAGCTTCTTCGTTACACTGAGAATTTAGTGTAAATTAATCAGTTATAATCCCATAGCATTATTAATTGCACTAAAATATCAAAGGAAAAAAAAACATTGATATTTTATATTATTATGCTACGGAAAAAAAAACATAGCATAATATGACACTCATTATCCCGGAAAGTAATAACTCTTTCTGAATTCGTTTTTTCAATATTTGAGAAATAAATAGAAATAAAAAAATAACAGGAATGTAATATTTTAGACCTACTTATTTCCTTAATTGGTCTAAAAAACAATTTTTAAAAAAAATTTAATACTGTCCGAGATAATAAGCAATAATAATTTTCGTCGGAAATGTTTATTAAGTATAATAGTTAATGTAAATGTTCGCAAATTTTCTGGAATTCTTAATCGCTTTGTTCAGAAGTTATGATTTTGTACATTATTGACTTAAGGAGCTTAGACGCCACGAAATATTCATCCGATGTGTACATATAAATTATCGTGTATAAATAAGAACTTTCATTGTTGACCTTTCGGGAGCAGGAAAACTACAGGAAACTACCTTTAAATATGTGTATTTTGGATTCTAAGTGGAGCAAAGAGCGGTAATTTAAAGAGGTCATTTTTCGATTTTTCAAGAGTTTTCTCATTAAATGCGAAAAACCGAAAAAAAAAACGGAGGGAAAACGAGAAAATGTACGAAATATATTTGCACAATATTACGATTTTTTTTCTGGACAACTTTTATACCAGTAATTTTGTTCCAATTTTGCTTCAATAATAGCAATGTTTTTAAAGGAAAATTCTACTGTGGAGGTACTTTACAGAGGTCATTTTTCGATTTTCTCAGGAGTTGTGCCAGCAAATGCGAAAACCGGGAAAAAACACTAGAAAACCGGTACAACATTAAAACAATATTATTAAAAAAAATATGTAAAGCCTACTCAATTATTTCACCGTATTACGGCATACGCATTGTTGACGTAGCATCATTATCAACTGAACTGCGCTAAGAATCGTTTTTTCGTATGCAATATGGTTTATCGTTGCTTATACAGGCATACATAAATTACCTACAACCGTGGCTACACCCGTCCCCATTATCTTAGGACGTTTTTTTTATTTTTATTTTTCGGCCGTGCACATTACTCATTTCACGCATCCGTTTGTACGGCGATTCGCATCACAAACGGGACACGCTTCCTGTATAGAATTTCGTCGGCGGAAAAACGACGTCGCAGCGACCGTGACACGCGCATACGGATGACGGACGTCACGATGGAATCACAATGAGGATTTACCCCTAAAATGAATTCGAATATCATCGCCCTCCGTTCTCGCGCATGCGTGCCGCAAACGCACCCGCGTCGGTACTCGATTATATTATTACGCATTTTGTGTACGTATTTGCGCACGGAATTCCAGTTTTATACAGAAGCACGGTTTTCACTGGGAGTGCTCGCGCCTTTGTTCCGGTTAAATTTTGCATATGCCCATATTCAAATTCCGATTTTTGGAATTTTCAATTGTGTATATAGCTAAACCGATGTTTTCGAATACTTGGACGGCTCACAGAACATTTGAGGAGTATCCTGTGGCGATATCAAATTTCGTTTTTTTCAAACGAGAATCTATACGTGTATTAAATTCCATAAATAGACAGTGTTACTTCAAATAAATTTCGGAGACGAAATTTATATAATACATAAATAATAATTTCTGTCGACCCGTTAACGAGATACTTCACTTTTACGTTCGGTTATATCATAATATATATTATGTCATATTTTGCTAAAATAATTACATATGCGTTATAAATTTTCTTTAATAATATTTGTTTAATATTGTACCAATTTTCCCAGTTTTTCACATTTATCGGGAAAACTTCCGGAAAAATCAAAAAACCGACATCCCTAAAGTACCGCCTCCCCAGTCCGATTTCCTTTCCGGAAAAGCGCGGCCCGCGTAATAAACATATTTAAAAACAATGACTGAACACGGTCGCTCAAAATTCATAGAGTGACTGAAGAACAGATTATTGAACAGGCACATTTCACAAATTATTTTTTGTATTGTATCGAATATCGACCAACTTGAAATTATCGAAATAAAGATACGATATACCATTATTCAATTTTATGGCTGGTGATATTGTAGAATAAAATATTATCATCTATACGACTGTCGAATTATGTATGAATGTTGTATGAATGAGTGAATTCTACGAAATGGCAATAAAATTGAAAAAATTCGAAAATTGCAAACAATTGCCTTTAAAACTTCTAGATTTGAATTCGTACTCGCCATGTAACGTATTCAAAACATACGGATCAATAAATTGAGTAGGTGGAAAAAAAAAAGTTGCGAATGCAACAACAACAATCCGTGTCCAACTGATAACCTGACACGTTTCGTACATTTTCCTCCGTTTTTTTTCCCCCGGTTTTCGTGTTTGTCGGGAAAACTTCGGGGAAAATCAAAAATAAAAAAAAAAAAAAAACTTCCGCCTCCCCGGTCCGATTTCATTTCCGGACAAGCGCGGCCCGCGTTCGCTGAAAACCGTGGCGAAATTGCCGGTGGAAAAGTTATCCGCGGGGGGGAGGGGGGGGGGGGAAAGGAATGGAAAAAAAAAAAAAAAAAACGGGAGGGTGGGCGAGCGTTCTCACGGTGAACCACCCCGGTATAATCCAACGTGGCATAATGATATATTGCGCAGGCATTAGCGCGCGCGCGGGTGACAAGCGTGTACAACACAACGCGGCGACGCGATAACGTATTACGCGCGCGCCGCGTCCGCGTGCGTTGTTCGCCGCGGTGCGACGCGTCCCCCAGATGATATACGGACGCGCGAACGCGTGCCGTGCGCTGCCGCGGGCCGCGGCCGCCGGATTTGCCGATAATTCACGCGGTCCCCGACCCTCTGCGGCACGTAAATACCGTCCCCTCCGCGGGTCCGTCCGTTCACCTGCTCCTATCCGGACGCTCACCACCGACGGGTCCACGTCCGTCCCCGTGCCCAGGCCGTCGCTCTTTCCGCCCCCCCCCCACCCCCTGCAAGACCAGTGCCGGCGGTTTGCGAGAGGAGGTCGATACGGCCGACGGACGAGTCGGTTGCTGGCGGCGGCAGGGTCGTGGGTGGCCGCGGACGAGTTGGCGTCGTAATACCCGGCACTGTTAACGTATGAACTGAACACAATACTATTCTTGTTGTATCGCGGGGGATATTTTTTCCATTTGGGTTCCGGTCGGCGTGTCGGAGCGGACGATTCGGAATTTTTCCCCGCCGGTTTTCGTAACAGTTCGGAAAAATCGGGACCGAAAAACAAAAAAAAACCGGACAAATATTTACGGAGCGGCGTCACGCGGGTTTGGCCGTCGTTAAAATGTCTTCGATTTTTTTTTTTTTCCGTTTTCCACCGGAAATCTTGCACCGAAATTCAAGTGTAATATATTATCATATTGTGTCCGGAGAGAAAATTCCGTTCAGTTATAGTGTGTTTAGTTTGATGAACGATCGGGCAAAACGTGGGAAAAACGGCAACGTTCACGGAACGCTTATATATTATTGGACTTATAGGCGTGCGCGCAGGGCGTGCCGGGCGTGCCCAGACACGCCCTGTGAGTTTTTTATGGGCCGAAGCGCCCTATGCCTCGATATTATTACACGCGCGTATGTTTTTCGTATAAAATTTACCTATAAATTATACCATTGTCGATTTCAGATAATGTATTTAAAGCAAATTTGAATAATTCAGTGTGCGATAACGCATTCTGCAGTAGTTGAAAGTTTGTATCACAGTACAGTGCAGTGCTTCCAAACTTTTTCAATACATGTCTTACTTATTAGAGCAAGGTTTTCTCGGGGCGCCCTTACAATTCATCGCGATAAAAACCTATTCTGATCGGAGTAATATTATAGTCACGGTGTTTAAAATAAACTGTGTAGCCAAGGTAAATGAAGCCGATATATCAACAATATTGTTGTCAGCTTTTGGTAGGCACTCAGTGGATAAAATTGTTAGACCCAACAGAAATGCTTGGAAATTATTTAATAAGAGGTTCATTATGAGTCGTACTTTGCGGCAAAAAAATATTAGTATATCAAATTTTAGACGATAAACCTAAATATTATACGGTATATAAAAATATAACTCAGAATCGTTTTTCGTTAGCGAAGATTAACTGTCGCGTATGCACAGATATTCATTCGATTTCCCTCTATGTATGTCATACCTTCTCAGCTTCTCACCTACAATAATTATAGTCGCCCACCCATTTTGGGAGTTTTCGAATTGTTCGTTGGCATATTACAAGGTATTTCCGAGCGGTGTACGGTACCGTATTACGCGGTTTTACTCTGAAATAATTACGCGCGCGCAGACCTCGGCGTTTTCGGTCTCGGGTATTTTTTTTCGATTCGACCGCGATGCACGGGAGTGTAATATTATAATATTATATACGTATATATGGCTGCTCCGGGGGCGGTGAACGAGAACGAATTTGCGAGAGACGATCGACCGCCGGCGACCATTCTGTGCATTACTGTATATGATATGACCATCAGTGTAGACGCTATTTTTTATGCGGCGATTCTTTTTCTTTTTTTTTCGCGAACCGTACACCAATCTTAACCGTGTCTACGGCTGCACCTTAGGGTGCTTGAGTTGCTCCTGCAATTTCGACAGGCGCCGGTCAACCAAATTGTATGTCTATAGATAGTGGTATACGATTTTTGTTAAAAACAAAAAAATTTCTTATGCATTGTTTATAACAAAATATTATTCTTTATCAGTCTATCATTTTAATTATTCTATATAGGTACTGACACATCGTATATTTTGTTAATTACTTAATTATACGGCGGTGTAATTCAGGCCTGCACCTACATTGATAATATTTTTGTAGTTAAATTTAAAGGTACTGAAAATACTATTCATTATTAATTGTAAATATAGATAATACACATGCTTTTTAAAGTTATATAAATATTTAATTGGGAGGAAGACTAAATTCCCACCCTCTATTTAAAGAGGATTTGTTCGGTTCATTAAGTGATGTCGGTCATTAGCTAGGCTATCGCTACGGATGAAGTCTAGTCTACGACACCGATTACCTATATCTCGTATGTTTATTTACAAAGATTATTTTGAGTTATACAATTTTGATCTCCACCATCCGTGTGTTAGGCGTTATATACATATAGACATACCTATAGTTCTATACCGGATAGACGAAACATTTACCTTAACTTTTGAATTTTTCTCAGTTACTCCTCTAACTCCCCTAGCTATAACATTTTCCTACAAAAAAAATACAATATTTTGTTATACAATCTACTAATTTAATTATTTGCTAGCAGACATACATTAAGTAAAATCTTGTAAACGCGCTAAGAGTTGAATAATAGGTATATATTCTATTCCCAGTGAAATTTCGGTAAACACGATTTAAATGTACCTATACCCATATTACGACAAGAATATAAGATCAGCCAATCAAAAAAGAGAAGGTTTTTCACGAAATACGACAGTTCAGAAACGCCCTTCACTATTGATTTTCAAATACAACAACCCTGCACGCTTTATGTAAACTCGCGATTTGAAAAGATCGACCACGAGACCGGATGAGTAAATGGCAAAAAGGGTTTTAAATCATGTTTGTGATATATATATATGGAATAAAAACAAATTGTTGAAAATAATGTATACGAATATTTTTAACTGAATTACAACAAATAACAAAATTAAAAATAATAAAAAGCATTTTTTTATTAAATTTTCTCGTTCTTTTTACGTTTTTTTTCAGTTTTGCTCAATTATTAAAAAAAAAAAAAAAAAACGTTTTTCTATTGGAGCAATATTTTTTGCAGAAAACATAATCCATATACATTGAAAATAATTAAACCGTTGTGCTTTAGAAAAAAAAAAATCGTATTTTTCGTCTTTTTTGGTTTATCTCAATTATTATTAAATATTTGTCGTTTTACCAATAATTTTCTTTCGTGGTTTTTATAATTACTTGAAAACCTCTTAAAAAAACAAACAGTATCATATTAAAACCTCGCTATGATCAAATCTAAAAATGAACTTTAGGGGTAAACTGCTGAAAATTCCGATAAATATTCCGAATAAAATATCAGCAAGCGTATAATGCGCATGTTTAAATTTAGGTATAACACGAACAAATCGGTACATTTTTCTAACCATATAAATGTTTTTTGAGAAAAAGAAAATACATACTATAATAGGTATAATAAGTTCTACGTTATAATACTTTATTTTATCAAAACGAAAAATCTAAAAATTTACTTAAAATCTTAATCGGCTGTTTTGTGTTGCAAAATCGTCACATTCTGTATATTATATTAATATAAATTTGGAAGACACCGTCTACGGTTTGACACAGTTATTTAACTGCCGGCAGCGCAGCGTTCGAGAAATTGATTTTTGTCGAGTAGACGAAATGTTTTTTTTTCCAACGATAAATTTGGTACGAATGTAATGCAACGGTTTATTTGGCAATATTATATTATTTTATTATTTTTTTATACTGATGTAATATTTTATCGCAAAAAAAATATGATTAATAGTTTTATGTTATTGAAATATTAAAACCTTATGCGGTATAAAATCGACTATATGTTCTTTTATTGTAAACATTTTATAGGCAATGGCTTTTTCTTCTTCTTTTATGAGCTATATTTGTGTTTATTTTTATGGGTCACTCAAAAAGCGTAGGCGTATATTATTACATTATATATAAATATATAAACATTTTATGTTAAAAAAAAATATTGACATGATAATACGTGGATCACGAGTAAAAAGAAAAACTGATACTATATTGATGGGCGCATCACAGTGACTGTTGTAAATTGGAAGTTGGGAAAGTAGGATTAATAAAGAAACATATCTGTACGCGATGATACATTATATTAACGAAAAAAATGTCTGAACAATCTGTTTTATATGTACTAAACAATTTTATAATATGTATTTTATTTATTAAAATATCAAAAAACAAACTGTTTTATTTCTACCAAACATATAAATATACGTACATACAGTCACGTATACAATGGGGGAGGGATAAGGGTCTAATGCTCCCCTCAAAGATTTCATGAAAATTATGATGAAAGTAGATTTTTAATACAGTTTCAAAAGTGGTTTTTGTTAATAAAGAAGATAAATATAATTTTGGTTTTTTTTTAATTTTATTACTTGTATAATAGGTATATAGGTATTATTATTTTTGTAATTTATAATTTTTTTTGGTTTACTGCTTTAACTGATACGGCGATATTGCATAGTCCGCATTATCATCACAATAATATGGATGACATTATTATTAGGCTGTATTCATTTAAAAAAATATTAAATGCAAAATTTAATAAGAGGTGCCTAATTAAAAGGCTAAAAATGAATGTTATAAAATATTGAAGTTTTTAATAATAAATAAATAATCCTAAGAATTGAAAGTATGTAAACTTTTTTGTTATGTTAAGAGTATGAAAGTGTACAACCTTAAACTCCGCCTCCTCGAAATATTTTTTTTGAAAATGCACCTGCGTACATACACGGCAATAAAAGTCGTAACTAATAAAAAAACAACCAATACAGTCGATGTTCGGTATTGTTATCGTTTGTTAGTACTTTCGTATTGTTTCACAATAATAAGATATGTCGTAAAATGTTTGGCGCCGTGCACTTAGCGTCCGTGCGTTTTGTGCCCATTACTTTTTTCGTGCTATTTCCGTCCATTATCAAAATCTTTACCTGCTGAAATTATATAAAGCAGACTATTCACTCAAAGTTTAAAATTATATAATATAATCGTATATAAATTGTTAAATTATTATAGTTTAAATGTTTAATATCATAGACTAATGTGTATTTAATTTATTAAAATATTTGTATTACGAATAGGTACATAATTGTCAACTTATTAATGTAAACAAACTTATTACGAGTAAATTATTTAAAATTAATATGGTATAATATTTTAATCCTATACAATTATCAAATTATAACTCTGATTCGGATTTATGAACAAATGATAACTGATAGGTGTAATAGATATAGAATTATATTTCATGTAATTTTTTACGTATGGATTTTTCATCGTGATTATACAATATAAGCAATAAATAAATATAGGCTTCGGATAACCAAAAACCATAATACGGTTATAATATTATTATTTTTATTAGTCAAATGTTCACTGTTCATAGTGTTTTGACGTTTGTTGCGTTACGTTCGGAAACGGTAGACCATAATAATTTGACAATTTTATACAATTATATTATACTATATCAATTTTACATAATTTTAAATTTTGAGCGATTAGTCCGTCTTATACAGTTTCGACAACAGTCGAAAAACGCACTAAAAAGGTAATGGGCGCAAAGTGTACGCCACCAAATGTTTAGGAAATTTAAAATAATTCTAATATTAGCTAATATTTATGAAAATTAAACAAATAAATTATTAATATTATAGACGTTCTATAATAAATGGTAAATACCATTTAAAGTTTATAAGATTCTCAAAATTCTAAATACGCAAAATAAAAATTATTCTATTTAATCGAGAATAAGTCAAATCGTCGTCGTATCTGACAACCAATTAATTTGGATAAAAAGAAAAAACCTACAAATTTGTAGAAATCCTAGTCCTAATATTAAAATATCTTTAATACAACACTTTAAATAACAAATATAAACAAAAAACCACCAGAAAAACGTTAAAAACCTACAGAGTTTATAGATTATTTCAATAAGATTATTTGGTGACGGAGTATCTGTTGAAACAGCCAACAACTTTATAAATACTTGGTTTTTTTCTGTGTCCCCTTCCTGTCATCCATTTCTAAAAATGCGGTGACGTTAAATCAAAAACCATTTTGCTCGCTGTTCACAAATTTATATTTTGTTCACTGGTGTTTTACATTATTTTATTTTCGTTTTTCCGTGACGTAATTTCGCTATACGTTATTATGTCAGATATTATGTGAAGGTGTACATATACTATATAGGTGTGTGGATATAATGCGAACGAGGGTATGTGATTGAACGAGGGTCACGTCCTTTAAAAAGGATGACTACGACGACGACGACGACGACGACAGCTTTGATCAACGAGTTCGTGCCGATTTTCAACGAGCTCGTTTATTTTTTTTTTTCCTCCACGTAAACGCGGTTAGATAAATCTGATTATACGGCATTTTTTTTTTTATATTTTTTTAATAATCTGCGTTGTAGATAAAACGAGCTCTCACGTATATACAATTACTTTTTACTTTAAAAGAGTTTACGGTAAATAAAATTATATTATTTTCACGGATAAAACGATTTGCAAAAAAAAAAAAATGTAATAAACTAAGATTTAATAAAAAATAATGCAAAACTGTGAACATTATTATCTGATATTTTTATTATTATTTTTTATACAATATAATATACGACCAATTTGGCTAAAAGTTATCACTGCATTATCGGAAATATTAATTTTTCACCGCTTTAACATTATTTTTCGTCAACGACATTATAATAGTACACATTTTATAGTAAACAGTTTATGAAAACCAGTCGAAATAAATCTAGAGCAAAGACCTACAACGGCTAGGCCATATTATAATGAGAAGAGAAGAGAGATATTCCGTCAGATTAGCACTAGAATGGAAACCTCGGGGTAAGATAAATCTTGTAAGATCTATAAGAGAAGGTGGATTTATATCCATCTTCTCCAAACCTGAAGGCTGTATAGACTTAAAGAATTAGGGAGTGGCAATGAATGAAGGGATATAATTTAAAACATAGGTTAATGACGTGATGTTAGGCGGTAGCCTCTAAGAGAGTTGCGAATGCCAATGAAGAAGAGACCAATATATGATAATATTAAGACCCATGACGGTCAAGGAAATTGTATACTATAAAGATGATTTCCTATTATAATACATAATTTGAAGTGCCCTAATTTTTTTTTTGCGATTTGTGTTTAAATTTGGTTTCAAAACGCTTATTAAAAAAAAATTAAAGTCGTCCTATGATTTTGGAAATTTTATCACGTCTAGGTAAGTCCAATATAAGTATTATTACAAAGTTTTAAGTCTCTACATGTATTTATAACCGAATACCAGCAAAAAAACTCCCAAAAATTAAAATTCCTTAAAAGTTCAATAGTTTTGGCGATGATACCGTAACTAAGTAAATAAAAATTATGGTTTGTAATTTTTCGATTTAATCATTTATTCTGGTAGAAAACGTCGTCCGTGTTTTTATAAAATAATAAAATCGTGAAATTATATGTTTTCCTACGTTTTTTCCCACTAAAACAAAATAATTTATACCTGATATCCGATAAAACATTGTCAACGAAAAACGATTTGGAGCGATGTTCAGTTAAATAAATTTTGAAATGTCGTAATTTTTACAATTTTTGTCAAAATTTAATCTTAAAACGTTTATGAAAAAGGTCGGGTTAAGAAATCAACCTCTTAGAAAATCAAAAATTGTATCCTACCTTTCCAATTTTTTATTTTCAACTGTAGTATACCTATGTTTAAATATTATAATTATAAGTATTTGTCAAAATTGATTTCTATGGTACTTTTATTTTATACCATTGTATTTTAATACAACTAAAATAAAATAAATTTATAATTGTGGGATCCAAAAATGTGTTTTTGTACTTCGTTAAAAAAAATTTGGTATATAACTATTTATATGGTATCAAGTAATTTTCGAGCCACTTCGTTCCTATCAAAGATATTTTTCGGAATTTATAACATCTTAACCACTCCCCGGCAAACTGCGCCACTGATAATTGTTGACAAATAACAATAGAGGTCAGATTCACTAACGTTTATTTTTTTAACTTTGCAATAACTCACCGAATAATGATATAGCTTATATAGCTAATAATAGCTATTATGATACGGGTATTAGTTTTTATTATGATGTCGTTTTTTTTTCGGTGTTTTTTCGGTCAGTAAAAAAGATTCAATTTTTCGCATAGTTTAGGTGAACCTTCGAAAGATGCGGAATTTCCGCCCGACGATACTTAATTTCGATAAAATGTTTTTCGTAATTCCTAACAGTTTACATTAAGCTCTGTTTTCTTTCTCGAGAAAAACACTTTGATGGTTAGAAAAATAAACGATCCGATTGTTTCACGCAATAAACCCCGAAAGCCGAGGAATGTCCTCCCGATAATACTTTATTTAATCCCCAAAAGTTCACGACCTCCGCGTTCGACGCTGGAATGTGTTAAATCGGTATTATCTCGTCTCGATACAGTTATCCGGATGACACGGCCTCCGAGCGCCGCAACGCCTTATCGGAAAAATTTGGCGCCTTCTACACGAACATCTATTTTCCAGACGATAACGGTTGTGTCACGTATTGTTTACAATACATTTCGGATATAATCGGGATTTCGACAAATCCGGGATTCGTGAACATCGAAAAATCCGAATTTATTCCATAATATACGCACAATAAATACCGAGCGGCACAACACTATAATATTATAATGATATTATACTATTATGTTCGTAATCGTCTCGGTTCGGTAAATTGTACATTACGTGAATGCATGTATATTATAAGGATAGATAATGTACCTATACGATCATGCAGTGGCGTGCTCAGGAATTATCAATGAGAAGGGATGTAGCAAATAAGAATCATGAATAAATCATAAACTCGTCTTCTCTATCCGAATTGACTGTGGGAATTCGTAATTGAAAAGTCAAATCCTAAAAAAGACTAATTTCTCATCAATATATGTCATGTTTTTTCTTGTAGCTTGGCTGAAATATATGTATTCCGACATTAGATGACTCGTATTTTTTTGTATTTTAAGCCAATTGGGGGGGGGAATATAACACCTAATCTCCCCTCCGTGCATGCTACTGCGCTCATGTGTAACGGGTAATGACAGTTATTCGAATGCCCAAGATATTTGTTTGGGATACCTATACCCGCTGTATACCTACCAGAGGTTGTAGGTATAAAATAAACGGGCATAATGACCCGTGTAATTACGATCATTGTTTTCGGACAGATGTTAGCTAATTATTATTATGCAGTTATTATACCGTTTTGGAAATGTGCAACGTAAGCAGCGACGCGTGATTACGGCATTATACGAGTATTGTGCTGGAACGAATAATATTCATTCGTAGCTGGTATGTCCGCGCGTCGGCGATAATAAAATTGACTATACTATAGTATGACGAAAAAAAAAATATTTAAATTTATCGTACAATTTTCACAAAATTGTATGTATAAAAAAAAAAAACCACAAAAAGAAACAATGGATAGTAGTATTTTTGCGGTCTTAAATATTGCAGGCCTACACACAGTAATAAAAAAAAAGCTGCCTATAGGATAAAATGGGGATGGGTACAGCCATTGGTAGTTTCATGTATAAATGTAACCATTACTAACGAAAAAACGATTCTGAGCAAAGTTCGGTTGATGTGTGGGTTTGCCAACAATATATATATATATATATATAGGTATATAGGTTTATGGTAAAATAATTACATAGACATTATATATTTTCTTTAATAATATATGTTTAATATGGTACCTATTTTCCGATGTTTTTCCCCGGTTTTCCCATTTATTGGAAAAACTCCTGGGAAAATCAAAAAATGACTTCCTTAATGTACCATTCCAAGTCAGATTTCCTATCAGAAAAATGCTACATTTTATAAATCTAAGCAAGATTTTTGTTAGATAAGTTGTTCACAGATAAAAAAAATAAACATAATTGTAAAACCAATCAATACATTCCTCGCTCCACTCAAAATCTAAAAGATAAAAAGGCCAACATTACCACCCCTATGCGGAGTTTTTTAATTGCGAACAAAATAATAAATACATTCCTCGCTACGCTCCAAATCTAAAACCATGTGAATTACGGACGAAATCTAAAAAGGTGGCATACGAATTGCGGACACAAATAGAACAAAGAACCAAACGCTCCAGACAAAGCGAAATTACAATTAAATGATAGTAGTCATTAGTATTCAAGTATTAAAAAATTTAAATTGCTATAGAAATTTCGCTTTCGGTCCATTATTATATTTTGTCCTTATCATTTCCGAAAAACTGTAGCCATCCCTAGAATATACTGATTTCGGACAAATGTCTAATCATTATTATTTATATAATAATTGCGGCACGGGTTTCGATGAGGACGTTGGGTAATTTGTGTTATTCTGATATCGCCGATTCACATTTTTGTATACTTATCAAGCTACTCTATTAATGATTAGTTATTAGCATTAAATGTAACGGGGTTTTTGAAATAGCAGTCAAACAATATTTTAGATCAATTCGACGACCACTTTACTGTTTAAATAACTCTTGTTTTTATTGAATATTAGTAAAACATACAGTGAAAAACTTAAGGGTTTGTCGATGGTTTTAGGTTACGTTTTCACTGCATAATACATAATGCACAATAAAATTCAATGGTGGGTGTGTACCAATAAAACACGTGATGCATTTTTAAAATTTAGCGATTTGTCTTTTTGGTAGCTTGTCCTAAGTCCTAAAAACGGAAATATTTGTGTCTGCGATTTGTGAATTGTCTTTTACTCGCCCATAACTCGTGTGGTTTTTATTAACTCGATGTCCGCAATATTAATATGGTGATAATCTATCGCTTACTCTTCTTAGATCACGATCTACAATATATTTATTAGTAAAGGAGTAGTTTATATCCATATTTATGGGGAAAAAATATAACTGTGCCTTCTAAAATCCAACTAAACAATATGGATATATTTCGGAAAGATGTTAGATATACCAAATTACATTTAGATTAGTTGGATAATGGAACATAATCGTATGATAATAAACGAACGACAATATAAGTATACAATACAAATATATAGTTATCCAAAATCATGTAAATCGATTAATCTCGAGCCCTAATTATTATTATCAAAATTCAAGAAACGTATAATGTTTTAATATAATACGGGTATTTTTTTTATTAATAATATTGGTCCAGCGCTTGGCCGGGGAGAGGGCAGGAAATTACAGGCTTTACCAAATAATTGCAACACCTTTGAAGAATTTGAAAACGCGTCCTCGTCCCTCGTTCTCTGAACGTTTTACACGATATTCGTATGGCACCGTAATACTATAAGAAACTCGCGTGTTGTAGACAAGACATCAAGATTACTCGATAACACGTGAACAACAGCTGTCGCGAGAAAATCAAACCAGAATAAAATATATATTATGTTCTATACTAAACTATAACGATTTTATATTTTTTATTATGATGATGTACTCATACACGTTCTACCCGTCATTGTCAGTGTGACTGACGTGAGCTTCGCACCGATAACGTTTCAAACGCGCGAAAAAGAATATTTCTATTATATTATTGCACTTCTCCCTCCTCTCAAAGAAAAAATAATAATATAAAATATGCTATCACGTGTAATAATTTCTAAAACAAATGTTTATTCATACTATATACGGAACGTTTGCGTCACGTAGCAGTTAGATATTAATTTGTTATCTATTCATATTAAATAATCAAACATCAACATACCAAAACGTCGAAGTAATAATATCGAAAAAATCGTAACGTATTGTTTTTGTTGTCAACTGTTTCCTAACTGGCATTCACAAAATAAATAAATTATAATTCCCTACTAATCTTACCCTATAATACAATAAATGTAAAAGTTTGTGAGGATATATGGATGGATGGATGTTTGTTACTTTTTCATGTAAAAACTACTGAACGGATTTTGATGAATTTTGGCATAGACGTGACCTTGGAGAAAAACATAAAATAAAATTTAAATTAGGAGATGAAAGGTTTTTAGGTATTTTCGATGCGAAAATGAAATTATTTTTTTTTGAATTATGGATTACCATAGTAACATGGATGAAATGGAAAAAAAAAATGTAAAACAAAAAAATAAACAGAAATAAAAATGCCATAACAACTTAAAATTTGATACTACTCTGCCGGTCTATTGGCTTGAAATGGGCTTGGTAACACGAATGGAAATAATAACAAAAATCTTATATAAAATATTAAATAGCACGAGCAACGCCGGGCGTGGGTCAGCTAGTAATACATGTATTATACAGGTATCTTATATGATAACTTTAGTTCAACCAAAATACCAAATTATATGATATTCACGATAGTTACCGTGACTATACATTCTGTGAACCATAATATTGCATAGTTCGTCGTATTAACGTATTTTTTCTATCAACATTATATTATTCATAATAATAAATGTGAAAAATAACGAAAACGCTACGATTATTATTTTATATCGTCGACTGAAACGTCCGCACGCTCATATTATCCGACGTTTCGAACGGACAAAAGATCGGATCGCGCATTTTGCAACTAATACAAGTCCGTTCGGAATTTCGCTCGATGTAATTTGTGTAATGCGCTCGCAAACCAGAGCGGCAGCGGTAGCGAAATTTCTGCGGTAACCGGACAAAATACCGCCGACCCGACCCAACCAAAGCGAAATATTACAGCGAAATCGTGCGGTAGTAGGTTATAGGTATTCTGAAATATTTCAGTTTTATCTTGTTTTAACTTTCGATAACTATTATTATTATTAACCTATACACTGTACGGATCACGTCTAGTGTATAATATTTTTTTATCTCATCCGTGTGACTTGCAGCCTGATCGTTATTTATCTATTTCACGTTTACGTCATCGTGGACGCTCTATCCGCATATACTGATTATGATGATGATAATACTTTAATACTCTATAGACAAATGTACGACGAACAAACTAAACGAATATCGGTAATACTCCGCCGAGCACGGACGGATCCAGGGGGCGACCTAGGGGCCCAATCCCACTCAGACATATTATTTCTCCGATTTTTGTATGGGAATTGTATGAGAAAATAATATGGATAATGTATTATATTATATTTTTATTTGTGTTGTAAAAAAATAGTTGGTCCCCCCAAAATCTTTGTTTGGATCCGTGCCTGACGCCGAGTACCTTTTATTATATACCTATATAATTATTTTAGAACATTATCGTGCTCGCCGAAAGTATGATAACTTCAGTCAACACGATTATAAGTTACTTTTTACAACAATTACAACTATGGGGTATAGATTTAATTCGCGACATTATCTATAATATCGAACTACACGTTTTAAAAATAAAAAGCAACCGTAGTTTATAATTTGTAATCGTATGAGAAATAGAAGAAAAAAGGCGAACATTCATCGAACAATGGGTGCAGCCACTGATATTGACGAGAAGTTGGAAAGGTTTGATATGGAGGGGAAATTAATTTGTATCCGTAAAATTATTGAGAAACGGCGAATAACGTTTTTAACAGTAAATCAAAAGCCTTAATACAGTGCTTTTACAAAATCGATCAAAATTTGCGCCGATATAATATCTAATTTTACATCTAGAATTAGCTGAACATTTTACATTTCGACTATTTTGAGTTTTTTTAAGAAGAAAATGTACTTGTCATAAAATAAGTAAAAATTGATAACTCCATAATAACAGCACGCGTGATCACGGTTTAGAGAATATAAGCAATAATGATAAGGAAGAAAATAAGTGTAATCAATATATTATTTAAAAGGTGATAAAGTAAGTTATTATTAAAGCAAGTAACATTTAAGTTTTTGTATTGTCTATGACCGCGCTGTGCCCGATCGTATTATCGTGATAATAATTGATAAGGATAAAAAATATAGTGACGGGTATTTTTTAATCGGTCATTATACTCCTTATCAATACGGTAAACAATACTGATAATAATTGAATAATAAAACGTTGAAATGTTGAATGACACGCAGTACCGTTCCCGCAGCCGGTAGAATATTATGTGACACGCGAAAAATTAACGCGGGGCGTCAAAGGGTTAATACCGCGGAATCAACCCCCGAGTCGCTGAAGGTCGTCCAAGGTCTTTCACGATGACGATATTAATGGCCGACGGGTATCGGGTGTGTTATGATATTTCGTCGGTCTCGCGTTTATTTGTACGATGGCGCGAGGGCCCGATACGCAGGGCGACGAAGGCGAATGATGATACGTAACGGTTATTACCGAACGACAATGCAATTGCCATTGGCGCGCGACAACAGATTAACAGCTGCCGCGACTATTATTATTATTATTATTATTGATTTTTTTTTTACCCGATCGTTCCCGAAACGCCGAAACCGTGAGAATAACGATCTGACGCGCCGACAACACTACGGAAATAACGGCCGGGCCCGACGACTTAGCCGAGCGCAATTTAACGCGCGGACGTAAACGTGAAAACGACGACGACGGTTTTTTTTTTAATTGTCGCACGCACACGAACGCCGAGCGTACGAGTGTGTAATATCACGCGAACTGATCGTGAAACCGGCGGCGGCGTGCAGTGCGACGACGACCGGGTGCCGTGTCCGCCGCCGCCGCCGATCGCAGCGGTTTTCGATTCGTTCCACTCCGCGGCGTCGGCGAGTGACGTTATTATAACAATAATAATAATAATAATAATAACAACAATCACCGCAACAACGTAATCGATTATGATAATTATTCAAAACCGGACGCCGCGAGTTTGAGTACAGTTGGAAAGTTACTAGTAATTACTAGTTACTAGTAGTTAAAATTACAACTGTGGGGTGTAGATTTAATTCGCGAAATTATCAATAATATCGAACTACGTGTTTAGAAAAAAAAAAAAAAGAGCTGATACTGGGGACGGGAGCGGCCAATGTTGTAAGTGAGAAGTTAGGAAGGTAGGATACATAAGGTTATTTCATTTACAACTGTATGAAACGATAAACCATTGCTTGACGAAAGACGATTCCGAGCGCAGTTCAGTAATACATAACTTGAAGTGCCGTCATTTTTTTCGTTTAAATTTGATTTTAAAAAGAAATAAAGGTCGTCTGAAAAATTGCTACACGTGAAAATCGGAGCAAGTTTACTATGAAAAAACGTGCCCACACACTAGAAGAAAAAAACCAAAATAAATATCTTAGTAAAACTAATACCCCACTCGTTACGCTCGGAATCTAAAAGCAACTAAAGTTTATAGTTTGTAATCGCATGGGAAATAGAAAAAAAAAGACGGACATACATCGCATGATGGATGCAGCCACTGATGTTGATGAGTGGTTGGGAGGATAGGATGGCAAATTAATTTGTATTTGTAAGCAACGATAAAACGATTCTGAGCGGAGTTCATGGTTGATAGTTAATAGAACAATTTATATGTCATATTATGGTAAAATAATTAAATAAGCATTATTTATTTTCTATAATAATATTTGTTTAATATTGTACCGAATTTCCTACGTTTTTCCCCGATTTTCCCATTATTTCAAAAAACTCCTGGGAAAATTTAAAAATTACCTACATAAAGTACTACCACAGTCAGATTTCCTTTCAGAAAAAGTGCTATCATTGTAAATCGGAGTAAAATTGCTGTTAGAAAAAGTGTTCGCGTAGAAAAAAAAAAATGATAAAAAAATAAACATCTTTGTAAAACCAATACACTATTTTCGCTTCATTTAGAATTTAAAACAACACTACATAATTTTTCGTGATGTGCATCGTCTCTCATATTGAATTTCGTGTAATACCATTGAACTTATAATACGTACTACTCAAGAGTAGTGCAATACATTAAGGTCCAAAAATGTCATCAAAAATTATCAACTCAATTGATATATTATGCGTAATACTATCACCGATAGTTAAGTTTCTGATTTTCGAATTGTGAAAACATTTTTAACCAGTTGACAAAAGCGACCGACTTGTTCAACTTTGTAATTATTATTATCGTTAAAATATTATAACAACCATATATTATAATATTATTACAGCTGTAAATACTGTAATACCCACCTACTCGAAAGGGAATCCACCCTCGCACTACACAGTGCTGCGTCGTGTCGAGTACTTATGATCGTATACGCTCGTATTTTACGTTTATAATAATAAAAAAAAAAATTTAAAAATTCGATACCATTTTTATAACAACGATATCGAAACTATTGTCGATTTTAATGAACATTGTACTTGATAGGGTACGAGAAATATTAATAAATTTGAAATCCTAAATCCGTCACGTGTTCACGTCATCCGAATTACCGTGTTCAGTATTCAATATTGAATTTCGGTCACGACTATTTTATTATTTACCGGTTCGCGTACAGCCGTAGTCAATGACACCTGATCGAAAATCGTACGATTACCCATAATAAAACAACAAAAGAAAAAGAAAAATACGTATTATTTCATTGGCAACAATGAATCTTGTAGAAGAATGCGACCGGTCAACCATTAGCAACGCGACGTGAAATATTTATAATTTTAGATTGTTCATTCGTCATTTGTCTGCTGTTTTACGTACCTACAAACGTAACCGCACGTTCAAAAGTTGATAATTTTTATAGGCATTCGACTCTGCGGTAACGTGGGTACCTAAATGGAACCACGTGGTCCGGCCAATCGGGGACAATTTTTTACACGACGCGAGCTGTAGAGTTGCCGACAACACGACAGCGGCACGCACGCGACGGCGGCCGCGGTAAAAACCGCACTATAATTATTGTGGGCCGACCGTGGCGTGGCGCGAGCGGTCCGGGCCGGCAAATGGCGTGTCGCGTTTATGTGGTGTAATACGTCTCGGCGGCGGCGGCGGCGGCATTTTAGCGGCGTACTTTTGTAAGGTACCGTGATCCGGTAACGTTCCCAGTGCGGTCGGATGGTAAAAACGGTACCTATTTCGAACGCGTGTTTTTAATATTTTTTTTTCTATTCGTTTTTCTACTCGTTACGCCGGACGTCCCGCCGATTTCGTCTCCTGCGGAGCGCGGGACGAACAGGATCGCGCGCGTGCGCTTCGCCGATCTCGTTCAAACGACGAGACGACGCGACGCGACGTGATGGTGGCGCCTGCCGGTGGCCGACTCCCTTTATAATCGCGACGGCCTTCGTGTCGCGCGTCGTTGGCAGCGTCCACAACGCACCGCGGCGTCGGCGGTCGTACACTGTCGGCAGTAGGCAACAGCCGTTGCAATCGTCTGGCCTTACCGCCCCTTCACTACAGCAAATCGACCGCTGCCGTTGCCGCGATCATCGCTGTTACAGGCAACACAAATTGCATGGATGCGCATTTTGTTCCAGCGAACAATGCACAATAAATTATTTTTGTTAAAAAAAATTTGTCGTTGTCTGTAACGCGGTACAGCGTAAACACGTACAACCGTCGGACCGCGGTGCCGGTTCGAGTGGGACCATCCCCTCCCATCCCCCTCCACCACGTTCACCGCCGTCGTCGCGAACATCCGAAAATATCATAATGGAGCGCAACCCGTTGAGTTGGAACGATTTGACGGCCACTAACGACCAGGCTGTACCCACTGACCTTCAACATTTCCTCTGGCGCCTGACGGGGTAAGCGTATTAATTAACTAAAATTAATACTAAATCTAATAATAGAGAGTATAATAGTATAATAGCGTAAAATCAGAAAGTAACGAGACAATAATAATAATATATACAGTAAGAAAGAGTGAATTACAACGAACCGAAAAGCCGGTTCTCAGAAATTCCTTCCGAGAAACAAGCGTGGCGGTATCTATTCACCCGCGCTTGTTTTCAAATATTTGAAATAACGGAAAACCGCGTCGCGTTTTCGACAAACGGCGGTCTCGCGAGCGAAGCTCGCCGCTATCGAACATTCTTAGGAAATTGTTTACGCAGGTATTCGGGTAATTTACGACAATGTTGCCCTCGTCCTTCGGTCGTTGTTATTCCGGGATATTTAATGACGGTTATTAATTAAGACGCGGACGATTATTCCCGATCGTAATTTATTACCGTGTACCTAAATAGCGTTAAATACGAAAAAAAAGTGATAGGCACGGTTTTAAATACATTGTTCGGTATAATATTTGAAAATTATATTATTATATAAATATATATATTAAAAATATATTATAATATATTAAAAATTATATTATATGTTCTATATTGTTTACTGTAGGATTACTTGTGTTTACTTTATAATATTGTTATAAAGTATAACGAATGTTGCGAAGATTTTGATTTATCCGTACGATTCGAGTTTGCTATACGCGATGATTATTTTTTTTTTATAAAATATTAATTTCGTTTGAAAAACTCCAGTAAAAAGCGCGCGAAATTTTCGAAAGAAAACCATTAAAAACCCCGTATAAATATTTCTATTATTTTTCCAATATGAACGTCGAAATTCTTTTAGGTATATAGATATACAAATATACTTCTATCGAGAAAATAATATTCGACACCCGATGACAAATATACCGAAACAGTAATAATTGTAAATACTATAACATAATTACTTACTATATTGGTATTACGGGTCCTGGTCAAAATCCCGACGGTTACGATCCTGACAGGATCAAAATCCTGACAGTCAACAATCTTGACAAGATCAAGACCGAAATCCGGACAGTTAAAATCCCGAATTGGTCAAAATACCGTATAATATTGAAGGGATACTTTTTTTGTAATATTTGCATTTCTTTTTTATTTGTAAAATATGTACTCTACTTTATTATAATGTTACGAGTTATTGAATGTATTGATTTCATTGTATTAATTATAGATTATTAAAAAAAGTATAACTTAATTTTTTTTTTTAAGTTAATAATTAGTATAATTTTAACAGACATAACTAGGCGATCACCTACACAATCTCAGGGGATGCTAATAATCATGTCTGCGAAATTCTGTGTGATATTGTCTGTTGAAATTCTAACTTTGTCGGGATTTTGGACCCAGGTAATACATAATATAATCACGGTTAAAGGATCGGCTGAAAATCTAGCCGTTACGGTTACGTAGATATAAATCCTCGACAAACTATGTGCAATTTCCCGAAAATTTAAAATTTGTCGGAAGAAGATCTTGAATACCAAAACGTATACGTAGATTGCGTTGAATAATGGACTACGATCACAATAATTATATTTTTGCAACATTTTCCCTATTATATTGTCAAATATAACATATATATTTTATATGATAAAGGATAAGGACCACAGATATTTATATTTCAATTAATTTTTCATGTTTTAGTCAAAAACTTCTCCACTTCTCTAAAATTCAAAAAAATGATTGAGAATCAAGAATTTAATGAAAATAAAAAGTCAATATGCCAACATTTTCAGAAGAAAAAACTTAATTAAGTTAATTTAAATAAACTAAAATTAATTGAAATATAAATATTTCTAGTCTTTACCCCGGTGAGTAATATGAGGACAGACGGAATTTGATTATTTTTATTATTCCCGGAGATATTACAATATGAGTATATGTTCGTGGGACAGCCTGTATAATAGTCGATTACGTTGCATTTTGTCACAAGATCCAGCAATGTTAAATGAA